TCCACAAGGCAAGAGGAAACGGCAGGGTCAACTACAAGGGCCGAGGGCTCAGGCACCTTGAAGTTGTACACCTCACCACAGTCGCCGAGGCAGGTTGGGGTGCCATGGAAACTTCCTATTACAAGCGTCCGTGCGCCCCATGGTGGTCAGCCACTGGGGACTTACAAGTGAGCACTGCAGACCAGCCCAGGGCTCCCCGCGGTGGCCAGCCAGTGGGGCAGCCGCGAGCCGCAGCCAAGAGCAGCAGGCTCCTTGGAGGCTCCCAGTACGGAAGCCATTGAGTAGCGACAGCTACCGATTCAGATAATACAGTCCAGTGGTCCCACCCATGCAATCAGGCAGGTGTGAGGGATTATTGCCAAGGGCCTTCATCCCAGTCAGGGCGTCGTGGGCGGTGGCCCGCAGAGACAGTATGGGCCCGTCCTCCTGATACTTGTGGCAACTCCTCCTCGCTAACCCCCCACTCAGGGATGCCAGTTGGGATGGAGCCCCCTATGTGCCGTTTCATTGAGGCTTGTGCTGCCTGCCACATCGTCCGGATGGCATCCTGTATTTGCCGATATTGCACCACACCTTCGTCCCGATACTGAAAGGGGAAGGTGGTAAGCGCGGCCGCGAGGGCCGAGGGCTCGGGCTCCTTGGGAGTGCCATGGCAGTACAGCTTGAACCAGAAGCTGTTGAGTTGCTGCTTAGTTGGATGCTTGGATCTTGCGAGCCCCTTGAGGGCAGCCCAATGAGCAGTGGCAGCATCATACCACGCATTCCTGGAACGCTGGGGTCCGTGCCTATTAGGTGTTGTGCTGAGCCCTTTCCAATGCTCATCGTCAATGACCGGCAGCCGAAAAGGAGCAGCGACGTCCACTTCTCGCAAGGCCGCAAGGTCAGTAGTTCGCAGTTCAGAGAAACGCCAATCGTGCACCTGCGCCTCTGGTTCGTCCGCTTCCTCTGCCAGGTCCTCCATCGATGCGGGAGACACAGGTTCCGTGCCGGAGGAGACACTGTACACATCCGGCGAGGTTTGGACCTCGTTCACACCCGCGGTTTCGCCACGGGGCGAGGCAAGTAGGCTTTCCAAGGGCAGCACACGCCGAAGGAAAACAGCCATCCGAGCAGTGGTGTCGGGCCATTCCAGGTTATAGACGGACCAAAAGTGCTCAATGTTCTGATTGGCCACCGAGGCTGCTAGGGCGAGCCTGATGGCCTCAAGAAAATGGGCAGGGGGCAACTCCGGCTTAAACTCTTGGTATTGGCGCTGCCCAAGCGTTTGTGAGCCCTGCAGCGAAATTCCAAGGAACGCATTCAGGCTAGGCTGCTGTGCGAGCCTGGCCGCCTCCATATCCGTGTGTTTGGCGGCCTCCGCCCATGCCTGCAAGGCCTCCTGGGACACCTGCCCACTGACCTGAGGGAGTCCGCTACTCGGGTCCACCGTGTACTTGGTTGTAGGGCATGTAGGCAGCCGATAAGCGCGGCCGGCAAGGAAAGCCACCATGGCCGCTGGCGGCACATTGACCTGGAGGTCAGTAATCCTGTGGTCGGATTCGGGAAAGCCCACAACAATGGGCAGTCCGGCAGTGCGCTCCAGGGGGCCTTTTTGGTGGGACTCAAATGCGAGCGGCGAGCAGGAGCGCACCCAGCCAATAATCCGGGTCAGAGTAGCACATCATGGCCGGAAAGCTGGCGTTGATGACGCTCGGCATATCCGCCACCGCGAAGAAAAGATCCGCAATATACTGGGCAGTGGTCAGGAAACCATACCCTGCCAGGGACTCCGAGAGTCTTGCTTTATCTAACTGCGGAACCGGGCATGCCAACATATTCGCAAGGTCAACATGTTGCAGCGCTCCCGACAACCGAAGGCATTGCGCAATGATGGGGTCGTAGACCTTCAGATGAGACGCCGGGAAAGTCTCAGGCAGATGAAGAAGGGTGTCTGCGATTTTTATCAACGCGTCCGAATCCTGCAGCTGGTGTGGTAAGCCATTTAACAACTCTTCATAGGTCCTGTATGCACGAAGCTGCTGGCAATGCGTCGTGAGATGATTCGAGTCACGCAGGCTCATGTAGGGTCTAGGCTTGACATTCTTCCCAAAGAAATGTCCTGTTTGGAGTGCACGCCACATGAGCCCACAGACCGATGTTGTTTTGCCCTGCATTGGGGGCGTATTGGCTGAGATGCTGGGATCGCGAGTGGTGGGTTCGCTTGGCCCTCTCGGCTTGGCTTTTGGCGGTTCCAGCGGCTCTTGAGAACCGTCGTGATCCTGTGCGCGGGGCCGACTTTCCTTGCGGACATGGGCAATGGGCACCTGCCGAGCAGCGATGGGGGTCAAGCCAGGGGAGGCACAGGGAGATCTGCGATAGGCTCTGCTGGTCAGGTGGGTCCTTCGGGGGCTTGGCGCAAGGGGACCGAGATGCATCGACGTCCCTGGCTCGCTCCGGAGATGCAGTACGTGGTGGCCGGGTTCTGGGGCTAGGAGGACGACGTACTCCCGGCGGTGGGTCCCTAATGTTGCCGCTACGGCGGGGAGGGGCCGATGGGGTACCGCCTCCTCCCAACGCCAAATCGCCTCCATCAGCAGGAGTCACACTAGTTTCCACAGAGGTGGAACAAGCGGCCAACTGAGGGTCTGCAATGGTTGTCTGCGTATCAGGGTTCCGGCACACCAGCTCGCCGGCCCTCCTGGGAGTGCCACAAGGGGTGCGGGACACATCACGACTGGGATGCGGCGGCGGGCTGACCGCAGCAGCAACAGAGCCCCGGGCAGCCGGGCCCAGGCCTGGTCCATGGCGTGGTCCATCTCCCGCCACGAGGCGGCCCTGCCGTAGATTCGCCCGGGGCAGGAGATTGCTTTGGTGTCGATGCAACCACTCCTGAGACAACCCCCTCATCGAGGCTGGTACTACCCGCGGGCACAGGGCTGTTTCCCGGAGAGTCCACATCAATCGCAGTGTCAGACTCAAATTTGCCCGTTCGAACGGGCAGGAGGCGAAGGCCTTGGGGGGCTTGCTGGATCCCGGCCTTATGCTCAAAAGCCGGGTCCGTGTGCCGAGCAGGTCCGCGTTTGGGCGGCATCCTAATTTTCGTATCCCCTAGCAAATAGGTGAGGTATTTAGCCACCCCGTCCCCTTCCCGCACCGGTTGAAAGGGGACACAGTACACTGCACTGGGCAAGGGCTCCAGGACGAAGCCACGCGCTTGCAGACTGGCGATCGTGCCAGAGTAGGAGTTGGACGTGTAGGAGGGAGATTCCCAGCCTTCGGTCCGAAGCGTTCGGTAAAGGACCTCGCGTGTCTCTCCCCAAGTAGCCTTCAGTGCCCACGCCTGGTCCAGGGGTGGCGTACCGAAGAGGTCCAGCCCAACCTTGCGCTCAACGGGCAACACAATGCTTGCCACCTTACGTTCCCTGAAGGCTTGCTTGTGTGATTCCCTTGCAATGCCGGGGCCATCCATGCCCCACAGGCTGGCTTGTGTGCGCAGGTAGTCGGAGCAATCAAGGAGTCCCCCCGTGGCACAGGCCGCCATTTGGAAGCATGCGCCTATTCCATCCAAGTAATGCGGTGCAACAAAAACAAGCGGCCCCAACCCCCTAGTGAAGGAGGAGGTGGCCCGGGCAAAGCCCGCCTCGCTGTTGAACAGGAAACCGGAGGCTCGACATGTGACGAAAACACAGACACCATGAGTGGGGCCAGTGGAGCAGGCGGTGGTGATAGCGCTGAAGAAGCGTTTCAGAGCCGCAATGTGTTTCATAAGGAAGGTTCTAAATGCTACAAGACTCCATGTGTTAGGCGGACCAGTCAACGGGAAGTCCTCTTCTACGTGGAGAATATGCACCTACTGCCCTGGCCAGGAGATATCGAACACCTGTGGAGTAACTTGGCCTTCAAGAGGATCATCATCGTCTGTGCTTGGCCTGTGGCAGGACAGGCAGGATCTTCGCCCGCCTGGATGCTACCTGACGGCATCGCCTGGACGAAAGCTGTGTATACCACGGAGATCTTAGCGCTCTTGCAGGCTGCCAAAGTGATGTGAGCCCTCACATCTCCTTGCCGACGTACCTTATTGGCTTGGACTCTGGAGGGACCATTGCCTACCAGATTGCAGTCCCCGAAACCCCGGCAAGCTTTCGGGCTTGCGTGTGTGGCCTCCGCTTTGGCTGTCTGATGAGACTGTGCTTGTGCGCGGACATCTATTGTTCTTGCTGTTAAGTCCCCACTGGCTGACCACCATGGGGCATACGCACGTCTTTCCTCTCCTTTGGGGAGTCTGACCTGTACCATCCCTTTGCCAATGCGGGTCTGTTATCTGTCCTTGACGACGAGTACGGGATCCTGACTATCGAATGATGACCTCGGTTCGAGCCGAATGACGTCGCACCAGTAGCTACATGATGGTGGTTTTGAGAATCTGGCAGTGTCGCAATTTGCGACTCCCCGCATGCTCAGTGCTGTATGATTGCACCGGGACTTCAACGACGACTTCGAGTACTGAGTGCGTGGGGTTACCTAGTAGTTCGGCGCCTTTGCTTGCTTTGTTGCTTCTGTTTCCTTGTTTTTTGGGTGGTTGCGTGGTGTTCTTGGTGGTTTGCGCGCGCTAACTTCGTTTCACCCGTTACGTCGAGCCCAACAAGACCGGCCTACTGTGCTACTGATGTAGTAAAGGGGCGCCAGTCCAAAAAAAAAAACCTTCCGCAGAAAAGCCAGCAAGTATTGCGCCTTTGAACTGCTGTCCAAACAATCCAAAAAAGGCCCAGCAAGTATCAGGCCTCTGAAACTGCTGCCCAAACCCTTGCAGAACAGCAATTATCACGCCTCTTAAATGCTGCCCCAAAGCCCAGCAAAGCATTAGGTTTCTCAAAGTGCTTTCCAAACCTACAGAGGGAGACCTTCAGGAAGAACGGTCATTTGACCATTTTAAATGTTATTTCATTTTTAAACGTGGCATTTAACATGGTAGTGCTTTGCCTCTTGCTTGCTTGGTTAACAAGATTGTTTTGTTTTCATGCATGGGTTTGGAATTAGCCGAATTAAGCTTTGCATGGTTTTTTGCAATTTTTTTGGTTGGCATTTTTTGGCTGTTTTTTGCCTTATGGCGTGCGAATTGGCTTGGTTTGATGCGATTTTGGGCATTTTTCGATTTGTCTTGGTTTTGCTTGCGTCCGTGGTTTTGGCTGCCGGCTCAGCTTTTGCAAAAATGGCTTGTACCACTGCAGCACTTGCTGCTCGCTGGAGAGGTGGAACCGTCACCATGGGAACTGCTGGAAGAGACCGCCGAGTTCGAGCAAGAAAGTCCAAGAGACGAACTCCAGGACAACGCGACAAAGACAGCCACAAGGACACCTCAAGACAGCAAACTTCCAGAAGAGAGCCTGCTTCTTCTTCCAGACGGCCTTTGGAAGTGGTTAAGTCTAAAAGGGAGCCTTAAGTTAAGCTTGAAACTCGTGGTCGTTCTGCAGAGAAAGCTGGAGACTGCCGAGCTCGAGCAAAGAAAAAGCTCCAAAGAAAAGAAGTTCTTCCAAAAGACCTGTGGAGTCTGAAAGTCAGGCCCAGCAACGCCGCCAAGTTGTTCCAGCCCAACGAGTTGAGTCTGAATGCCATGCACAACTTGCAGAGTACACACGAGAAGAACAAAGAAGTCCAGAACGGAAGCGTGGCCGTGCTCGCGTTCTTGGACGCACTTCAGTGAAAGAAAGAACGTCCCTTGCCGACATTTTGTCAGCAGGACCAGTTGAGGTTGCTGAGTTGCTGATGAAGAAGGGTGTTTTGCAGAAGGACCCACCTGAGCGCGGCAGCTGCAAGTGCACTGCTCGACAGACTCCTCGGTGGAAGTTGGAGGCTCAAGGTCACTCGTGTCAGTGGCGTTGCAAAGCGTGTCGAAAGACCTTGGCTGTGACTCGACGAGATGAGGACCTTTTTGGCAAGCAACGCCTTGCGCTGAGGTCCCTTGCTGGGGCAATGTGGCTGTACACGTCTGGCTTGCACTTCTCGCCTGACCAAGCCAGTGTTGTGCTTGGTGTTGACCATAGGACCCTTCGAGCTTTGTACGAAACCTTCAACAAGCTTTTCACACCCTTGGTGGAGCAACTCAACAGCGAACTTGTGGTTGGAGCTTGTGGCGCCGACTTAGAGCTGGACGAAGTGGCTTTCCGCTCTGTCGGAAGACCGGGAGGCATCGTGTGGCTGAGGTACATTGGTGTGGCCAGGCGTGGTTCAAGCAAGGTGTGGTTGCAGCGTTTGCCATACCGCGTGACTCAAGCTGGCCAAGGTGGAGGCGGACCTCTTTCTTTGGAGGAGATGAAGGAGGCCCTACTGCTGGAGTCGGACAAACCCGTTTTGGCAGAAGGGTCAGTTTGCCACACCGACGGCGCCAAGGCCTACAGAGCGCTTGCAAGCCCAACAACTGAAGGACCTCTCGTTGACGGTAGCCTCACAAAGTTCGGGTTGAAGCTTGCACACACAGCAGTGAAGCACAAGCCTCCGCATCCAGAGTTCACGAAGCGCTTTGAGGTCAATGTCTGGACAGGTGAGTCTTTCGAGAAGCAAGTGAGACTTGGTGGCACGCAGAAGCTAGACGGTTTTTTTGCAAGTTTCCGCAGAGTTGTAGGACGGAAACCTTTTAACAATGTCGGAGCCTCAGACGAGTCAGCGCCACGTATGGAAGAGCTCATGCATTTCCATGTGCGTGCTTTTCAACTTAAGATGTGGTTTGCAGGTTGTGACATGTTTGCTGTCTACGGCAAATTGCGGGAACTCGCAAGAGCCGGTGTAGACAATGTCAAGTGGTGCAACTTGACTCGACGGAGTTCAAAGTTGCTTTCGAACCGCAGCTTGTACAGCGCAATGTGAGTGAAGACCCGCAGTGCGAAGCTGTTGACGATGAGAGCGAGCACAGCCTCCTCTTCGAGGATGATGAGTGAGCGAAACTCCATGCTTTTTGCAGGTTTAGGGTGCTTTCGGGGGTTGGAGGGTTGGTTCAAGCCCAGGTAGGCTGCAGTTTCTAATCTTGCGCTTGCTTCAATCGAGGGAAGCTTTAGGGTGCGGTTTCAGACTTGCTTCAAGCTTGCTTGACCCTGCAAAGCTTTAGGATGCAGTTTCAGACTTGCTTCAAGCTTGCTAGCCTGCGAAGCTTTGGGAACGGAGGACGTCTTAAGCGAGACCCTTTAATTAGACGCGGCATTTAGCACGGCTCTCAGCCATGGCAAATGATCCCCCTAATATTAGACGCAGCGTTTAGAACGGCCACGGCCGTATTAAAAGCAGCCTCAAAATAAGACGCGGCGTTTTGCACGGCGGCGCGCCCTGCGGGCGCGCCGCTTTCTCTTTCTTTTTTAATTAACTTCTATTGCCGTTTTAAACGCCGCGCCCGGCTTAAAAAAAGAGTTCTAATATTCGAACCCTGGGTTCGGGAACTCTGTGTTCGAACCTGGGTTACCTGGGGTTCCAGTGTTAGAAACCTGGGTTAGCCTAGAGCCGTAATATCAGAACCCTGGGTCGGGAACTCTCTGTTCGAACCCTGGGTTAACCTAGGGTTCCAGTGTTCGAACCCTTTAACCTGGAGTTCTAATATTCGAACCCTGGGTTCGGAAACTCTCTGTTCGAACCCTGGGTTCACCTAGGGTTCCAGTGTTCGAACCCTGGGTTAACCTGGAGTTCTAATATTCGAACCCTGGGTTCGGGAACTCTGTTCGAACCCTGGGTGAACCTAGGGTTCCAGTGTTCGAACGGGTTAACCTAGGGTTCCAGTGTTCGAACCCTGGGTTAACCTGGAGTTCTAATGTTCGATATGCTCGGGTAAGAAGCAACCGCCAGCGCAAGGCCCTCATTCCAGGACAACTTGACGCAAGGCCAGCGAGATGAGACCAATGAAAACAAAAACCTACCGTCACCTATCACTGAGCGGCTTGCACCCATAGCAATGCTGCGGGTCGGTAATTTCAGCCGGGGCCTTTTACCAAGGGTGGTCGGTCACTAAGTTTTTTCGCAGCCTGTTTTCGTGGCAGAAAAGGCGTTTGAGGTGGCAGCACCTTAAGCGTTTTTTTCGTCCACAAAAACAAGCTGCAAAAAACTTAATTTCCGACCACTCTCGCATTAAGCTTTTTTGCAAAGAGCCTGCACAAAGCCATGTTGCAACAAACTTCATTACCGACCACCCTTGGTAATTCAGCTTTTTAGGCTCTCAGGGTTAAGAGTTTTTGGCTTGGGTTTGAACTTGGGCTCTGGCTCCTTCGGATTTAGGTTTAAGGTTCCATTTGTTCCAGTTTTCTTAATTCTCCCCCCGATTAAGGTTGTTTTGCCGCTGAATGTTCAGTTTTTTGCGTGAAACCCGAAGATATGGCCACGTCCAACCTTTGAGTAGCGCTACCGTAGGCCTATGGATAGCCTACGTTTCGGCCTGCCTACGACCTAGGATAGCTTACCGCTGCTTACCAAAGCCTACCCACAGGCCTACCGGTAGGCTACCAACAGGTCTACCCGCAGGCCTACCAGCAGGCCACCCACAGGCTGACTCGTAAGGAAAGGGGAATTTTTTCGCAAAGAATACAAGCTTAGGCTCACAAGTAGGCCTGTGGGTATTCTACCGGTTGGGTGGACTACCCGTAATTACGGGAGGTCTGTGGGGCCTACGGTAGGCCTACGGTAGGCCGACCGGTAGGCTGCCCAAAGCCCTACCGACAAGCCTACCTGTACGTTTGGGTTTTTGTATGTTGAGATGGTCGAGCTCCTTGGCACCGTCTCCGAGGCATTCAGGCGTAAGAAGTGGTTTCTTGTGTCGGCGAGTGCTCAACGTCTTCGTTCCCACGCAGTTCGCTTAGCATGACATCTCCAATGCCTGTCACAATTTGCTGTCTTTTTGCATGGAGCTGCTGCTATGTGATTGTCGCTGCTGCTTTCGTGTCGCAAAAGTTGCAACTGCAACCCGTCGGAGCTTCACGTGAGCAAAGCCGGTAAACACTGCGCAGAACAGATATGTTGCTTATCGTGTTTGCGATTGGAATGTCGCTTTCGCTTGAGTGTCATGGCGAAGCAAATGGTGCCTTTTCCGCCCGAGCCTTGGTCCCACGAGTTTTTTGACATGACTCACATCTTTTGCCCCATGGCAGGAGGGGTGAAGATTGTAGGAAGCATTCTAGTTGCCCAGCTGCTTCGTTGCGAGACTTGTTTGAGGAATGGACACGAAAGTTTGTGCAGATGATGTTGTAGCTGCAAGAATCTCATTTGTATGAAGCAAAAGTAGCAAAGGGAATAAAAATAGTCACTGGCTTGGCATTGCGAGATGCTTATGGCGATGCTGTGGCGCAACAACTGGAGGCACGGCCACATCAGATTTGTTGTTCGCAGCTGCACGGCAGTGGCACAGCAGAGAAATGCACAGCACAGCAGCGCGGAGGATATAGCTTCTGGTTGGTGCTTGGCTCCAAGATCAAGAGGTCTCGTTTCATTCATTCGAAACGATTTTTTACTTCGGCAGATTTGCTAAGCTTTCACATAGATGCACCCAAGATCAAGGTTGAGACCGTGCGATCAAGATGGCGTGGCACTCATCAGACGGGGTTTGCTTCAGGTGTGTTGATCGAATTTGATGTAGTCCGATGGCGCGCAGCTTTGGGTGTCGATTCGCAGTTTCCGACTCAGACTCAGCAGTTCTTGAAGTCTCAGCCGATTGCACCGCAACGGTTGCCCGGCGCTAGTTGCGGCCATGTCCACCCGCTCCAAGAGAGCCATCGAGAGCGACGTCGACGATGCACGCGAGCGGTTTGTAGCGACCAGGCGCCTGTCAAGGTTAGATCTGGAAGAAGACACGATCGTGTTTCAAGTCTTCGGCCTGAGCGGAGATTTCACTGCGTTCCTGTCGGATCCATATCCAATGGAGGCCACGGTCGTCTATGGACCTGATGACTTCGAGTTGCAGACCAGTGGAACAATAGAGGACACGATTTTGGCAGTTCTGTCAGAGTTGAAGTCCCTGGAAGCGAAGCCGGCGAAGGACAGACATCACATCGGATCCAACGCGGAATCTGCAGAATCCAGTGATGAGGAGATGAGCTGGGTCGTGACCGATCGGCCACCGGAACCTGCATTACAAGCCGACATAGACTCGGTTCAGAAGCTGTTTGGCGACGGTGCGGTTGTGCTGACGCAACTATGCCTCACGACGTATCGTGTGCGACTCTATGTGCCGATCAAGTGTGCGCTGCTGGACACAAGAGTCTGCGCCGCCTGGGGTTTGAAGCCAGATGTACCCGTCTGTGTGGATATCTGCCTGCCTGTGACTGGATATGCAATGGGAGTTGTGGAGCCGTCAATGCTCGCACAGGTCAGGCAAGAGGGTTTCCCAGAATTTGGGCTGGAGAAGCAGCTCATGCAGATTTTGGCAGACTTCTGTTCGGTTTGCAAGAGCCGGGCGTGGGAGAGCTTTGACTGTGTACATGAGTCTGTCGATGAGGATGCTCCTGAAAAGCTGTTTCGTCGTTTCGAGCTGAAGAAACAAGAACTAATGCTGCAAGCTCTGGGCGACAGGGAGCTCGGTTTTCTGAGCTGCCTGGGAAGATACTTGCAGCTGCGCATGCCAACGTTGAATGAGTATTGTGCAATCTGCGACGCCCCATTCATGCTCCCACCCATGATGATGCGCGCAGTGTGCCCACGTGAACTATGCACTTATCAATTTGGGGAGTTTGGTAGTAAGATTACTTCTGCCGAGGGGCTGAACAACCATGCAGAAGTCGTTGACTTGCTGGTCTGCATGCTTGTGGCGGCAGCAAAGTCTTCCAGGAGGCATATGATTCTGGATCCCTATCCGAATGTGTATGTGGGAGAGCAGCTGCAAGTGGTTTTGCACCCAAACAGCAAGGATTTCAACAAGTTGGAGACTTACGTGCGGGAACTGGAAGGCATACGTGCGCGCATAGGCAACCAGTTCGGCGCTTCCTGGTCTGCCAAGACGTCGTCCATGTCCGCAGAGGCTGCAGCTCTGTTGAAGTGGACGGTCGCGTCGAACAGGTCCTTCCTGGCACCTTTGCAGGATAGCTGATGATGGGCATCTTGTGATCGTTGATTCTTGATGGGTAATGCGGTACTGTACACTACTGTACCATGTGTGTAAACCTGCAACCCTCCGTTTGCTTAAAAGGTCTTAAATGGGCTTCCAAAACCCAAACTGACAGGACGATGAGCGCATTCCAGCATTCAGGATGAGCCGATGGGCCAAGCATGTGGCGTGTTGGCGACCGTGCGCGTGCAGTATATGCGGCCGTTTGCTTGGCAGTGTCAGCGTGTTGAGGATCACTCCTGCGTCCTGCACAGGACCCCTTTCCAGTATCTTCTCATCTCTGCGCCACCTGCCAAGGCCAATGTTGGTTGATGCAGCAGCAGAGCGCACAGTTTGCACGGTGTAATAGACGTTGGCTTCGTTTGCCTCGTGGATGTTGCATGATGCTTGGGCACTACGGTAATCTGGCATGAAACTTTCTGTTGTACCCAGCACCAAACGGGGGACATCGACGCAAAGCCCGACAGCTCTTTGAGTGCCATGTGTGTTGCTTGTGGATAGGGGTTCCAAGTATTCAACACATCTTTCATGACAAACCCCTTAGCAATCCAGGCTAGGCTGCAATAAGGGCGAGATTTCTTGCGCGCCGGGGTACTTGTATTCCTTCTTCCCTCCCGTGGAATCTGCCAGGAAGCACGTTTCCAGGAATTGAAGAAGCAATTTCGCACTTCCTTTGCCTTTCATGGTTGCAGCCTTAGTCATGTGAGCCCATGGCTTATGATGCTTGGACCCCCGGACATAATCAGGCAGCCCATCCGAGAATTGGCATTCTATCCTGCGCAATGGCCTGAAGAAGCTAGCTTGCAGAACAGCTTGACAAAGCTTGTTGTGCAAGTCCGTGTAAGCTGGGTCTGAGTCTGAGATCGTGCAGTGCCGAAGTTACATGAAGCTACGCATCGGTCTTTTTTCGCTGTGCTACAACCCTTTTCCTTTTTGCCATTTTTCGCCCACTCATTGGCTCAGGAATGCATCCAACACAAAGTTGATGACATGTGGAGCTGCGCACGGCGCTGGCATCTACCTCTCCACTGACCCTGGGACCAAAGTAAGTGTGTATGCTTTTTCCTCACAAAAAATCCCCCTGTGAACGTTGCGCCACTCAATGGGGGCCACTTTGCCTCGGCAGCCTCGGCCGCCTCTGCTCTGCCAAGCCTTCTCCTCCATTGGGTGCCTTCTTGAGCGTAAGATATCGTGCTGAGTTTCGACATTCAGCCTCGTGCGCCTGGTCGAAGAGCCAGGAAGCTTTCTCCGTAGTTGGCGCACGACTTTGCTGCTCAAGCCGCTTGCACAGCTTCGCTGAGCTTCGCTGAGCAGGTGGCATACGAGGCTGTGAGAATCTAAGTCCAATCTGCGGTTCTGGGCCCACAGTGCTCAAAGCGTCTGAAGCCCCATATTGGTTAGGACCCAGCACCCGTAAGCCCAGCACCCAAATGCGCCCAAGCCCTACACGCAGGATAGTACTGAGAGCCTTTCAGTCGCGGAGGATGTTCGTACAATGCCGAGGCAAGCTCGTGCTCGATGGGCTATACTCGCTTCACACAACCGGCATCGCAAACAAATGGGGATGCACCTGCAATGGTTGCGTTGAAGCGTCAGAAAACTGGACGCTTGGCTTCCACGCTTTCGTTGAAGCGTTCAGCTTTGCGGCCTTTGACCAACGTCAGACTTTGGGTTTAGGGTTGTTTCGGGCAGGCGGAGTCGTGTTGGTTTTTCCGAGTTTGGGGCAAAAAAATGGTTTTTGAGAATCAGGACACCTTCCCACCTCCAGGGTCGCCCGTGTGGAAAAGTCTGGCTTCGGGTTTGGGGCAGTTTGGGGTAGTGTTTGGCCCCCATCTCGGTTGATTCTGCATGACTTGGAATTTCGCCCGCTCTCAAGATTCGAGTACGTTTTAGTCCTTTGTGATGTGAGTTTGCGGCGAGAGGTTTTCGTGTTTCAAACGTTCAGGGCTTTCGTGACACCAAATTGGCATGGGGTTGGGAGCATTTTTGTTAGGCAAACATTAGTTCAAAAGAGCGAGAACCGAAGAGTGAGGGCATTTGCATCTGGACTTTCAGAGGGCCTTCATAGAATGTGGCGCGCGGCAAACATGCATATCCAGAAAGTGAGAAGATGGTGGCAGAAGGGTAGTTTCGGAGATTTTCGGAGGAGGGCGACACAAAGAACCCCAAACCTGGCTAGGAACTTCGCGGGGCTCTCCTCGCATCGAGCCCATGAGCCCCAGTAGTTGTCACACTTGTCCGTTATTGCGCTATTGTCCTGGCTGTCAGATGCTGTCAGCTTTGTTTTCATGAACAAGTGGAGGGAATGAAGGTTCTTTTCTCCAGCAACTATTGCTCTGAAGGAGCATGCACAGCGTTGCTCCAAAAAATCCCAGGCAATCGCTTTGTGGAGAATCAGCGCGGCCTTGTGATGATGGCTGTGTGCGAAGTGCCGGCCTCATTTTTCTTGCCTGTGACACATTCCCTTACTGATCCGCAATGAGTCTTCAAAGGTGATCGAGGACCCCAAACGGTTGCGCAAACCGAACGAGCAGCGACTGGGCAGCAGTTCTTTTTCCTGTTGCGCGGTGTTTTTCTGCCACTCTGAATCATCATCCTGGGTGAATACGTCGAACAAAGTTGGTGCAAGAACTGGGTCAGCCGCAATCAATGGTAGACACATGCACCATTTGAGCCCTTTCGAGGGCTCGAGTTACTCGTGTCACTCGGAATCGTGTGTGAGAGCTTCGCAAGGATTTGGGTCGCGAGCGAGGAAGAGCTGGTTTGCACTCGCTTCTTCTTGGTATTTACCGAGGCCCATTTGCGCATCATTGTGCCAGTAAGGCTACGGCCACGGTTGTCACGTGGACCGTTTGCAAAAAATCATTCGGGGACCTTTGCCAACAAAAGTTCACTCGGATCTTCTCTGCCCCCCCCATGAGCCTCCGTGGCTCCTCCCGAGGCTTTTGTGCAAGGGCTAGTATCACAAGAGCTGTGGGCCCTCATGTGTAGGGACTTGGTGCCGAACCCTGAGTGTCTGGCGTTTGAAGCAGTGTTGGGAATGACAAATACGAATCGCACGAGGCAGATCACTTTAGCTTGAATGTGAGCACCGCGAAGCTGGACCAGGACTTTTGTGAAAGCGGTCAATTTCTTGACTGATGCAATTATTGCTGTTATCCTCCCTCCGTGCCGGACTTGGTGATGCAGTGTTGTCTGGGGACAACTTGGGGGATTGCTTCTCGCATATCGCGGCATCTTCGAAGTGGGCGCGTAGCTGTGACGATACTCGTGGCTTAGTGAGAATAGGTGACCCATGTGCCGTCATATGCCGTCATGTACCGTCTACCTACTATGCCTCCCCCGAGCCCTGTCAGGAGATCCGCGCTCTTGTGGAGAAAAGCAGGTAGGTGGATCGGTGCTGTAAGGGTATATACCTGGTGCTGGCAACTCGCCATGTGGTCTTCTTACTCCGTAAACGCGTGAGCAGAAGGGCTGTGTGCTCAAAAGCTCTGTACATTCTGGCGTTAAGAGGCTCTGCAGTAGCTGGCCTTTGAAATGTACAGGTGGCCCGCCAAGCATAGCTGTGGTGAAAAGACATGTGCGGAAAGCCAGTACTACCATGCCGTGGCCAGATTGGCCGGATTGCTCCTTGCATGGCCCAAGCAGCCTGTCTAGGTCTCTGACATCTGTGCCAATGTATGACATCTGCCGATGCCCTTTTCCAAGGCCACACCATGTCCAAGAAGAGCGAGGCCGCAAGTACAAGGTTTCGTTGGCCTGCCAGGGCCCACTCCTCTATGTCCCTCAATCTCTCACCATTCGGACTTCAAGCTCAAAGAAGTCGCACAAAGGTTTTCTCGGTTTTCCCTTTCATGGAGTTTTCTCCTTCACCCCACGTGCAAGGATGTCCGGGCAGTACAGCAACGCAGTCTTTAGTGCAATTGCTGTGGCAGCTGCCTGAACGAACTAACACTTGGCCATCGATTTGCAATGCTGTGATGGCTCCGACGTGTTTCTCCAAGCAAGTATATAATTGAATGCAAACCCGCAGCTGGCTTCGTGGCTGTCGGGCTTCGCATATCACAGTGAACAGCACAAGCACCGGCATGAGATGCATCTGCAGAGTTTCCAGATGTCTCCAGCCTTTTTATGAGGCACATGCCTTCATCACATTGAGTCTTTGGCCAACACTTCAGCTGCACGGCGCAGCTGAGCAAACGGACAGCACATACGGGTCGCCGCACCGTCTGCGACCTCTGTAATTGTAAACGCTTGCGCGCGCCGCCTCGGCAGCCGGGCCGGCCCCAGGACGAAAGAGGGAGGAAGGGCAGAGCGGGTGGGGGGGGGGTTGGGGTGGGGGGGTGGGGGGGGGGGTGGGGGGGGGGGGGGGTGGGGGGGGGGGGGGGGGGGGGTGGGTGGGGGGGGGGGGGTGGGGGGGGGGGGGGGGGGGGGGGGTTGGGGGGGGGGGGGGGGGGGGGGGGGGGGGGGGGGGGGTGGGGGGGGGGTGGGGGGGGGGGGTGGGGGGGGGGGTGGGGGGGGAGGCACCTTCTGTAGGAGCCACCGACAAGCGGGACCCTCCACGGCATCGGTGCAGCTCCTCCAAGGGATTGGGGGGGGTCCCACAGGGCGGGGGGGGGGGGGGGGGGGTGGCGTCAGAAAATTTGGCATGGGGGGAAGGGTTGGGTTAGGGGGAAGGAGGCCCGATCCGGGTCTGCTTGTTCCAGACGCTTCTCGGCAGGAAGCCGAGGCGAATTCCCGCGCCGACAGGACAGAACTTGTACTACCTTCACCTTTACCCGATGTATGCAGCTCATGAAGTGAGTGCCATCTCTCTGGCTGGAAAAGGGTACTCTGCAGTCCGTCTCAAGAAAGCTCAAAGGGAGGCCATCAAAAACTATCAGCGGCCTGAGTGCTGCACTTTACAAAGATGCAAATCTATATATAGGCTCTAAACCCCAGGCGCGGCTTCCAGTCCCAAAATTGCTACCGTGGAAGAACAGCTGGCATGATGAAGCCAAAGCCGCAATGCGACCAGTGAGGAGACCTGCAGGGGCCAACTGATCAAAGGCAAGCTGCTACATCCTAGGAACGCAAGGACATGCAAGGACATTCCCGTTCATACGACTCTCAGCGGCCCGCGTAGCAGACCTTGGCACCTGCCACGCAGGCGAAGCAGGAGAGCGCGCGGATGCAATAAAGCCCGTGGACAGTACAACTCTGAAACCCCGATTCATGCTACCAAAGACACGGCTTCTACTGGGACGTTCGGATTGGCGGGGCTGCGGATGGCTGAGGCCTACGAACAGGGCTCAAGCCTCCGGGCTCAGGGCATGGTTGAGGAGTTTAGAAGAGGGTTTCAGCATGTCTAGCCCTAAGAGTAAGCCCCAAGACCTAAGGCCCAAATGCCAAGATGGCTTGGACCCCGGGATCCTGGACCCTACGCCCTCAACTCGATATGTCACACGGTAGCGGCTGGCCACAGCCCCATCTGACGAAACCGGGGAAAGAGTCAGCGAATGCCACATTTGCGTTCAAATGGATGCCGCATCCGGCGTACTTCGTGAAGGCATTTCACCACGTGCATGAGATGCGCATGATCGACCCCCCAACCCGGCCACCCCGTGGCTAGGCCGATGGAACAATCGCAAAGCAGACCAGCTGAATCCGCTGGCCAAGGACTTTGTGGAGCAGGTGGGGACGGGTGCATTGTGAGGAAAGGGGCGCGCTGCGACCATCCGCGAGGTTGTGGCTTTGGACAAGGAAGCCTTGCAACGCAAGGCAAATCCATGCAAAGCCCCGACATGTTCTCTGTGTTTTTTTGTATTGTATTTCTCTTTGTATTTCTTTCTAGCGTAGGCCAAAGAGCTGCTGAGCCTCGGGAGCCGTCTGCACCAGTCGACAGGCTCCTCTCTTCGGACATGCGTGTGTGAACAGTGGGACCTTCTGAAGCTCTGAACGCTTCAGGGGCGTGGCACACTTTTTTGACAGACGGCGATCCAAGGCAGCCTCGGGCGCCTGGGAGGATGGCGGCCGTGCGAGGACTGGAACGTGTCAGGGAACTGGGATAGCATCGTATGACATCAAAACTAGGAATTTGTCACGCTGTGCGAGAGGGTTTTTCAAGTACACGCTGCAACTCCGTCCCCGACCCAGACCCCGGCTTTTTCAGGAGTCTCGCCTCCCCGGCCGCTCCTGCCGAACACAGGCGCTGCGCCGAAAGGGGGACGTTGTGCAGGGAACTCGGGGCCTGGCAAGGGCTCGCCGCCGACACCGCTGCGCTCCCCGCGCTCCCCGCGCTCGCCGCGCTCGCCGCGACGGCACCCGAGCCCGAGCCCATCGAGCTCTCGGATCAGCCCCGGGAGCTCCCAGATGACTCTGGAAACGGAGGCGCAGATGCGGTGATATGTGAGCCGGGCGCATTGGCAAGTGCAAGTCTGGCAGCTGCTGCCAGGGCCTTCTCTGCGAAAAGCAAACCAGGTCGTTGGGTCGGGTCATGGGGTCATGGGGTCATGGCTCTTGATGGATCTGGATGTTCGCCAGGTCGCGGGAAGTTGCGGTGATGGATTTGTGCACCCATTCGGACCGAGAGCATGGGGTGTCTTCAATTCTCTTCCCTTTCACGAAGACGTTGTAGTATTTGCCATAGTGTCCGTGTGAAGACCTGGCGTTTTTGTGTTGCTTGTTTGTGGAAGCAGCCGGGTACAAGCCGGTCGCAGGAGGCATGGAATGAGCTCGACATCCTAAAGAAGAAGCTCGGCTGAAGCCTCAAAGTTCCAGGGTAGAGCTCTCGCTTCTAGGTTAGGCTTCTGTATGTTCTGTGGACGTTTGGTTGCAGGCCTTCTCTCGCTCGGAGCGGAGTTTCTTCGCCGGAAGCTTCAAGAGGCGAGCGTTTAGAGGGCAAAATATCTCATTGTGAACCGTGCCTCTTGGGATGGGCCGAGTATTGTCTAGTTCAAGAGGTGGACCGGCATCAGGCTGATGCGAAGCATCAGCCAGGCTTGGTCCTTATATTTGTTGTTGTTGAAGACCGCTCACTTCTGTTGAATGGCATCTCTGCTCACCAGCACGGTCCTTCAGGCATGGACTTTGATGTGTCGCAGGCCAGGCTGCATCCGCATCCAGTTTGATGATTCTTCTTGCCGTACTTGGAGTCATGGGGGCAGGCTCACGTCGGGTCATGTTGCATGGGCAGCACTTTGGTGGCGTTGGGTTTCAGCTGCCGTTCCTAATTTGATTGCTACGAGGCCTGGCCTGTGGCTCCGGCCAAGCCTTTACAGTCTCGAACTGTTCTGTTTTCAATTGTTTGTTTGGAATTGCTTCGAGCCCTCGCGCTTTTTCTTTCTGAGTGTCAGTTTTGTCGATGGAAAGTCATGGCTTTTCAGGGAACAACGGAAGGTCCTCAAACCAGGGGTCTAGGTCCTAGGTCTTGTCCGTGAGTTTGCCATGTAACGCTCTTAGACAAGTTCTGTAGTCGAGCTATCTGTGCTGATTATCTGAACTCGGCACATACCCGCAAACAGCATACCAATCATTCTGTCACTGCACGCATGGGTCCTTTGGGGCAAATGCTGAAGCCAGAACTTGAGACAGAGATGCAAGAATTGTACTGAGCTGCGCTGTAGTTTCAGTGGGCTGGCCAGGCTGCCTCACAGAGGAGGCCCTGGCAGAATGCGTTCCTGCATTCTGATTTCTTGCGTTTTGGGTAAGGGCGGACTCCTCCAGCCATGCGCTCAGGGTCAGTCATGAACGTCGCCTCGGTGGAAGACCCATTGATCGGCGAGAGAGAGCGTCCGCAGCTAAGCACGGCAAGTGAGGGGGGTTCAGGTGCGGGGAATGGACTCGGTTGGGTCAGCTTCCTTGGCTGAGACCGCCTGTCTCGGCTGACGCGCCTGCGCCACCTGCGCCGCCCGCGCCGCCCGCGCCGCCCGCGCCGCCTGCGCCGCCTGCGCCGCCTCCATCCAAATGGGCACGCAGCAGCGTCAGCACTTCACACTGCCTCACAAACATGGATTCTTCGTTGAGACGGTTCATGATGGTTTGACTGGCGTCCTGGCAGGGTTCCTGCTCTGAAGGGCAGCTGGCAAGCTATGGAGGTGCGCATGGCGCGCATAAGAATGCATGAGGGAGTGGAAGGGATCGACGATTTCAACGCGATCTTTGGAGGCATAAGCGGCCTCAAACCAGAGAAACCCGCAGTGCTCCTTGGTGCAAGATGGTATGGTTCTGCAGTATGGCTTTGCAGTTGCATCCGACGATGTAAGGACAGTCTATCGCTCGCGAAGCATGGACAGCCCAACTTTGCTGACCCAGACCCACCAGGCCATACATGTCGACTCCAGAACAGAATCGTGGTGTTGCTGGTGATCCGCATGTCTTAAACCGTTGAATAACCCAACTGCTGCAGAGCGGGATCAAGCCCTTTTCAGAGCAGTCTGTCTCAAGAGCCCGCGAGTGACATGTCTTGTGCCAAAACTGGAGAGTCGGCATCTCTTCCAAAGGTGGAGCCCAAAGGCTTCAAGGGCTACTACCAGCTGGAACAGCTCCTGCCCACTGGGCTGAAGACAGCCATGTTGCCAATCGAGTTGGAGAACACACAGCTGCTGGTGGCTCTCACAGCCAGTCGCATTTGTGAACAGCAGCTCCGTGTGCATAATGATGGCTTAAGTGCACTGAGTGCTCTCGCCAAGTGCAAAGCCAATTTGGGCACCACGGAGAGAGGATCTCAAGGAACAGTGAGTGAAGTGCATGGCATGACGGGAACAATGATGCACATGTTCGACATGTTCAGACAAAAGGACGGCGAGGCACTTGCTGGATTGCACGCCGACATGGAAATCAACTTGGCAGAAATCATGGCCTTAATTGTTCTGTTGAGGGTGCGCCTCAGCACTAGTGATTTCAACCAGCAGGCGCAAGCCGAGGCCAAAGCAGACGAGTTGCGCGATGCTTTGGAGATGTGTAGATCAGAGCTGACGACAATTGAATTGATGCTTGCTGACGGCTCCAACCAGAACCCAGCACAATGTCCATGGGCTCAGATGCAAGCTGAAAGAACTGAGGCGGAGAGGCTTCGGAAACAGCAGTTGTCAATCCGAGAGGATGTTTATGGTGAGTTTCTTGCCTTCAGCGAGGCGTGCATCGTAGAAGAGCAAGTGCATGTGCGTGCAGCACTGGGAAGGCTGGAGTCGGAAGAGCAGCTGGTTGCAAATGAGTCTCAGCTGGAGAAGCAGGCGCTCCTGGAGAACGAATTGCAGTGTACAGATCTTGAAGCCCCTCCCGAACTGCAGCTTGCGGAGCAGCTCGCGGAACGAGCGCAGCTGATCAGCGACTTGCGCAGTGAGTCGTCGGAGTATGAGGGCCAAGCAGGGCGCTGCACGCGCATTCAGCAGGATCTTTCAGAGAAGGCCTGGTTGTATTCCAACCAGCTGGAGGAACGCGCGCTGGAGTTGGAAATGGAAGTTGCAGAGTTTGAAACCCTTCCAACAAAAGCTCGCCTGGAGGGAGCAACCTGGCAGGAACCACGTGAGTGCACAACTTTTCGTGACCGGGAAGTGGGGTGGCGGGCAGGGAAGTAGGGAAGTAGGGAAGTGGCTGTGAAAGGGGTCCAATCCGAGGTCTGCTGGGAATCAGAGAGACCTGCAGGCACTACTGGCTCCACTACTGGTTCTGCAGTTTTCAGCCCGATGACAGGCAGGGCAGTGGGGCTCCATGAAGGTTTCGTCTAGCGCCCAAGTTGAAGCGCAGGAGCTGAGCCCAGTGCCCGGTGTGTTTTTGGGGGTTTCTGCTTTCTGCTGGCAGGCAGGAAGAAGAATCGGCAGGAAGCGGAAGCGCTGAGCCGAGCGCTGAGCGAAGCTGCGGAGCTTCGCCGCAGTCTTGCTGGCGCCTCTGCAGAGAAGTCCGCGGCCCTGCGCTCCGAGAGCGAAGCCGGGCGAGATTGGAGGCAGAGCCGCAAGCGCAGCGCCAGCATCCGGGAGGCTTTGAAGCAGGTGGGCTTCCCAGTCTAAGAGAGAAAAAAAAAGTGCTGCCTTTAAGGGGGTACACCGGAATTCAACATCTCCAGTCAAGCACCTCAAACACCTGACTAAGAAGCAAAACGTTACTTGCAATGGAAGCAGGAGGCGAGCGGCCTGGCAGATCTGCGCGAGGCCTGCAAGGGCATCGAGGCAGAAGGCCAGCATGTGCTCCGTGAGCAGCGAGAGCTGTGGAAGGCGGAGAAGCTACAGAGAGAGGAAGAAGTGAAAGATGGGACAAACTCCCTTCAAGAGGCAGTTCATTCAGAGATCCTCTGTGCGAAGGAGGAGGCCGAAGTTGCAAAGAAGCTGCGCCTAGAGCTGAGGGAGATGCGGGCCGAGCAGCAATGGCTTCGACAGAGGAAGCACCGAAGCGAAAGAAGCGAGCGGGGAAGCGAGAGAAGCGAGCGGGGAAGCGATGGAAGTGATTCCTTGCTTGAGCTGGTCGAGTTAGAGCATGCCGTGCAGCAGAGAGTGACGAAACGGGACAGACAACTGCAAGAGTTGCGATTCTCACTTATAGAGCCCGAGATTGACGACACCACGTGAGCTTCATCGGCCAACTGCGATGTCGAGGAAGGAAAGATGACATTGGTGGCAAGGTGGCACATGGCACGGACATGACACGGACTGTGGCTCGTGGGCGTGGCCGTGGAGGGTCGGAAGCTCTTGAATGGGAGAGTTTCCAAAGTCGATCAATGGACTGCAACATGTCTTGCAACCAGAAACGACGTGATCACCCCGGATCAGGCAAGAGAGGCATTTCTCGGCTTGAGATTACAAGGACTGTGGAGCAGGTGTTACGTGGTGTCTCAACGCCGAGACTCCCATGACCCCCACGAGCCCCACGCGGCCTCTGGCCTCGCGGAGAGTCGAAAAAGGATCGGAAGCGCCTCCCAATAGTGTAAACGAGGAAAGTGCAGTTTTTGCTCAGCTCGCATTGCGAGGCTGCTGAGAGCCCTCGCTACCTCCAAGGCTGGGTGCTCCGGTAGCGGAGGCAGTTGAGTGTCAGGGCCTGACATGCCTGACTCAGATCATGTCAGCTCTCACGCTGATTGTATCCCCCTTGTGCTGTGTGCCCCCTGCGCGACTCTCTGCACATCCCTCGTATGGAGCCTTCAGCACTCTTCCAATCAGGAGCCTGGCACATGGCGAATGTGGCAGCTGTGAACGTCAGCCCGGCGTCGACTCCACCGAGCCCTTCAGCTTTGCCATTCTCAGCCGGAGCAATCCCAGCGATAGGGCCAATGTCTGTGTGCGTCAACCACGCAATCCAGGCACCCGTTTCATCCCCTTTCCTTTTTGTTAGAGTTCGGAATCGCATGCAACTGTAGCCGATCCCTTTTTGGTTCTCGCCGCTTCTTGCCGCTTTTTCTGCTTCTCGCTTGCTTCTCGCTGGCAGGTTGGCCGCAGCACACCTCCCCTCACTCGGTTGATGGTGCAGCCGGAGATGCGCCAACCTGTCCCACGGAGCAAGGCGCCATAAGGCGAGACGAGAAGCAGCAAGTGAAGTGAGAAACCGAGAAGCGAATGGACAAAGATCCGTCACATTTATTGGCGTTCCATTGGCCTTCTCTCTCTCGCTCCGCTGACGTGTTCTAAGAAAGCAGGCTTGTTTTGTGTTTCGGGGTGTGAATCCTGTGGGCTGTTGATCTCTAAACAGAAATGCAAGGCTGAGTTGGGTGTCACTCCATTAGAACCGCTACACTAGGTCCGCCAACCTCTAGAGACCCAATCTTTAAGGGCGAACGCAGCTGCCGACAACCCCGTTAAAGCGGGGGACGGCGGGGCGGCGGAAGTCCAACGCGAGACGCCATCAGCCAATGCTGAGTGCGTCCCCTACAAGAAGGTCAGCCGACTGTTTCCTTTGATATGGCGGTTGTCGGAGATCGGCTTGAGATGAGTTCAGGTATGTTGCCATCCCTGCTTCTCTGTGGAGGGAAACGTTTAAAGTGTCTCGGAATTCGGCCACAGGGCGAAGGGCGACCAAGAAGGAAGCCACACCCTGGCAGAACAACACGTTCTCGGGGCACAGAGATCTTCGTCAGAATGCGAGGCCAGGGCCGCCAGTGGGTTGACAATGTCGCAGTGGGCAAGCGAGTCTTGGACGGTACACGCAGATCCTTGTTGAGTCTGATTACGAGCACAAGAGCATGTCCGTGCATGAGATCATGTGGAGTGCTGTTGCCACGATAATGCCGACTGGTGCACAGCTCAAGCCCCCTTTTTCCAGCCGCGTAGTGTTGCTATGTGGCCTACCCTGGGGCGTCATGTTCGTGCTCACTGTGGGCAGCAAGCATATCGAGCTTTCAGCACCGACAGGCCCAAAGTCATGATTCTCGGAACAGGTTGGGCAAGCTTCCGGGTTCTTGCCGACATCGACACCAAGAAGACGGATGTCACTGTCGTGTCACCTCGGAATCATTTGCTGTTCACGCCTATGTTGGCCTCCTCCGCGCTGGGCACGGTGAATCAAAGATCGATTTGCCAACCGGTGCGTCCATTGGTGGCCAAAAAGAATGCCACCTACTATGAAAGCGCCGTCGTTGCCATTGACAAAGAGAATAAGAAAGTCACGTGCAGAACGGTCGCGGGCCAGGACTTCATGCTGCCATATGACAAGCTGGTGGTCGGAGTTGGCTTTCAGCCCAACGACTTCAACATCCCAGGCGTCAAAGAGCATGCGCTCTTCATGAAAGAAACCGCGGATGCAACGCGTTTCAAAGATCATGCGGCTCAGACTTCTCAGAATCTGCTTTTGGGAGATCCAGCTATGAAATTTATGAAATACTATGCAGTCTCAGGAGAAAACAGAAGCGAAAGAGGGTTTTGCAACAGAAGTCTCAGTTGCCTAAGGTCTTGGAGAGGCTGGAGGAAGCGTCCTACACCCATGCACTGGACAACGATCTCAGGGTCAGTGATGAGGAACGAGCACGGATACAAGATCTTCTGACGTTTGTCGTCGTAGGAGGTGGGCCGACAGGCGTGGAATTGGCCGGAGAACTCACAGACTTCCTCTACAGCGAGGGTTCGAAACTCTATGGCCACTTGAAGCACTACATCCGCGTGCACATGTTCACTTATGACCTCCTAAACTCCTTCGACCAAGAATTGCAGGACTATGCCCTCACTCATTTGCAGAGAAAGCAGGGGGTTCAAGTCCATCTTGGGGCCTTCGTTCAGAAAGTGGAGCCCGGCGTAGTGCACGTCAAGACTGGAGAGAGCCTGATGTCGATTCGATTCGGCACACTGGTGTGGTGTGCAGGCATTAAGCCGCATCCTTTCATCAAGTCCTTCGGCTTTACAATGAACGACAGGGGATCTCAGATCCTTGTAGACCCGTACTTGAAAGTGAAAGGCGAGGAGGACATATATGCCATCGGCGACTGTTCCACTATAGAAGACTACTGGCTTCCGCAAACAGCGCAAGTTGCCAACCAGCAGGGGCAGTATTTGGCCAAAGTGTTGGGCCAAAAGGACCAAGTCAACATCAAGCCCTTTGAGTTTCACAACAAGGCATGGGCTTGAACTGTCCAAACGGTTAATGTTGTTTGAAGGGTTCCAATCCAGGTTTTTAGAGCTCGTGCTTTCCTTGAAGGGAACGATGGCCTACCTGGGTGGATTCACTGCCGTGATGGCCAAGCTTCCTGGTGTTAGCCGGGTGAGTGGGTTTGTCGCTTTCCTCGGCTGGCGGTTCACCTACTGGTTTCTCCAGCTATCTATGCGGAACCGTTACATGTTGTCCACTGACTGGCTTCGACGCTGATTTGCAGTAGCATGCGATGCCTTGAAGAAGCATGTTTTCGTTGAGCTATCTACCCCTCGACTAAGGAACGCTAATTTTCGGCCGTGATCTGACAAGATTCGGGCCCCGATCAAAGCCTACATGAGGAATTTGCTTCACTGCACTCGCAATTACAACTCTCGACAAAGAAGCGCGCCCTTTGCCGCGCTTGAGTCCTGCACAGCGTTTGACTAATGTCTCTCATGTGGCACCATGATCGGACTGATGCAGCCGTGAGCATCCTGTGATACCCTGTGTCGTGTGGACGCTACAGTAGATGCTGTATGCACAGTGAAGCAAGACGTGCTATTGCTGAAGTTTCAACATCACTCAGTCTCGCGTGAGCCTGTCCAGCATGGTTTCAGTGAGCTGAAGGCAAGTGTTTGTTTGGATAGACTTCAATAGGTGAATATGCTGTGCAAGCACAGACAGTTTAGATGGCGTGAAGCCCCATGGTAATCAGGTGTTCTCAGGCAGGTCGACATGGAAAAGGACAGGGTGTCTAAAGCACATGTCCCAGATGCTCGCAGCTTTCACTGTCAGCAAAGACCGAACCAACCGCACCCACAACAACGCTCAGCCATCGCCCAACTCAACAACACTCAACCACACTCAGCAGCACTGAGCAGCACTCAGCACTCAGCAACAATCAGCAGCACTCAGCAACACTCAACAACACTCAGCAAAGCACTCAACAACAAGCCGCTGCCACAGCAGAGGAGGCGAAGGAGGAGGAGGAGGAGGAGGAGGAGGAGGAGGAGGAGAAGGGGAGGAGGAGGAGGCGGAGGAGGAGGTGGAGGCGGAGGCGGAGGCGGAGGCGGAGGCGGAGGAGGAGGCGGAGGCGGAGGCGGAGGCGGAGGCGGAGGCGGAGGCGGAGGCGGAGGCGGAGGCGGAGGCGGAGGCGGAGGCGGAGGCGGAGGAGGAGGAGGAGGAGGAGGAGGAGGAGGAGGAGGAGGAGGAGGAGGAGGAGGAGGAGGAGGAGGAGAACTCAACTCAACAACGAGCGGCAACCTTCCAACATAAACATTAAGTTGATCTCAGAGGCTGTGACAAGCTTGGCGCTTGAGGAAAATGCCCGGGCAAGTACCCGAGGCGAGAGACCAAGACGCAGAAGATGCACTACCCAGATCTCATGTCTGCCAGACGTTATCCAGCAGGTTGCTTGCGTATACTTTTCTTTACGACGACTCCACCTGTTTATTGTTGCGCTCGAAGCTTGAAAAAAGACTCCACACCGCATTCTCCAGCATGGGGGGATCCGAACAGACTCCCAGATAGCTTGACTCAGTGACTCCGCTTCGCAGGAAGCAACGGGCGATGTGGAAGGCAAGGCATCCAGTTCCTGTTTCTGCGCTAGCTCGAAACTCATCTCCCCATGTGTTGCCAGACGGGGAAATGCCACCAGATGGCACACAAGCCAGCGCCATGCACTTGGTTTGGGTGAAGATCAGGGGCTGTTTGCTGAAGTGCAGACAGTGGACCACAGGCATTCCTCACGGAGCCTGAGCTGTCCAGTCAATGGGAGGCCTGTGGAGTGTCTGGACAATCGAATCGCTTTCAGTTTGGCTGATCTTACTGGGCTTCATGCTTTGTTTAGCCGTTTAGCCGTGATTATTCGATTGCCATGCCTCGAGAGCTACTTGTGAGAATTGTGCAGATCCTTAAGCAATTGGCCGCACACCATTGCTCATGCAGATCCCTTTAAGGCTCTGCGAGTTTTTCAATCACTCTGTGTCGAGGATACATCATATTGGCTTTCCATGGTCAAGAACAGCATTTCTTCAAGCATCTCTGAACGCCGGGACCTGATCTTTTGGAGGGAACCTGCTAGCAGGCAATATCCTTCATGCAAGCTGAGCTGCTTCAGGCGAGACCCTAATCGCAGAGCTGAAGCAGGCACGCCCTGACAGCACTCAGACTTTGCATGTGCTCCGTCTCTGTGCCTTCGAGATCATTGCCATCTTGACCATGAACAGCATAGTAACTTTAGTAACCCTTGCGTGATGTGTCAGGTTCTGCAGGCGGCGACTCGCGAACGAGTTGAGTGGCAGAAGAAGGCGTCTTGCCACTGTTTGAAGCAGTCTCACTTGAAAAAGCTCGCAAAGCTCGCAGCGTCTGTGTGCGCAGGTTAAGGCGATGCGGCGCCTGAGCCCCGTGTTTTGACCGAGCTGATATTACTATTCCCTGCAGCTTAAGCAGCGACTTCGGCGATTTCCTTTGCGAGAGCGGTGTCGATGTCTTTTGGTGTTTGCTGCGAGGTTTCCGTATCCCTCCAGAGCCGGGCCATTGGCACGCCCGACAGCTCAGTCGTACGTGAGCGAGTCCAGTGCAGTGATAAACTCCAGGTATGTAAGCCAAGGATACTCCCTAAGGTTCCCTAAATACCTACCACCCATGAACCCCTCTCCCTTCAAAACCCTATAAAAGGATAGGGCGTTCAAGGGTGGTGGCCTCTATGCTTGATCCCAGGAGTCGGTGACTTCTGCGTTGACTTGGAGGGCACGCGAGGCAGAGGGTGGGGCGGGGGAAGCAGAGATTGCTTTGACGTTCTTTTGGTTCTTATCTAACATGTTTTAACCCTTTTGATAGGTGGAGGCCTTGCAGCGTGAAATCACGCTGCTAGAGATGAGGCAAAGGGGAGAGTGCGCACCTCAGCGAACTCAGCTCGAGCCTCGAGCCTCGCTTCAAACGGGACCCCGCAGGTGCGCTGTGCCATATGTTGTGCCATCTGCACCATTCAGCAGTTGAGAGTTGGGAGTTTTCTACGCGCCTTTCTTCCTGCAAGAAAAGGGCCGGGGGCCCTTCAACGTGACCGGATAGAAACCAACTGCAACCTTTGTTGCATCAATTTCCGCGCCCAAAACGGTTGGGCTTACAGGCAAAAGTGTGGCTTCAACTCTCATTCTCAGCCCGAAGCTCACTCCTCTTTTCTCTCACTCCACATGACATTGCTCAGGCTCCGTATTGTTGTAACCACCCCCGCCTGGCAACAAGATCTTCAGCAGTGCTGGATGATCCGATGTTTTGAAATGTCTTGGGCCAAGGCGGCGGGACATGTGCCAGCTGCGTGCGCGGCAAAGCAAGAGGATCTTCACAGCGTGTAGGCTTTGAGAGCTTTCTTCAAGTGGAGCCATGCACGAGCTTGTAAAGGAGCACCGAAGAGGCCAGCAGCACACGTAGTGAGATGCGAGACGCTGGCAAGTTCTGTCCATTTTTCCTGAGAAGTGGCCTGCAGATGCAGGCAAGCTCATTCTGCAGTCGCAGTTCCTTAGGTGGAGGCCCCATCGTGTCTGGGCAGCTCATGACATGTTTTGTATAAGATCGCCTTTTGCAGAGCGCTACTTGATCTGTCGACCCAGGTGGCTTCACCTGTCGGGAGAAGTCGCAGTCTGGCTCTGTCGGCTGGTGCGCTTGGCTTGACCTTGCGTGTTCTTGGTTGCTTGATGCTTGATTCATACATTACTTGGCTAATGAGACATTCACGAGAAACCGCGTGTTTCGTCTGGTTGGACCTTGATGTTTGACTGTCTCGAGTCTCCAATGCCTGCATGGCTTGCCTGGGACAGGGAGTGTGTGTTAGACCAGCCTGGCAGCACAAGGGGTCAGGAGCAGAGCACGCACTACCACACATCTTGGCCACTTTGATCGCCGGGCACTGCGGTTGACAGGGCTGGCAGCTGTTCAAAGCTGAAGCCCTTGAAGAGCACCAGGAAGCCAAGGCGGATGCAAGACTTTCAAGGTTAGTTCTCAAGTTACCAGGTATCGTTGCTTTTGCTTTTTTGCATCTGAACGCAGGGCTCTTCACGTCATCCTAGAGCCGCACGTGGCGCCTCTTGCACGTCGAAGGCAAAGAACTGAGGCGGCATATGCCAAGGGATGCCAAAGTGCTGTTTGCCAAGCCTCCTGCCTGGCACAATGCGGTACGTATGACAAGAGAGGGACCTTGGTCATGCAAATCCTTAGCCCGTTGGGCTTGAGAGAGTTTGCTTTCTTTTCACCCGAATCATCACAGCTTGCTTGCAACGTCTTGCATTGGCTTGCAATTTGCTGGAGTGTATTCTTGGTTGGGCAGATTGCCAGCGTGGAGTTTGCTGTGACGTGCGTTTTAACTATGGAAGGTGCAGCCCCTTTCTGGCGGTCTTTGCTCTCGTGCAAGAAGGGGTGACACGGAGGCTTTGGCAAGTCATGCAAGTTTGATTCTGCATAAGGGCGGCGAGATTGTACATTTGTGCCAAAGGTCTACATGTGGGGATGGGAGCCCAACGACGTCTGCTTTCAGGATCAAGAGTATGCGCTTCGAGCTGAGTTCACCTCGTGCCTTGCGAAGCACTCCTCCACTAGAACACGCATTACAAGAACTTGCAGTATATACACAGACGATGACAGCACACGGCACATCACAGCACTCTGTGACTTGTGGCTGTCTGTCCTGCTGCCTGCAAAAGCGCTCACAATCGGACGGCACACTGAAAGTTTCACGGTTCACAGATCTTCTGTGCCCGGAGAGCGGCGGCTGGTGCTGCGTGCGAGTGCTGTCCTCTCGCTTCGATGCGGCGACCCTTTTTCGGTCAACATCGCACTCGTCACTGTTGACGCCGTGCAATACAACCCGGCTTCGTGGCACCAAAGCTGGCAGCTCGTGTGCTTGCACAGCTTCCAGTGGCTTTGCCGAAAAGCGCTACTCCAACTTCTCTCGTCACGAGATCCGCTGCCAGCGCATTGGCGTTGCCTGCGGCATCCCACGGCTAGCGCATGCTAGCACCCGAATAGCCAACGATCCCACACCAGCGCGGCACGGGGAGATGTGGTGGCAAGACCGACGCTGCACAGCCTGCAAGATCCTGCAAGGCACCTCCAATGCCTGGGGCTCCAAAGGGCCACGGCTGACTTCAGCTGAGGACCCTGTCGGAGCAGTGACAGCAGCTCTTCCGAAGATTCCGAAGTCTCGCCACCAGCCCTGTCGCATTTAAAATTTGGGTGGTATGCGGCCTGGGTTGGGGGTTGGTTCGAGGAGTCGGGGCCGAGGCCAACTAGCGCCAACAGTCGGAGCCCGTGATTTGTGGACCGTTGTGAACCCGGTCTTGCTTCTGTAACTGCTTGCTAGATGCTTTCTTCGTGTTAGATTGCTCCCGCTCTTTGGCCCTTGATTTGCACACGCTGTTTCCCGATTCTAGCATGCGGCATGCTTGCCATGCGCCATGCGGAGGGTTGCGTGGTCGCTCGGAGGATGCCCCCTGTTTCACCTACGTAGACGCTGCCTTCGGTATTCAGTGCTTGTGAAGCGCAGTGAAAGCGAAAGCAGAAGTCCTCGTGGGGAGCACTGGCACTCCATCAGAGGTTCTCATCCTACACGCTCCCTGACGTCCCGTCCTCAGTGTGTCCTTGTGTTGGGTGCTCGCAGATCACACCGTGCTAAAGCAGTGACAAAGGTTCCTCGTTTGGGGCATCGGGAGGCCATTGTCGAGGCGGATCTGGAAGGCCCGTGCAAGATCTTGAGAACCTTGTTCACTGAAAGGCGCAGCTCCTCCACGAAGTGATGAGCACAGGGCAAGGAAGCGACTGTGCGCATGACATCGCTTGACATCATTCGATGCATACGGTTCCCGAATTTCCCCAGACCATGTTTAGATTGCGGAGCTGCAGGATTTCGGGATGGCGCGGTGACCGACAGGGTTCTTCCAGTGTTCGAAGAGGCGCACCTCTGAGCAGCTATGAGATGCTCTGGGGCTCTCAAGGGCTCTCAGCACATGTTCATTCTTTACCCCTCCTTATATGGGAAGGGTAGCGGAGGTGGAAGTGACATTGCCGGAGCAGAGCACGGCCAAGAAGGCTGCGTTAAAAACAATCTGAGTGCCGGACATTGTTCGGTGCTGCGCGTTACTCTGCGTTGCTCTGCGTTGCTCTGCGTTGCTCTGCGTTGCTCTGCGTTGCTCTGCGTTGCTCTGCGTTGCTCTGCGTTGCTTTGCGTTGCTCTGCGTCGGAGATGGTCTGCGTTGCTGTGCGTCAGTGAATGTGCAGGGTTCGGTAGTTCGGTAGGCCGCACTAGCTGTAGCTGTCGGGCCAAGCAGCTGCGGAACGCAAACCTTATGTCGCTCCCCTTGGCGTAACTTGTCCTTGGTATGTCAGAAGAAGACTTCGATAGTGCAAATTCCACCACAAGCCTTCATCTGGCCATCACAACGGTTGACCCTGCAATCATGCAGGGCCTTTGTAGGGCAGTGTTGGGGCAGGCTGCTTGAATGTGTGTGTGTGTGTGCCTTGGCTCAAGCAGCCTCTGCAAGCTGAGAACATTCATGAGCTGAGCTCAGTCTGCACTATCTCGGATGGGACAGCATGCTGCAGTTCTGCTGATAGCTTAAATCCGCACCGTGCCATTCCATTGTGTGTTTTCCTCAAGTTTGTTCCAGCCGTGACGAGGAGAATATCATGAGCGAGGCCTGGAAGCTCTCTGCTTTGAATGGCTAACGTGAAAATCTGCCATGTCAGGAGCGCTTCCTGACTGAAGTGGGCAGCACACTGCCAACACGTCCACCGCCAGCACCCGCAACTCGCTTGACTAGGAGTGGAGGGGCATGCTTTTGACAGTGTGATGGCTGCAACCACTTTGGCAGTATGCTAGGTTTGCGACGTTGGTTCGCGTTTATTTCCAGTTATTCAAGGACCAGCAAGGCAAGTCATGCAGGTCGGTCTGCCGAGTTGTGAGAGCAGCCAATCAGTATGCCTGCATCAAGCCCAAGACGATTCAGAACTCTCAGAACTCAGGGCGTCCAGCCGGGGTAGCATGTGCCATATGTGCCCTCATTGCATCATCAAAGGCTGGCCAGCAGCTGAAGTCATGGAGTGTGGAGCAGGCATTGTTTTCGCCTTTGGATCGGTACCATGCGTCAAGTCCAAGAAGACTTGTCCTCGGTAACCTGCTTATGGATGTGGAGCACATGAGCACACGCAGTTGTGGCAGGCTGCTCTGGGTGAGTCCACAACTTAGGAAACGTCCTGTGCACGAGCTGCTGTTGCCCGCGCCATGTGTTTTTCTCCGGAGATTCTCAGTGTGCCTCTGCGAGGCCTCTTGAGCCTCGACCGAGTCGGTCGGCGATGGAGACTGCACTCGGAGGCGATCCAGCTTGGGCTCTAGCAATCGCGCAGGTGCCCCTCCGGGGGGGGCGGGGGGGGGGGGGAGGGAACCTTCAGCTTTTTGTGCTTTCTCTCAATCTTCACATTATACCTTGTTTTAAGTGGGGGGGGGCCTTTTCTAAGGGGGCTTCTTTTTGGTGGGGAGTGTCAGAGACTGGAGAGGAACGTGGCCGAGGTGTGGGAGGATCTGGCAGCTCGACCTGGTCGCAGCTACATGCAGGACACGGGTGCACCCTTAAGGAGATACATAGATATACATTATAATATTATATAATCATATTACATATATATATATATGTATCATTCTATATTATATACATAATATGTAGGCTCCCTTAAGCTTGTGATCAGTTTTGAACCTTTCAGGACATGTGCATCAGTCACTTGGATAGCATTCAGTCGCACATGTTGGGTTCGATAGCGCCATCCCACGAGGTGGGGGGGTTACCCGGGCGGACTACTGGGAGCTACCGTGACTATTGAGCGGGGTAGTCGTTCCAGACTATTGAGGGGGGTTTAACTATTCTGAGGCCAAGCCGGCGCTTTGCATTCTTTGCACATTCTCCTCCGTCCGGGTCTGTTCTAACCTGGGTGCCAGGTTGCTTTGAAGGTGTTTGGTGGTGGGTTGGTTTGTTCGGCGCGTTTGGGGTTGGGTTTCGCGTAGGAGGGGCGGTTTCTGGGGCTTGGGCTTTCCTGCTCTTCCCAGAGTGCGCGTCCCCTTGAATCCACAACTGAAAGGGTATGTGAAGGATCAGACCATATCATCACTTGTTCGATCTTCGGACACAAGTTCAGTCTCCTTGACCGGTTCCTCGTCTTGGACTATTGGGGGGGGGGGGGGGGCTCGTCCGGGACTATGGAGGGGGGGGCGGGGGTGTGACTCGTGCGGGACCATCGAAAAGTTGTAGGTAGTAGGTAGTGGTGTGGTGGTGGGACTATCGAGGGAGGGGGGGGGGAACTCGTTCCGGACTATTGGGGGTAGACTATGAGCCCACTTGCCTACCCTCCAGATGTTCAGCTCTCTTTTGGGATCCTTGGAGGTGCAGAGGCTGTTGACCTCCTTGGTGCGTGGATGCGACACTGGCTGGAAGCGGTGCTGCAGGAGGCCATTTCCATGTTGTTGCACCCCCGGCACCCCAAACCGAAACTATCCCGACCTCAACCTCTGAGACGAGAACACTAATCTCTAAAGACTCTGTGTTGTTCAATGACAGAGTGCTCTTATCATCTGAGATGCATGAAGATTGTCGGCGCTGAGTTATCCCAAAGTTTTCCCATACAGCACAGGCAAGCAGGCTGGCACGACATCGGGTGGCAAAGGGCGGCACGGCCGGACAGGCCGGGTCCGCCCAAGCTCTGCGCTGAAGCAGGCTGTGAAGCGCAACAAAATGCACTTTCCCTCTCCAGGCTCCGCTCGAGGAGCTCAAGAGCGTTCAGTCCAAGCCTTGATTTGCCGGTTTGTCCGTTGGCCCCTGCTTTCATGTCCCGGTATGTCCCATTTTCCAGAGCTTCAGGATCACGCCTGCAGATGTTCAGCTGGCAGTGGCGCTACAACTTCACAAAGGACCCCGAAGCCCCGGCACATCCCGGAACCGAACCTGAAATGGAAGCCGCTGCCAGGCTTGGACGGCGTGCACTTCGCAGAGTTGCAAAGGAGCCCGGCCACTTCGCCAATTGCCTTTCTTTGCGCCGACCCATCCCCTGCGAGCCTTGAAGGACACTCTGCGAGGGTGATCGGATGCCCAGATGATTGCAGGAAACGTGGCACGTCCACTGGAAGCTTGTGAGACGACGAAAAGAAAGATGGACTAAGCGGATATAACAGAAGAGAGCAGCCTTTCTTGCCGAACAAATCAGAGGGAGAATTGACGAGATTAGTGGCCCTCATCTTTCATGCACGCTGGTATCAAGACGTTAACGTTGCGCCTGTACTGTTGTTCTTGCATGTTGCGTATGCGCTGGATGCACGGGGACATGTTGGGTCGACATAGACTCAAGGTACTGATCATATACGGAAGCTGTCGCTATGAAGTGCCTGCTACGATGGCAGAATAGGAACAACCTCGTGAAAAGCATCGATTGACGAGGCTTGTACAGGAATCCTCCAGGCAGCAGTGCAGCAGTACGTTACGTAAACATGCTTGTTGGTAAGTGCTGTGCCCGCCTCGGACATCGTTGAGGAGCCCTAAGCCGCACTGGCACACTCCCGTTAGAGAGTTCCTTGTGTCGCAAGTTTGCTATGTTCGGCAACAGTCTTTGGCAAGGGAGGCTTGGATGGCTCCCGCACCCATTGTGAGCTAAGACGGGGAGTTGGAACCATCGATTCGAAATGGAATCAAGAGAGAATCCGATGTGGGGGCGGACAGGGCGGGAAATTGGAAGAAGGCATTCGGCAGCCCTTCTCAAGCCCCGGCTGGTTGCCTGCTCATCATGCCGAACATGGTGGCATGTCGACTTGTGCAGATTGAGCCTCATTTTTCCCGGCACGAAACAACAGCTACGAACGTAGCAAAAAAGCCTTTGATCGATCTATACAGTCATCATCGCCGCGCTTCCGCTTGGTTTGCCAGCATGGCTGAGACGAGCGCAGCGTGCTTAAGTTCATGGAAAGGGTTTCTTCGTTCAGTTCACGGTCGCAGGTAGAAGTGCTGCTTGTTGTTTCGTTGCTTTTAGGCTGCAGCTGATCCAGCTGAGAAAAAGCAGAAGACAGATCCACCTGCAGTCAGCAAATGCTTGCTGCTGCAGTACGCCGCTTGGACTCTGATGTCGGGCATGGGAAGCTGGGAAGCTGGGGAAGCCGCAGGCGAACGCAGAACGCAGTGCCGAGCACATTTCTTCCAACAAATTACATTCTGGCCGTCAGGAAGGTTGTGTCTAGAGCTCCCATGTCTACCTCCTTTCCGTTGTGCGCGCTCTGACATCTGCTCCGGTCTTTCACACCTGCTGGAATCTCGCTTCAAACGGCATGGGTTCTCGGCTGCTTGTAAAGATTCCCGTTCGTGTCTATCCACCCCGGCACTTGGCGCCTGAAGTGGGGTGCAGCGCCTGTCTTGGGGCCCCCCAATGAGCCCTTGGCCCGGATACACGGAGCTTTCGACGCTGCCAAAGGTGTGAGGTCAGGAGGCGGAATTGACAGCTTTTTTTCCAGGTCCAAACAAACTTGGTACGCTGGCAAAGCATAGCCCGCCGAGAGGAGTGTTGGAAAATTGCGCCGGGATGAGCGCGAGAGACAGAGAGAGAGAGAGAGAGAGAGAGATGTGAAAGTGAGATGAAAGAGGAAGCATGATGGACAGAGCTCGTCATTCGCGCCGTTCTCGCCTCCAAGGACTACGTGGAGGGCATCTTGGAGAAGCGAGCTCCACATCGAGCCGGACTGGAGAGCAGCAGCTCTGTTTCTCATTGTTTCTCGCTTTCAAAAGCTGTCGCTTTCCCTTCATCCTATTCCCTCCAGTACCAGATATGACTACCATCTGTGTCCATGAAGGACACTTGGCACATTGGAAGAGACTGGCAGATGCAAGTCAGGCGGGGAGATGTTGGTTCAGGTTGGTGCTTGGTGCCAGTTGGTGCCAGTTGGTGCCGGTTGGAGGTGGTTGGGTGGATGTTGGTGGCTGATGCTTCACCCTTTCTAAAGCTTTGTGTGGCCGCGTGCAAGCTGAGACGTGTTAGGTGCTGCTTGGAGGAGCTTTCGACCCTCCTTCCGGCGCGGTGATTGTGTTGCGAGGGAGCCATGGCACAACGCAGCCCGCACCAGCAGTCCACATAGCCGCCCAATTCCACCATGGCCAAAAGTTGAGAAAGGGCTCTCTCCGAAGGATCGAGCGGGACGAGGTGGAGGCTTTAGTCAAGGAGGACCCGTACGTCGCGAACGGATTGGTGCCCTTGGGCGATTTGCAGGGCCAGGAGGGCTTTGGAGGGCTTCGCTAGGATCCGTGCTCGGCAGGTGCCATCCTACGTCATCAAGGAGTGGAACGTCGTGCTAGGATCTGCCATCTAGAAAGTGCGGCAGTAAGGGAGCCTGATTGCCTTTATAGGCTCCCCAGAATAGGCTACGACGGCTGCGACGGCTACGAGCCCTCAGAAGTGCAAAAAAGCTGTTCCTTGCACGGGTTCATAAGCTTTCGATGAACATGGAGGGGCGGAAATTGATGGAACATATGATGAACATCACATGCAGCTCGCTATGCAGCTGTCTATGCAGCTCTCTATGCCGCATTCTGCAGCATCAGGGAGGCTCAAGCTTGGTCAGAGGTGCCCCAGAGAACCCTCCAGGCCACAGCCTTGGAGCCGAAAGAGAGCAACCTTTTGCCTTGGAGAGAAAGGGGAAAAAGGGAAGTGCGCAGTGCGCTTTTCCTTCTTTTTCTGGCTCCCCCCTCTCCTTTTACCAGTGCTTTTCTAGAGAGAAGCAAAGGCGATGACGGACCTCAAGATCGGTCACCCGGCTCCCAAGCTGTCCAGGCAGTTGCGCCGGAGACTTCATGTGCCATGACTTGACGTGTCATGACGTGTCATGACGTGTCATGACGTGTCATGCGAGAGGGTTGTCGTTGTATGTTGGCATCTCCTTAGATGGCCCTCTTAAAGTCGAAATGTCTTAAGGCTTCAGGTTAAATGTCCACGCAGGCCGCGCACGCAGGAGCTTTACGACCGAAATTCTTGGCCCACGCCTCAGCAAGTTTCACGATGCCTCAGCAGCTTGAACTACGGCCTGCAACCGATGAAGCATTCTCGATTCAGAATCTTCCGACCCCAACGCCAGTATTCTTGTTCAGCCAGACATCAAGGCCAGAGACTCTGCCAGTTCAGGGCTGGCACGCGAAGATCAAGCATGCCTTAACGTGATCACACCTGTAGAGTTTGCTGGCTTGCAACCTCAAGATCGACTCCTTTGCAGTTTTTTCCTCCATGAAACGTGAAACGTCAAAGACAGGGCACTCTCCCTGAAAAACAGAGGCCCCATATGGCCCCATGCAGCAAGCCAAGCACGGTCTGTACGCCGTGTGCTGAGGCTCACTCGGTCCACTTCGGATCACACGCTGGCAGTGAACACAATGCGCCTTGATGGACCACATCCGGCCGACGGCCTAGAACGGTTCAGAACGCTTTGGAGATTGGGAAGTTTTTTTGCACGTGTGCCATCCTGTAGCATGTGTAGCATGTGTAGCATGTGTAGTGTGCCTCGGCTCAGTTGCGGATGGCACGCATGGCTTCCACACATTTCCAGCAGGCGATCCGGGGCTATCTGCTGCCATCCGCTGCCATCTGCTGCCATCTGCTGCTATTTACTGCTATCTGCAAGCATGTACGTTGCATTTTGCTGCTCATTTGCGCAGCGTTTTTGGCACAAGTCTAACATAGCAAGCCATGTGTCTCGGAATGACTGATACCTTGCCACGGCTGCTAGTACCAGGGAAAGATTCGAAGCCTTGCGACGAGCGTCTGAAGCAGGGATTGCAGTTCCGAAGGTCTCAGTTCAGAACTGGGTCCCTGGCGTTGAGTCTGACGTGCGAGCACGTGCCAGAACGCCGCTTCGTAGACCTTATGGACTTGAAAGACTTGAAAGTCCCAGATCCAGACAGCCAGCGGCACATGTCCCAGATTAAGCTTCAGATGGCCGTCCAAGGCGGATCTTGAGGAGAAACCTGTCCTCTGTTGCAACTTCCAGCACAGCCTGCCATGCCACGCAAGAAAGATGCAGTTCGGGCAGAGTTCCGTAGCTATTCGTAGTTTTCCGTGCTTCGAAAAAATCGGACCACGTCGCATGATTTTGCGGCTGGAGCTGTAGCGGCTGAGCGCTTCCAACCGTGAAGTGGCCAGGCACAGGCCCACAGTCAGCAGGGCTTTTCAACGTTCCAGCCAACTTTGAATTCCTGTGTAGATCGCAAACCCCGCAAACAGCAGCTTTGCACAGTCCCATCTCTTCATGCTAAGCATGCACCCTTGGGCACGATACATCTCAAAACGGAAAAGGCCGAAGTGGACATGTTTTGATCGCGCAGGAATGGTTTGTGTAACGGAGGGCAACGCACAATGCACAACACACAACACACAACACACAAAACACACAACACACAAAACACACAACACACAACAAACACACAACACACAATACACAACGCACAACGCACAACGCACAACGCACAACAAACAACACACAACACACAACACACAACACACAACACGCAACACGCAACACGCAACACGCAACACGCAACACGCAACACGCAACACGCAACACGCAACACGCAACACGCAACACGCAACACGCAACACGCAACACGCAACACGCAACACGCAACACGCAACACACAACACGCAGGCAGAGACGGAGACAGAGACAGAGACATTCAGAGGCAGAGTCAGAGGCAGAGGCAGAGGCGGAGGCGGAGACGGAGACGGAGAACTTCTTTGCAGGTACATCATCTTTTGATATCACCGCAAATCTGGTCGGTCTTTTTGCTAGGCAGGGCGAGCTAGAAATGCCCGATTCCAAACCTCAAGACCCCCCTCTGCTTTCGTGTGAAGCGACCTCACACACCCACACACGCACATGCTCAATGCATCGCATAGTAACCGTTGTTAGACGTATGCAGAGGCTTGCATTTGCTTTGGAAGTTTGCCGCTGACCCTGCTCCAATGCCCTGTGGCGCAGGGCAAGTCGACGGACCAGACTCCAGACCAGCGCAGCGGGCTGAGATGCAATGGCCACCAATGGCCGAAAGTCTGAAAGTGATGGAATCGCAGTATGGAGTTGGCCTTGGAGTCCAGACGATGCGAGGTTGGTTCAAGACCTCCGCCACCTCCTTTGCAAAGTACGGCATCTACCCGGGCCAGGGCTTGAAGGCGATTTTAACGAGTAGCCTATTGGAGTTGGATGAGTTGGTTGCTGTGATTGGAGAGGAGCATGCGAAGATGCCTGTGTGCTGCTGCGATTTCTGCAAGTTTAGACATGTGCCAGGGGATGTATCTGCGCGATCCTCACACAGGCGTGTGGTTCAAGGCACGCAATGTTGGTGCCCCAAGCTTCTTCCGTGCTGTCGCAGCTGCCACAGGACACACCTGAACGACTTTGGAACAAGGAGGTCGAACAACCGCGACCCAGTTCGGCTACTGGGCAAAAAAGACGAGTTTTGTCGTGACTTCGTGTCAATGAGTACAGACGCGGCACAGAAGCCTTCAGCTGACTTCCATGTGCCCCAACTTGGGTTGCTATAAACGTTGCCATTGTGAGCGTGACACGTACCTGTGTGGCACGGAGAGCCACGTTTGGCCAACGCTAACATCTCAGGTTCCCAAATCCAACCAGGACTTCGTCCCTCTTTACGCTCTTCATGTGCACCTGCACGGCAAACCGTGATGACAGAGGCTCGGGACGCACAAAATAGGCAAGGCATGCAACTTTCGGGACATGCTTGATGAGGTTCGCTCCTCTCTGATGGTTTCACGCTTCACAGGGGGTGGGCTGTTAAAGCCCATTCTGCTTGTAACAACAGAGGTGACAACATCACCTCTTTTTGATGTGTGTGTAATGTTTGGTGTGGTGGAGTGTTGTGCTAACATGTTCTGAAGAGTGCTCCTCTCGCACAAGGCACAAGGAGTCACTAACTGTCACTAACCGATCAGAAACGGTTCTCAGTTCTCAGTTCTCAGTACAGCTTAGAACTGCTCAGCTCTGACAGCGGACCGGTGTCGTGCGGGTGCTAAGCGGGCCTCTACCGCACTCTTTCTTCACTCTCGTTCCCTGAAGCTTGAGTGTGCTTTCGCCGTGCCCCTTTGGGCCGGTTCGGTGGCATCGCAGAAGCGACAGCCTCCCGAACCAACAAGCAATCAGAGACGAGCTTGCTGACACTGACAGGTGCGCACGGTGCAGTAGTATGCAGTTGTATGCAGTAGTATGCAGTATGCAGTAAGTCAGTGTCGCCATCGCAGTCCCACGGTCACTTTACTTCATTGTCATCAAGCATGCGCTTCGGATTCTTTAACAATTTGAAGCCAGCAGAGTCTTTCCCATAGGGAAAGCTGCGTGTTGACAGAGGATAGGTTCAGCTTCGAGTGCAGTAGGGGGTTTAGGTCATGGAGTCATGGATAGGGCGGCACACCCAAAAGTGAAGGTGATGACGTCATGTTTGAGTTCTTGAGTGACCCACCGGTGGTCTGGGAGTCTGTTCCCCGCAGCCATTTTACACGACCAGCTCAATCCGAGACTGTTAGTAATTACCGCAATTATCCGCAATTCTCCGCAATTCACGCCTTCTCCGGACTACTCTCCACAAGAGGCTGAGGCCCTCAAGTGCGCCTTTTTCCGGCCTTTGGTGACAGCGTGTCATTGAGAATAGTATGCAGGCAGAGGCATGACGTGCCTTCTGCTTTTGGCAGCTTGTACACTGGTGGCAGGCTTACTTATCGTGCAAAGCAACGGCAAAGGCGATACAAAGGGAGCTTTGGGTTGTGTGCCGAGGTTGGAGGTCTGCAAGGAGAAGGCGTGAAATCTGCTGGTTGCATGGCGAGTGGCCTTGAAATGTGGCAAGGCTACACCGACGCAGCGGAGATTCTCCTGGACAGAGGGTGTTTGTTCTTCATCAGCAATTGCCGAAAAGTTCTGAGAAGTGCTGAAAGATGTTTTTGTCCTATGATTCCTATGGCTGTCCAGGAGATGCAGCGCGCTCAGAGAGCTGGCTCCGAGTACTTGGCGCAGAAGCCTGGGGCTGAGTGCGGCTGAGTGCAGCTGAGTGCCGCTGAGTGCCGCTGCGGGTGAGGAGCTGTCAAAGAGTCAAAGATGCAGTGCTGTTGCCGATTGCAAAGGCAGAGCGAGGCATTTGTCGCGACAAAGGCTGCAAGCCTCTTGCAGGCCCAGTTGAAGTCTTGTGCTTTGAACAGATGTTTCAGACGACCCGTCGATTCGCAGCTTGTGGCAGAGCTTGTGGTGGCGCCTTCGTCTAGCTGCCTAGCCCTTCTTCGGCCCTCCTCTTTGCAGGTGAACAAAGGTCCTGCAGGCCGGTCAGGGCCACATGACAGCCAGGAGGCTCGCTCGGCGGTCGTTCGCTCGTCACGGAATTACGCTCAACGCTGGTCCGAAGCAGGCGCGGCTCAATCGGTTCAACCCCTTCAAGCCAGCGCAGCCCTCTGATGATCTCTGCTTGTGAAGCATGCTTGTGGAAGGCATGCTTGTGGAAGGCATGCTTGTGTGCCGCCAGGATTTGTGGAATTGTCTGGAATTGTGGGAAGATGCAATAAGATGCATCTCCTGTGCAACCCAAGGATCCAGCACTCATGCGAGCATCGACTCTGGAGCTTATCGAGGACGAAGACGAATGAGACGAGCTGGGGGGCTTGGTCCCGCTTGGTCCAGGTTTTCCGGCCTAGGCGCTACAGACACGCCTTTGCGGAGAATAGGAGCAGCTTCTGTGTAGAGTCGTGCGAAGGCACAGAGCTTGCCCGATCACCAGACTCTTTCTGCATCCTGCCATTGCTTCAACTTGTCTGCACAGTCAATCAATGCAAATTCGAAGCCACAGAGACTCGTGCAAGAGCAAAAAGGAATCTTTTTTCAAGCACCTACTTGTTCAGGGTATGCACAGGGCATGCATGTGTTTGGCAGGGTGAGGTTGAGCTTCACGCCCATGCCACGCCCCTACAGTCACCGCCAAACTCGTGGCCGCCTTGCGGCGCCGTGACTAGCGCGAGATTCGGAAGCACGGGAATGGCCCTGGGGACCGGAGGCTCCCCCCATGCCCCGTTGATTTTGTCGCGGCAGCACACGCGACTCTGGCAGAGGCAGCCAGGATGGCTGCAGGCCAAGTCCTGCTTCAACGCGAAAAAATGCCTGGGAACTCGGTGCCAAGTTCAAGACGCGCAGTCGCACGCGCATCTGCCCATGCGTCCCATGGGCCCGTGTCTCGGTCGAGGCGTCCGCATTCCGAACGAAAGGGCTTCCATGGGCTTCCGAAAACAAGGCAATCGCTATCTGGCTGCCAGCAAAAGCTCTGCGCTTCAGCCGCTTCACAGAGGCAAAGCACGTCGCGGCGGCTCTCAAGCGTCTGCCAACAGCGTTCTGCCAACGTGGGCGGCGAAACCGAGCGATATAGATCATGGGCAATGCGTCCACCCGCGGGGCCCAGAAGAACTACATGCTCGGCGGGGACGCTGCAATACGTGCCGCGCGCTTTAGCTGGGCAAAGTGCAGTGATTTCTAAAGCCAAATGACCGGCCATTTGATGCCGGCAGCAGCGGGCATGCCGCCACCGGGGGGGTCGCGACATGGTGTGGCAACGCGGCGAGCCCCACGCTGATCGCGGCGACAGTAATTTGAGGGCACCTGTCGGACTCCGCATTCCTATTGGAAGCGGCAATGCCTGTTGCTAGTTTACTTCGGCCAGCCTACTCGTCCAGGTCATGGCGACACATGGACAGCAATCACGCGATGACTTGTCGGACGCGCGGACTCCATTCGCGTGCGGACAGCAGCCTGTGCGCGAGGACCGCCTCAAGATTGTAGGGTGCGAAGGCGCAGGAGGCTTGGCGAACCAGGGGCCGGTCTTTGGTGCACGAATTCAACCCCAAAGACCTCCCAACAAACCTCCACAGAGTCCACTGCAAAGTGACTCCTGCTAAAGGTTGAGCAGCCCGGCGTCCGGCCCAGACTTGGAGGGCGAAGACGTGGTGTGTGCAGTGTTTTCGCGCTTCCGGCAGCTCCGCGTAGCCATGCAGCAGATTCGAGTGGGTCTTGTTACTCTTGTTGGTTCTTACTATCGTTTTTCCACTTTGGCAACGAACCGGAGAAGTCTGTTTCACCGACACGCCATCATGCTTTTCCATTGCCTCCCAAAAAACGTACACCAACAAGTGCTCAAAGTTATACAGGGCGCCCGGAAAAAGGGGGCGGCTGAATCGACCAGAAACCGAACCCGAATGAGCGAAGCTACTGTGATGCCGCAATATGAAACGTTGTTTGCGTGGTGACGCCGAAATGCCCCCTGACGCTGCATTATGGCGTGAAGCCGACTTAACCCGCGACGCCGAGTTGCGACGCCGAATTTCTGCCTGACGCCAAATTCAAATGATCCGAATTGTGATGCCGAATTACCGCCTTACGCGGATTTGTGAGGCCGAATTCCCCCCTGCTTCTTCAGTGTCGCTTCAATTTTCTTCGATCATCCCTAACCCTATCCCTGACAGAACGCATGAGGAATGGTTCTGAGCACTGAGCGGCGGCCGGGAAGTGTTCTGAGCAGTCTGAGGGGGAAGAGGGAACAACATTCTAACGGCCGCGTGAACGGGCATCGCGACCTCCCCGCTCTCATCGCGATGTAGCCTGGGTCTCTTATCGGGCGCGGCCTTGACAATTGGAGAGAACTTTGATAGTTCTCCACGAAGTGCGGCTTTTCATTTTGGGGTGGGGGGGGGGGGTTGGGTACCACCCCCCCCCCCCCCCCCCCCACCCCTCCCCACCCCCCCCCGCCCCCCCGCCACGCACATCCCCGCCATTTCATTTGAAATTCACTAAAAGTCTTTGAAATTCAATGAAACATAGGCCAAACTAATTCAAGATCATTAAATGCAATGAAAATATCCATTACAGCGATAAAAAAACTCGAAGAAATACAAGTTTAGTTGCTTTGCACTTGATTTTGTCGCCATTTTCAAGTGGAAATATTGACAAAGTGACTACATAGTCAAATCACTTGAGAAAATTGAACAAGTGTTTTCACTATTTAATTAATCACTTTGTCAATATTGTCAATTGAAAATTGTGACAAAATCAAGTGCAAAGCAACTAAAATTGTATTTTTGTCGATTTTTTATCGCTGTAATGGATATTTTCATTGCATTTAATGATCTTGAATTAGTTTGGCCTATGTTTCATTGAATTTCAAGGACTTTTCGTGAATTCGAATTATTATTTCAAAATGAAATGGCAGGGATGTGCGCAGGGGGGGGGGGGGGGGGTGAGGGGGGGGGGGGGGTTTGGTGAGGGGGGGGGGGGGGGGGTGGGTGGAGGTGGGTTGGGGGGGGCGGGGGTGGGTGGGTGGGTCGGCACTGTAAATGTCGAAAACGCGCTGAATGGCGAACTTTCAGAACTTTGGCAAAAAGTGATCAAAAGAGTTCACGTCGTGTGTCAGGTCTGCGGGAGGGATGGACGGGAGAAGAATCGGAACACTGGATTTCGGGAAGAGATGCATGCCAAAGAATCACGTATGCACTATGCACCATCCCTTGCCACCCCAGAACATACACGTGCAACTCGGGCCTCCGGGTCATCGCTGGCCTCATGGATAGCCAGAATAAGCCAAAATGCACAGTGTAGCTTTGCGACCGAGAGGTCGAACCGTGTGCTACGTGGCATGTTGACCGAGCGCGACTGACCTCACCAATTCGCACGAGCCGGCAAGCGGCCTCGCGCGTTTGCGCAGCGCCGAGTCATCGTCAGTGGGGCCCTCCGCGTTGGCGTGCGTGACGGCCTGAACAGCGCGCAACACAGTCACTCGTCCCGCTCGTACCGCTCCACGCGCTCGAGAAGCTGCCTGCAGCCCATTTCTTTTGATGCTATATTTCGGCGATAGCCAGGCGAGGCTAGTTTCAGTTTTGAGAAATCGCATGTTTCACAGCGATAAGCAGAACTCCAGTTCTAACGTAAACTCCAGAAGTGCACTTTTGGATGGGTGGCCTGTGTTATCTTGTTGTCGGAACGATGCCCGAACGATACCGCGATGGCAAGGTCACTATGCGTTCGAATCGAGGGCGGGGAAGAAGGGGTCGCAAACTACAAACAACCCTGCATGACAGATGCCTTTTGTGGCGGAACATCGGCATGCGGCGGCAGGTCTTGATTTTTCGCAACCCAAGAGCGCGCAGTCAGCCTGCTACCCCACCGATTTGGGCGGAGTGGGCAGGTCCAACAAACTTGCAACGAGGTTGCTACGAGCTCTACGAGCTTCGAACCAAACTCGCCACGGGCGCATGCGCTCGTAACATGTCACTAGGTGCACTGCGGGCACTCCGGCACTGCGAGACATACTCGCGCGATGCACTCACAACTCACAACTGCACAATGAAGTCACGAATCCCAAGTCTGGCAGCGGTAGGCTGGGCTTGTAATCTCATTAGGTCTTGATATTTCAAGACCCATTTTCTCCCCCACCTATTCCAGCTATTAGCCGTGTCACTGCCTCAGCGGGCCCGGCAGACACTCATCCCACAGCTGCTGTCGATGTGGAAGCCAGCGCCAGCGCCTCCGCCGCCCCAAGATGCTCGCTCGCCCAGATCGGGCTTCGCATGATTCGGCATGGAAGGAGCAGCCGGGAACGGGCCGAGACTGGCCAGGGCGGCCTAGGGCATCAGAAGCGGTGACGGGGTGGGCAGGGGCAGGTGTCGGTTGCGATTGGGGAGAGCTGGACAAGCTAGAGGAGCTGGAGGAATCTGAGCTGCTGTCAGGTGGCTGGTCGGGTCCAGCGGAAGCCCGTTGCGGTGGCAAGCGCGCTGGGCCGCCATCTGCTAGCCATTTGGGGCTGCGGACTCGTCATCGTTGCGACGACTGGTTGCTCGCACATTGCATCACATTGCCCAAGAATTTCCCAGCCGATTACCCTGTTGTACAGCTCCCACCAATTTGTACTGTCCACCTGGGCAGGAGCGGAGGCGCTCATCCACTTTCTCCTAGCCCGCACCGAGGCCGATCCTTTTCTTGGCTCTGGTACGCACGAGTTTGCCTCGGCTTGCCCCCAACCCCACGGCCTTACACGACCCACTCGTGCCAGCCATCTCGTCATTTACGGCGCGACGCCACTCGGCGGAGCCCTGTGTTGCAATGCGGCTTTCGTCGCTGACGCGCACGGGCCTTCCCCAACCCTGCGCAGCGACGCATGAGAGCTTCGCTGCGTCGCCGAGCGGCGCAAACACGCACCCAAAGGCTGGCCCTTCCTTTTCTCCTGAAGCATGCGTGGACTCATCCGGACGCCAAAGTCCGAGCCGCGGGCATTGGAAGTGGCTCTGGCAGACGATCCCCCCTTTATCTTTGTCTTTACCATGAACAATGGGGCGCAGTCCACGGCGATTCGGATCGCAGTCGTGCTTGTAAAATTCGTGCCGGCGTGAGACAAGGCTGCGTTCTTGGTCCACGTTTGTTCTGTGCTGTTTTGGAATGGGCAATGAGTTCATGGAAGGACTTGGTTGGGACGGCCGGTTTTGATTTGGGAGATGGCTTACGACGACTTCTGGACCTGCGATTTGCTGATGATATCCGTCTTTTCACCAAATCTAAAGAAAAAGCGCACTGCACCCTGGATCTACTCATTCTGTACTCATTGCAGCACTTGGTGAGGTTGGCCTCATTTTGAACGCCGAAAAGACGGTGATCATAACAACGGAAGCCCAGCATATTGTTTTAAGCAGCGATCATCAAATCCAGATTCAGCCACGCAGTGCTTCTCACAGATGGCTTGGGTGCATGTTGTCAGCAGGCGGAGCATCAAAATCCTTCTATGCAAATGGCTGGATTTTACGTGATCGCAACATTTCCCTGTCCAAACAATTGAAATTCTTTGATGCCATTGTTTCGCCAGTGGCTTGTTTCGCAGCGGGGCACAGAACGATTCACAAACCCGACCTGCACCGGATGAGTGCAAGAGGTTGCTTCGTGCAGTGGTGGGACCACCCGGAAACATTTCATGGGATGACCCCTGGCATGAAACTCTTCATGCTTGGAACAACAAAGTTCGGAATGCCTGCCATGATAGCTCGCTAACAAATTGGAGGGAACAGTCTTTGGCAAGTTACTGGACATTGGCCACTTACATTGCAAATATGCCACGTGATCGATGGGTGATTCGTGTGTTGGAGTGGCGCCCCCGACGAGTTCAGGCTGGGAGGCAGCCTAGCAATTGGGAAGATAGCCATTTTGGCTCAACATTTTGGCTCAAGGCATCAAGCCAAAAGACTTCAAGTGACGAGTTCGTGCCCTGTCCCCCCCCGGTAGCCTCGCCGGTCGGTTTCATGGCCCTGGCGAGCCTTTGGTGGCCGCCCTACGCTGGAGCATGAACGCGGCTCGGGAAGCGCTCCCAACGGCAACGCAGCTTCCCGCAGCATGCCGCGAAGCTGCCGTGCACGCCGCGCTGACGTGTACCGTTGGCGCGCCGCGCTACTTCTCTGCGGGGTGGGGGCCCTGCTCCTTGTGTTGGGGCTGGTTGTGCGTGGGACTCGCGCTGGGAGCGCTGGGGGTCCTGCTGTTGTGGGGACGCTGCTACTCACGCCCCGCCTGCCCGCCGGCCTGGACAGCGGCCGCAAGCGAGCTTTTGTCGTGCGTGGCTGCCGGAGGCGACCGCGAGCTCTCCGAGCTGGCCGCTTCTCTAGGGCTGCCAACCACCGACTTGCTTTGTGGCGTCTTGCAGCAGGCAGCGGAGGCTCATCAGGCCACCTCCCTCGCCCATGTTCGCCGGGTGCCTGCTCCCACACCGCGCCACATCGCGACCGTGCTGCCGCCGGCCCCCAGCACTGCGCCCCGACGAGGACGCGGGAGCCGCGACGGCCAGCCCTGCAGCGAACACCCACGCTGCAATGAGAGGTCCGTATCCAAATCGCCGCGCGCCCCTGCCCTCCGCACGCAACGCAGTCCACGTCACGTTTGGGCACCCCCGCCGCGCCCGCCACAGGACTCGCCAGCTGCGACAAGCCACCGCCGCGGCCCTCCACACAAGCGCAACGGGAGGGGAGGGGGGGGCAGGACGGCCCATGAATGAAGCTCCACATCCCATAGACGGTGTGCCTGCGCATACCGGGCACGCTGCGCCAGTCGAGAACTTGGAGCTTGTTTGCGTTTTGTTTGCCCTCCCGCCGGCTAGCCCCGTAGCACCCGCCCTCGCCGTGCCATGTCTCCGTGCCGGATCTGCAGATGCCGCGAACCGGCTGGGGACGATGGTCTGTGTGACCCGTGTGCCCACTTTAGGTGGGTGCAGGCCTTGGTGCAGGGGCGGGCACTCCCGGCGTGGCACACAGGAGCCGCAGCTTCACTCCTGCAAGGTGTGGAGGCGCTGGCTCGCGGGGACCCACCGCCCCAGGGCAGAAGCCGCAGCCGCACCCGAAGCCCTGGCGCTGGCAGCCCAGAGCCCCCGCACAGCAAGGGCCGAGGCAAGGGAAAGGGTCAAAGCTGGCAATGGGACCGCAGGAAGGGCAATGGCAAGGGCAGGAGCGACGAGGACCTCGCTTTGGCACGTGAGGCGGCCAGGGCGGCAGCCGACGCGGCGGTCGCTGCTATGCGGGGCCGTTGAGCTCCGCCAGACACGGTGCTTGGTGAGGCCCCTTGGCCCCGGCTGCTTCTTGGCGGGCCGGCCGCGGCCGCCCGGCCGCGGCCGCCCCAATGGACGGCCACGGCCGCGCTGCCGATCTTTTTTGAACACTTTGATGCCGAGACCCACCCCGGCAGGTCAACCTTTCCGCCGCGCGCCAGACGCCAAAACAGGTTGCTTGCTTGCCTTGGTCGGTTTGCCGTGCACCCCCACCATGGACGACGCGTAGGGGAAGCCTCCAATCCGGGACCGCCGGACGAAGCCGGACAGCGACGCCTCCGCGTGCGCCACGCGCTCGCTCAGATGGGGCTCGCGACAACTCGCCTAAAGAAATCCCCGACAACCAGCCCACGGGTGCCCCCGTTTGGCTTGCGGAGGGCAACAACCCGACCAAGACCAAATGCCGGCATCACAGCAGCAGGGATTCGCGCTTGTGCAACAAGGGTCGCAACCTCAGCAAACGCCTCAATCGACTCGTCCGCATCCAACACTACACGTACTGCCTCAGCAGTGAAGCCTGACGGCCCTGGTGCAGCCCCTTTGCGGGCCCGGCGCAAGTAGTGAGCAACGCGGCACGGTCAAGCGCAACAGGTGACGCCGGCGCCCACGCGAGCAACTCGGGGTCAAGGGGTCCATACGGTTCGGGGGGGCGGCGATTCGGGTCAGAGAGGTGCTCAAAAGTGGCATCAGTGGCTGGCGTGAGCGGGTCAGCCGTCAGCGCTTGACGGGCGGCTGACAACTCACCCAGGTGTGCGAGGTGCACTGCTCGCCTTGCCCGTGCCTCGTCAGACGCGGCAGGGCGGTCGCCAGCGGCAACAGGAGGCGAGGGCGGGGGATTCACCCCGCAAGAAGGCCTGGAACCTAGCCAAAAGCACAGCTTTCTGGACCCGGGCCCCGCCGGGAGGCCTGTGCAAAAGCATGCGCGGGAGGAGAAACCAAAGCTTCCAGGCCCGGACCGAGTCGGGTCCAGACGCGTCGCCAGGGGCGCGAGCGCTCGACCGGATCAAATCCAACACCAGATGGAGGGACTTTCGCAACACACCTTTGCAAAACTGCGGCGGAACCCGAAACAGGCAGCACGGCCGCGCTAGGATCTCCTCAGCTGTGAAGGGGTCAAGGTTCGCCAAGGAGGCCCGGTAGCCCAACCGAGCGTCAGTTCCGGAGTCGTGTTCGCTGGAAGGTGCATCAGGGCTGGGCTGAAGAGGAATGGTTGGCTCAACCCTGGAGGCGCCGAGCTGCTCGAGCTCGAGGAGCTTGAACTGGGAGGCTCGTCGGGGTGCTGGGCATGGGGGCCGCCTTGCTGAAATGGCTCTGCAATGGCTTGCAGGAGCCTGGACGCAGCTGCTTCCCCAAGAAACGCATGAAGGATGGCTTCCTGGGCGGTTGCCGGGATGTAGCCGTCAGGTTGCACGGTTTGGCCCCAGGCCCAAGGTAGATGCACGCGAGCGCTGGCAGGCAGGCTGGACACAGCAGCAGACAGGCTGAGGAGCAACTGAGCCTCCGGCAAGTGCACTGGCCTGCCTTCACTGGAGGCAAGCTGTTGCAGCACATGAAGTGCATGGACGAGTTCTTGCGGGGAGACTGGGGGGGCGGTGCGGAGGGCGTGGGCTGCCTGGGCCCAGCTTGCCCCATAGTGTGGATGGGTCTTTTGTCCACTACGTTCCCAGCATCTTACTAGTATAAGCCCGCCTCAGAAAAGGAACTCACGAGTGCGACCGCGATCATGGAATCAATTTTGGGCGTTTTCCGGTTCATGATCATCAAGCGAGCAGCTCACAACAATGTTGCATGCAAGTGAACCACTCCTTTCTGCAAACCGCTGAGTCTATCCGAAGACATAAGAGTCGTGATACTTTCATCGGCAGCTGAAGCTCCCAGACGGGGCGGAGAGCTGTTGCACATAGCCCCCTTTGCACGGGAAGCTGCAGCCTTCAAAGAAATGACCCCGGGTGGGGGGGCTGGGCCTGACTGAAATCCTTGAGATTCCAAGTGCGGCGCCGACAACAATCGTACAATCAAGAGTTCCCCCATCCCCAGTTTGCGTCGGGACAGGTCTCTCAGCAAAAGCTACGTTGCATCGCAAAGGACAATTTTGTCCACTACGTTCCCAGCATCTTACTAGTATAAGCCCGCCTCAGAAAAGGAACTCACGAGTGCGACCGCGATCATGGAATCAATTTTGGGCGTTTTCCGGTTCATGATCATCAAGCGAGCAGCTCACAACAATGTTGCATGCAAGTGAACCACTCCTTTCTGCAAACCGCTGAGTCTATCCGAAGACATAAGAGTCGTGATACTTTCATCGGCCGCTGAAGCTCCCAGACGGGGCGGAGAGCTGTTGCACATAGCCCCCTCTGCACGGGAAGCTGCAGCCTTCAAAGAAATGACCCACATCCACTCGTGCCCCGAACTCCGCTCAGCAGTTGCGTAATCAAGCAGCTCGTGTAAAAGCGCTTCGAAACATCCACGCTGCAAATGAAAGGACCATGACCATGAACCCGAAACACCCATATCCCCGAAGGTCACAAAACTTGTGGAAAAAGTACCAAGCAATCGGCCAATGCTGCAGCACGAAAGAATTGCAAGTCGTCCACCAGCGATGCCAGGTACTCAAAGGAGCGGCTTTTTCGGGGAAAAGATCCCAGGAGACATTCACGGCCGGAATGTGCGCAAGAACTTGATGCAAAGTTTCCAGAATTTGGTCATGCTCTGCTTCCAAGTTCATGGCCATAAGTTCCCACACTGGATTGGCCCATTGAGGCACGAAATCAACCGTGAACGTTTCAAACTCCATGACGAGCATGCCCGATGAATGCAGCAAAAGGTTAGTCTGATAACTTGCGAAACTGCCGTTCAGACGCACCTCGTAGTCGTGCAAAGTCAGAAAAGGCATGTCAGCGCTGATGTGGAATACATTTTGGTGCCACTGCTGCAGCATTGCCGAGCGGTTCAAACGCGTAGCAGCTCGCCCCTCGGGCGAGACCAGCCAACCTGCCAGTGTCTCATGGCGGGCGGCTGCCACTCGCCCATGCACTCGATGGGCATGGACATCAATGAGATCCACACCCCGCCACGCAGCCTCCGCAGCAGTCAATGTAGTAGTGGTCACGCCGACGGCCGCTGAGGACAACACTGTCGTTAGCTCCGTCCCTTTGGATACAACAGTGGCCGCCGCTTGGCCCACTGCCTCTGAAACCAAAGCTGCAGAGCCCAGAATGTTGACGAGATGGTGTATTGCGCCATGGTTGCCAAACAGAAACATCAGGGCCAAGAAACTTGTCATTCGGCCCCAAAACATTCGAGGCAAACGGGGCCACTTTAACCATCGCGAAGCGGCACTACGGCGCCTGCGGCCGGGACCGCTTGGGCGGGGGTTTTGGTCCGCGGCCCCGGCCCTTGGCAGAACTGGCTGACCTGATGGCTCGGGGCTCGGGGGCCTGAGAACTGCCGCGCTCCACCTCGGTTTTGTCGCAGGAGATACCGCCGGCCCTGGAGTCAGACTCCGCTTCCTGCCAAGTCGTCGGCCATTGGTAGGGTGCACGGAGCTCGCCACGGGGGCGCGCTTCGGCACCGGAGCGGTTTCCATGCGCCTCAGCTAGCAAAGCATGCACAGGGAAATAAAGGAGCAGGTGAGCACTGACATACACCATCGCGTCCGATAAATGTTGTAATCACATGGCCGTGCCAACCTGTGCTGCTGTGATTGGGTCAATGTATACTTTGAACGAAGTCTCGCTCGCCCAACGCCCCTCCCGCCGCACCACTGTAGGGTCCTCGCCTGCAGCAATCCGCTCGCTGGCGAACCCGGCACGAGGAGAATGAGGAGTGTACCCAATCACTACCCCTAGATCGCGCTCCACCTGCTTGAAACATCGCAAGTAAAAAGCATAACTGTAGGGAAATAGCTTCTCACCACGCCTTGTGCATGCGACTAGGCGTCTCATCAGCTCGATCATTTCAGCATGTTTATGTGGATACAATAGCGCAAACTGTTCTCGCTTTGCTTTGGTTCCAACAGCTGTACCGAGTCTGATGACAGTGTTGTCCGATGCTCTGTAAGGCAGCAAAATAGACGAGGATGTTAATGCCAACAGCTCGGAGGGCCGGAGGCCACACGTTTGTTGCAAAATCAATCCCAGGCCCATTCGCGGAAAACCCATGTTCACCAAGTATGCCGGCCACAGTTTTGCAGGTTCGGACAACATAGGCACTTTGTGATTGATGGGACGTGCACGTTCATAGCCTTCTGCGACTGCACGCGCCCAAACTAGAGGTTTGAAGCGAGGGAAGAAAAACTCAACAGCACACATGGTCGTGACAAAACGTGATTTGCCAATGCTGCATGCCTCTTTCCACTCCACCAACAAATCATCAAACTCCTCTTGTTTTGAAGGTGAATACCGGGCTTCATCCAACCATTGAACAAAAACTGCAGCATGTCGCTGATAAGTTGATAAAGTCTTGGTGCTGACCCTGGCGGCCTGATGACGATCAAGCCTGCGGGGGCCGCAACAACTTTTGCCTTGGAATATACTCATGTTGTCTTGAGAGCATGTCTGCCGGCATCATTGCCGACTCCACCCATGGTAAAAAGAGCCGAATAGCTGACACTAGAAGTGATGATGTTTTCATCCGCCACAAGCGATTGAGTGGCCACGACGTTGATCGCCCCTTTGCGTGCGACCAAGCGCACGGTTGATTGTCTTGTAAGCTAATAACAAAGTGCCTGTGCGCAGACGGTCTCACACTAAGCAGTCGGGCCAATCTCACGACAGCTCTGGCTTCGCCAAGCGTGATGTGATCCACTGTTTTCCAGCGTCCCCAAGCCATTGGAAGCCACCTAGCCTTTCCCTCGTTTTGGAATATTTCATTCGGTAGTAGTGAAAAAGGCTTGGAAGCTTTAATCGGCCGCTCGGGGAACTTCAAACCCGTGAAATCTCCAGAAAGGCGAGACACAGAACGGCTCTGCGATTCCCCATACTCTAAAATTTGTTCGATTGCCGCCCTTGAAACATCACGAACTGTGATCCCATAACCGCCTGCATCAACTTCGCTGTTTCCCATTGCATCGGTAGCAAAAATTGTGGTAGCTAATGGCGCTCCGGCGTCATAGAACAACCACGGTGCTGCGTAGCTCATTGCCAGGACTTCTCGCCTGGCACTGGGCCACCACCGAATAGTCTCATTTGGGTGGGCATCCAACATCCGATAAACTGCGTGCGGTATGCTCAGCAAATCTCTGTTTAGCAAAGCAGCAAACACCCACACCCCAAGCACAGCTCGCAACACCTCCACATCTATCCAAACTGGCACTGCCAGCTCCTTCAAGGCATCAGCGAGCAGCGCCCATTTGTGATCTGGCAGTTTGAATCGAGCTGGCCTCGCTACGGGCTGGTAACCCACGACCTTCTGGACGTCTGCGGCCTGCACACGCTCGGGCACAATAAAGCCTGCATCTTCCAGCCCCTCTGCCAGAAAATGCATCACACGATCGGCATGAATGTCCGAACTGGTTCCTGTTGATATGGTCACTGCATCATCCACATGAAGATAGACCGCCCCTTGGTGATCGTGTATATGTACATGCCTCCCCAAACAGATATCCTCGTTCAGAATGGAAATAGCTGGTGATGTAGCGGACCCCATTCGTGACCCATAACATGAAACCTTCTTGGCTAAGTGGCTACTTTGCGCAGAACTCGTAGGACCAATTTGGTTGTGTGCAAGATAGCGAAGCTCATGAAACACCATGTCGGCAATGGCATACGCATATTCGGAAACATACTTGCGTTGATAACGCTGACATTCGGAACTATGTTCGAGATGCCCTGGGCACCATAAACCCTCCAAGCGAAACCCCTGGGAACAATTTGTCGAAATGCATGTGGGGCTCATGTCCGCACCTCCGAAAGCGCATTGATGATGATGTGCTCGCATCGCTCCAACACGACCTTCAAACTCCAGCATTTCCGCGGTGACAAACAAACTTGGATGCGGAGCCTCACCTGGATCATCCGGATGAGCAAGGAAAAACTTTCCGCCAGCTGCACACACAGCTTCAGCCATTGCCAGAAAATTCACAAACAAAGCATTCGTTCTTCTGATCTGTGTTTGCTCTGCAGAATTGAGACCTGGACATCCCCAAAAGCGTTCCCGGCTCCGCAAGAATCGAAGCCCTGTCACAGAATCATTGACTCTTGTATCGCTCAAAGTACCGCTCGGAGGACTGCCCCCAATCACGTCAATCAATCCTTCATGAGCCGCCACAAGAAACTTGTGCACAAGAGCTGGGTTCGTGAAATCCCACCTGCTGTCAATGGCCACATCGGCGGAGATCACCAGCAGAGTGAGGCCTTGCGCTTGCGCCATGGTTTCCAGCCAATCACAGATGTCACCATGACGTCGATCACCCATGAAGCATAACAAGACTACTAACACTCGGAATGAGGAAGATCGTGCACTCCGCAGTATCTCAATCCACTCTTCCGGCGAGCATTCGGAATCCCTGCCTGCTGCCGTCGCAAGGCACGTGGCATCAGCATCGCCGTGCGTTGGAGCCGCATGCAAATGAGCCAAACCCTCTGCCCGTTGACGGTTTGCACGGTTCACATTCAAGTGTTGTGATGCAAGCAAAGTGATTCCAATGTAGCGCAGATTGATCAACATCAGAATGTGCACCGAATGAGTACAGCCCATTGGAAGCCGCATGTACTGCGCAGAAACCAAAGTTGTTACATCAATCTGGGATGGAAAATCGTCTGGGAGGCAGTCCCACACGTGGAATGCCCGAATCGGTGGAGTAGAAAACCATGGCCATAACCACTCCGGTGTGAGGACATACGTGAAAGCATTACTTTCATCACATGCGGAGCATGCCAAGTTGTCCGAAGGAATATGGATCCTGGTGATTGCTCCGCCTCCTCCCATGCCTAATTCAGCTCTGTACCGCGGATCTTCGAACATGTAGTTGGCGGGGCAGCACATCAGCAGTTTTCGGAGTTTGGATGGGTCCTTCTTCGGCACAACGGTGAAACCTGCTACCGCGCGACAGCTCGCCCAGGGCGCCCAGCGCCACATTTGTTTAGGCAAGTCTGGCCGTTGGAAATACGACACAAATTCTTCCATGGACCCTCCAATGAAACCGTACTGCTCCGAAATCTCGCGAAAAATGATGCTGGACTTTCCTGCGGTGTCAACTACATTCGTCTCCAAAGCATAATGTTCAGCCTCTTGCGGTGGCAGAGCTTGAAGCATAGGAACTACATGGTTTGTTTTGGGCTCATCAATCGAATTGGCCACGATGGGTACTTGATTGACTCTGTTCTTCTTCATTCTGACATACCCACCATCAGCTTGTGCAAATTTTACCAGCTGCGTTGCTGCCGAAAAGGGCTCTTGAGGAGCCCCGTGGGCGCCTGTCGTGCCTAAGCACCGGCGCGCCTTAGCAAAGCGAGCAGCCTCGGAGAGAATCGTAGCTACTGCTTGCTTGACCGCTGGCCTGTGTTGATCAATCGAAGGAGTCTTGGCCAGCGATGGCGTGCGGTCTGCAAGAGGTTTGCCATCATCTAAGCCGTTCGCAACTGCAATCATTTTGACAGCAATCTTCCACACCTCCATGCGTTTTTGATGGCGGCGTCTGATGCGTGAGGAAGTGCTGTCACTCTTGACCGGTCTCGGTGGGACCGGCAACGGTGTCAACCTTTGCAGGGACGGTTGTTGATCATAGAATTGTGTCCACACATCAGCCGCCGGGAATGTGCGACAAGCTCCGTCCTCTGTTGCACTCGATATGGGCACCCATGTTCGAGTGGGCCCAGCAGGCTTGTAGGGTGCCCGATGTGGCTGCTGGGCCGGTGCCGGGAGTCAACCCGGCACATGTGGGACTTTGTCTGCTTTAGCCTTCGGGTGGCTCTTTGCGCCACCCCGGCCCTTGCCTTTTCCAGCTCCTTTGTCAGCCCCTTTCGCGCCAGGCCCCTTTTGAGCTCTTGCCCTTTCACGTCGCTTGTATTCGGCTTGACTGTAAGCCGATGCCTCGGTAACAAGCCAATGAGGGGCAATGTCAGTGCCTGACCCGGGGGGCTGCACTGCCAGAATGCGCATTGCGGCATCCGCATCGCCAGTTCTTTTCTTGTGAACGTACGCAGGAGTGAAATCTCTAGCTGGTCATTGGTTCCCAGGGTTTCCAAAATTTCGTCATCTGAAGCTGCTTTGGCCAACGCGAAATCGATGGTGGATGCTTGTGTAAATAAATCAAGGTACTCATTGCTGTGCGCACGAGCATCGATTGGGAAAAACTGGTTCACGTAGTCCCGCATACACCGCACGCCCGATGCCAGTACTGACCTGTATATTTCCGGCCCTGCGTACTGATGATCACTTGGAAGCTTGCTGTGCCAGCTTGAAATGTCACCAAGTCCAGCAGCTGTTGGCGTGATCCTTTGCCCTGAGAAAAACTCGACGGCTGACCCGGCAGTCGGCGCGGGAGTCCCAAGATCTTTCAACTGCTTCAACAAAGCATCCGTCCGCGGCGCAGATATCGTCGCATCTCCCACATAACCGTGAGCTTGCAGTACACGCAGCAAATCTCGATGAAGTGGCTCGTTGCTCTGCATTTGCACCACGCCTTCCCAAAACAGTCGCGGCCAATGTGGCACGCTGGACGACTGCTTTGACCATGATTCCAAAGCATTATGCACTTTGGAAGCCTGTGCTTTCAACTGCGTGTCGTCCAACAAGGGGTTCACGTTATGTTGTCGATCGGATGAAGCTGGTTGCGGTCCCTGGCGCATGTCTGGAAGAAGAAATGCATCGCGAACTGAATGAACGATTGCTCCACCATCCAACCGCACACGAGCAGTTCCATCCGTCATGCGTTCAAGGATTTCGCCTCGCAGACCCCGCAATGAGGAAGGCACGGCATCTTCTGTGAACCGCACGGCTGCACCTTGCGGGAACTCAATCGCCAGCGTGGGTGAAAAAATCTTCGATGCCATCTCCGGATTGTTGGGCTGTGACGCTTGCTGAACTGCTGTCAACGAAAGCGGACCATCCACGTTGCTGTCTTGTGCGAACGCACGGAAAGCAGTCATCACGGCGTTGTTCTGTGACACAGGTTCCGCGTGGCTCGAAGGAAACGGCGGTGCGCCCGGCGGCGGAGGTGGCGGGATTCCTGATTCCGTCCCCTGCGCTCGCAAGTCCTCCACCATTTTTCGCAAGCGTTCATTCTCGAGCTTCAAATCAGCTGACGCAGAAGCTTCGGAAACAGGATCGTCGCTCGCCCGCATGGCTTGATGGGCCGCAGCTGGCACTGCAGGTGACGTTATCTCCAGCTGCTCATCTGTACATATCCATGCATACTCCCAGCCGAAGCGCCGCCACAAATCTGCCAAAACAAGGCAGACACTTGCACTGCCTCCGAAAGCCACCTTCGTTCGAGCGGACCATTCTCCTCCTGCGAAACAGAAAAGCACAACTGCTAGCGCCATCCATGCCATGGCACAAAAACGGCGGGAAGTCCACCACACGCCGGTTTGCATCACAACCTGACCGGAAGTCTCTGGCAAGGTTGACTGAATCACTTCGTCCCAAAGGTCTTCGTCGTCGTTGATCGCATTGCATACCTGGCCAGAGGCGGTGCCTCCAGTAGAAGACTTGTAGTATTCCCAGAGCGCTGAAGACCATTCCTCTGCATCCAAGCCTAATGCTTTGCCCCCAAGGACGTCTAACAACAAGTTCTTGCCAGGGACTAACGCATTCCTCAAGTGTCGCTTCTGGTCACTCACACGGGATAGGGGAGCTCTCCCCAAGGCTTCCCGTGTTTCTGCGATTGCCGACCTGATCTGTGCATCATCACATGCTGCTTCAGCATCCAAATTTGTCAGCAATGCAACCACTTCAGTCACTGCGGCTCTGGACACCACCATGGGTGGATAGGCAGCGAACCCGGTCAAACTGCCATGGCAAACCAAGAATATGGAAACTAGTAAATCCTGACTGAAATCCTTGAGATTCCAAGTGCGGCGCCGACAACAATCGTACAATCAAGAGTTCCCCCATCCCCAGTTTGCGTCGGGACAGGTCTCTCAGCAAAAGCTACGTTGCATCGCAAAGGACAATCCCACGCCCTCTCTCCGTCGGCGTGCAGGCGCCCGACGGAGGCGTGCAGAAGTGGGACAAAAAGCCAGCTATGCGTCGGGCCTCGTGGAGCAGATGCATCCGGGCGGCCTTGCGTGTACCACGAGGCTGCACGTGTTTGCCGCGCTTGCGCAACGCCGTCCGCAGGGCAATCCGGTGCGGGGGCCGCCAGACGTTCCTATATTTCATTCATTTCGTTGCAAAGCAAGGAGCCGCGCAATTAGTCGTCGCATTTGATTGTTTCATTGATCATTGCCTGCGCCTTAAATGGGCCGCCTTCGGGCATCAGGCTTGACCTTGACCTATCTTTGGGAAGCAGTGGGGGGACGTCACGTTAAAGATATCCTATTTACTATTGGTGGGCAAAATGAGGAAAAAAATGGTCATGCGGGCCTCTCAAGGAGCACGTTTCCTAATCTTTCGTGTTTCGTGTTGTTTCCCGGTGTATCATGCGAGGAGCACGTGGCGCACCCCAAAGCCTAAACCAGCAACAGTCCCCAGAGCGTATTTTTGGGAAAGAAAGGCGGGGGGGCCATCGCTGGGAAACCCTTCCTAAGAATTGTGGGTCCCGCTATGTGCCTTCTGGCATGCTAGTCTCTAGGTATGTTTACGGAGGTCCCGAGTTGTCCCGCGGGCCCGTGCTTTAGGAAATAAGGGGGGCGGAAAGAACATGGGGGGGGGGGGGGGCACGTCCATGACGCATCGCTACTGTTAAAGGTTTCACGTCCCGCGAGCCCGTTTTTAGGAAAGGCCTTGCGCTGTCGCAGGCTTGCAGCCGTGAGGGTAGCGGAGACGCCATCGATTCATTGAGTTGAGCCATCGCAGTATGCAGGGGAGTTTAACGTCGCGCTTAGCGCCCCCAGCGACTTTACGTTGCGCTTGTCCCCCTGCCAATGCAGCTGCCAGAGGCCCTTGTCGGCGCAACACCCCAACATTTGATTGCCGCGCGCTCGCCGCGAATTCATGGTTTTACATCCGCCCTCCTACATGCAGCAGCTGGGGTTATGCGAGAACTGCCAGAACCGGTCCTAGAGCGTTGGCGGTGTGATCCGCGGGGAGCACTTTGGTGGGCACGCCGCACCCTTGCGGCTTCTCCCCGCGTGTCGGATGCCTTTCGCCTGATGCCTGTCCCGTCCGCTGCGCCTGCCGCGCCGCCACTGAGGCCAGTCCGCGAGCTACAATACCGCTTGGCACTGCGGCCTCACTGCGGCCTTTATTGCCCTACGCGTGCCAGTTCTACGCTGCCAGCAAGGCGAAGGCGGCGAGCAGCGACCCTTGCTGCCGGCGCTCTGCTCGCCGAGCTCCAGGGCAGCTTTTCCCGGGTGAGGCCGTTTTCGCCTTCCTTGACGACATCCAGTCGTCGCTGAACCTGAGCGTGTTCGGCCGTTGCAGGATGAACGGTTCGCCGCCTGTAGGGATACGCGCGGGTTAGATTGCACGCGGGCAAGGTGCCGGTCCCAGCATGGGTCGGCGACGGGTCCTCCCACGCGACCAACACCTCCGAATCCTCCTCGATCATGAGGACGATGGTCGGCTCATGTCGGCTCCTCCACGTGCGCCTGGCACAAGCTGACGTCCCGCCGCTTGCCCTTGCTGCGCTCCGTGACATCCCGTGACAACAGGGCCTCAATGTCTTGGGCACGCCCGCTGGGGTCAATGCAGCTCGCGCTGAAACGGGGAGCCCATGTGCGCTGCCCCGCGAGCCTCCCAGGCTCCTCGGCCAGGTGGACCAGCCGCTGCCTGAGGGCGCACTGCAGACACAACAGTTTGCTGCCCGCTTTGGCGGACTTGGTTTGCGCCCTGCGCTCGCGGCAGCCCGGAGTGGGGGTGGGAGCGCGGTGGCGCGCAAGGTGACCCCGACGACTCCCGCAGCCGTGCAGCTTGTTCCGCAACCCTCCCCCCTTCTGCAAGCCTCAGCTCCGTCGGGCCCTTCACATGTCCCTCAAGCTCATCCGCGAGGCCCCACTGTTCCGTGATGTCGCCCAGGCCCGCCTTCCAGAACCCGCTGTGGCTGCTCTTTCAATCGGGCGCTTCGTTGCCATCCGCAAAAGGTGACGACGGAGTTCAAGTTCGGAGCCCTCGACGATGGCATCCTCGTCACATGTCCCAACACAGCTGCCCAGGTGCGCCCCATCTCTGTCGATCCGATGCGGCGGAGGCAGAGGGACGCTCCGGTGACTGAGCCGGAACGAGAGCAACTTCGAAGCGTAGTTGGGAGTCTCAACTGGCTGGTGAGGGTGTGTCGGTTGGACATTGCCTACGAGGTTCACTGGAGGATCTCCTTCAGTGCAATCAGGTCCTGGCATATGTGAAGAAGACGCCCGACAAGGGGCTCTTTTACAAGTACGAAGCATTCGGTGACGCCGACGTGGCCATCTACAGCATCACCGACGCGTCTCATGCCGCCAAATTCGACATCTCCGAGAACGGGACCCCCCTTGGACATCGTTTCCAGTCGGGACGAGTGTTGGCGTTGGGCCCGAAGGACTTGGCTTAGAAGGTTCGAGGCATGGAGACAAACACAGATATACCATAAAAAAAACTGCGGGACCTCGAGGTCATCGCACAGGGCGCTTGGCATCAGACCAACCGCAATGGTTGGCTCAAGCAAGAGCGATAAAACATGCTGGCCGACTGCCAGTGCGTTTTCGCAACACACTTAACATATCTCAGTAACCTCAGCAGGCGTGCCGAGCGGGCTTCCGTGTTAGCAGCGAAAGCATAAACGGCGCAGCAGCATGAGTCCGGCGCAGCCGTTGGCTCTCGCTAATGCCGTGACGGACAATGCCGTGCAGGATCCCGCCCGACGCCCGCCAACGCCGCCAGATGTTGGTAGACAACTTGGGCCGGGCACGCCGCGGGGCCGCAGCAGGGCCCTCGGGTTGCACTAGCGAGCATCTCCGAGTCCTCCTTGACGACGAGTATGCCACAGGGCTCTTTGCCTCCGCAGCCGCCAGGCTCGCACAGGCCGCCATCCCACCTAACCGCCGAATCGTCGCGTTGGCTAACACCACTGGCAGCGTGCGCGCGCGCTGGTCATGGGCGACGTATTCCGGCGTATCGTCGCGCGCACCCTGTTCACCGTCCTTGGCAGTCCGCTTGGCAGCCGCGAGTTCGTTGCAGCACTGCTGGCGGAGCGTCGCTCCAAACACGACGAGCTACTCGCACGCTTGCCGGCCAGGCAAGATCTGCAATCCGCGTGGCTCCTGTTCCTGCTATGCCCGGCCCCCAGTTTCACTAGCCGGCTGCACGCACCTCGGTGCCCTGCGTGCACACCCCTCCTCAAACCTTAGCCGAACCCTCGTCCTGCAGTTGCAAAAAGGTGCGAGGAAAAAAAGGAGGGGGGTGGGCGCAACTCAAAGAACCAACTTTTTTTTATGCTGGCATTTTGAGCCGTTGCTTGTTGCCGTATGTAGGCACATGGAAAACCCAACTTAGTTTGCAGAACTTGAAGAAGAGGGGGTGAAAAGTTAATTGTGAGATCCTACAGGTTGTTGGGATGTTTGATGTGCAATTGCAAAGGGGTGCTGCGGAGCCATGGGGGCCACGCTATCAAGTCCAGTGACTCGATCACTCTTGTTGGGCTTTGGCGGTTTGGTTTGGTTCGTCTGGTGTCCAGGCTGCAGTCATTTTTTCATTGCGTTGCATGGGGCCTGTTCCACTGTCATCCATCCACTGTTGTAGCGCTGACATGTGCGTAAGTTCCTAGAGGTGGAGGCGGCGAAAACCAGCAGCACCGCCAGACATCAGTGTACCTGAGGCTGTGTGTCATGTGCGACGGCTTGCAGTTGACTAAGCTGTATGAACGACCTCGTGTTGTCACGCAACACACTCATCCAGGCGCTTTATGCCTTGGCGTGCCCTGGCAGTCTTGGCGCGAAGCGGTGGTGTGTGTGTGTGTGTGTGTGTGTGTGTGTGTGTGCGCCCCATGTGAGTCTTCAGGCGTGCGCAAGACCGAAGCAAACGAGCAGCATGCGCAAGAGCACTTACCAGCATCCTTGCTGGGGAGGCACGTGCCCAAATGCATAGTCATGGCCTGTGCGAACGTCGAAACATTGGTCGCTCACTAAAGTGCACGGTCGGGAGGCGCAGGTCTTGGAAGAAATCCTGGATGAAGCGCAGGGGAAACACCCCGAGTGGCAAACCTACTGAGACCTTCCCTGTCAAAACGGTATGGAAGGGCTCATGTTTGTGTGAGGTATGGCGGCTTGCTAGCCAATGGCCGAAATTTTCTTTCAGCTTCTTGGCGAATCGTGATTTTGGTTGTAACAAGCCCCAGGCACAGAACATGGTTCAATTCAAAAGCTCATGCTTGCTGTTATTGTTTACCCAACCGGCCAGGTAGTCCTGGACGACTTGGGTTGCCACAAAGGCTTGGCAAAAGACACTGAGGCAGATGCAGCACCAACCACCTGAAACATTCCGAGCCCTCCTGTTGTGGCATCCGGTGGCGGCCAAGGCGTTCGCAGACTTGCTGCTGCAGTGCACTGCTTTTGATGCGCTTTGGCCGAACCACAGCGGTTCCATTCAATTGCTCGTGATCTCATATTCAGTCATGCCTTCGGCTGAAGATGTCAGGCAGAATGGGATGACACCGACGAGTGGAACGCCTTAACGTTGCAGGCAGTCGCATATTTGAGGACGGGTCTTTTATGTACAGGGCCGATGCTTGGAGCAGACTGTGCCAGCACGTTCGTTGAAGGCAGGACCTGAAGGCGGAGGCCTTCGTAGCGAGCGCTGAGTCCAATACTTTCGCAGCAGTGCGCAAGAAGGCCAGGCAGCTGAGTCCGGTTGGAAGGGTGAAGGCAGCATGTGCTGCGCTTATCCCAAAAGGCAGAGAGCGCCCTGCAGGCATCAGTCTTGCGTCGCCGCTTGGGTGGTGAACGCCCCTGGCCCAGTCCGAGATTCGCAGCCTTGAACGGAGAGTGGAAGGCATGATTGGAAATTCTAAGGGGCCGCTGGACCAACTGCAGGCCCATGCCTGTGTGAGTTTCGATGTGCAACTTGCTTCCACAACCGGGCGATGGTCGACAAATGAAGACTATTAAACTGTTTACTTCAACAATCCCCACCCTTCAGATACCCGATGTGGCTTCGGATGGGTAGTTAGAAATATCGTTTCAAGATTTCTCCGCGGGATCTTGTGCGGGATTCTTTGGTGGTGGGGCTCGGCGGGACTCTTTGCGGCCTTCTCTGGGTGTAGGCGCTGTGGCACTCCAGGGATGTGCTCGGTGGGACCCTTCGCGAATTTCTTTGAGGGGCACTTCAGGGATACTCGGTGGACTCGCGGGACACGGGTGACAAGGCCAGGAAAAAGATTTGATTTAAAATCTGACAACCACACCGAGGCCGAGGGCGGGGAAGAACAAATGCAGGTTCTTTGTTCAACCCTCGCTGCGAACTCAGTTTGCATGGTCACGCTGGTGCCACAGATCTTTGCGGAAGGCTCGCTGGAGGAGGAAGGCATCTGCATGCCCGGTGTGCTTTCAATGAACACCCGCGTGCAGTGCCTCAGCTGAAGCATCGGAACTACAGAACATATTCGGCGCTCTGCCCTGGTCCGAGGTGTCCTGTCTGCATGGTCATGCAACAGGAGTTGCTTCGATGCCCACAATGCCGCAATGTTGGCTACTGCAGCTCTGGGCCCAGATTTCAGCCTCGGATCGGGAGCCATGCCGCCCATGCTGACTCGTTTGAGCCTTTGTTTCTTCGTACTTGCATGCTTCCTTTCACCGTGCAGGCATGCAGCATCTGCAAGAGGATGCTCCCCGACACAGTGTCTGGTGCTCCTCGAGAGCCGAGACACCGTCGGTGAATTAGAGCCAACGCTTTCCTTCGACAAAAGTTTCCGTCGAGTCGTACTATGCGCTCACACATTATGCTCGGTGCCGATCGTTACCATTATTCTCTGGGCCCAAACAGCAGTCGCAATGGCAATTTAGGAAAGTGCAGCAGGGACATGGGCTTCAACCACCCAGCCTATTAACATATGTAATCAATGAGGCCGGCAATGGCTCGCACCAGTGATGACATTCCGCGCAAGGTGGAGTAGCGTGATGCAACCTTGTTCCAGGCCATGTCAGTGGTCATGACGGATGACCGGACAATCCTGGACACGTGCTCTCATCATCTTTCATCATCTCTCAATTTTCGCCGTGCACCAATTTCATTTTGGCTCAAACGGGTCTCGTTCGGGGAGGGGATCTCCGTTCCCTCGGTTCCAAGCAGGCCTTGTACGACCTTTGTACCGAGCATGTCGCGGGAGCCTCCTTTGCAGCTGCAACTGCAAGGTGCAAGCATGTCGTGTTTCTGCTCTCGCCGTCGCTCACGACAACAGGTCCGGTTTCGTAGTTTCATGAGTGTTTCATGTGCAAGGCGAGTCAAGGCTAGGCAGGCAAACAAGGTTCAAAAACAACATCGAGCAACGATGAGTGGGCGCCTTTCTGTGGCTCCTCAGCGCAGGCACCGCTGAAGGCGCAGGCCTTGGCCGTTTCCATCAAGGCGGGCTTGCTCGCATCTGCTCAGAATTTGGTCCTGCCGTGCCCTTATGGCGACACTGAGCGGAGGCACCTGCTGACTTCGAGGTCCGAGGCGCCCATTCCTATCAGAAGTGATTAGTAAAGTTCAAGCCATACATTATTAGACAGGAGCGGCTGCGAATCTACGTGACCTCAGTGATGAAGCTGATGCCTCAATCCATGGACATTTGGAATGATCTCAGCAGATCCTAGGACAAGCATTCTGTCGAGGTTCTTTCAGCCGTTCTGCTTTGCGCCATGGTTGAATTACCCTCAAGGAAAGCATTTGTATTTTGGCATTGCGCGGCTGCTTATGTTGCGTTTTAAGTCACCTGCTGGCGATATATTACTCAGGTCTACATGGTGCTGAGGTTGCTGCACGTCTTGGTCCTGCCGCCAGATTTATTCAGCACCGGCTAGACGAAGATGTTTCGAATCCTTTGATACCTGGCAGAATGGCAGGCATGCTAGGTGCGCATTCAGGCATGCTAGGTGCGCATTGCAGCAAGATCGATTCCACATGTTTGATTTGCTGCCTGTTGAGTCGGAGAATGTTTTTTCACCGGCACAGATCCGAATCTGAGGACATCCTTATGGAGCAGATTCATGACGCAGGACCAGCAAGTGCATGCATCTGCTTCAGTTCGGGTGCCATCTGTGTGCTTGAGGAGTTTCAAAGAAGTGATCTATGGACTCCTGGACGGACAGAGGCAGCCAAGGCCTCGTACAAGGTCTTGACGCAACGACGGCGATGCAAGACCATCGAATGGCGACGACTTCCCTGTAACCACACCCTGGGGGCAAGGGAGGGCTCGCCTGGAATGTTCTTCCGATCTGGCCGCGTCTTCGTGTTAGGCGGCTGGGGGGCTCATGGCCCGATGGGCGACTTGTTCAAGACCAGGATGCTAGACCAAGGCAGAACGAAAAGGAATCGATTGGTCACGTTAGCTGCAGAGGCCAACTGGCACACCATCAAAGCCACAAGTTCTTGACTAGGCTTTGATTTCAACCAGAGTTGTCAAGGGTTGACGATAACATCGATAACGCTGCTTCAGATAACATCGATAGCACTGCTTCAGATTTTCAAGCTCAATGGAGCTGTTAATCTTGCCTCTTGTGCATATGTGGCGCTTCAAGGACGTCCAGCGCCATGCATCTTCCGAAATATAAACCCCAGTGTGCAGACAGACGCAAACACTATGAGGGTCTGCAACTGCGCGGGTTTTGGCACCAATGCGCGCGAGCTGTGAGGGTCTTGCTTGATTTTGACAGGGATTGGTTCACGTTCCGAAGCACTTGTCTAGCTACCACAACAAGGTCCACAAACTCTAAGCTTCGCCTGCATCGCAAATACTACTGTAGGTTTTGCATCGTCGAATGGCCCAAATTGCGCCCTCGTCTCAGCAACGCTTGCATTCCGTGGTCCTAATCGTGTTCCGTCTCGTCCCACGCACATTGCTTGAATGGCCACAGTGCTACGAAAGCGTGGCAACAACAACATTTTTTGGGTTCTTGGGCTCTTGGAGGCTCTTGGAGGGGATTTGCACTTCGCGGTGTTCGACATGAGAGGGGTCCGAGGCGTCCCCAGCGTTTTGCCCTCCAAAGCCCCACTTTTGCCCCCCAGCATGTCCATGTCCAAGGGTGGTCGGCTATGGGGCTACCCGAATTCAGGCCAAAGGATGCCAAAGGGTAAGAAAGGGTTTTAAACACAGTTCTAACATCTTCTAAAGCACCTCAAGCCCCCCACTTCATCTGTGAAGCAAAGGATGGGCAGAACTTAACGGTTGCGATGTTGAACGGTATTGGCTTCAGATCTTGGGGGCAAAGGCAAGGGAAAACTGTGCTGTGCATTTCTGGGTCTTCAAGTTGCCGAGGTGATCTTCATGTGGGGCCATTAGCAGCGCCACTCCGTCTAGAAGAGGTTGACGTGGAGGGCAGGGGCCCACCGGCCACGTACGAGGGGAAGTTCACAGTCTTGGATGAGGAGGACAGACCGGAGGAAGGCGATTTCAAGCTGCAGGTGCTGGTGACCGGCGGCTACTTACATGGCGGCCACGGCCTTAGTTTGGAGCTTCTGTTTATGCACGTGCATGGGCTTTTGAAATTGAGGCTACTTCGGTGAGAGCTCCACGTACGGACTCATGGAAATCACTGGCGTAGGCGCTGACGTTCGAGCTCGCTGGGTGAGGACTGGAGACATGAAGCCGCGCTCGAACCACAGTGCAACGTACGTGCCGCCAAGGATTGCGGGGCCCGCGTTCCCGTCAGGCTACGTCCTCGTGTTTGGAGGAAACTGGAATGGACGTGTTTGTAGCTCCCTCGACTTGCTTGATCTGTCCACATGGACGTGGATGGAAAACATCAGCTGCGACGGAGATCCGCCACAAGCACGTAATTCACACAGTGCCACGCTGTTGCGATGCCAAGATGGAGACGGCATTCTCATCATAGGTGGTGGATCTGGAGATGAACGGAACGGTGGACCGCCACGTGGCGGGCAGGACCTCTCGGGTGTTGATTGTGGTGCAACTTGGCTGCTTGGACTCGATGGGTTCCCACAGTTCAGATGGAAGCGCCAGGCTTTGGCATGCGAAGTTCACGGTCGGGGTCACGTTGCTGCCCGCCTGTCTGGCACCGACACTGTAGTACTCGTCAGTGGCGGCCGTTCTCCAAGCTCCCACTGCACCGCCATCGCTTCAACTCATCAGGCTCGCATGGAGAGCATGGGCCATTCTGTCGCTCCTGTCGCTGTGGCCTTTGGAGGCGGGTGTTCCCTGCCGAATGGCATGATTCTCGTGTATGGCGGCTGGAACCCCCGTCATGGCACATATACCAGCTTTTGGACTGCTTGTGTGGATGAAGTGGGCTCCAAGAGCGATTTCTTCCAAAAGTTGGAGAATCACGAACCCGAGGCCGAGCATGAGTCGTCTGACGATGATTCCATGTTCGACATTCCAGGACTGCTTCGCATGGCTCGCGTGGCCCAGGGCCGGTTGCACCCCAGGCTGCAGCTGAACGAGTCCTTCGCGGCAGGATACCAAAGCCTTCTTCAGGGCGCAGAGGACGACGATGAGGATGTCGAGGAGAACGACGAGGTAGACGATCAGGGCATGGACGTGATGGACGTGGCTTAGCGACTTACTGTAACCGGCTCCCTTCAACACAATCGTGTATCGTAATGAGTCTCAGTAATGAGAGTACTCCTGATCAGGTGACATAAGGTCTTCGTGAACTGTAACACGTGCTTGGCTTCATCTTGCCTTCAGTCGAGGATACATCATCCAGCCAAGTTGATGAGGCAGCCTTGTGGGATCTGTCTGATGACTGAGTCCTGCCCGAGTGCTGTAAAGTGGCGAGTCGTGGCCACTCTTATGCAGCAGAGCAAGCCTGCTGGACCCTGTAGCTCTCGGAATGCAAGGGCGATATGCGCTGAGCCAGCAACGGAGCCGAGCCTTCAAGAACTTCAAAGAACTTCAAAGACAAGATGCCCACACAGCCTATACAGTTGATGTTCGCTCGAGTTGCTTGCTCAGGCAATGTGTACATAGACACTTGCGTTTCGCTTCTTGGCTAGATGTGCGGCCAACTTTCTGCAATCCGCCGGAAAGACCCGTGTGCAAGCCAACGCTTGGATGGCTTGGATTGGATGTTGAGAACTCGCACGCCAGTTATCCGACTGTACATTCCAACCGCCTCGGTAGCCTTGCAAGGCTTTGCTGCGTGGCCGCTGCTCACACCCTCGCTGCTTGTCATGTCAGTCATGTTTCGTGTGCACCTGTTGCCTCGAGATGAGCTTTGCCTCCTCTTTGCCCTAAGCCCCCAGGTGTGATGTTGACTCTTCAGCAGGTTGTCCTGGTCACGACCTTGGACCCTGACCGCACACTTGAGGAGGTTGAGCAAGCTGATTGTCCTACAGCTTGTATGTAGAGTGAACGCCAGACATCTGTCTGCCGAGACGTGATCAGGATGCAATCTCGCCGTCTGCTGCTGTGGCTCAAGACAAGCATCTGGCCCAAACACCCGTTGGGCAACAACTCGAGTCTTCTGTGGACTTCAAGCAGAGGAGCGGTAAAGCCCGTCTGCTTTGTCAGCTAAGAAATCCCAACCAAAAGCGTCTTCTGGTCGTGATCTACGTCATGGCCGACTTCACTATGTCGACGGCATCGCAGACCCTCGAGGCCGTTTACAATTCTTTGGCTCCCCTTTGGGTTGAGCTCTCCTTCTTGTTCTTCTTTTCCATGGGCTTCTTCTACCTTCGCGCAGACACTTTCAAGAAGGCCAAGAAAGGCAAGGTCAAGGGTGGGCCACCCACCTTCCGCCCGACTGCACGAAGGACCATCGAGACTGAAGCCTCGGCAGGCAATGCCGCCAAGCTTCTGCAGGTCTGGCGAGATGAGCAGGCACAGGCACCCACCCCAAAGGATCTCCTGAAGCCCGTGGTGCAAGCCTTTGTGGATGCAGAACCGGAACAGCTCGTCGAAGAACTTGTTGAGCATCTCCGTTTGCACAAAGAGGTTTTGGTGAACTCATGGGCAGGGACCGTGATCTTGGACACGGTGGCTCGTTCAGGGAATGTGGAAGTGATGATGGACTTGTGGGACGTCTACCAGAAGAAGCTCTGCTTGGCGCGCAGCTGCTCCATGTACGAAGTGGTTTTGGGCGGCTTCGCCTCCGCTGGCCATCCTGATCGAGTCGAGGAGTTTGAGCACATGATGCGGAAGGACCGCTTGAAGCTCTCCCCGCGGGGCCACTCCTTGATCATCAAGGGCTTCTTGAAGAACGGCTTGGTGGACGAGGTCCTCAAGAGGATCATCTCAATGACCAAGTCGGGTCACGTTGTGCCAGCCTTTGCCGTGGCACAGTTCCTCCGCGTCGCAGCCGAGAGTTCGAAGGCATCGGCCATGTATCAGAAACTTGTCGAGCATGGCGTCGCGCTGGGGACCGAGGCTGTAACAGTCATCCTTGAGGACTGTGTCCGGAACCATGATGCAAAACTGGCGAGGGAGGTGGAGAAGGCGGCTCGTGAGGCAAAGATCGCTTTCGGAGTTCACGCATACGATGCGCTGCTCAAGGTTTACGCCGAGGACTGCGATGTCCACGCCCTCGAGATCTTCGCGGAAATGCAGGCTGATGGTCATACCATCAGCGAGGGGCTTTGCGTTGGGCTCCTTGCGCGCTGTGCGGATGGCAAGTTCTTGAGCTTTGCCGAGGAGATTGTCCGCTTCGTGCGTGCTGGCCCAGGGATGAGCATTGCCGTGTACAGTGGGTTGATGAAAGTCTATGCCTACTCTGGGATGTACAGCAAAGCCTGTGACCTGTACGACCAGATCCGCAAAGATGGCCTCGAGCCAGACACGATGATGTATGGCTGCCTCATGAAGTTCTCTGTGGAGTGCGGTCGCACTCAGCTCTCACAGGAGCTTTCCGAGAAGCTCTCAGTCCTGGACATCCAGACGCTTGGTTGTAAGTTTGTCGTTGGCCATATCGCCTCGCCCAGGCCCGGTGCAGATGGTCATAGCGGTCATAGCGGCCTTAAACGACGTTCCATCACCGTGACCCTGTGCAAAGTTCACGCCAAGACCTTGGACACACGGAGAAAGCCACAGGGCTCCACAAGGAAAATGGGGCGGGGGGGGGGGTTGGCAGAGAGTCGGCCTAGAGGGTCGCAGTCTTGCTCAAAAGCCAAACTCCGGGGCTGGCCTGAAGGGTGTCCTGCAAAAAGGGTGGGCGGAGGCGAGGAGGTTGGGCACTGGCTTTGGGTGGGGAGGGTCCTAAGAGGTGGGCTTCTAATCCGACTTGTGCACGATTTTGATTTGATTGTTTCTTCTTCGTGCGCTATCGTTCATAGCCATAGCACTTCTAGCGACAAGGAACTACATGTCCTTGATCAAAGCCGCGGGCAGAGACCGCGATGTTGACAGAGCCTTTTCCATCATCCAGCGCCTTCGCGAGAACAATGCCTCTTGGGCATAACTGGAGCTTTCAGCCAGTATCCGCACTAGGCAGACCTAGCCGTTGAAGGTGCCTAACGAAACTATGCCGGCTGAGCCAACTTGGTCAAAGCTTCTTTTGTTTTGGGTTCTTGATGTTCTTGTGACACCCTGTGCAGCCATTCTCAGACAAGCACGCGGGCTCTGGGTGTGTCTGTGTGTGTGTGTGGAGATGCTTAAGAGAACTATCGGGCTTGGGCAGGGAGGGTGTCCAGACAAGCCTCTAGACTTGCAACTCTAGACTTAGTATGGGGTCCGGGCAACAGCGCAGAGACACCTGGCCTGCATTGAATGGCTTCACGGTCCGACTTGGTGAAGAAGTGGCTCAACAAGAGTGGTGCAACGCCAGCATGTCTGGCACACGCAACCCCAAGCAACCAGCTGCTCACCATGGGCTACCACCAACAAGAACAGCGAAGGCAGTCACAGCCCACCTGTGTGGTGGATTTCGATATAGCTGCCCAATCAGAACAGGATTCCTCTTCCAATTCGGAATTGGAAGGCATGTACGCTTTCAATGGCATTGCCCACACTGCAGCCGAAGTGTCGCAAGACAACGCAAGTTTCGACGGCGTCGGTGCATGTCCAGTTGGTGACTCTCCTGTTGATTGTGGTCGACAAGGTCGACAACAAGCTGGTCCGGACGAGCCTGGTGACATGGCGAGGTTCTGGAAGTATGTGCTGGGGCATATCAGCAGAGGGTGAAGTAGCCAAGTAGCTGCGTGCGGAGTCACTATGAGTAGGACGTATGAAGCATCTGAAGCTCAGGTACTGAGGAGCAAGGGCAGCGAGAGCGTGCTCCGGCTCCGAGCCCTCTGAGCTCAACGAGCTCAAGGATAGGTACACACCACGACTCCGACGCGTCCGATGGGTCCCGCTGCCTCCCTGGGAACGCTCGCTGCGATGCGCGTGCGCCAGCAACTGCACTGGTGTGGCCCAAGGCTGTCAGTGTGAGCAAGTCTGGTGAGTCTGGTGCACGGAAAGTTGGCGGAGGCAGCCGACTGTGTGGAGTGAGCTCACAAGCTAGATGGCCACCGAGCTTGAGTGGCAAAGATGCCTCCGACATTCTGGCCAGATTTGGTGGCAAGTCCCAGTATCCGCAGAGAGGCCAAGTGGTCAAACCAGACTTTCACAAGGCCAGCCCCCGCCCGGAGCCTCGTCGACGAAGTGACACACCCGTCCCTGTAGGAAGAGCTTCCCGCAAGTGAGAACATGTGAGAACGCTCTCTCAGTCCAGCCTCCGGGCACTTGTCGCCAAATGGGCACCTTTCTGCTTTGTCCGTACGTCGCTTCCAGTGGTCCTTGCAGCATGTGGCATATGAGGTTCTTGGAGCCAGGGTCAGATGTGTGTTTCAATGTGCCATGCTGCAGATACTGGCACGTAATTCAGGCTCGACATGCAGATTTAGTCATGCGACCCCACGCGCAGGTTACAAGCTTGAAAGGATCGGCAGGAGTTGAGGTTTGGAGCAGGAAGCCGGGCTGATTTGCCAGGACCGAAAGGCTGTAGCAGCTTGCAGTACACGATCAGACACCATTTGTTACAACGATGATTTTCCATGCTGCATGTCGTAAGGAATCGAATCCGGCTTGCCTTGAGACTAGGTGAGAGGGTCATCATAGAGGTCCGAACCCGGGCCACAAGCTGCCTGGGAGGTGCTGACTTGATCATCTAATTTCATGTTGCAGGCGGAAGATGTTTGAAGATGCTACCAATAAGAGAGACGGGTCTCAGCTGAGGTCAAGCCGGATGCTATTGCCTTCAACTGCGTGTTGGATGTATGTGTAAAAGCCGGGGACCTTGGCCGTGCGCGAAAGCTGGTCCAGGAGATGAAGGACGTCCGGCCCTGCAGTTGGCATTTGCACACGGCTGAACGACTCCCCAGCTGTTTGTTTTTCTTTTTTTCTTCTTCTTCTTCTTCTTCTTCTTCCTGGCAGGAGTTGGGCTTGCTTGTCACCTGGCCGAAGGGATATGTGCACACCTCTAGTTTTCTTTTCACAGCTGCCGTTTTGAACATCAGCGTGCTTCCAAGGACATCATCACCTACAACACCCTTCTGAAGGGATATTGCACCAAGAGCGACCTCAAAGGGGCCAAGGACCCTTTCTTTGACTGAGAGCATCCGTTTGAGAGTCGGCTCTCAAAGCGAAGAGCGACTCTGCTTTCTGCTCTCTCAACTACGAAAGCAAAACGAGGAACTCCTGTCCGAGATGGCGGCCGCAGGCTTCGAGCCCAACGATGTGTCCTACAATTGCTGCTTGGACGAATTTTTTTGACTTCTTTTCAAGTTCATTCAAGTTCATTGTCTCATTGTGTGTTTTAGTTTGAGAGGTTGTTTTCGACTTTTTTTCTCGTTTGAAAGGGCGTGAGAACATCTTTCTGTTCAAAAGACCAGAAAATCCAGAGAGGCATCCTGAACACTGCCGTGAACAACGGCAGCTTCGAGGAGGCCTGGGACACCATCGCCAAGATGGCCGCTTGCTCGCACCAGGTTGCACCATGCAAAACCGACCAGCTCCGCGCCGTGTCCGCGCTCGCGTTCGCGCTCGCGTAGCATGATGTGTTCTTGTCCTCCAAGGAGCAGATGAATGTGCCGCCGGATCACTACACAGAGCCCTGGATGCAGTCCAAACATTGTCAGAAGGAGTCCCGCTTGCTGGCAAGAAAGGGAAAGAGCGGAGTCCCAACCAATGAGGTCTCGATTATGCTCAAAGCTCTGAAGAGGGCAAAGGGGCAGAAAGATGTCAGCTGCTCTGAGTGAAGCCTCGCTTTGCAATCTGAGCACGGTCCACAATCTCTTGGCCCAATTGATCTACAATAAACACGTTGCGTTGTGTCAAGGTGAATCGTTGCTTGAACTTCTTGGATCGATCGCACATCGACCCTTGCTCTGATGAGATTCTGATGAACACTGCTGCTCGGACTGCAACGGTTCCTCTGACTCCTGAACATCACAAGACGCTTCTGCACGGCTGTTTCCTGTGAAGGTTCTGGAGACATACATTCGACACAAGGAGTTCAGGCACGTCAGTTGTCAGAACGCGTGTGACACAGTCCCTTTAAAGTGATGCGCAGGCGTCTGGAGAGTCTGCTTGCTAAATTCGCAACTCGGCTGTCGGGCAATGTCAGCACGCAGGATTGAGTTCAGTCGTTCTGTTCCGAGGAACAGTCGAATTTGCGTCCATCAGTTCCCACGTATGGCTCCATCATCAAAGCCTATGCCAACCTGAAATGTCCCGAGAAGTGCTGGCACTACTGGAATGCAGCTGGGCTCAGCTTGAGTGAGCGGGTGAGTCAATGAGGGGAAGCATCGTCAGCACATATTGGTAGAGTAGATCCCCGACAAGTTCGCATCTCTATATAAATAGAAGAGTGTTCCAGGACACTCGCTCTCACCGACACGTTCCGTTTCTAAGGAAATGCAAGGACAGCGGGGTCTGGAACCCAACGACATCGTGTACGGCTGCATGCTGGACGCCTTGGTCTGCAACGGACAAGTCGACGAAGCCGTGCAGCTCTTCGACCGGAGCTCAGTCAGCTCAGTCAGCTCACAGATCTCAGTTCTTGGATCTGCAGATCATGGCAGATCCCTTAAGCCTTAAGTGACTTAAGTGCTCAGCTGAGCAAAAACTCGAGCCGACAAAAACGCACCCAGCTATTGTTGAGGAGAAGAGCAACTTGAAGCCGAACGCGGTGCTTTGTTCCATCTTGGTGAAAGGCTTCACAAACACCGGCCAGTCTCAGCGCGCCATGGATCTCTGGCACGACATGCGGCGCAGAGGTGTGCGGATGAACACCGCCGCCTGCAACGCCTTCGTGGATGCGCAGGCTCGTGTGGGCAACATGGAGGATGTGCTGGAGATTGTGAAGGCGATGGATGCCGACAACTGCCAGCCTGATGGCATCACACACTCGACCATCGTTAAGGGCTACTCTGTCAGAGGTGATCTGGACAAGGCCATGGAAGTCCTACGCGGCATGCAAGAGAGTGGTGTCTACCACGATGCCATCGTCTACAACACTATCTTGGATGGCTGTACTAAACATAAGAGATCGGATCTTGTCGATCAGATTCTGCAGAGCATGGAGGAGCACAGGATTGTCCCCACCAACTTCACGCTTGGCATTCTGGTGAAGTTCTACAGCCGCCAGAAGCAGCTAGACAAGGCCTTCGCCGCGATGTCATCGCTCCCAAAGCGCGGCAACTTCGTACCAAACTGCCAAGTTTGGTCGTGCTTAATGGGTGCCTGTTTGATGAATGGATCGCCGGCCAAGGCCTTGCAGGTCTTCCGCGACATGCGACAGGCAGGTCAGAGTGCAGACACTCGTGCCTGCACATCTCTCGTCTCGGGGTTGGTCCGAATGGGCCAGATGAGGGAGGCTGTTCAGGTGGTCGAGGAGGTCTACGGGTTCCATGGCAAGGGCATGAAGAACAATGGCGTTGCTATTGAACAAGACTGTTTGGAGAGCTTGCTGGCCGCTTTGGCCCAAAAGGGCCTCAGGGAGGAGCTAGCGGCACCTCTCCTGGAGCGTCTCCGTGCGGCGAAGGTCCAGATCACTGGCAAGCTCATGGCCGCCACCCTGGCGGAGGAGCGCTCCCCTGAACGTGCCACTACACGCCAGTTCAAGGGCGGTTACCGCGAGGGTTGCCGCTCCTGATCTGATTTCTATATCTCTTGCAACATCGGCCACTGCGTCGATGCCATCGAATGCCCATCTGTACAGCCGGGCATAGCACCTGGGTTGCACCGAGCTTGCCCCTAGCTTCCTGTATTGGAGATGGTGAGTCTGGTGTGACATGGTGTGACCACGCTTTTCCCGCTCACACCCAAGGTGCCAACTTGTGCCGGGGGTCTCATTCAGAAACCTCGGGCAGAAGCGCATTGGACTGATACTTCTCAGGCAGATGGTGATGTAATGCACGACACTGCGACTTTCAGTTTTAGACTTGTTCCCCAATGTTCCCCAAACGTCTCAACACTGAGAGTCCAATGTACAGGGGGGTGCCACGCGGCGCGCATTTTCTCGAAGCCTGCCTGCTGCATTTTGGACGACAAGCGCGCCACTCTCGCCGTCCTCGAAACTAGCATCGCTTTCGGACGTCTGACCTCGCCACATGCTATCCTGTCGCTTTGAGCGTCCGTGCTCTTGGTGTCTTGAGATGTGGTCCTGGATCATCGGAGTGCTCTTTCGATCTCTTTCGTGTTTTTCGCGGTCTTTCACTGTTTGGGGTCTGCGCTGGCAGGCTGGAGTTTTGCATCTCATCTCTGTTGTGGAGCTCTCGACTTTGGGATTTGACTGCAGGCTTCTGCTGATGTCAGATGGCCTTCCTAGCAGCTTTGCTGCTGGCACCTTGCCACTGCGCATGCGCACCTGGAGACACCAGACAAAAGGGGCGATGCAGTCTTGCTGTGAGTTTGTGGAGCTCGGCGAACTTGATTGCGCATGTAGCCGACGAAATGCCGACGAACTTAAACAAGTTTAGTCTTTTGTTTGGTCTTCGAGGCCCTTGCTGTGGTCAAGGCCAAATCTGCGAGGGTCTTTTGCGGCATAAAGAGCCGGAGAGGCCGAGAGGCCGGAGAGGCCATCCGTTGTGCGACGGATTGCAGGTGTGCACCGCGGACTCTGAGCAACTGGACGCCTGCACGACTTGTCAACTCTTCGTTTTGGTGCCTCGGAGAAACGTTCAGCCGTTCAGCACATCTGCCCGTGTGTCAAAACCATTTCATGTGAGCGACGCCTGCCTGGGTTGCCTTGGTTGCCTTGGTTGCCTTGGTTGCAAAGGTCGCTGTTCATTTTCGACAGAACTCAAGCGGAGCGATTCAGGAGGCATGCGAACTCCTTGCAAATGAGTGGCTGTGAAGCAAGCGGGAGCAAGTAGGTAGGGAGACTTAAGTTCAGCTGGGACGGCAGCTGAGGCTAGAATTGGAGGCCTGTGGCATGACCTCGCCTTATCGTTTTCTCAACCTTCCCCGCTGAAGGTACTGAAGAAGGAATGTGTTAGTTTCTGGAGGAAAGCAAATCGCAGGCAGGAAATCTGAAAAGGAGTTACGACTTCAGCTGGACGCATCCGTCGTGCAATAATCCATGGATTCAATGCTGACTGGATCATGACCACATATGACCACGATTGCAGGTTGGATGTCTCTAAGCCAGACTTCAAGCACTGGCAACAGCGGCATGGCGCAGAAGGCCACAAGAGAGCAGATGGCCGTCGTGCCCAACTTGCAGGTCAGTCTGTGTGGGGAGCTTCGTGTGCAATGCCTTCACATCTTGGACGCGGGAAGAGGCGAAGTAGCTTGCCGTGCTACCTGGTGGGTGCCCAGCATATTGCCCAGGATATTTCCCAGATTGCCTGAGAGTTTGCAGAGGCCTTGCAGTGGGAAATGGCGTTGGGGCTCTCTTGGCACAAGCAGGACTTGCAGTGAGGTCTGTGCCAATCGGGGCTTAGCCTGTCTCAGAAGCTGTTGATCCAATGTCTTAGCTTTCAACCAAAGTGTTGGTGCTGACAATCCGAAATTGATGTCATGCAGGTCAGACCCGTGTCAGCTGTTCAAACCCCGATAGGAAGTTACAGTTTGCCGATTCGATGTTCAAGAGGACACGCGCAGTGAGTCGCCCTCGAGGCCACAGACATCTTCGCCCGACCTGGCATGTGCGCAAGATGCCAATGATGCTGATACCCTTGAGAAGTTGCCCGAAGATCCCTTAACACCCTCGTGCCCTGATTATGCGGATGCTTACGAAGACTTGGTTGGCATCAGGGTCGTGGCAGTGGTCTTCACAGGACGCGGCTCCCGTATGCGCGCTTTGCTGCCGTATCTACGCCGCGACATGAGAGCCCACGGCGGAATTCTTGACCGCATCATCTTTGCGCTCATCCGCTTCATGTCTGCAGCCAGGCACAGCGAAGCAGCATCCAGTGAGCAATCAGTGCTCATTGGAGACCTTACCGAGGACCCGATTCTCTGGCATTGACGTTGGTTGGAGAAATGCAAGGCATCTACGGCATCTACAATCGCGACGCTCAGAGTTCAGGTCGCGACGGTCTCATTGAGATTCGTGACTACACAGAAGCTACTTGGGCAGAGGGGCGCCGAGATTCTCGAGATTCTCGAGATTCCCTGTCCCGGCGCATCCCTGCACTGTATAGATCCTTGAACGAGACAAACACAGTGTACCTGAAGGCAGGTATGTCGGTCTTATCTTGTCAAATCGTTTTTGGGAGCAATGACGACTGCACTTCTCAGCCCTGCCAGGTTGATGATGATATTGTGTTTCTGGCAAGGCATGCTCTGGCTGAGATGGTGCGCGAGAAGCTGCGGCGCCGCTGCATGTTTGTGTCCGCCAATGTAGCTGTACTGCATTTCAGATACGAGCCGTGGGCCTGCACAGTGCGAGAGGGAGCGACCCTTTGTGGTGTCCTGATAGGGCGGTGCGTTTCATGCTTGACCTCTGGAGTCATCCAACCCAAACAAGCAGCGTGTTGCAGCCTGATGTTAAATTAGTTGTAATCACGCTATGTGGTTTCAAGCTTTCTCAATTATCTAGTGCGATGGGCATTCGTCCCCCAACCCACACACGTGTCCCTTAGCAGGGGATGTGCTGTCTCGCAAAGGTGGTGAACCATGCCATCCTGTCTGCCGTTCACCAGGAGCACGGGGCACACCGTGGTTTTGAGCCGGAGCACGCCGGGACGGAACTCATGCAAGATTCCCGAAGCGCTTGGGTACGAAGCTTGCCTTTGATGAGAGACAGGAGCTGGATGTAGCCGTAGTGCGTGCTGTCAAGCTGAGGCGTGGCAGATGTCAACCTGGACCCCTCGTATGTCTTTGAGCGACATCCAATGGGCTCTTGCGTCTTCAAGCGCTGGGACTGCGCGGCCTTGGTGCATGAGAGTGGCTTAGTGATGCATTGCTTTGCCATGCTTTATGTGTCAGGGCCGTCTCTGGTGATGCTGAATTTGGGCCTACAGCGAATCTCTGTGCTAGGTTTCCTGGACAGAGAGCGCGATGGGACCCTCTGCGCCTTCGATTTTGGCTGGCTTGATTTCCACAGGCCTGATCTTCAGACAGGAGGGACAGAATCTGAGAAAGAGCGAGAAAGTGGTGACGATCCGAAACTTTCGAAGAGAAGAGGGTTTGTCACGGTTTGTCGCCAGGGCCGGCTTCCGGGAGCACCAGTATGTCCATGCGTCGCCCTGGTTGGGCCAGACCTGGCAGGCTTCAGGGGCCCGATGGAGCATCAACCTGCCTCTTGGATTCTTGCATCTTGCGGATTTCTTGCAAGCCAATTTTGGGGGCAAAATTTCTGGGAGCAGCGGGTGGAGATTTTGAGATTCGAACTGCAGCAAAGGTTTGCACTGGAAGCTTCAGATTTGACTGGAGTGGAGCCTTGCTTGATCATGATGGGTCTGGCAGGCATTTTCAAGCGTATAAAATGAGTTGTTGCAACTTACATGTGGTATATGTCGTATTCGCGGTGTTGTGGACGGAGTGGGGTGCAAGGATTGGTCTCGTGTGCACGGGCCTGGTGATGATGAGGAGGAGTTTGGTGGAAATCACGCGGAACGCACAGGTGGCCATGCCTGTGCACTGGGACGAAGTCTGGCAGTACATTTTTCTTACACGACGCAGCCTGGCAGCAATGGCTTTGCAGAGCATCTTGCCGTGCCTGAGTGTGGTTAGTGCTCATGAGCAAGCAGTCATATGCAAGGCAAGAGGAGCGGCTGATGCGGCATACGGACCTGCTGTATCGGTATGTGGAGCTGGCGAGAACAGGGTCAGTTGGCCATTTCTTTTTGAGTTAACTCTGGATGACAGTTCTTGGAGAACGACCGGGCAGCTGTGCAAACCGGACCATCATCTTTGCCATATTTGCAAGGTTCTCCAAGGCCGCATGGCCACACCATCCGCTAATTCCAGAGCCGTGTAGCCGAGCAGGACGAGCCAGCTTGGGGCAGCCACCTTGGTACTTGCCTTATCTTGCCCCTCTTCCAGACCCCCTCCAGAGAGGCACCATCTGCAAACAGCATCATTCTAGGGGTCTGGTCGCCCACGACGTCGACGCCCGACGAGTCCGCAACCTGCCAGACTCACTCTACGGCATGGGCTGACTGCACAAGCAGCTGAGTGGTCAAGGCTGCAGAGGTGGAGTCAACAGTGGAAGGACGACCTCCTCAGCATCATGGATGCAACTCACCTACTAATCATGATCCGCCGAGTGTCAATATGTGCTGTGAGGTGCCTGTTTTGGTTTGGAACGGCTTGGAGGGTATTGATCGTGGTTTGCAATGACTACAGACTATGGCACACTGTGCATCCCAGCATGCTACTTTCTACAGGCGAATTTGTGTTTTGAGTTTTTTTCTCCTGGGCTGGGGTTCGACCGGCACTGGCTAAGCCACAAAGATTCAGAAAGATGCAGTCAAAAGAGAGCGCACTATGTCTAGGACACCAGTAAGTAGTACAAATAGTACTCATGGCAGAAGTTTTGCTACGTGCTAGCCTTTCGTGTTGTTCTGCAGAGTCTGGCCAACCTTGACAGCAACGCAGCTGAAGATGCCACTGTAACATACGGCAACAGACGTCGCACGAAAATCATGCTGCCACTTCGCTACTGTGTAAGCTTCTCGGACATCATTGCAACATGGCGCACCCCCCGCTGGTAGTTGAGCACATGCATGGCCTCTCAGATGCAGTTGTTAAGTGAGAGCGTGCACTGCGGATGACACGGCATAGCCTCTTGCCATGGCATCGAGGGATTCCCGTATTATTTGCTTCCGCACAAGCTGTGGCGATGGAAAACTTGTTGGCGCAAAAGTCCGTCTCCAGCATTCAGGAGTGGCAGGACAGCCTTGCAGACGAGACGGCAGCATTACGAGACGTCTCCTCTGATGTTTGCTGGCAAGCTGGCTTCACAAAAGAGAAGTGTTGTCGTGGAGATGCATCGACCACCCCGGAATGCTGGGATGGAAGCTACAGCTTTGGGGAGTGCTGCCCCAACGCTGACTGCTGGGAAGGAGACTTTACCTTCGACTTCTGCTGTGGGGCAAAATATGGCTCGACGGGCAATCAAGCCTGCTGGGCTGGTTCCTTCACACATCAGCTGTGCTGTTTGGCCAATGCGACCTCAAACAGTTGGGCAGATGTGCTTGCATCACAGGTCGAGACGGAGCAGTTCTACAAAATGGATGATTTTTACACCGATGCGCAGTATGGAGATGAGTGGGGCTATTATTCAAAGGGCCATGTGCTGTTGGGTGGAGGTAAAGGCGGTCAAGGAGAGACCCAAGGCACGCAGCAATTTGCGCACTTCACCACTTACCCTATGGCACTATCGCCGCACTTTGCAAGAGTATTCTGCCGCTTGCTCTTCGTCATGTGGGTCTGGCGCTCGCAAATCTGAGAGTCCGCACTCACACTCAGAACACGTGCACAGTATGAGCTGCCTCAGGTCCAGCTCGACGAGCGCGCCCCATTCCGCGTGGTGGAAATGGGTGCAGGCCGTCAAGCAGTCATTGATGTAATAGGTTGCTCCGGCTGCTGTGGACGGTTTGACGCAGGTTCCGGTCAGCTGGCCTATGACACCCAGCAGTGCGTTCGAACCAATGCACTGGGGCTGGCGCCCTCTGTGTGGCGTCGTTGGGCGGCGGCCTTCGAGCCACCTGGCTTGTCAATGCTGAGTCATCATGTGCCATGCGATGTCGTGTTGTGCCTCACTGAGGTATACAATCATGGAGAGGCCCGTGCTTCTTTCCTTTGATACCGGTTATTTCCAGCACATGTCAGGTCTCCGGCACTTCGCAAGAGGCAACAATCTCGAGGACTCCGATCGGTGGCTGGGGACGCACAAAGTACGGCGGCGAGCTTACAAGCAAATTCTTTAAGAACCATTCCTCAAGGAAGGTTGTGAGGACAGAAACCTCCAAGGCCAGCTGCAAGTCCGTCTTGGCTGCCCTGGCAGCATCAACAGCCTGCCAAGGAAGCTTGTTTTGCAGAATTGCGAACAATATTATTGCGGTTGTGCAGATGCTGTGACATGCCAGGCGCAGAAGGCTTGGATGCTCCAGAATGCGAGGCCAGGGATCGAGGCACGGCAGAGGCTGGTGCTTCTGTGGCAGCTTGTCTTGAAAGCAAGCAGTCCGTTTGTTTTGGGATGTGTGTTCCAGATCTCCAGAGAAAGTGTTGCTATTCAGCTAGTCAATACTCCCAGCAATGCATCCCGCGAAGAGATGCGGCAAATGGCATGTGGTCTTTGCGAGCGCATTCAGGTGCTCTCCAATGAGCTGCTGGATGCGTTTGCCCCCGTGAAGCTGCGGTCCCTTTCGACAGAACGTGATCCCAGGGCCGGGTATGAATAGGTCGGCAATTCGGCATGACTGCAGGTTCGGCCTGTATGGGCAGCCAAACATCACCCACTGCGGCTGCCTGGCACCGAAATGATGCCGAACTGCTTGGCCACAGCCTAGCAGGCCTAGCAGGCCTAGCCATTGACTCTTTGGTTCCGTTGAGTTTTTCAGTACAAGCAGATGTAGCAAAGGTTCCTGGCAGGAGGTGCGATTGGTGCACACGATCCCAGAGGCCGGCATTCCGGCATTCCCGCATGTGAAACAGCCGTAGCATCGAACATGGTTCGATGTCAAAGTTGACGTGACGTGAGGAGAGACTACGAAATCTGTTGGCGATCATGGGCTTTTCTGAGGCATTTGGCTGGCCCATTTGGCCTCACGGACATTTGCCCATAAATGGACATGACTCCTTGCATTCAAGTTCTCGTGCCCATCTGAGAGGCGTGGTTAGAGGGAACGATTCAACAAGTGCGCAGCTACACGGAGACCACATTCTGCGTTACCTGCTAAGCTGGTTTACACATGGTCGCACCACATGTGTCCAAGCAGTGCACCATTCTGACCCGTGAGCGTGGAGGCTATGGCCAACACATCGATAGGCTATGAGGCGCAGCAGAAGGCGTGTGCTTGTTTAGCTTTGTGCTTGTCCCACCTTATCCTGCGGTCGAATCAGCCAGGTCGATGTTAACACATCTTGCTTGGCAATCGCCTTCAGCTTGAGTGAACTGGTGAACCACCTGGACCTTGGACCCCTGGCTTAGACGCAGCAATCAATAGCCTTGCTCAGAATGGATTGGGCGCTTTCGGCAAGGAATCCCTTTCGCGTCGCACAACATGCGGATGAGAATCAGGAAGGACTCGAAGCTGTCTGATCGCTTGCGCACGATCACCAGCCGTCTTGATAGATCCTTGTCTTGCAAGACTTGGCTGGAGTTTTGTTTTCTTCCTTAGCTCAGGTCCTGAAATATGCTCAGGTGAACTACAGGCGTCGGTGGCGCTGCCTCGCGACATCTACCGCCAGGCGAGGAGCAGTTCAACCAGAGAAGCGCAAGCAGGGTTTTTGTGTTTGAACGAATAGTGGCAGATCCGTCACCAACTTCGTCCTGCACTGAGATATCTGTGCGGAATGTTTGTGCAGGCATGCAAGAAAAAGCCATGTGGATGAGTCTCAGTGCAGCATGAGGCGACTTGCCGGACGTTGAGGCGGAGTTTCTGCATGCCACGCAGACCCACTTGCTGCCAGTCTCCCTGTCAGAGGACGCCGCGACCGAGAGAAGAGAGCTACGGTAGGGGATGTTGCGTGCACTGTCGAGGATCGATGCGAAGAGCTTGCATGGTGGTTTGACGCCCACGAGCCACGCATCGCCAGACTGGCGCTATTCTATCGCAAGCTGGGTTGCACCCTCATGGACTGCTGCGGAGATCGGCCCTCCATACGCGTCCAGTTCTGTCTTGTACCTGAGGCTATCCGGCCCTTCATGTTGTGGCAGCTTGTCTGAATTTCGGCAAGCCGCGAGTACTCTCTACCTCCAAGTCTTCAGGTGCGGCCAGGGGAGGACGTGCTGGCTGCATGTGTAGGCCTTCATGGCCTCTTTGAACATGCGGAGTCAGCAGGACAACTTCATCGATTTGGTGGATTGCCTGCTGGGGCCAACTGGTGGCTACAAGCTTAGCCTGGACTACGGTGCCAACTTCGAGGCGCGATCTTTCTGCATCTTTCTGCGTCTTGTCCCCCCCACACGGAAGCTGAGCAGCTGCGCTGGGCAGGGGCTCGCGCACAGCCTCAGTGTCGATGGGGACAATGATGGTATCTTCGTGCCACCGATCCCACATGACTGCTGCACGTGCGTGGGCAAATCATAGACAGGCATGTGCTGCACGTCTCTTTCAAGTCACTACATGGGCCTGTAGGAACTTATGGCTGGCTTGCCAGAATGCCACAACTTTTGGCCAAAATGCCCCTTGTCGCAAGCGATGCAGACAGATGCACCGCACAACCGGATGCTATACATAAGTTTACGAGCTGCAGGCGCCGGGCGCATTGACTGGACAACCTTCGTGGATTTCACAAACCTAGCAGCGGCGGGCGAGAGACGTGGATGGCGAACTCTGTGCCCACTCCGCAACGAGCTTTGCACAGCGTTACTTGTTGTTGGCTGCTTTGCCAGTGTTTGGAGGTTCGTCCTCAGCCGCAGCCTAGGTTCTATGGTCCGCAGAATCTTCTGGAACAGCTGAGCCGGTTGAACTTAACCCTGAACGCCCATCAGCTGCACCATTTCCGGCTGAAGTGCATCTTGATACTGTTGTGGCATGAGGTGAGCGCGGGTGAGTGTCAGTGGGTGACCGCAACTAAGGGCAGGTCCTACTCAGTGCCCGGATATGCAGTCCTGCAGGATGACTGGATCTCCCGACACATAAAGGGCTGGTATGGAAGGGAGAGTGACACTTGGCGGATTTGGATGTCGTTGTTTTTTTGTGTGTTCACACGCCCCTCTGAACAGCTTGCAGCCGCCTCATGAAATGTGGAGCGGATTCTCAGGACATGGACGGCACTGGTGTGCAGAGGCTGCTCAAGAGTAACAGGTGAGGCTCCTCCCTTCGAGTCCTAGTTCAGCCTTCAGGTGGACATCCTTCAAAGCCTTGCTGCTGGAAAAGCCATCCACAAGGCAGATGCCAAGACCAATCCTATTCCCGTTGCTCAGCTCAACGCTCCGTTGGTGCCTTGCACGTGCTGGGCTTAACAAACTAGCAGAAAGCTTTCACTTCACGGAACCATAAGAAACAGGGGGCTGTCAGTTTTGGATGTTTTGGCATGCAAGGCTATCTTTTTTGGCAGTTTGTGGGACACCCTGAACCCTCCTCCCTCCCCCTCCCCGCTATCGAAACATGGATGCGCCATCCCTGGCAGGCATCAGTTGAACTTGACATGCGCCAACACTTGCAATCACAGCCGTCCAGGAGGCCTGGACAAGACTCAAACGTGAAACATCGCCACATCGCCACACTCGACTGGAAGCTGTGGTCACACTTGACCCTGTTAGCGGTGGCATAACTTGCGACTGGAGCCCTGCGATGTCACACACAGTGCGGGCTGCACGGGGCCTGATCGGATTCTCGGGCAAGTGCCGTTGGTTGATCGTCGTGAAATGAGGTTTGATCGACCTTTGTGCGGGCCGATACGCCTCCTATTTAGCCTCGCCTCATCTCGCCTCCACCTGCCTCGCCTCTCGTTGCCTTGCCGAGGTCCTGGCACTTGGACACACGATTGGTGGATCCGTGTTGGAGTTTCGACCCCTCAACAGCCACACAGCGGCACAAAGACCGATGTGGCATTCGCATGTGTCTGACAGATCGAAGCATAACATCAGCTCTTAGATTAGTCTTAGATGCTGAGATTCATTTCAGACATGTCTGATGTGATTGGCAGGTACCGCTTGCCGATTGGCTCCCCAGGCAAGACAGCGATCCGCATGCTGCGCTATTGAAGCTTACCGACGAGATTAACAGCGGACTCGGAAGAGACATGTCAGCACACTTGGTTGCCTGTGACGGTTGTCAACGGGTATGGCTGCAGATATGTAGGCGGAAGAAAGATATCCTTTGCGTTCGCGGGTCCAAGCTTCAGTGGTGATTGGTACACTGATGTACGCTCAGCCCAGGGCAGTACGCAGAAGGCTACGAAGAGGCCCAGTTGGCAACTCAGTGTAGTACCGGGTCACGGCAGCCGCAAGCCCGACACACGCATCATATCGACAGCATTAGACAGTGCTTGCAGCGACCTGGATGCCCAAAAAGCGAACCAGCTTGAGCTTAAGGTTGGGCGTTCGCCTTGTGGATTTCATCGTTGCCAAGTCTGGCTGTGACATGCTGCGCCCCGAGAATGCGGCCGCGTTGCTGGAGCGTCCCAGCAATTGGCAAGCGCTGAGCGGCTCGTCCCCAAAAAGTTGTTCGCAGAGACCAGGTTCCAAGCGCGGTGAGTTGTCAGAATCACGAATGCTTGGGTTGAGAGCCCCTGAAAGGGCGGCGATTACTGCGAAAGTGGGGCGAGATGTGGGGGGAGGACTGCGTGATGGATCTCATGGCGGCTGGGCCGCGCCATTCTGCTGTCAAGACCTTAGTTGCGCCCATGGACAGGAGACGGTCTCACGGGTGGCCCTGGAGCTCTTCAAGCGATTGGCAGAGGATGAATCGCAGCCACCAGCCTCTCCTTTCGCCTGTGCCTTTGCCTTGCCGCAGTTGCATTGTGTGCTGGCTAGATGCCCGCAACATTTTGCGGCCGCCTTTGTAAACTGCTTGCTGTTGACATGCTTCTTCCAAGATGCTTCAAGAGAGCTGCCTGGTTCAGGTGCTGGCCAGCAAGCAATGATGTTGTTGTGCAACTCTCCTGGGGGTGGCAGCAAGATCGGACCAGTACGCTAGCCCCCGCGGTGCCGACTACCATTAACAAGGACGACGTCCCGCTGAACTTCGAGCGAAGTTTCGAGCGAACTTGCAGTGGCCTTCTGTGATCTTCAAGTGCGATGTCTTCAAGGTCGCTTGCGTCATCTTGCATCCAGCTCCGATGCCGAGGAAACAGGCCCAAGGTTTCACCGGCTGCCCGTGTAGTGGCACGGAGAATGAGTGGCCCCCCAGCGTGCCGTCGATTGCAAGGGACGAAAACAAATATGTCCTAGCACGTCATCTCACACAGTATGCAGATGCCTTACGCTGTATGTCCGTGGCAGTACAAGGGATTCCCACTTTTCCGGGCTTACACCATTCGCTGCATTGGACGGATCTGTCCTCACATCATGAACCCGTACATCCTACTTTTTGCATGTCCACGCGGTCCTCTGCCCCCTGGAGTGGACAGCCCCTCACACATTAACGGCACAACTTTGCTAGTTACCTGTGTTTTTTTCCCTTGAATTTATCTGTTGCAAGTGAGCCATTTTTGCCGTTCCAGTTGCAGCTTGCTGCATCAACCGGAAACATGTCGAGGTCCATCTGCGTTGAGCTGAGCGCTTGCTTGGAAAAGCTGAGCTGCATCTTTCCTTCGGCCCCGTTGTTGCTCTAGTTTCCGCGGCTTCTCTCAAGCTCACCAAGCTCACCAGAGGGCGGTTTAGATGTCAAAGGGTTCAGAGCGGCAAGGAGCAGCGGTTGGCTTTCAATGGCACGACTTGGCCCAGTTTGTGCAAGGCCTACATGGCAGACAACAGCGTCGGGCAGTAGAACTTGGAGGAAGCATGTGGCCTAAACATTACGTCGTTGTTTGTAGTGTAAACAGTAAACATGAAAGGGCCCTCACAGACATGAGCACAGGACAGCCCGGCTCTAATTACAAAGCTTTGCGCGATGCTGTTTCCGAGTCGTGCTGCCTGGGTTGAAGTTCCGGTCATTGATGTCTCAGACGAGGAGCCGGAAGAGGAGATTGCAGTCTTGCAGGTCGCACCAGGCAGTCCTGCCGCCAAGCGGCGTTGCCTGTCCAACTCATCCACGCGGGAAGGCCAGCACGGTCAGGTCGGTGAGGTGCCAGGTTCTTCTCTGCAACCCATTGACAATCCTCGGCCTCAGCCTGCTCCGGGCAGCCTTGGGACCGCGATCTTCCCAGAAGCCAACATGGACTTTCTTTGGCATTTGGAGGATCGTGGCTTCGCAGTGCTGGAAGGTGTTCTTGGAAGTGGGGAAAGTTGCCAAGCATTTCTGAGTGATTTTTGGAGTGCTATGGTGGCTGTGGTGCCCGGGTTAGACCCCTTGCAAGAGAGAACGTGGAACTTTCCGAAGGGTTTTCGAGGGATCGTCACAAGCTACGGCCTTCCCCAAGCGGATTTCGCTTGGTCGATACGAGCCCACCCACGGGTTCAGACAGCCTTTGCACGAATCTTTGGCACCACGGACTTGGTTGTAAGCCTCGATGCCATCATCGCAGAAGCGCGACCTGCCAAAACCAAGCTGCAACCTTGGCTCCACAAGGACCAACATCCTTCGCATGCTGGCCTCTCCGTACAGGCTGTGTACACGCACTTCGGCAGTGGCCCTCATGAGTCTGGAACATGTGTAGTTCCAGGATCCCACAAGGTCACCTTTGATTGGGAGAGATTTGCCAAATCCGACCATGTCCGTGTGCCTGAAGATTGCCATTTCGATGTGGTGAAGCCCAATGTTCCACCAGACAGTATTGTCTTCTTCAACTCGCGCCTTGTGCATGCCAGCCAAACTGGCGCTTGTGCGCCTGGACTTCTCTCACCCTGCGTGAGGCCTGCGAGGTTAGGCATCTGCGTGGCCTACGCGCCCCGTTCACGACGCTCTGAAGCCACGCGGCGCAAGAAGGAGAAGGCATACCTGGAGGGCAAGTGCAGTTCACATTGGCCCTGTGACCGTTTCTCATTGAAGCCTCCACTGAAACAATACCAAATCCTCAAAGGTGCCGTCAACTTACCACCGCCCTCGGCAATTCATGAGCGCTTGTCATTGCTGTAGAGTCACTGTAGAGGTAGCGGCGGTAGTGGCGCCTCAGTACAGGCAGGCCATGGGGTCGTTACGGGAAACAGTTGCGACACATTGCCGCAGCCACAGGGAAGGTGTCCAAAGGGACAGGTTTGGGGAACCAGGTCATGTTGCGACTGGTGTGGGCATGTGTCGACTGTAGCCATGGGCTTCACAATCCAAGTCTAGTTTGCCAGTTGAAATCCATTTCCGTGGAGCCTCGGCAACACTTAAGTGAAGCGAGGGGCTGCTGATTCAAGGGTTCACCAAGAATTCTCGTGTGGGCAACAGCCAAGTGTGGGTCTTGAGGAACATGCGCGTGTTGCTGGTGGCAGTGCTGGTTCAACTGACTCGCGCTGCAGAGATCAAGGCTGGGAAGTGGCATGTGCACTGCCATTGCATCTCCCATCTTGCTTGCTTGCTCCCGCGCAATGCCTAAAAGCGTTCCCTGTTTCCCTCTTGCTGCTTACCTAGCCTGGCTCCCCTGTCAAAAGCTGAGGCCATTCAGGTCACCGCAGCTGGTAATCCTGAAGCGTTGCATCTTGGGCACAATCCAGCTTGTAGATCAATTTGCAGCGTGGCCAGGCATGACTCGGCATGACACTCAATGCGTGGTAACGCCGCTTCCTCCAGGCCCCTTCGACAGGCGGGCTACGTGAGACGAGAGCACCGGTCGCAGGACAGTTTGACAATTGTTGGTCGCCGCGGAGCAGCACACGATTCGAAAGAACGTCTGGGTCTTCTTCATCACGGTGAAATCACACTCAGCATGTCTTTCTCACCCGAACTTCCCCTGCACACGCAGGAGTCGAGCCTGGCACAGCTGGTGCCGCAACCGGTTAGCAAGGACTGGCATGCCTGCTTCTTGATGCTTGTTGAGCCGGACTATCTCGAGCATAGCTTTGTGATGATGTCGCAGGTTGTGGAAGATGCCACTGAAGCGGTGTCACATCTCAAATCGGCACCTGGGCAAAATATGTCACTTTGCGGCTTTGCGGTTCCTCCTTCGAGTTCCTCGCGCTCTAAGGAGAGCACGATTGGTATCTGGAAGGACTGCAGTCTTTCGCAAACGCCCCCGGCTGCAGTTCCCCGCTGTTTCTGGCAACTTTGCAGGCTGCTTTACGAAGGATTCGTTGCCTTCACCTTTCTTAGTCGGATGAGCTCCTCCCTCTCACATGCCGAAAGCATGCAAATTCGATCGTTGTTGCAGCTATGCCTACTATCGGTATCGTCGTACGGCAACTTGCAGGAGGAGGAGAAACAAGCATCGACGGCGCCTCGCCTCCTCTAAGCTTTAGGCGGTCTTTTGTCGAGCATTCCCCGCATTGCGAAGGCCATGGCGCTGTCGCTCTTGGCTTCCCTGAGCTTCGTGTTGTGCTTTGGAAGCAGTCAACGCAAAGAAGTGCTGTCGGACAACGGGCCAGCTTAGCAGAGCAGATCTCTTCAGCCAGTCATGTGGGCGCGTGCCTAAGGACAGTCTTCTACATGTGGAACACTCCGGCTCTCAAAGTGCGAATGGCATGTGAATGGCACGTGCAGGGCGTCAGGTTGAACAGCTTTGCTGGGAGGTCGCCACCCGAAAGATCCTGGTCTCCAGCATTTCCCTCTTCTCGGTGGTGCTCTCGTTCATGGCCGGAGTCTTACAAAGTCTTGGCTGTTTTGGGATGGGCACGCGTCCCAGCCACTGGCACATTGCGGAAGGTGATGAAGAAGGTGTGGAAGCTGATTGCGCAAAGCCCTCAGCATGCTGCAGACTTTGGCAAGACTGTGGTGGCACATGGTCGCACATGGTAGCACATGGTAGCACATGGTAGCACGTGGTAGCACGTGATTCCATGATGTTGGGCCCTTTCTCGCAGGGGCTCAGAGTCGCGAGCTCGGGAGAGCAATGCTTACACATGACTTTGGCTCGGCCTTTCATGTGTCTTCGGCCCCATCCCACGCCCATCTTGAAGGTCAAGCAGTGAAACCAAGACACTGAGCGACATCTTTTCGTTCCTGCGCTTCTTTATACTGTCCCCTGTCTCTGAGAGCTGCACAGATAGCCTGCTGCTGCACAGACTTGTTGCGCCCGGTAGAGACTAGGAGTCTAGCATTGCCGCAGTGGAGATCCCAGGTACATGCTGCCAAGCATGTCGGAAACTCGGTATGTTGTCCCGGTGTTGTGAGGGAGTCTTGATGGCCCAGTGTTCGCACTCAGCTTGCGGAAGCGGCTGGAGAAGCAGATGGATACCGACCGAATACGAGCCTTCCAGATCGTAGGCTTTGGGCACCTGCACGTTCTTTCGGAAATCTTTGTGGGTCCAGTACACCTGCTTGGCAGGAGTCCACCTCATCGGCTTTGCAGGAATTGCCGTCCTGTCTGCACAAGACTGCACCAATGATCTGCTATGCTGTGGACAAGCTGCTCTGACACTTTGCGGCATGTTTGCAGTGTCGTGCGCAGGGGCTGATGCGTTCTCAGATGTCCTGAAGCTGAATGCCTTTCAGCTGCAAGAACAAACAAAAAAGGGATGAAGGATTAAGCAGAGCGCTTCCACGTCAAGCATCGCCTCTTGCCGGGTCAGCGAGCGGATGAAGTTCAGCAACTTGTTGAACTGGCAAAGGAACTGGGAAGATGGTTTCTAACCCGTTGGCATCAACAGCTCGGTATGTGACTGAAGGTCTTCAGCGCCTCGACTTACGGATACTTCTTGGGGGTGCTTGGCTCGGCCTTCTGACCTCGGTAAGGCGCAGCTAGCTCGCGCACGTGCGCACTGCGAGATCCTGCGAGGTGTGCTGCATGGCAGCGTTGCTGGCCTTAGACTGCACCGTGCGCGTTTTTTTCATGGTTGTTGTCATGACCTGAGCTGTAGTCTGCGAGGCTGCTCGGCATCATGTCTTGGGCAACGATGAAGATCAGGAACGGCCGCATCCGTGGCCACTTGCGACATCTTGCGACTATGCTGACTATGCTTGCGACCTATTGCACAGGACACGATCACAAACACCGGAGGCGTGGGACTGTCGCTCTTGGATTTTGTTCTCGTGCTTTTTGTGCCAGCCGAAAACTTGCAGGCAGCACCTCTCGTGGAAGGGCGCTTGCCTTGGCTATGGGAAAAGTCGGAGATTCCACATGCCTGTTTGTTGGAAAGCAGAACATATCATGACAATGGCAGGAACTCGTGTTTTCTTGCTGTGCAGTCGCTCGCTGGGATCATGTAAATGTGTGGCAAACCCCCGCGGCGACCCGTGGCTTTTTGCTGCGCAGTCGCTCGCTGGAATTATGTATATACGTGCTCAAACCCCCGCCCAGGCCAGAAGTGAGTGAGTGAGTCTCGGGCCCGCAACGGCACAACAAAGAAAACACTCCCTGTGCCACCGTCCTTATGTGGCCGAGGGCAAAAGTGAGAGAGGACCCGCGGGCGCGTGAGAGAAAGTGCACCCGTGCATTATGTGGCCGAGAGGCCTTGCTTATTCATTCACTTATATTTCAGTCTGGCAAGCTGGCCGTATTAAGAAGGTCGCGCCATAAAGGAGGACTTGCGCGAAGGAAACATGTGAACCTTTTTTCTACACCCACCATCTGAGCATTGTGTTTGAAAATGGGCCCCCGCGACCCACTCGCCCTTGTTCTGTCAAAGCCTTGTAAGCTTGCTTTATCAGGAAGATGCCATAAAGAGGACCTGCGTTAAGAAAACATGCAAATCCTTTTCCCGATGGTTTTGAAGCCTTGCAAGCTTGACTTAAACAGAAGATCAACCATACACAGCAAAATCAAGAAACTAATGGAAAAGGGTTGTGCGGACACGGTATGGTCCTCCTCAGCTTTTATGGCCAGAAGTCAGGGGATTGCCCAATGATGTCCGCAGGGCCGTGTATTTTTCGGGGCGATGACGCGAAGATGAGAAGACGTGACTTTCCGAGAGTTCGTGAAGACCTGAATTTCCGCTCAGTGTCAACAGCGTCAACAGCAGCACCGGTATCCACGGCGTCCACAGCTTCACGGCGTCAGCGGCTTTTCAAATCCACGCTGTGAACGGCCTCAACGGCGTTTAAGACAAGAAAGTTTACCAAAATTGCATGCCTGCTGCAATATGTTGCCGCTGGATGTCGTGTCAAAGTCTCGAAGGTCCTCCGCGGCAGAGGCATGGGCATGCGGCGCATGAACCTTCTCGTGCCGTGTGGTGCTTTCCTGAGCAGGACGCGACGGGTGAGTGTGGGACCAAGTGGTAAATGTGCCACAAAAGCAACCTGTGCGTCCAGAAGACTTGTACGCCTTCATCTGTACCAGTCCTGACATGTCCTGATTTGCTCTGTTTTTGAAATCTTCGGCCTTTGCGCTCCGAGGCCGACACAGGCCAGGGTTCACACTCGTAGCAGGATGTAGCACACATTGGCTCCGCATTAGCAATAGCAGCGCGCCGTTTCCTGCCTCTCAGGCGGCGAGTGCGACGGCGACTCCTGAAGGGTACTGCTGGCATCGGCCTTCTCTCAAGTCAAAAGCTCTTCTCTGAAGGCTTCAGAAAAGTCCAGAGAAGCTGCCAGGCCCGTAAATCAACTCCTGGAGACGATGGAAGTTGAGATTGAAGGCTTCGTCGTGCAGACCTCAGAATGAGGCCCCCTAGCAGTCTAGGCCCTTCAGTCTGCGCAAGGAAGTAGCAAAACTGTGTGTGTGTTTTTTTTGGGGGGGTGGGGGGGGGGGGGGGGGGGGGGGGGGGGTGTTTTTCAAGTGCAGAGGTCGGCTTCCTTGTGTCGATGTGGGTGCGCTTCACCGTAACCGGAGCTGGGGCCTTTGGCGCATTTGATATGCCTGATGCCTCCCACCTTCCCCAGTCAATCGGGCCAGGCTGCAGTTGCCGTGCGACTCTTTGAAGCCAAGGGTGTGGGGATGTGCAGGGTTTAGATGTCGAGGCTTTACCTGGGGCCAAGTATGGCCGGCAGATCACCGGTGATGATGTGTCAGTGCCTCGAGATCGAAGGGTAGAATCACAGGCGTCGTCATGCTTTGTCATGCATCGCTTGCTTCATGCTTCCAGTGTTGATATGATCCAGGTCATGGCTGCTTTGCTTCTGCCTGGCCGCCTTCTTCTTCGCCACGTTGCTTGTTTCCTGCCAGAATTGGAGCTTTCCCCCTGCATGTGTGCAAACTCCGCAGCCTGCATGCCCGTCAGGCGGCCTATCAGGCACGGTTCCCTGCCGCGCATTGGCCTTACCTAAGCGCTGTAGCTATTGCCGGATGCTAGGGCTGTTACTGCTGAGTCTCAGAGGTCGGCAACCACAAGAGTGCAATATTTCCTGCAACGAGCTCGAAGGCCGTCTGGCCGTCCATATCTGCCCCATACCCTTCTGCCCTTCCAAACCTGGCCTCTTCTCTGGTCAGGATGCTGTCAATGACCACGCTGATGTCCTTTGCTTGGCTTGTGGCTTTCCTGCAAAAGTTCTTATTCTTGTTATTCTTTTTCTTCTTCTTCTTCTTCTTCTTTGGCGACTTCTGTGTGACCATCCCAGGCATTTTTCCTTTGCCAGTCGCTGGGTGGCACTCAATGACCCGAGGGTCTAAGTTTCGTGCATGTGCTTTGAGGACATGATCTTGAATGGCTTTGCTGAATGCGCTGAATGGCTGAGACCGACCAGGTGGCTGCTGTGGCACGTCACGGCTGATGGCCCAAACGGCTCCCACCACACGGCCAAGCTGACAGCCTCCAACGCCCTGGCTCTGCTGGCATCTGATTCTTGGAGCGCTAAATTTGATGTCGTTGGCCAGGGCTGCGTGCGCATGCACAACGAGATAATGAGTCCAAAGGGGATGGTGCAAAGGACATGTTGAACATGTTGAACATGTTGAACATGTTGAGGACTCCAGTTGCTAGTTGCGAGGTCGCGTGGGTGCGGCAGTTGGAACTCGGCTCGAAGTCTGCCTTGCTAAGGCTTCAGTCTTCCTTCCAATGATGGCGCTCAACCTGGTGGGGAAAGCAGGCGGATGTTGCCCAAGAAGAGGTGATGGATGTCATGGGCCATGGGTATTCAAAGCAACAATCAATTCACGGTGAACTCCAGTAAGATTCTCTGTCAAAAGCGACATCAGATTGGCTTCTCTACAGCTCGGAAGCCTTTGTGAAAGTTGCTGCCCTCGTGCTGGGCTTCTCCTGGGAGACAGCCGTGACGTGGTACGCAAGCAGATGTCACCAAGGAGCACTGGACGTGCTGTGGCCAAGCATCTTCCTTGTTGGTCTGGCGGCTCAAGTGCCTCAAGCGCCCTTAAGGTGTACATGGTCGTGCAAGGAGCCTCCGAGAGCACGGAAGGCCTCTGCCTGCGATTTTTGGAGTTTCTGCGGATTCTGCCTCCTCCAATATGTTTTTGGTGCTTTGGTGAGGTGAGGCCACGAAGAAGTTGTTGGGGATGCCAGGTTCCCAGTCCCACCGCATCTGTGAAGCGGCCGTCAAGTAGCCATCAGGTTCTAAAGCCTCCTTGCCAAGTGCAACACTGCATTCCGGTTGACCACGCGCCACACACGTGACACCAAGTGCGACGATCTTGTTGATCCTGCTTCTCATTCTGCCCGGGCACGGGCCCAACTTTGTCCTAACGCAGCACACCGCAGGAGGGTCCGGTGCGTGCTTTCGGTTTCGAGAGAGCCTTTCTCATCTCACCGAAGGTGGTACATGCACATGCTTCCTGAGATAAAGCCATCGAAAGAGGACCAGGTGCCCGGGTCAGCAAGCTTGGCTCTTGGGTTCGCAAAGTTCTGGAACAGTGAAGGAGCAAGTCCCCGAAGAGAAAGCAGCCGAACCGGCCGAACCGTGGTCTTGAGTCTTACGTCTTGAGGTTTCCAGCTGCAGCGCCTCTGCTATTCGAAAAATTTCCGGACGACTTGCTGGGTGTTTGGTTTACTTTGCTGCCCAGGAGGTATCCACGTGAGCGTTGACCATCCTGAGCAGCCTGAGCTGTTGAAATTAGCACTGAGCCTTACAATGCAAAATCCACAATCAATTGGAAGGCAGAAGTGCTCCTGACCTGTACGAATCCAGACAGAGAGGCTTTCCGGTGCGAAAGTGCGCAAGGGCTGAGACCTTGCCTAGAACCATTCGCCTTCGCATAACTTCACTCTCGAGGGTTGTTGGGTGGCAAATGGTGGCAGTGTCACATTGTACTGTGGAATGCCTGAGTGCCTATACTTGTTTTTGTCTCAAGCGCTCGTGGGCCCTTCAGCGTGTGCACCGGCAGCACCACGCTTCGAGCGTGTGGCCATCTGGTGAAATTGTGCGTTCTGGCAGATCGTTGTTGTTGACCTCCTGTCGCTCGGATCTCTGTAGCCACTGTAGCCTCCCACTTTCCAGATCTTTGTGCTCAGGAAGATGCGGCTTTGGATTCTCGCGGTGCTGATGGCAACACACTTATCTGTTGCCAGTGGCTGATGCGCAAAGAAGGCCGGGACAGTCACAAAGACCGTCGCCCTGTAGCAGTTCATTTTCCATTCATGCTCTTGTCCAGGCGTGGAGGGCCTCCTGTCAGTGCGGATGTTGCGATCCTGCTTGCTGTTCTGTATGCCAAAGCCACGGCTGCCCAGCATACGACAGCCGCTTGGTCCGGGCAAGCCTTATTCTTGGTTCATGTTCTCTAGATCAGCGCTTTGATCCTTCCTTTTCGTGGTGCTGTTTGAAGAATCGGCCGGGCGGGTGGCAAAAACCAAAAAATCTTGTTCTTTTTGCGCTGCCAGTATTATCTATTGTGCTTTAGTAGTTTTAGTTGCCCATTGGTGACATCATCCTGCGTTTGCCAAGGTGTGGAAGCCAGGCACAGTCAGCCTCAGCTTTGCCCCAACATGCCAGATGCAGAGATGTCGAGCCCGTTTGTCAGGAGGCTGCGCGGGGAAGTGAGCCTGCGAGGAACAAGCGTGGCCAGACTAGTGTGGGAGAAGTGAGAGTCCGATAGATGAAAGTTGGCGCCCCTTTGTCTTTCTCACTGATGCTTTTGAATGCGTTTGAAAAGTTTGACTGCGACTGAGGCAGCAGAGTCGCCGAAGGGCTCGCAAAGCGAGGACAATGGCATCTCAGAGCAGGCGGTGCCCAAGCTCAAGGTGAGTGAAGATCCTTAACATGTCAGACTGCCAGAGTGGACTCAGATCACAGATGCCAATGCCATCAGATGCCCCCCCCCCCCCCCCAGAAGGCGAAAAGGCAAAACATTCTGGTCAGAGCCGAGAAGCTTGCGCTTTGCTTGCGTTAAGGTGGCCGAAGCTGAAGGAGCTACGGAAGTCTAGGGCCTCTAGGAGGCATATCGAGAGCATGACTAAAGATGTCGAATGCTCTTGCAGAGTGTGGGGTAGCTCTTGGCCTCAAGTATGCGCCAAATCTGTCGCTGCAAATGAACGACTTGCGCTGCCGGACGCCCGACGTGAAGCATCGGTCGATGCTCTAATGTACGCGGGTTTGGCACCAAATAGTTCTCAGTTCTCACTCTTCTAAGTCCAGGCGCATCTTGTGAGAAGCAGCGGCAGATAACGTGGTTGGCCAAGATTCGAATAGATCTTTGTGAGTTTACGCTGTGGCAGCTGTGGCATTGGGAAAAGGATGTGCTATGTTCTTGCGTCTGAGCCACGGCTCTGTGACAGAAGTTGGCACTGCGCAATCGTAGGATTGAATCTAAAGCAAGATGAAGCGTTTTACAAAACCATGTCGCCGGCCTTTTTTTGTCGTTAGGCAACATTTGGTTGGGTAGGCTTTGACAGCACAGGTTGCTCTTAGCTTTGCTAGAAGGGAGAACAGGGCATAGGCGCACGCTTGTTCACAGACGATGGAGCCGGAGTGTCGGCGACACGGGCTGCCCGCTCACGACAAGGCGTGCCTTATGGGAGTCCCTTATGCCTTGGATGTCCGGATGCCTGATGTACTATTTATGCTTCTTTCATGCTGCCTTTGCCTATCTTTGCCTGTGCCATGTTGTTGTTCCATCATGGCACAGAGTTCGGAAGCAGTCAGAGATCTGCGCAGATTCTCTGGCACTTGCTCTGAGACAGGCGCTGCTCCAAAAGTGGGCAACTTGGCGGCAATCCCCATAGAGATGTCGTGATGGATATAGGCCATAGGTTTCCCGAGCAAGGCTCTTGGATGTTTGGCAAATTTTTGTTTGTTTGTAGCTGCTGTAGCCTTGTTTAACGATATCTGAAAGGATGAATCGATGCAGAGCCAGACGGCGCGGAGAGATTTCACACGGCTTCTCAAGCTCCCTGGCAGCCCTGGCAGCGGCTTAGAAGATGAGTTGGAGTGCACCCTGACTTTGTGCTCCCAAGTACCATATGATCTCTAGTGAGTGTGGTAACGCGAATGTGCTGTGTACATGGTGTCCGAGGAAGATCATCTTGTTCGAGCAAGCGTCGGATGAATTTCGGCATTCGCTCTGCGATGCTGTCGTGCCTGTCGAGTATGCACGGGGCGCTATGGTGTACAAGCAAGGCCAAGAAGGACACCACTCCAGAGTTGCGGTTGTCACGAAAGCTAGCGGAGCTAGGCCAGCTAGGCTTGAGCTGTGTGCTGGCCTCTAGTAGGGGACAAGGTCTGGAAAGAAGCATTTCGGTATGCGAGGGGACCTGCTCTCTCATGGATTTCGTTGGTGGCCCTTCAGGAGACTGGATGTGCATTCTACTTGCGGGTAGACTGGAGAAAACGATTGTCCGAAATCCATCCTCGCCACCGATTGTCATAGGTGCCTGATGCGGCGTTTGTCACCTTCACTGCACCAGACATTCTGTACTCTGTGCTGGTTCGCGTGATTGACACAGAGGTGAAATTTCACCTGGTGGTATTTGTGGCGATGTCGGCCAGCAGCTTAAAGTGTGTATGTAGGGCTTGTAGTAGGGGTTCAGCTCGTCCCAGCTCCATTCATCTGTGCAAGCGGGCTCAGGTATGTTGGGTGTATTGGAGCGGCGCGCACACACCTGTCGCTGTGCAGAAGACTCCTCGTTGCTGTTGCTTTCTCGAACTGCCTTCCACACCCTGGTCGACATGACAGGAGATTTTGCTTTCAGATTGCTTTCCGATTTTGTTCGCTGGAGCGCCTCGTGCGTGTGGTATTGCTTGTTTCAGTGTCAGGAGGCCTCGACGAGTTCCCATTGCTGAAACATCTGGAGAAGATGCAGAATCTCGCCAGTGCTGCCCGCGCTGTAATGTCATTTGTGACTTCTGTTTCTGGTGGCCGCCAGGTGATACAGATGCTTTCTGCAATTTGCCCTTTTTTGCGAAGTTCGCCACATCCTTACTCGGTCAGGGCTCTATGACGCTCTCTGCCAAGCCATGCCTTTTCCAAGGAGCGCGACTTCGTCAAACACATCTGTGAGTATCTGGAGCCAAGGCAAGTTCCACTGTTCCACTCTTGGCCGCGTGTGCTGAAATGGTATTCGCAGGCTGTACTACCCCGGCATGGCTGTGATGAAGGCCTTCGTGTAATAGAATTAGAGCCCTGCAGAGCCAAGCCTTGCTTGCCCGCCACTGGTGCTGGGGGTCTTCAGGAGGGCGAGATGGGATTTGAGATGTTCATTGTCCACGTGGGCAAGGTGGAAGTCCTGTAGCTTGGCAGGCAATGGTTGATTGATTCTGTTTAGTGTTGCATGGTGCTGCCCGTTTTCGCGTTTTGCCGCTTTGCCTTACAGAAGCGAGCAGAGGAAGGGGAGCAAGCGAGTGGCTGAGTTAGGTGGCGGTGTCGTCCTTGGCATCTTGGCAGCATGGCTGTGGATATCTGCTGATTAATTTGGCATGGGCTGGCCTTTCCGTTGACTTTTTTGCGGGAGTCTACGTGGATGGCTGGCAGGTGATGTTGCAGTCTTTGGCTCTGACAAGCGCAGAACCGCTACTGCCACCCGCCGGCGGTGATCACAGTGACATAGTGGGCATGCACGGATGGGGTCAGAATCTGGAATAGACGGATAGATGTAAGGTGAAGTGCCTTGAGCCAACCATGATCTATGTTCTGAACGGGGACGTCGTGCACCATACCTTAGAGCAGTGCCTGGACCGCGCGATCGTCTCCGCAGTGCGTAGTTGGTTGCTCCAAATCACAGTGCAGTTTGTGGGTGTGCGAATGGGTTCATGCATTATGCTTTTCGCGTGGCGACGATAAGGTATCCACAAACGAAAAAGGTTCATGATCATGATTACATTGCGCGCCTGCTGAGATTTGAGCTGGAGAAGGTGAGGGGTCTTGGGAAGTGTCTCTGGCTGTCTGTGGCTGGACTTCCTTGACTCAATGCCAACAGTGACCGCAGGTTGCCGACGAGGTCGAGCATCTCGAGAACTTCTACGGCAAGTGCCACCCGATGCCGCTCGAAGAGGTCACTGCCGAAGGCTGTGTTGTGCACATGTGTGTTTTGCTTCTTGGGACAGGTGAATCGGGACATCTTCGGCCGAGAGGATGCCTGAGCCTCTACTATAAGTACTAAGAATTCAATGATTAACTTGCCTGAGTGTACCGAGCGTGAAATCAAGTCTTACTGAGGTGAAATAGCGCGTCCCTCTTGGCAGGAATGGCGGTGCGAAGTGCAAGGCTGCTCCCCGCAAGCTGAGTTTCACAAGGTCCATTTGCCAGGGTTTGCCAGGGAGCCAAATGGCTTCCGTGGACGTTACTTCCTAAGAGTGGCAAAAGGTGGCCGCAGCTGAAGAAACACCAGGCGATTTTCTTGCCTACACTAACTGACCTATTTTACTTTGACTGCTTGTGCATCGCAGCGGCTCAGTGACATGGGTGGCTGCACTGTTCAAGAAAGGCATCTACACTAGGGTCTCTGACGATGACTCTGATGTGCACGCAAAGTTGAGCATCGCGAAAGCATTTTCGTCCTTTGGCCTTGCCATGTCTGCTTTTTCTGGCGGCCGAAAGTACTTTGCAGTAGGCGACGTTCTTTCGGTCTGACCGGCGGAAGAGCCACGGATTCCATCTTTCGGATGTGGCTTGGAAACGGCACGGCCGTGATTGTGCCATGGCATTGCAACGAGACCTTCACGTGGCAAACGACTGGACGAGAGTAGTCCTTGAGTCAGTTTGCCCCGTAAAGTCGACCGTCCTGCGACCAGAGCCGAGCCTAGAAGAGGAAGCGGAGGAAGCGGAGGAAGCGGAGGATCAAAGAGGTTTTGAGAATGCAGCTGCGATGGAGGTAGCTGGCTTCGTGCAGCCGCTCTCAGAGCGAGGCGAACACTGCGAGTCTGTGTCTGCGACACCTTTGCCATCGCCCATGTTTGATGTACCATCAACGCCACTAGCAACGCCACTAACACCATTAGCAACACCCATCTTGGATGCCGAGTCGCCGGTGCTTCGCGCACGACCTTCGCCAAAGCTGCCTCCCTTGCCTACGGCTCCCGCGCAGCCGCCTCCCGCCTTTCACTTGCCGGGTGCGAAAGCAGCCCGAGTCTGGGGCTGTAACGGTGGCAACTTTTCGTCTTTCACTCTTTCAGTCGAGTCTTTCTGTTGGTGTTTTCCTGTGTCGCTTGGTAAGACTACTTGGCGTGTGCTAAGGGGACAATCTGTGGGGCGAGCTGGAGGTTGATGTTGAGGCCTCGTGTTTTTCGTGCCCCACTGTTAGGGCCAGTGCTTGCTCCGCAGAAGGCTGCTGCCAGCTACGCCTGCCAGTCGCAAGGCCTGAGCAGACCAAGAGATGCCAAGAGACAACAGCAACAGAAGGCAATCAATGCAGATTGAGACTTCTTGAATTTCCTGAAAAGGCAATGGGCAGGTGCCGGTTTCTCGCGGCATCGCAGGAGAGGACATGCACACCCCAACCTCGGGGAATGCGAGAGGGACATCAGCGATTTGATGAATTCGTGAGTGAATACTGCAAGAGACAAAGGACATGCCTCTGCACAAAGTTGCTTGCTCGACGGCGCCACGGCGTCACAAAGTGTCCTGGCTGGGCTGTTGCCTAATCGTGTTGCCGTGTACTGATCGTGTACTCACGAGCGACAGAGCTCGGAGCCGAGGTGTCATCCACCGGCTGATGAAAGTTCCAGACTTCCACACGCTTCTTCTAGCAGGTCTTGGGATTTCAAGAGGAGGCCGAGACAACAACGCAGGTCCGGAGCCTTTCTTGAGGCGATGTCGGCAACTTTGGCAGAGTCTCCGGCCCTCTCTGCTCAAGAGAGACTCCGTGATCGAGTCTGCGCAGTCGGTGCCTACGCCTGATCCGCTGCAGCCCCCAAGCTGGACTCGCTACACATCCACAGCATCCACAGCATCCACAGCAAACCAGCTTCGTGTCAGATCCAATGCCGCCGAGATGCACCGGGAGCTGCACAGTTCTTGTGCACAACCATTCTGGGGAAGATTGCTGAGGCCAGCGAGGCCCAAAGAAAGCACTGTCATCCCTAGCAGGGTTTGCATGCCCGTTCCAATGAAGCGCTGGTTGGGAACCTCCCCCCCGTCAGTGGCCGAACTGTCCTTACGTGGTGGCCAGCCCTTTGTGTTGTATGAGTATGTCGAGGAATTCCCTCCACTTCTTCTGGGTGTGGGAATGAGCCACCAAGTCGGGTCCTACTACGTGCCGCACGCACCAAGGAAGAGCTTCGAGGGCCAGGCATTGGGCCCCTTAGGATGTCGCTGCCCTGTTGCCTTGCAAGATGCAGTTCTGCCAGGGATCTCTTCCAAAGTACGGCTGCAGCCAGGTCAGGGCATGTCAACCATGGAGTCTTTGCTCCAGAGAGCACCACTCTTCCGCCATAAACTTGAGAACAAGTTTCTTCTGGTGCAAAGTCGCGGTCTCTCAGCAACATGGGGACTGTATTTGCGACGCCTGGAGACGTGTTGTCTGGTGGGACAAAGCGAACCAAAGAAGCGCGTCCCAAGCCCCCAGAGCAAGGAGTATGCGCTGCTCCGCAACGAATGCATCCGCCGCATGTACGCTGAGGCCAAGAGGAAATGGCAGAGGGAATCTTCGGGAGACATTTCTGGAGACCTGGGCGAAGCCATCTTCGAGGAGGTGGCCGAGAGCGTCTTCCAGTGGTTTCCCGAGGTCTCGGCGAACTCCGTGGCCGAGCTGAGAGGGTCCGGAGGCTCCGAGAAGCCCGGGAAGCCGATTTCACTACCAGAAGTGGTCTCTCTGCTGGATGCGGCACGGAGAGGTCAAGAGCGCCTGCAAGAACTGGGCATTGACATAAACACCGACGACAAGAAAGTCTACAAAGCCATGCAGGAACTGGAGAAGCTCGAGCAGCACCGCGAGAGCGCTGGAAAAGGCGGGGAGTCCAACCTTCTCTTCTGCGCTCGCTGGGTTCTAGAGCAGCTGCAGCTGGCCCCGTGGCACCTCACTCTGCAAGTGCTGAAGGATGGCAGAAATGCCGACAGAGAGAGGGGAGCTTCTCGGAGTTTGGCAATTGTGGGGCCGGGCGATCCCAGCGCCCGCCTGGAAGCGGCAAGCTTCTTGTCAGTGGGCCCCAAGGAGCTGGGCGACTGCATCGAGTTGGCTGCCTTGCAGCGACTCCCTGACGCAGAGCTTCGCGGGCGTTTGCGGGCAAAGTTTCCGGAGAGGATGTTTCGCTCACTCAGCCGCTGGGATCGCATCTCCTTGTTGTGCCGATCCCTGAGCACCGAAGAGGCAACCGGGCATATTGCTGTGACTGGCTGGAGCGGGGCGAGCCTAGTCGCCAAGGACGCAAAGGATGCGAAGCAGGAGCAAAAGAACCTCAAGCGCAAGCATGCCAGCCTGCTGCAAGAAGCCTTCGAGCGGCAGGCGGCAGCGCTCTCTGCTGAAGCTTCAGAATCTTTGGATGCCTCTGGAGAGGAGGGACCGGACGGTCAAGACTTGCTTGATGAGCAAGATTGGCTTGCTGCGTTGGCAGAAGGCCCCGGAGCCGCAGCCTTCGAAACTCCGAGCAGGCCGGACAAGGCGGACAAGGCGGACAAGGCGGACAAGGCGGACAGTGATCAAATGGAGCTCCTGAAGATGCGCCAAACTCTTGGCATCGACAGCGAGAAGTCGAAGGAAACGCAGCCGTCACAGACTGCGGCGGAATCCAAGATATCCAACCCGCAAGTTGCTCAAGAGTCCGAGAAGCCCCAGGCTCCCCAGGAGTGGGAGCCCCCCGGGCAGAAGGAACTCCCGCAAGCAATGCAAAGAGAAGAGCAACGAGTGCAAACAATGCAAACAATGCAAGCACAATCGGATGGAACCGTCAAGACGGTCAAGGTTTTGAAGGTTGTGACTTTGCACAAGACGACGGCGGGCTTCAAAGAGAAAGTCATGTACGTGGTTGGTGAGGAGAACATCAATCTCTACAGAGGGCTTCAGTCGCAAGACGCCCCTCAGGGCCTTGCCATGAGCCCGATGAGCCCGGGCACATCAAAGCGCAGGACTCGGACCCTGTCAGGGGCATCATCTGGTTGGGACTCAGACAGCTCCAGTGAGGGGCCAGGTCAAGCAAGATCACGTGCGCGGAAGGCGCAGTCCAGGCGCAGCTCGCAAGGACACAAAGGACACAAAGGACACAAAGGACACAAGCGTCAGAAGATAGCCAGTGTCTCCAGCAAAGCCAGCGTTTCTGGAAAGGGCGATGCACCGTGCTCCGACAAATCGGACATAGCACGGCCTTCGCGGCCTTCGCGGCCTTTGGATCCCCAATCAGATCCAGCGGACCGAACGCAGAAACGCTTTCGCCTTGCTTAGAAAAGACTCGGCTGAGGGTTTAAAGGGCAATTGTGCGACTGAGATTGCCAAAGCAGAGTCTTGTAGGGCATCATAGGGCATCCATGGGTTTTGTGCTCTTGTGGGGGAGATGCGGAAAGTGCTGTGAATCGTGGAATCTCAGCCGGTGGCCCAAAGCGAAGCCCGGAGCACGATCCGAAGAAGCGCAGAAGCAGCAGCTGCCAAAGTGGCCCGCAAGCGCGATTTGAGTTACTTGAGTTGAGTGGAGGATAGTGACTAAGAAGCTCAAGAGCGAGCCATGGCCCAGTGTCCTTGCAAGCTTCCAGGCGCAGAGGCAAAGTTTTGCTAGGCCTATAGGTGCCAAGTTGGCGACTCCCGGCGGGGTCGTTGTCAAGTTTCCTTAGGGCCGTATAAGGGTCTGATGGGCATGGCACAGCACAGCCCCGGCTAAGGCTCTTGACCCTCGCAGCAGTGGTCCTTGCATGCGCAGCGTCCGCGAGGTATGGTGAAGGCTTTCATCTGCTGGCCGAGGGCGGCGCCGAAGTTCGGATTTACGCGCCTCATGCTCAGCAGGTTTCCGTGGCCGCTTCCTGGAACAACTGGACACCGACAGATCGGCTGTCAGCTCTAGATAATGGCTGGTGGGTGCTGAGGCTACCTGCCGACCCCACACGGGACTACCTCCTTCGAAGGGGTGCTGCCTACAAGATCCACATTGTCTCCCAAGATGGCCAGGAACTTTGGCGCCCGGACCCGTGGTCCAGGAAGCAGGACGGCGAGACATTGGGCAACTCCATCGCATACTCTGATGACAGTTTCCAGTGGTCAGATGCCAACTGGTCGATGCCTGACTCGAACACCCTGGTTCTCTACGAGCTTCATGTGGGCACGTTTTGTGGCCACGAGGGGTGGCCGGGCAGCGCGACGTTAGACATGTGCATTCCAAAGCTGGATCACATCCTGCAACTCGGTGCGAATGCCATCGAACTCATGCCTGTTGCGGAGTTTGATGGTGAGGTTGGTTGGGGATACACAACAGCTTATCCTTACGCCGTCGAGCACGCGTACGGAGGACCGGATGCCTTCAAGCGCTTCGTGAACGCCTGCCACAATGCAGGTATTGCTGTGATACTGGACGTTGTCTACAACCATTTGGGGCCCATGGATCTTCCATTGTGGCGCTTCGATGGATGGTTTGAGAATGATTTGGGTGGAATCTACTTCTACAATGACGATAGGGCCGAGACGCCATGGGCTCATACTCGGCCAAACTATGGCTTGCAGCATGTCAGGTCCTATATCATAGACAATGCGCTTTTCTGGCTGGACACGATGCACTGTGATGGCTTGCGGGTGGATGGGGTCAGCTTCATCCGCTCATGGGGAGGCTCTGAAACCAACCGTAGTTCAGCCACCTTCAACCCAGATGGAGAGCTGACCCTGAAAGAGCTGACCCAGGCGGCTCGCCAGCTGCAGGGGAAGATGATAATTGCCGAGGACTTGCAAGACAATGCCACCATGACTGAGGAGGTTTCCGCTGGTGGTCTGGGCTTCGATAGTCAATGGGATGCCCGCTTTCACTGGCTTGTGCAGCATGTGCTGGCCAAGGCGAACGACAAGGACAGGCGCATGGACACGCTAATGGAGGCAGTGCTGGGCAGGTCGCTTAGCGCATCGTTCCGGCGCGTCATTTACATGGAAAGCCATGATGAGGCAGGCAGGCAGAGGCTCCCGGGTATCGTTGCTGGGCGTCTCGATTCTTGGGTGGCGGCTCGACTTGCCGCCATGGCATCTGCATTGGTCATGGTCAGCCCAGGTATCCCCATGCTTTTTCAGGGACAAGATTTCTTGGTTAGAGACTCATTTTCTGCGGAGACGCCTTTAGATTGGGCGATGAAGGCAGCGAATGCTGGCACTTTCAGTCTGCACCAAGACTTGATAAGCCTGCGCCGGAACTTACTCAATACAAGCAAAGGCCTCCAAGGGGAAGGCGTAAACGTGACGATTGACCAGGACAACAAAGTTTTGATCATTCACCGTTGGTACAATGGCGGCCCTGGTGATGACGTCGTGGCAATCTTCAACTTCCAGCGCAGTTTCTTGAGTCATCAGGAGGTGGCATTCCCATTCGAGGCTGAATGGTCACCGGCCTTCAACTCAGCAGACGCACGCTACCACAACATGTTTACAATCGTCCAAGAAGCGGAACGGCCAAGATCCACAGGGAGCACCAGCTTGCCCCTTGGATGATTACAAGGCTTAGGAAATAAAACAAATGGTGCACAACCTTCTCACAGCTTACAGTTCAGCTTACAGCTTACGCACCGGGCTAGGAGTTCTTACGAGTTCTGCTGCAGGCTTCTTGCAGTAGGCTTTTGCAATCGGATGCAGCAAAGGTACCTCCATCCATACAGTTGCATCATCTACACGCGGCGGCCACCACTCTTAATTTAGCTCTGACGGGTGAGGCCATCGGCGCCCGTCCGATTGCATCTACTCTTCTGATGCCTGCATGTTGCATGGAATGTGGCATTGCTGCCCTTAAAGGGCAGTCAAGCAGACGTTCGCTACAGTGGACGAGAAATGCACTATCTTGTGCGTTCTTTTGGTTGTCAGCTTGGACACGGTCTGACTGAGCGTGTCTCAGCCGATGCACAGTTTACAGAGCCTTGGGGGCAGAGAAGCTACAAGTATTTCGAGCTTTGCACAAGTGTGCTGCAAACGACAACGTGTAGAATAGGCCCCTCAGGCATGATCTGTAGCTGCACCGTGCATGACACATGTGCCGGATTCAAACTGAGGAGTGCTTTGCCACCATCCAGCTGTGGTGGCGTACTGAGGGCCTGAGCACTACGCAAACATCCCTTACATCCCTTACATCCCTTACATCCCTTACATCCCTTTGCGTGCTTTTGCGTGCTTGCTTGCACCATCTTGCACCATCTTGCGCACTTTGGGCATCGATCCTTCTTTAAAGGCAGCTCTGTTGCACAGCTAGGTTGCTGGCCACTGTCTACAAAATGATGTGGCTGGGAACCAGGCTTTCGCGTTTTGGCAAGTCAGACTCCCCAGGTTTGACAGGCAGGTTGCTGTGCCGAAGGCCCGGTTCAAACCTGCCTTGACGGAGCATGGGCGTCATAAGCTACGCTGGCCACAAAATGAGGTGCTAAGCATGAACCGTAGGTATTGCTGTGAGCATCCTGCTGCTGCTTGTTGCCAGTAGACCCGTTTTAAGATGGTGAATTTGCTCAAGGATTAACGAGGCGGTGACGTCCAAGTTGGAAGGAAAGCCCCATGTTTGTCTGGCCGCAGCCTTTAAAGGCCTTTGGCTGCGGGGAGTTGTGCCTTGGCCCATATGCCATAGCCGTAGCATCGTGCGGAGCATGGGCCAAAGCGTTTCGACTTCCTGGCTCTCGGCGCCATTGGCCAATGAGCTGTTGGAGGAGCTTCGGCAATACTCGCTGCAGGCTTGACTCCGGCTTGATGCTAAGCCTATTCCGAGCTCCTGTTTAATTGGTGGGGGCCCCCCCCCCCTCCCCCTCACAATAAGGAAGGCAGGGTTCCGCAATAGTTGGACCATGGCCCCGTCAGATTCCAGAAAACCGAAGCCCCGGCTTCCTTAAAGTTTTTCCTTTTAAGCTTTAAGGCTACAGGACCGGGGCTCCCCACGGGCCAGGGCTTCCCATAATTCTGGCCCCATTCTATTAATGTGACTCCGCCTTTCCCGGCCAGAGCCCGTAAGGGGTAGCTCAGGAAAGAATGAAAATTTCTGTCCTCCAGTAAGCAATCACATAAGAAATCCTTGCTTTCTGAAGGCCCTCAGCTTCCAGAAAACCGAAGCCCCGGCTTAGCAGATGTTTCACATCGACCCAAACATCCCTGCAGAAGAAAAAAAGCTTTCCGAAAGGCAGAGTTTCAAAATTTGACAACCCCCCCAAAAAATGTCTTTAAATGTGGAGGGTTTGGCCCATACGAAATCCATCGTAATGGAAAGTAGTCTTCCGGCGGGAATCCCGGCAAAACAAATTTCTTTAAATATGGGGGGTTAAATTAAACAGGAGCTCGGATTAGACAGGTCTTGGCATGTGTTGACAGGTCTTGGCATGTGTTGGCCCATCTTTGCCGAAGGCTCCCAGCAGCTGTTGGGGAGGCCCAGTGTCCGGTCGCCTCGCCCCTGGAGCTCGCTGTTTCGCGTTGATTTGCTGCTTAGCTTCGCACGCGTGGGAGAGCACGGCAGAGGCTTCCGGTGGGCATTGAACATCAACGATTGGAAGCCACGGGGAGGAGCCGACGGCGAGGAGTTCCGATTACTGCTGCTGACAAAGCATGCCGCATCATGTCGACACCGGACAGACGTTGCTGCACTGCGGTTTGCGAGCGCGGGCGCACTATGCTGAGGTTGTCCTTGTTGCGTCCCGATGAGCAAGAATCGATCATGGCCTACAGAGCCTTGCTCGGACCTGAGAATGCAAGAGGCAACTTACTGTAAGATGGCTCGAAATGCTCTGGCGGGTTGTTTCATCTCAGGCAAGACCGAAAGCGAACTCTGCTAGGACGCTTGCTGGCTCTCAGGGCATGTGCCCAGGCAGCTACCTGTGTTGATCTATGTTGATCTTCCAGATTCCTGCGTCTAGGGGATGCATGTCGCAGGCGCTGGGACAGTCAGACTTCGATGGGATCCAGATCAGCCGTGCCACATTGGCAATTACAAGTTGTGGATTTACACTTGCAAGCTGCAACACATACATTGACATACATGCTATATATATATATATGCACAGTGTAAAACGACGTTACACAAGTGTAGGCCCTTGGCCACCGCACCTAAATTCATCAAAAAAGCGAAGCTTGGCACGGTCACACCAACAGTGAAGTATGGCATTGCGCTTGTCGTGTTAATGTAGGACCTTTCAAGGCAACACCAGCATTGCGCACCGCATATCATAGCAGCTAAGCTGCTGATGTCATCAGACAACGACGCAATTGCGTCAAAAAGGATGTTCCATCCCGTGGGATGGTGGTTCGATGTGGTGTCGTGCTGTGTGCTGTGATGGAAGGATTGCAGGAAACCGCGGGGAAACCGCTATGAGAAGGCGGTATCGGACAAACTGAATCATGTTGGTGATTCGCGAGGAGCTGCAGAACTGGGAGTTCATGAAATTTCGGGCCGAACGAATCGCGCAGGACATCAACAAGGAAGATGTGTACAACACAAAAACTTAAACAAAGGATCCTGGATGAGAACACCAGCACATGCAGGAAACAAGCGAACCAGGCACAGGTCAAGCTGACCTTCAAGGTCGCGTGCAAAAGGCATCGTCTTTTGGCTCCGGGATTACATGTTCTATTTCCAGACACCACAGCTCAAGAGTGGGGGTGCGCAGGGCTGGGAGCTGAGGAGGTCTTTGGGAAGGCTTGTAAGGCTTGTGAGCCATGAGTTGCTCAAAAAAGAAGTGAAAGCGTCCCTGCAGCTCGGTAAGGACGCCATACCCTCATGTCGGATCGGGACATTGAGAGCAACCTGCATAGACAGTTGTGTGGAAGTTTGTGGTGGATTGAAGGTACAAAAGGCAAGAAGCCTTTTCTGATGTCCCCGCTGCCGAAAACCTTGCCGTGACTTTGCTGCAGCTCCATGCTCCGATCCGATCCATCCCATGCCTTCGTTTCAAGGAACTTCAACTTCAATGTCTCGCACGATGGCAACTGGGTGGTCTTAGCAAGCGATTCGATCTTCCTTGTCGGCTCGCCACTCAGCGCAGTTTCGCGTCGATGAAGCCCGGCGTGATTCATGTGTTGCTTGTGGCGAAAATCATAACCTCAGCAGGTGCTGATGTTTCAGCACCCCAGCAAGAGCGTGGAGAACGAGAAGATGAGACTTGGTACCAGGCCTATGGGCAAAGTGTCACATGGCTCTGTGGGGGGGGGGGGGGGGGGGCTTTCGGTGCTCCGGCTTTCTTTGTGTATGTGCGTTGGGCCGAACAAACAAACCAATATGCTAATAGGGCGAACGCTTCCGAGACGACTGCCTTGAACTTGAACGCCACCTCACTGCCTCAAGCACCCCACCGATGACAACAGTGCTGGAAGAAAGGTGAAAAAGGTACCTTGCACACTCTGGTACCAGCAGCCATGACCGCTGGTGCAACGGCTGGGACAGAAGCAGCAGAACCAGCAACAGAATACTAGAAGGAAAAGGGGCGAAGCAGAGAGCGGGACGGCCAGGGAAGGCTGGAAGGAGGGATCTTTCCCATTTTGGATGTCCTAAACGCTTCAGGACTTGCAGGCCGTGTTGACCGACGCAGAGCGTGACAACATCAAGAGCTGTTCGAGCACTATGCGTTATGCAAGTGGCCTCAGGGGCCATCTCAGGCACAAGGCCAGCCAAGTCAATGCAAAGGCCCTAAGGCCCTAAGACTCATAGTGAAGCTCAATTAGCATGAGTAAAGTCGGAACCAAGGCCACGTTCCAGCGCATCTGGTCTGCCAAAGAGGCTGTGTCCAAGGCCTTATCGAAATTCCAGCTGAAGCGCGGTGCTGATTTGCAAGGCGTTTGTTGTTTTCCTTTTCAGGCGATTGGTCAGGGACTGGCCTTCGGCCTGGAGCGGATGGAGGCGAGGAACCGGAAGATTCCACCAGTCACTAAGTCAACTTCTAATTCACTGAGGTGCAGCTACCCGGAATGCTTCAAGAGAACTTGGGCAATCTGGTTCTGACTGCCCTGGGGCTTTCGAGGCAGGAGTCTTCCAATACGTCTCGTTGGGTGATGCCGGATGTTCGCATTGTCCACACGTAGCTGTTGGAGGTCCGAAGCACCGGAGCCTGCAGCCAAAAAAGGCTCGATCAGTAGCCAGTTGTGTCCCATCAGGAAGGGTGGGACGTATGGACGTATTGCCAGCAGGTCGGGTAAAGTTCTCCTCCTTGCTGGAGAATCTGCAGAATGGTGGTGCCCCTGGTGCCCTTTCTTTGTAGGACCCCTTTGCCGTGTACGCGATCAAAAAGGTGCGAAAACGTTTCGCTGCCCCGAGAGGTAAGACCAGCAACGGCCTTCGGCACGAGCCGCCCCGTTGCAAACAGCGTTCGTGGTCGTTTGCATTGATGCAAAGCATGCAGTGTCCAATGAGCTCTCAGGACACACGCACAGAGAACACCAGAGGCAGAGAGCTCAATGAGGTTGTTCATCCTGCTGAATTTGCCACTTTATCAGCTTGGTTTCGGAGGTACAAGCACAGATGCAGAGAATAGAAATTCACATTGATGGCTGGCCACGCCCAGACTGGACGGTGTACCAGGAGGCTTGCACTAATGGCAATATGTCGCACGACATGATGTGTGCTCTGCAGACTCTGCAGGAACTAGAGGGCTCCTGGATCTCCGTGGCTCTGGGTCCGGTCGATGAGGCTGTTGATGCCGCCGCCCGGCTGAAGCTTTTGTTGAGGCATGGCGGCATGGACACATGCTGACCAAATACCATGAACACCCACCCATGGACCATGGACAACGACAATAACAAGATGAAGATGTTTGTTTTGGCATCCTTTTGCCCCAGAGCTGTTCAGAACGGCACCTTCCGGGCCACCTTCCGACTGCCTGGACTCGGTGGACCTTCAGATCTTCAGGTGCTCGTTCCCTCGCAGTCGGTAGGTTCTCTGACTACATCTTTCGTGGAGCAGCAGGCCCTTCAAAGCAAGATGAAGATGGAGCCGATGACGGAGGCGACAAGGCCGTCCGGGCTGTGCAGTGGGAAGCATTGGGATCCATCTGATCGGCGCATGAGGGCAGGCTGGGCAGGCTCGGCCTTCGAAGATCTTCTAAGTTGAGCAGCTGAGGCCTTGGGCCAGCGTCAGCGACTGGACTCCGCAGGCTGAAGGCGAGTGACAAGTGGCATCGAGAATGCAGCCGAGAGAATGCCGAGAGCAGCTGAGCACATCTGATGGGAGCAGCTCCGCGAGTTCGGTAGAGCTCCTTCGCATTCTTGTCAACTTGTGGAGGATTCCGAATCCTTCCGGTGGAAGCCCTCCTTCCGCAGGAGGCTCGCACGGGTGCTTGACTTCCCGGGCCTCATGGGCCTAACTTTCTGACTGTTGTGTTGGGACGCTGTGAGGTGACGGAGCAACTTGCCATTCTCCGGGGCCGGGACATGGCATTGGCAGCTGGGGTGTGAGTGAAAAGGAAGCTGTCAAGATCCGGCGTTGTAGCAGTCAGCAAGTTGTAGCCGCGCAGCCATCCATAGCCATCTTGAAAGTTGCGCTGGTTGCGTGGCAGCTTTGAGTCGTGGCTCGGCCAGTTAGGACATGAAGCAGCAGGGGGGTTGGCAACTAGCAACCTTTGAATGTAGAGCCTGCTTGTCATAGCCCATTTCTTGAGTTTTTTGGCTGTTGCGTGGTCCTGAAGCGTTTCCCAAGTTCATGTGTCTTTGCTCCAGCGACGATGGGTTGCTGCGGCTCCACTGAAGCTGCCCAGACAGGAGTCAAGAAGGTGGGTGCAGACTTTGCACACTGCCCGCTGTGTTTGTGCCGTTTGAATCCGTTCGGCCTTGATCATAGAAGTGGTCGACCACTCTCCCCCGTCAACCTCCGTCCTCGCGCCGGCCTTTGGCCCAAGAACAGATGAAGGTTTTGTTCCTTTGGCGCGCAAGCAGCGCCGTGTCGGCCTCGTCACCTAGCGCCATGCCCACCACGGTGCCAACAGCCTCACAACTGCGGGCCTCGCCGCCCGCGGAAGCCCTGGGCCTGTTTTGTACGCAGTGCTCGTTCGGGTACTTTATAAGGACGCGCCCAGCGGCCCGGGCAGGTGCACGCTCTGCCACCAAGAGCGCGCCGCACAACCGGTGAGACGGGAAGGTACCTGCAGCATGTGCCAGGGCCAGCTGGACAAGTATGTGAAGCCTCGCGAAGAGCCGGTTTTCAGGTCGGCGAGCCAAGGCGAGCAGAGCCAACCCGTATTGGCCATGAGCTTCATGGAAAGGGAGGGGTCCAGGAACAGGGCCTTCTTGGAGAAGCTGGGGCAGCAGGTCGAGCCATGTTCGGCGACCTGACAACCGGCTATTCGCTAGGCTCCTCGATCTTCACAAGGGAAAGCTGCGTGTCGAGAAGCGGCATCTCCTCTGCCGGAGAGACCAAGTCAGCGACGAAGGCCCTCCTTTGCGGCGTCCGGCTGCCAAGAGGCCTCGCTGAGGCCACCTGGTTAACTTTCAGCCTAGAGGCGCACCACGCAGGTTCGTAGGTTCGTCCGAGGCGCGCAGAGCTCGCCTCAAGGAGGTGACCATGACTTGTGGCCATGTGGCAGCGCTTCTCAGAGTGACATAAAGCTTGGACCGGGTTGTCAAAAGAGCATGTCCCTACATCATAACGAAAGGTCTCCTATGAATGAGCATCCTTTGACTTTGAACATTCTTCGAACTTCAAACAGGTTGTACGGGAGCGACGCCGGCTGAGTGTGGCCGAAGCGGGACACTCAGAGACTCAGCGAAGCTGCCAGGTGCCGTCGCCGCGATAACACTTCAAGAGAAACTTGAAGCGGGTGGACAACGTGGGTTCTGCCGCAGTTCTGCCAGCACTTCTTTTGCCTTTCGTTTTGCTTCCGCTTCTCAGGTGGCAGGAGAAGCCACAACAGCGGCAGATGCGAGTTCAGCAGCCGGCCAGCTATGCATGATTGACGTGTTTCTTATTGCAAGCTGCAGAGTTCTCCTTTGCTGGCGCCAGGTGAGGCAGCACAGCTCGACAGAAAGTCCGTGGTCAAAGCCTTAAGCACTTTTCCTTCACAGCATTGCGGTGCTGAGCCGATGTTCCAGGAAGTGCACTAAATCAGCTCCATGGCCGAAGCGCTGTGAAGGAGAGGAGGTTTGCAGAGCGCATCGTCGCAATCGTACATGACGTGCAAGAGCACGACGTCACAACCGCCTCACAAACCTTTGCCTCCGTGAACGAATTAACTTTGCACAGAACGGTTGGCCACAGCGCATGCCAAGTTTCTCATGTCAAGGGTTTGGGGAGTGAGAGCAAGCGAGAGAGCAAGAGAGCGAGAGACAGAGGAGCTGCTGAAGAAGAAGAAGAAGAAGAAGAAAAAAGAAACAGCAGCAAAAGAAGAATAAGTAGAAGAAGAAGAAGAAGAAGAAGACGAAGACGAAGAAGAGTTTGGCAATTCAATGGGGTGTGCTGAGTTGACACGTCTACTTATGGAGATGAAGCTGAGAGCGAGAAAGCGCGTGACTTGACACAGAGCGCTCGAGAGCTCGAGAAGAGAAAATCGGAGAAGAGGATGGCTAGAAAAAGGAGTCAGAGCATGGAAGTGACTTGGACATACTGAGATTGACATCATCGATGACATGGATCACGCCGGCGGTGGCCCGAAAACATACATGGGCTCCTTCACAGCGTGGGCCTCACGCCGCTAAGATCCACAAGTCTCCAGACACAAGCAACACCAACACCAGCGCATCTATCAATCTCATCTAAGATGAGCAGAACGACGATTACACCCCCAACGATGCGCATTCAGCTCTCCGGCCAAGGATCAAGGAATGGCCTCATTCTCCAATAAGTTCCTTGGCTGCGTGGCTGCCACCGGCCCCTCTGGACCGCCCTCTTGTCAATGGCTTTTCTGACTTTTCTGACCTTCAGGTTTTTCCAAGTGCTTGGAGATGACGTTGACCTTTGCCCGAAGGGTATTGCGTTTGCTTGCCGCAAAGGTTGCTTGACTGGCACTGGCATGGAACAGCATGGCACAGCATAGCGCAGCTTCGTAGTGATGTCCCCATGCACAGGTCTGAAGCCGGAGAGTCCAAATCAAGACTCCTGGTGCTTATTGCACATGGACCTTTCGGGGCGCACGAGCGGTTGCAATGCGCAGAGGATGTGCCGCGTCCGTCACGTTAGTGTGAGTACCTGCGGCAGGATACCTTCTCTATTTACGCGGTCTTTGACGGACATGGTCAAAAGGGCCACGACGTCTCCCAGTTCGTGAAGGACGAGAAAGCTACGGGGAATCCGTGCTCCAGCGCGGTGGGAAGAAATTCGCAGTTCGCAGATGGCAGGACATGCTTCCAAAGATTATCTTGAAGGATCCTCGGCCCTTGGCTTGCAGTGCAATATGTTGCAAGGCTTAGCTCGGCATTTTGTCACGCGTTGTCTCCTTCCTTTAGGTGCTAGTGTTGGTGAATTGGAGAGGTCAGCCCAGGGCCCATGGTGCTTCCGTTTCAGGCAAAGCTTGGCTTTGAAATAAGCCCCTTCTTGACATGACAAGCATTGGTCTCTCGAAACAGATCTCCATGAAGATGCCCGGCTGGGCATGTCATGTCGGCTGCAAACCATGCCCATCCAGTACGTTGCGACATGCTGAAGCTGTCAGTGTTCCCATGAGTAGCTTGATGTTGAGTAGTACCTCACGTATTTTCCGCTAATTGCACTGGGCTGTTTGTGACCATTTGTGACCAGACGCCGCTCTTTGTAACAATGTTTGAGCATTGAGGTCGAAATCGCCGGAAGTTGGCTCCTGTCTCATTGACTCCTTCAAGAAGGTTCAAAAGCTTGTGGCTTCGATTAATCTCTCGCATGCAACAAGTCTTCAAATGACATGCGCAGCCTCCATTTTACTAGCAACCACCCAGGTCACAGCTGCAGACAAGATGAAAACGCTGAGCGCGCAAATGTCTGGCACTACTGCCACTGTGTGCTTCCTTGCCGCTTGCTGGAAATATCAAATGAGATACCATGTTGTAACTTTCCCCAGCCTCAGTGGGGTGGTTAGATTTTCAGGACAACTTCGCTCACATGCACCCGCAAGCAACAATCACAGGCAACAGCGCTCTGCTACCACTCAGCGAGACAGCAATGAGGGGAGAGATAGCAGGACAGGAGACAGGCCAGAGGACAGATACGAGGAGAGATAGCAGGACGGGAAACAGGATCGATAGGACAGATGATAGAGGCCATACAGCGGCCAGCAGGCCTCTCCGACTGGTGATTGCGCCAACAAGTAGCCGCCATATAGTAAGTACCGAGTAGCAGGCTTCTCAGGCCGGCTAAGCATAGATGTAGAAATGGCTTTGGGTAGAGAGTCCTATTCGCAAACCGGACTGTTCAGTCGCACGATTTTCGCGTAATTGAAAATATAAAAGTGCAGTCTTAAGCTTGTATGTTCCTGTCGCATGTGTGGGAGAAACACACTTCACCACTAGTATAACTTTGCAAAGAACTGGGTTCACCTTGTATTATCATAGATGCATGCCACGCAAGTTCTGCTTTTCCTCTTTGGAACTCTAGTCTTAGTAGACTCGGTATGTCCAGCAAACGTACATATGGGACACGGTGGGAACAGTAGAGGAAATAGTTTCTGGAACATCCATACATGCAACCCCCCCCCCCCCTAGAAAGGACTCACGATGACAACCCATCCAGGAACCCGAATGCGGGAAAGTGCGCCCCACCCACATCTTCACAGTATGAAACGGTGTAAACCTCAAAAAGTGCACAGGACCCAGGCGGGAGCACGAGTTCCAGTACGGAATGTGCACCAAGAGCACATCCTTCGTCAGGCCAACAGTACGCTATTTGCCATACGACAACGAAAACACAACAATGCCCAAATGATTTTGCGCCAAAAGTATGAAATGTGTGGGCTTGTGGGTTGCTGCAGTTTGAAAACGGCAAGGCTGGAACGCAAAAGTTTCTGTCGACATGTGCTGTTTTGCCAATCAGGATCATCTACACGAGAAGCTGACCATCGCCCATGTGGTTGCTGAGCCGAGATGGCGTTGTAGTGAAGGGCAAGAAGGAGGGATGAAGCATGTGGCGAAATAGGGAGGTCTTCGAAACGTCCCGACAGTGAGGCCGACAGCACCGCTGCGTTTGGCGTAAAGAAAGGCCCCCTGGCATCAGTCATCTTCACTCTTTAAAAGGTGCTTCGGGAGGCTACAAGCTGCAGGTGCCTTGGTCTAAGGCGGCCAGTGGATCGGTACATCCGTCACCAAAGACCACAAGCCCAACCTGAAGGCCGAAACGTCGAAAAGGGCAGACAAGGTTCGACGCCTTTGGGCTGTTGCATGGACTAGACTGACTAGACCATGCATCCTTCCTCCTCCTTTTCCCTCAGATGTCCTCAATCCTCCTTGTCGGCCCCCTGGCCGTCTCAGGGCGAGCGCGAGCGAATCGAAAAAAATGGTGGCAGGGTGGTACCTTGGCCATTGCCGACGCGCACAAATGTGCAAAACATGCGGTGTTTGCATGTGCAGTTGCTGTGACCGCTCACCTGCTCTCCACAGAGGTCTTCGATGGCTACGCTAACCACCGAGTTTATGCCACTCAGCATGATTCAGCAAATCGCCACGTTGCAAGTTGCAATACCGGCTTCTTCCAGGCCAGAAATGCAAGATATCCGGGCCTGAACATGTCACGGTGTCTTGGTGATCTTGTTGGCAGCCAGGCAGCAGAGGGGCTGGTTCTTAGCTTCGTTGCTTGCATGCTTGCTTGATTAGGCAATATTGGGCTCATACTGCACAAGATGAGGTCATGAGCAGTGTGGGATTACCTGCGAGCCCGAGATCACTCCGCTCGCAGCTTAGCGCTTTCAAGGAAGCACCTTGTGCCAAGACCGGTAGGAGGCTACATGGATGTTTTGAGGGTGGAGCTCCAGAAGGGGGCAGAGCAGCTGTTGCTTGTTTGCAGCGACGGCGTGTGGGAGTTCATCACTTCCCAAGAGGTGGGGCGGGATGGCGGGAAGTTCTGCTAGAGATTCGGTGTGTTAAGCTCACGATGTCCTGAGGCATCGGACCCGGCTTGTCCTGTTGAAAAGACGGTTGAAAGATTACGTGACTACGAACAAAAAACAACCTCCCTTCTGTTTGTTGTGGCTGGGTAAAGGCACCGTGTGCGCAACCAGGGGTGCTGCATCGTCTGCGGCCATTCCCTTGGTCTTCTTTTTGCCGTTCCAAGGAGTCATCAATGCCAGGGGTTGACGAGTATACCGTATACCGTTAATCTTTACTTTGGTGTCTATTCGTATTTCAGAAGTTTCAACAGGCCGGGCCGCTTGTTGTGTGATCGGATGGGGCTGCTGTGCGTGCTCCCTCCGGCAATTTTGGTACAGCTGGGTCTCGAAAGACGGATTGCAAAGGAAGGTGGCAGAGCCTCAAAGAGCACTGATTTGCCGTCGGCCGTAGGGTCAAAGCTGTCAAGTTGTCAGCCCAGTGACAACCGACAGACTACTAAACCGCTGATTTTTCGACCGCCCCGTGCAGGCCGTGGACCTCGTCAGCACGCGGCCTGCAGAACATAGCGAGCAAGCAGCGGGGCTGCTGGCCAAAGAAGCTTGGGATCGTTTCGCGGCTTAGCTTTGCATGCGCAAAGGGCTGCCGGGGCTCCAGCCGGCAATGCTTCGCTTCCTCGAGTCTGCGAGCTCATGGTTCCATGGTGCTCTAAGGCTGGATCCGTGAAGAGGGCGGCGCCGTGGTCGATGACATCACCGTCGGCTTGGTCCACATTGCAAGGACTGCTGCCGCCGAAGCGGAGATATGCAAGCCCGTGCGAGCGCGTTCGACTCAGGAGGTCGGACAAAGTGCCGGAGAGATGACATGCTTGCCGTTTCACTGGGCGATGCCCCAGGCCACTCTGTCAAAGATGGTTTTCAGTTTGGCATCCTTGGGGGCGGAAGGGGTGGCCGGACTCCAAAAGGAGACCTTGAGCATCCTTGAGCATTCTCGGGAGCCCTGGGCTTCAAGTCGTTATTGGGGGGCACATTCTGGCACGACAACATGCGACGACATAGTCTCTGGAGCTCCAATGACTCCAATGTCAGCCCGGGCGAGTGGCACCAAGGCCCACCAAGGGGCCCCTTGAGTTCACAATCTTGTGTACAGAAGCTGGGCAGCCCAGACCATTGAGAATGCACCCCCAGCCGAGGATGTGGAAGCTGTCCTTGTCCCCTTGTTGCAGGCTGCATAGGCTACACAAGCTCAGCGGCCAAACTTTAGACTCTTTAGACTTTAGACATACTGTACCCTGGCACAGGCTGCAGCTTGATGTCGCCTGTTTTCCTCAAGCTACAAGGGTCATTGCAGCAATTGCAGCCTCCAGCTCCCAGAGAAAATCTTGGCTATGCTGCATGTTGGCTGAGCTAGAGCTAGAGGGATGCAGCGTACTTCTTCAAGAACGTCCCCTAATTCCTTGCCGGCTGTACAGGATTCCTATTTTGCATTCGGGCGTAGTACAGGGTATAGGAGGATTTTAAGGTTCAGCTCGCATGCATCACCAGCTTAAACCTATTCAACCCGCGGTATGCCTTGATGGTGCCCATGCTCAGGCTGACATGATACATCTTTCTCGGGTGGCGTGGCTCAAACCCTGGCTGCTCCATGTCGGTTACACAGCACCTGTTCTGGCATGCGCAGAATGGCAGCAGACGGAGACAAGAGAGATGTGATTCGAAGGACGGTCCAGATGCTTTTCCCAAAAAGAGCGACAGAACGTACATGCACGTATGCATGCGGCATCACTTGAAAATCTTGAGCCCCGCCCCCCCCCCCCCCCCCCCCCCAACTATGTGGTCATGCGATGTCATGCGTACTTGGCAAGCTTGTCGACACTTCCCCAACTTGATGCACTGAGCGACAGCGCTGACCATGCATCTAGTTCATGCTGAAGGCCATGGCTGAAACTCCGCTGCTTCTGGTCCAGGAGCAGTAACCGCAGTATTTGCCCAAGGGCCCTGGGGACTGAGAGACCCCCTGCAGGGTATTCCTGAGCAACTGCATGTGCCTGACCTTCGAGCATTCTTCAAGCCGGCCGTGGAGCTGCCAGCTCAGCTTCTTAGGTGACTGAGAAACTGCGTTGATTTTGGTTACAATTGCCTGCTCTGAGCTGAAGGAAAGAGCTCTTCTCATGTTTCCACTTCCGTCGAGGACGAGCCCCTTGGCAGAATTGTCTAGGCTTGTCTCGGCATCCTTTGGGGCATGAATTTTGCATCTGTGAGTACATGTGAGCACTGCGGCTGTTCAGCATTGTAAAGCATCGCAGCTCCAGGGCACCGCTGCTCGTGGCTTGACGTGCTTGGCACGTGCGGCCAGCCAGGAGATCGGCCTCAGGGCCGTAGGGAAGGGTTGAGTTCTTATTCCATCTGCGAATTCTGCACGAACCAATCAGGATGCAGCAGTGAAGGTCATTTCTGGCTACCATGGCGTGCCGTGGAAGGAGGCCAGCATAGCCGCATGAGACATGAGATGTCAGGAGTTACTGGTTGCTCATAAAGACTTAGATGGTTGCCGGTTCTCGAGGTCTTGGTGGATGCAGCGGTGGCGGACTGAGTATGGCCTGAGTATGGAGGAGTCTAGTGTTGGATTGATCGTTGTTTGCATGCTCAGGTTCCTCGTGCTGCTCGGTGCCTCATCTCCTGGGCTCCATCAGAAACCAAGCGCACCGCGCCTCAGCCTGCACTGTACCTCGCGTGCAGGCTCGGGAGGCGAGCATGTGATGAACCCGTGAGTCTGTCATGTCTTCATATGTTACTAGATACAGGAAAATGTTCGGCATGCATTCAAGCACGTCCGAGGATGTTTGGGAGCTGAATCCGCCACCAGCCCTGCCCAAGGCCACGAGATGGTTGCAGCACTGATGCAGCACACACACGGCTTTGTGTTAAGGGAAACGTGGGCACAAGCCGGTCGGCCATTCTGTCCGCGATACGTCGCTGCACACTGCCAGAGCCTGAACTCTGGCAGTCGGACTGTCAGATATTGTCAAGATCCTTGCACCGCCTTGTTGTAGAGCTGGATGGGCCTGTGAGGCCCCCTTCAGTCGTGAAGAGGCTTGGGCATGCTATGCATGCTATTGCGGCCGCTCTCGACACGAAGTAGACAGTGTTGCTGGCAGTTTGCTGCTAGCATTTGCTTCTACTTCACCATAGGCTCGGGATTGCTCCGGCATGCCGCTTGCGAAGCACTCGCGACTTTGCAGCGATCCCTCCCCCGCTTGCCTGGAGGGCAGGGCAGGTGCTCCGTCGTTGTGCCGTTTTCTTTGCTCTGCTTTTTTTTTTTCTTCCTTTTTTTGGCTTTATAATCAGAAACATGTGTCTGGAAGGAAGGTGCAGTGCCTGGTGCAAGGCGAGCACTGGCAGCTTCACCTCCACATGAGGACACGCGATGCCGTGACGGCATGTGACAGCTCACAGTATCTTGGACCCATGTTGTGGGCCCTGGGCTTGTGGCGAGGCCCGCGGTGCCGATTCACAAAATCCCGTCACCGCCATGTTCGCGGCGCTCAGAGGGCGCAGCTCGGTCCAGACATGCTCGGACCGGCATGCGGGATTGGAAACATATGGACACCATCAGACGCCAAGGCAAAAGGCCCAAGGCACAGTGCCAAGCAAAAGCAGAAGCCAAAGAAGCCGAGGAGACGGAGGGACACGGAGAGGATCTCATCTCGTAGCTTGGATGGAGGGCTGTACGCGGAAGCGTTTGTCTTTGGAGGCGCAGAAGGAGCAGCCAGGGAAGCGCTCAAGGTGCTGAGCCCGAGGCTACGTGGTCCACAATTGCAACGCGACGGACGGTTCAAAACCCCAAGGTCTGGAGCGCAATCCCCGAAGCTTCGCCGGCAGATGATGACTGACACTCAGCAGAGAAACTCGAAACCTTGTTTTCGCTTTCTCAAAAATCTCAAAAGCGACCGGTGCTTGGAGGTGTGCGCACGAAGAAGGCAACTGCAGCCCAGAGGTTATTGTTGTGCCCTTGTTTGAAAATGCTGGGTGCGCTGCCTTTGCTGGTTTCAGGCGGCAGCTCTGACTCTGAGCATAATGAAGGACTTCAAGTCAAAATTTGTCAGAGTCTGCGAGCCCAGCAAGCGTCGGTTCAACAGACTCAGCCAGGACGTCACCTCCCACTGCCCTTGGATGACGACGATCTGCCTATGCCGATCGAAAAGGCGAGAACTCTCGGGATGCTCACCGGGACTTTCGGGTTTCCTTTGTCACGGCAGGCGCCCCACTACGAGCGGAACGACCGCCTGGACTCTGCAGCTGGGTACCTTTACGAGGACCCTGTCACACCGCACCTACTGCAGTTCCCGTCAACAACTTTCTGCATTGCACAGGGCATTGGCAGGACACCGTCGAGCACATCTGGGATAAGCAGGACGCGTCGGGTTTGGTGTGGCATCTTGGCTGAGAAAAGACGCGTTTTCCGATGCTCTGAGGCGCAATACCTGTAGACTCCATAGCTGGCTCCAGATCAGAGTGCGAGACAACAGGTACACGGATGCCGCTTACTGGGATAGGCTGGCTGGGGATCTGGATGAGCGATGTGCAGATGCCTGGGATGTGGACAGCGAGTCCCGAACCTTGGAGCAGATAAGAACATGATCTCATGTCATGAGAGTTTTGCTTACACTCCGTATGCGGGCAGATCCGTTTCTGGGCCTTTTTAGTTCTCAGATTCCAGCAGGGGCCATAGTTTGATCCCTACACCCGCCTCGGCCTTCAAGAAGCAAAACGAGTATCCGATCATGCCTGCAAGCCCGTGCGTAGCCAAATGACCACGGCGGTAGGTACACTTCCACGAACCCAGCGGCTGGGCACATGTGTACTTCACACGGTACGATGCGGTAGGTACATTTCCAAAGATAACCAAGCGGCAGCGACGGTGGGTACACTGCCACAGAATACCAAGTCACCATGTTGAAAAAGGGTCTGCTTCCAGAGGCCCGGCTAGGTAGACTTCGACATGCAAATCGCTCGAGCTGCGAGTTCGACATTTTGGGTTGCAATTCTGCTTGTTCTATATGAGACCAGTTTCGGTTTTTGATTCGAATATGTTGATTCCCGAGAGCACTTGCAAAAATAGAAAGAACTTTCAACTCGACCGAGTTCTGACTCAAGCTCTGGCGGGTACGGTCCGGTTCCGGACACCCCACTTGTACATTCTTAGGGACGCAGGTTTGATGGGTTGGCAAAGACGAGAAGCGAATCCTTGCTTGCTGGCCCAAGGTGAAGTGTCGAGCGACGAGGACATGCCGCCTGAAGCACCGGCAATGGAGCAGGGCGTGGGCCTGTTGGCAGTGCAGCATGGTGTGGCAGGACAGGGCGTGCTTGAGCATTTCGAGCAGGAACAGGTGCGCATGTGTGCGCTGCAAGCACAGGCAAGATCATGCGCTCGTGGGGGGCCGACCCTTCCGTGAAAAGGCCCAGCAGCACGTTGCGTGGCATCGCCTCACATGTTTATTTGTAGAAAAACTGTACGCCTCAGAGCACGTTTGTTAATTCAGCATGTTCTGGCTTAAGTTAGTTCAGTTAGCTGGGCTGATTGGCCCAACCGCTGACTGTCAGTTTCAACTTGCAGAGCCGAGGCTACTGGCGGTTGTCGAAGGTCTTCAGCCCAACCTTTCGCGCACTGGCCTAGGCAAGCCTCCCACGCAGTGCACCGTCAAAAAGGGCCTGAAGGGATTTGACATGTTGCAAGCAGGCTGGGCAGGGGAGTCTCGCAGAAAGACCTCTGCTCCTAGAAGTCGCGGCCTGAAACCTTCAGACATCCTGTTAACGAATTTTCCTCAGTTCTGGAGCTGCTTGACCAGGCTTTGTTGACATGCAAGGTTCCAGCGACGACTGGCTGCATATCGGCTCCAAATACGATAGCCATCACGAGGACATGAAGCGACGCGAGAGCTCATGCAACTCGCTTGGTTGTGCTCTTTCGCCTCTGCGTGGTTTCAAGGCTCATGTAAAATCATGTAAACAGATCTCAGGTGCAAAGCCCTTGCCTGGATCCTTCTCGGCCTCTTGGCGAATGCCTGTCTCATCGAGTCCAGCTGCCCTAGGAGTCCCTAGAGGAGTCCCTAGAGGAGTCCCTAGAGGAGTCCCTAGAGGAGTCCCTAGAGGAGTCCCTAGAGGAGTCCCTAGAGGAGTTCCTAGGATTCCTTGAGCCATTGGGCTGGACTGCAGGCATCGGCTCTTGCCGAAGATCGCCGCTTGCGCGTCCACTTTGTGCCTGCCCAGCACGTCGAAAAAAGAGCAAGGAAAGGGAATGCGCGCCGGAATGAGGGAATGAGCCGGACTGAGCCGGATTGAGTCGGAATGAGGGGATGCCTCTTGGATTCGGCTTCACCTTATTGTTTTTATTGTTTTGGAGTGGGGTCTTGTGGTTGCCTTGGGGGCCTTGACGGAAACCGCTGGGTTAAACTCTTAAACTGTTAGTCCACTGTTAGTCGCTACACTTCCACAGCTTCGCCTCGCCGCCCAACTGACATGACCGTGGCCAAAGTATTGCATGATGCATCAGCGGTCACCATCGTACGCAGAGAGGGGTCTTGATTTTTCAGGTTTTTTTTGTGTGTCACACGGTCGTCATGCCTAGTGCTGGGGATGCAATCCCGGACTTCAGTGTGCGAGATCACTTGGGGAACGAGGCGCGGCCTGTGACATCCTCTGACTCTTTACCAGCTTCCCGAAATTGAAGGCCTCATTCCTGGCCTGCGTGGCAGGTGACTCTCAAAAGCCTCAAGGACTCGGGAAAGAAAACGTTGATTTGGTTCTACCCCAAGGTGCGAGCCTGCTTCTGGAGTCATTGTTGCGCTGTGAGCTGGCGCAAGGCAGACACCCCGGGCTGAACTGCTGAGGGGCAAGGCTTCCAGTCTTTGCTTGACAAGTACGCTGAGAAGAACATCAACATTATGGGAGGCGCCTGCTTGATTCGCTTGAAGTTCTTGCATTCCTGGGCTATTCGACTATTTGCAGTTGTAGCCGCAGCGCTGGCAATGCTGGCAGTGAGTGTCCAACAACTGTAGTGCATCATACGGAACAAGGACATGCGCGAAGGCCATGTTTAACAACACATTATGGCTTGCTCTGTTCAAATCTGGTCTGTGCAGAAGAATACGTGAAGCGATTGCTCGTGCCAGCAGTCTGCTGCCTCCAGCGCTTGTTGACGCTTGGGCTGGTGTTTCAATGGCAGTGTGCTCCAAAGAATCCGTGCCGCACGCACCGAAGCAGCGTGACAAATCGGGGGAGATACCGCGATGACGGTCAGCGCGCGCCTTGCAAGTCTTCAGCAACTAGCGTGCATCCACGGGAGACGAGTATCGGCTATACACGACTGCATGCAAGTGGCCGCCGATGGAGAGATGCTGCCAAGCTATCTGCGCATCGAATAGGGTCAACAGAATTCGCTTCATATCCGCCATCTTTGGGATGAGGACCGCCAACGACATGCGTTTGCCCGCACCTCTTCACAAGAGAGTCAGCGTCGTCTCCGGGTTCGACCTGGAATGTGGCCCGGGCTTTTTGTGACGCAGGTTGGAGCCCCATGCCTACATCCTGCAACGGCTCCTTTAGGTTGGCTCCCTTGTGGCTCACGTCTGATCTTCGTACAGGGATTGCTGCTGAGCATTGTGCATCACCACACAGTATCGATGGGTGAGTCGGTGTGTTGGAAACAGGCTTGGTTCAAGCAGGAGTTGATCTGCTCCTGGCCGCAAAAAGAACGAGAACGGAGGGCTCGCTGAGCACAGATGATATGTCCAGAACACGACACACATGACAGGAGGGCCTGAATGATTGATGCTCATCAGTTGAGCAGAGGGCAAAGCGGCACTGCATTGGCCCGCGGGAAACACCACTGCTCGTCGGTTCCTTTCGGCTAGTCTTGGTCACGCGGCATTTTTGAAGCGTCGGGATGTCCTCCAGCTCGGGTACTTTGTTGGGGCGAGTCCCGAGCTTGGCAGAAACTCACGTTGCACCACTGCCGGCATGGAGGATAAGCACGACGAGCGAAAAAGGTGATGCTGATTTGCTGCGCCACTGCGGCTGCACCGCACATGTGTAGCCCCAGCAGGTTCCGGCGATTCTCAAAGTGAGAACCAAGCCTTTGCCACAAAGTTTTCGCCTGCGGCCTATGCGCTCTGGCATACTGTGCGAACCTACCCTGGCCTGTAATCTGAGGTTCACCTTCCCACTCCTCTGCGAGGCGCTGTCTCTGTCGACGGCACTCGGCGTTCCTTGGCGAATGAACTGCGAATATCAATGCTGGCGCTAATAACGCTGGAAGCTGCGGTCGCATCGACATCTGAGGTGTCTGCGGGGCGCTGGGCGATACTCATCGATGCAGATGGCAAGGTGGAGAAGCCACTTGGACTCATGCGCTTCTTCATCTTTTGCAGGAAGCGGCAAGGAGCTGGACTGCAGATGTGCCGTTACACAGCCCCTGAGGTTTTGGAACTCTGTGCCGAGCCTACTGACACGTCTTGTACATGGCGTACATGCTTGCGAATTCATGACTGCTTGGTAGAGAAGTGCGTAGCTTCAGTCCAGAGGTGGCCGCTCGCACCTTCCCTCAGACCGCTTTGGATGAGGTCTAGTGAGTCTTGTGGTGGTTGGACACTTTCCCTTGTCGGCGAATGCTTTACACTACGCTGACCTGTCGAGTGCAGAATGGGGGGGCTTGGCCAGAGGGCAATGCTGCTTGAATGATCGCCTTGCTGGTGCGACTCCGGAGGAAGCTGCCGCCATCTACTAGTAGCAAGCCTTAAGGTCTTACAGGTTCAGGCACGATAGCCACGATGAGAACGCTGCCATTCTTGTTTTAAGGTTTGCTCCAAACTGCACCGGCGAAGCAGGAAAGAGACTGCAGCCCGCCAGGCCGAACTCCCCCAGCCATCTCACCCGGTAGCTCGGCTAGCTGTTCGGCGCAGCACGACAAAAGGGTGCAGTGCATGCAATTTGGTTGCTGGGGGACAGTCGGGAACTGGGGGAGAGACGGAGAGACGCCAGCTTTCGCACCGCACTGACCTGAGCTGCTGCTCGAACAAAGGACCTCACAAGCACGAGCCATGACGGGGTTCTTCCGTTGCATCTAGGGCGCGTCACTGATGAGCCCTGGCGCCCTGAGCACTAGCGAAGCAGCGCAAAAACAAGAAAAAATACCAGCACTGTGACAGCACTCTTTTCTGGAGACGCCATGCCGCCGCTTCCAGGGACCGACGACAGCAGCCTGGAAGCTGTGAGATTCTCTGTCCTTACCAATGCGCTCCTTCTGGTGGTCTTTTTAGGTACCTTCGAGATTTTCCTGAGAAGGGAGGGCACACGCCAGTTGCTGGCTCCAAAGCTGCCATCTCCGGAGCGAATTGGATTTCTTTGCTCTCGCTTTCCCAGCTTCTTGTCTGGTGGCTTTGTCGCCTGGGCACGGAAGGTCTGGGAGCAGCGCCACCAACCGGTGGATCTCGAGCCAGATGCCACCATCCTCATACGCTTTTGCCAGCTTGGCCTGAAGTTCAGCTTGCTTGGCACAGCCTTCTCCTGTGTGCTCCTTCCGATGCAGCTTGGAACCCCAAGTTGGTCACATATGTCCACCCCATTCCACCTCATTCCACCTCATCGAGAGCAGTTGGGTGTAACTCCTAGGTCTCAATTTCCCGGAACAATACTACTCACAGGGGCTTTCCCTGTCTTTATGAGGGCCACAGGGATCCTTTGACCTCAGCCTGAAGAGCTTGATGTACGCTTCTGTTGTGTAGAGACTTAGCGGCTTGTGCAACTACCGGCAGCAAGCAGCATAAAAGTCGCCTTTGTGGGCCTAAGCGCTGGTGCCGGCCGGAATCGGTGTGGCTTGTGGTTCCAGAAGATACATAGGCGATGCACAAGACTCATAGGGACAGGGAAACGCGGAATGCCGGCGCCGTAAAACCATCGCAACAGGTTTCAGCGACTATAGCCTACATGACTTGGCCTATGTGCTGTTGACGAAGACCTTTGGCTTGTTGGTTAGGCGTTTGAAAAATGTAGAAGCCCAGGTATGCCACCGGTCCTGGGCAAGCCAGCGGCTTCAACTCCATGAGCCTCTCGAATCTGAAGTTGGGCGGGTCCACGCGCTTTTGGTGCGTGATTCTGGCAGCGTACATGCTGACCTCAACTTTTGGGTTCCTGATTCTTCGAGAATGGCATGCTTTCGTGAGTGCCTCGGATCCAAACTTGATCCAAGCTTGCAGACGCCCTGACCTCCTGACCTATCAACCATTGCAACCTGAGCCTTATAGTGAGTTAAGACCGTTCAGAAGCAGAGCTTTTTCCAGCATCTCTTCACTCGAGGTATAAAGAGACAGCACTTTGTCAAGGCCGTGTCTGGAGCCTGTGGTCCGGCAATGGCCCAGAGCCGTAGGACCCTGATGGTGGAGGATGTGCCTTCGACGTCGTGGTCAGAGCAGGGTGTTACTGCCTTCTTTGAGAAGCTTTATGGACCCGCTTCTGTGTACAGCTGTGTTTGTATCGGCCATGTTCAGCAAACCGATCTGCACCCCTCAGCCCGGGCCGCTGCACATCTGATCCAAGTCAGCACTGGACCAGCAACAGCTTTTGTGACGCTACGGTCTGCAGAGCGATGTACCGAAGCTCAGCAAGTCGTACTAAGCCACACTTCCGGTTGGCGGGTGTGTGAAGCTCCAGAGCCACGAGACTTGATTTGGACCAATGTTGTGAAGCCTCGTGGCATGACCGAGCTGCATCAGAAAATTGGCTTAGCAGCCACAGTGGTCTGCGTTCTCTTCTGGTCAGTGCCCGTGACGTTGATTCAAGCCTGGGCAAACGTTGAGTCGCTCTCCAAGTGGTTTCCCGCTGTACATGATTTGAAGCGGTGGTCGCCTACGATCTATGCGCTCATCACCAGCTACTTGCCAGTACTAGCACTTATGGGGCTGCAAGCGTTGCTGCCGTACTTCTTTGCTGCGATGGCGCGAGGCTATGAATGCCACAAGACGAAGTCCGGTGTTGAGAGGGTGGTGCTCAATCGCTGTTTCAACTATCAGCTGGCCTCACTCTACGTCACGGTGCTGTCTGGGTCGCTTTGGGATTCTCTCACAAAGATTTTGGATCAGCCTTCGCAGGTGCTGGACATCTTGGCCCGCTCGCTTCCAAAAGCCAACGTTTACTTCCTCACCTTCGTTCTGGCCAGAGCATGCGTGGGTGTTCCACTACTTCTGCTGCGGCCCTATACCTGCCTAGCTACGTGCAGTCTCACTGGAGCCGCTGGAGAGCCGAAGATCCGATGTGCTTATGGTTATGAGGCATCAAGTATCGCAATTGTCCTGGTCATTGGAATCACTTATTCATTCATTGCTCCCGCTATTCTGCCGGCTTGCGCAGTGTACTTCGCTGCTGCAACGCTTTCGTACCGCTGGCTTTTTGTCCACGTCTACGACACAGAGTTTGACGGCAGCGGCGTATTCTGGTATGATCTCTTCAACTGTGTGCTGTTAGGTTTGTTTTTGAGCACCTTGTCCTTGATTGGTCTGGCAATACTTTATGGATCTTACACTCAGCTAGTGTTCCTCTTTCCCCTTCCGCTGCTCGTGGGTTACCTTGCGTTGCGCTGTTGGGGTCGCATGGGCTGGAAGTCTCGATGGACATCGCTGGAGGATGCTGTTCGGGCGGACCAAGATGAGGGAAGTGCTCTAGCCGGCTTCCAAGAGAACCTTTATGCTGAGCCCTCGGCTGAGCCATGCTGACCTGAGCTTCTGAGCCGAACCACAAAGAAATTCAAAAGGGCATGGCAGTGCACGAACCCATGCAGGCGGTTGATCAGTCTGACTATTTTGTTCACTGACCTCATCAAATGTTTTGGCACCAACCGAGGCCATTTGTTTTTAGAGAACACGTTTGTAATAGCAAGGCCGCAGCGTGTTGAGCGTAATTATTCTGCTTTTGTGTGACCTGTTGCTTGACACTTCATCTAGAATGTCTTTAATTCACCGGCAGAAGAGGGATGCATACTGCCGCAAACAATACCCAAGCGATAGGATCCGTGCCATCTGTGGCCAAAGTCAAAGCCAAGCACCTGGCACATGAAGAAATGGGATCTGGGCCGTCCACATCCGTCATCTCCTTGGGCCAGCCAGGATAAGGATAGTGACATGAACAATCAGAACCGGCGCATGCCTGTGAGGTGCGGGATGAGAAGCTGCGGGCGGACATTGCAGCCGGAGCCCATTGACATTGGCTGACGTGATGCATGACGATGCGAGAACTGCGTTGCTGTTTGAGATTACGCACTCCGCGTGAGGTCAAGCTCCATGCCGCCAAGCGGGCTCGTCACGATGCACGTGCCAACAGAGCGGTCATGCAAGATGCATTCGATGCGGTGGGTGTGGACTCCGCACTGGCCCCAGAAAAAGGGGCAAAGCTGCTTTCAACGTGAGATTCTCAGGGCAGAGACCATGGAGACCTGCAGGCGGGGACTCTGAGCTTTGCGCAGTTCAAGCGCGCCTCAGAGCGCTTGGGCATGCGGGTGACCGACAAGCAGCTCAAAGCGGCCTTTGCACCCTTCGAGGCTTCAAGTTTCCGATCAATTCCCGACCTGTCGGATCCTGTCACTCACCTCCCTCCCCGAATAACAAGTTGCAGCAAGTTGCCATGCAATTTGCAGGGGCCTCACAGTGGGCGCCTGGCCTGTGTGCCTTGGCTGCTGGGTTGCCCCAAAGATCACAAAGATTTTCGTTGAATGGTGACAGCATCTTACATCTCTCGGAGGCTGAGTTCATCGAGTTTGTCTGTAGCGATGAGACGGCTAAAGCAACTGCGAGTCTCTGCCGAAACATTTTGACTTCTGTGGCAATGCTTTCAGTCGTGTACCCCCCCATGACCGTACGACATCTCTTCCGAGCCCAGTCTCTTCCCTCTGGGAACTTTCGCAGCCCTCAGGAAGTCGACCTCAGCAGCAACGAGACGGCGCCCGTCGCGCCCGACAACAGGCTTAGAGCTCGCTCTGTGCAGGGTCACATATGTGTCACATAGTAACCTGGCAGAAGCTGCTGCTTGCTGAGGCGGGGGACCCCGCGCTGGGAGCAAGGATCAAAATCAGCAAAAGAACAATAGCTTGGTAAGATCTTGCTCGACGATCTATGCCGCATCTTCGCAGGACCAGCTGCTCGACACTTCTGAGAGCGGCCTCCGCAAATCGGCAGCACGAATAGCAGATGTGATCTTCGAAAAGGAGGCCACGGACGCATTGCGTCTGCAATGCAATCGCGGGTTGTTTCGAGGAAGCCATTGTGTGGACACATAGCTTCTTCCAATTCTTGCCATTATTAGCATTGTTAGTTATGCGTGTGGCCTCGCCTTGCGCAGATTGACTTGCGAAATGCTTTCAAGCAGTGGGACTCCAAGAAATGCGGTGGTCTCGATGAGGAGGAATTCCAGGCCGGGCATTGAACTTTGTTGGACTGCAGGCGTTCGCTACTTCTTGGTAGATGGTTTCTTTTCAATTTGACACAATCTTGTGGTCAGGCGTGGACGGTTCTAAACGGCCATCCTACTAGTATATGCATCGCCAGGCAAGTCCACACAGCACAGTAATACCCTTAGTTTGCGGGGTCTGAGATGGGTACCCTGACGACAGGGGGGGTCTGACCCGAAAACATGATTTTTTCGAGCGGCGCAGACTCAGCAGTTGAGTATCTCTTCTCTGGTTCTCGTTTTCTCCAGCGGCAGCACGAAGAAATGGCTTTCAGGGAGAGATTGCAGCCCAATCTAGAGTTTCTCTGTGGGTCCCGAACACAAGACCTGCAGGGACCCACAAAGACAGGCCTCTAGAAGCCTCCACTGGTCGGAAAAAAGACCAGCCGGGTCCCGGGCCCGCCAAGAGTTTCCCAAAGTCGCCCCACAGGTTTCAAGGGCAATCTTGTGTGGAAGAATTTTGGGGGGCCTACAAAGAAAAGGGCTGCGCGGGAGATTTCAACCCAACTGGGCATAGCTCCAGGGGCCTTGAATGGCTCCCAAAACCGGCCTCCAAAATGTTTTAAAGAGCATGGCCAGGAGCATGCTATCGAGCTTAGGTCCCAGTCGCTTTCCCGACTGAGGGGCTGGAGGTGAGTGGGGTCTGAATGGGTTGTTTAGGCACGAATCCAGACCTCCAATTTAGTCCCCGGGCCTTCCCAACGCAGTCTGAGGCGAGAGGTCTGAAATGGGTTGTCGCATTCTGAGGCCAATCCTGGGATGAGTCCCCATCTGGGACCCCCATTGAGGTTTAAACTGGTGCCTCTCCCCCACCCCTCCAAAGCGAAAACTAAGGGTATGTATGGTCTGAGCCTGCCGCAAAGACCGGAACAGCCTCAGGTTTGAAGTTCCAGAGAGTCCGAGACGAGCTTTCCATGGACCCGAGCAAGATCGCCCGAACGTGACATCAATCATTGTTCTTTTCGGTGGCGTGTGGCAGACAAATTTGCTGCAAGACCTGAGCTTCGGCCTGGTTTGCAAACGCACCGTTGCATGGAAGACATTGGAAGAACGTGTTTGATGAGCACTGGTTTGTTGCAGATAGCGAGTGACACATGCATGTCTCGATCAGTTCAGCTTCCATCGCATTCCCTGATCTTGGAACCGCCTGGTTTGCCGGGGTTTGCCAGCGCTGTGGAAAGGATGCACATCGTCTAGAGGAAGAAGTGAGCATGATAGAGCATGCTACAAGTACCAGCTGCCAGCGATGAGTATGTGTGCATGTTCTTCAAGGCTGTCATTCACTTCGAATGCTTTCTTAATCTGTCTCATGTTTGTAGACCGTCGGAAGTATTATTCAAAACTGGTCAGGGCGCCCTGGCGAGTCTGGGATTCGATGCCTCTCCCGACGTCGCAAATGCCGTGTTCAAGGCATTGTCCTGTTGTCCTGTAGGTGCGAGTCGCTTGATGTTGGCGAGGCCTTCGATTTGAAAGGGGACGGCCGGGTGTCTTGCTGGGAATTCACACGAGGGTTGCACAATTTGCAAGCCTGATCCTCAGACGCGCTTGAGCCATCGCAGCCAGGAAAACGAGAAACAAATGTTTGTGCACCGTCCCAGGCTGCTGCTGAGGCCACGGCGACCGAGGAGGAGCGTCAGGAGCTGAGCAGAGCCGTCCGAGATGCTTCGCAAGGCATCGGATTAGATTGGTTGATCGGCACTTGCGCATGATACGAATACTATACGAATGATGCCAAGGACGCGCCCGCAGAGACAGAAAGAAAGCATCGGCGCTGCAAAAGCAGGCGTGCACGACGCTTCTCACTTGTGCCACGCGGAGTGTACATCGCTGCCTTTTGTTCTTCGCCTCGTTTTGCATGGAGCTTACATAGCAACGTAGAACTGGAACGTGAAAAGGCAGCCACGCTGACTGTCGTGGGCGCCGGTCTGGGGGGAGGAGATTCTGCACATGTCTGGACTTTGTGTGTATATTGCCTGTTCCAAGCTTGAGAAGGACACCTCCCTGAGGCATGGTGGTCATTTAGAATTTCACGACTGAGTCTCCAACTAAGACTAGGCCACTTGCCGTGCAGACATGATGCCAGAATTGCACTCCAGGCCACGGCATTGTCTGGTGCGATCGAAGGAGGTAATGCGGTGCGGACCCCAGCAAATCCTGCAGTTTGAGCGTGCCGGCTCGTGACTTGCTCAGGCGCACCTGCGAAAAGCATTACATGATGCCGAGAAGGTCGGCATTGCCCCAGAGGATTTGGAGGCAGAACGGCACCATCACCGTTCGACCGGACAGATTGTAAGGCTTGTATATGTAAGTAAGGAAGCAAGAGCGGGAGGAGAAGACGACGAAGAAAAGTAAAAAGAGAGAATGTGTGTGTGTGTGCGTATTACGAGCCCAGCAGCAGCAGAAGAAGCAGAAGAAGAAGAGTGTATGCACATGTATAAGGGCACAAGCACAGAAGTGTTCGTGGTCCAATTTGTGTGTGGCATGTAAGAGAGGACTGCACAGCAACCCGAAACTTTTTCTTGGGCAGGAACGGGCTTCTGCACCAGAGATGATTTCGTATGTGTGAGTTTCCTGTCAGCCAAGTCGGGCAGCTAACCAGAAAGTGACTGAGGAAAGGGCACGGCAAGGCCACCCCTGGCCAAGCACATGAAATCAACACGCAATTGTCCGGAGCACCGCAGATGTTTCAGAGGGAGCCCAGAAAAGCTGCACTATACCGCGCTGCCGTCCTGAATGCGATGAAAGCCGAACCCCTTGCAACTCATGTCGAAGGAACGGATTGGTGGAAAGACCAGTGAGAAACATGCACTAGTCATGTCAATGGTCCTCCCATCATCAGGCTGCGCGGTCCAAATTGCAAGAACTGGAGGAGAAGGAGGCCGCAGAGGATGAGCTCCTCAATTCGCATTTTTGACAGTTTTGCAACGACGCTTTCACTGTGGGGGTGTGAGAGGGATAAGGAGAAGGGGATAGGGAGAAGACGAGAGCGATGCAGTGCCAGAGCGCGCATCGAGGCTGGAGGACGCCTTGGAGGCCCCGCGGAGTTCCACAAGGCTCCGCCGGGCACTCGAGGATGCCCAGGCAGCAGGCCTCAGCGAGGCTGGACAGAGGGTATGACGGGTATGACAAAGCAGCAAAGTTAAACAAAGAAAGCAAAGAAGAAGTACCTGCCAATGTGGCCCATGCTTGTCATTGCATCCCTTTTGGAGAGGCGAGCTTGGTGGAAGCTCGAAAGGCTTTGGCTCGGGAGGATCCCAGATGAGTAGCTAGCTTGATTTGAATGCTTCAAGCCGCTAGGACCGCTGGGAGGTGCTGTGCTCTTTGCAGGAGTGGAGGGATCAAGTCAGACAGCGCTTACAAGAGGCAATGCGTAGCTGCTGCCTCAGTAGCTCTTTATGCGTGCAACGAGAGGCAGCCTCATGTGAGATAGGGTCGGCATCTCAATGTGCCAAGGTGGTGATGTCGAGCACTTGAGAGATGCTATAGAAGTCCACTCCCCAGTCTGAATCCGCATACGTCTTACGCGAGTGATCTGGACCACAAAGACCGAAGGGCGAAAAGTGATTAGATTTGGGCAGAGCATGAAGCACAACACGCACAAAACAAAGTGATGAAGGCTTGTGACGGCTTTTGATTCCCATGTGTGGAACAGAACGATGTGCGAACCGTGCCACACAGCCAAGGATGGTGAGGCCGCCAGCTTGCCGGAGGAGGACGGTGCCACAGCGCCGTTTATCGGAGCACTCTCTCCCTCTGCTGCCCGCTTACCCCCTCTCTCTCTCGCTCTCTCTCTCTCTCTCTCTCCCACCCTCTCTTGCAAGTTTGCGAGGAGCTGGCCCCTGCCCGCCAGATGTTGGCTGAAGAAGAGCGCAAGGCTGAGCCCAAGAGGGCACGCTGCTAGACAACGTTGCTTGACAACGTTTTGCAGCTCGTTGTGTGGTCTGAGCTGTGTGTGGAGCTCTTGTCATCACCTTCATTTTTTGTAAACCTTTGTGATCCTTTGTGTCGGGAAGGGCTGCTGAGGGTGTGGAACTGATAGACGCTTGACCGGTCAAGACATGAAACACGAAGCTTGCATGAAGCCTCGGCCAAGGTTGCACATGTCTCAGATTAGCGTAGATTTGCCACCATGATAAAACATGAGGCTCTCTAGCAGCCTCGCGTGCAGGCACGAGCTTCGAGAGCGTTGCAGGAGGCAGTCGATGCCGGTGATGAAGCTCGCTTGCGAGAGGCATCGGGGCTTTGGGGCAAAAGGTCCGGGGTAGTTACCGGACGCGCGGGTCCTGCAAGATCTTGCGCTGTGAGGCCATTTCGCTGGCACAACGGGCAGGTGTTGCTGCTTCCGAGCTTGCCAGAGCCAGGGATCTCCTAACTGCCGTGGTCTTGGCAACGCTGTTGTGGCCTGCGCCCCCCCCTGTTCCAACTTCCAATTTTCCCCGAGGCGTTGGGAGGGAAGAAGGCCGCGGAGCAGAGCCTCAGAGATGCCATCAGCGCGAGGCGCCGGCACTGGCACGGCTAAGACTGCCAAGAGCTGCACTGGCGCAGATGCGGTTGCTGGCATTTGCGCATGCTGTTCTTTCAAGCCGTGTAAACATGATGAAGCATCCATAAAGCAAGTTCCGAGTTCGATTTGGCAGGGATCCAGAAAAGCTGCGGCGAGCCATTGACAGTGGTCGGCAGCATGGTGCCGACGATTCCCTTTTGCAAGATGCACAACGTGTGTCCCGTGGCGACAAATTGTGTCGGAAGAAGTGCTGCTGTTGCTTCGATTGGTGCGGACCTTGTCTTTACATGCACCTGTGGCTTGACTGAGGTTGGAGGAGGTGACGCGCAAGCACGCAGCGCAGGCGAAAATGCAAGCGGCAATGGAAAGTCAAGATGCGTCGAAGTTGCAAGAGGCGCTTGCTTTCGGAGACGGCTTCCTGTCAGCAGCAGAGATTGAAGCTGCAAGGAATATGCTCTCAGGCTTGGAACGCAAGGCCCTGGCAAGAAAGAACTTGTCAGATGCAATTTCAACAAGAGATCCAATGCAGCTTCGCTCGGCTTTGGATGCCGGGGAAGCTGCAGGTCTTTCTGCTGACGAACTGGCGCCTGCCCGTCAACTTCTAGGCCAGGAGAATCGTAAGGATGCTGCGAGAGAGGCCCTGAAGACGGCCATCTCGTGTGGTGATGCTTCACGTCTCCAGGCAGCCATTGTCGAAGCTGAAGCTGTTGGACTTTCTGACTCAGAAATCTCACCAGCTCGCACCACCCTTGCAAACTTGGAGAACCTGGCCAGTGCGAGACGACAGCTTCGTGATGCCCTTACCGCTCGGGACCCTCAACTGCTGCAAGAAGCGATTGGAAAAGGACAGGCCGCAGGAATTCCTGAGGACGAACTTGCAGCAGCCAGAGACTGCTTGGAAGACGAGCTGCGGAAGAGCAAAGCCCGACAGCAGCTGCGCAAAGCCGAGCAAAGCGGGGAGGCCGCCGAACTACGCGCAGCCTTAGAAGAGGGTAAAGCAGCTGGGCTTCCTGCATCTGACCTGGCAGCGGCTCACACTGCCTTGAGCTTTGCTGAAAAGCAGCTTGCTGCTCGAAACCGTTTGCATCAAGCTGTCAAGACTGGTGACACGGCCGAACTGCGTGCTGCCTTGGAAGAAGGGGAGGCTGTCGGCCTCAGTGAGGATGAGCTGCAACCTGCGCGAGATTGTCTGAATCAGCAAAGCGGGAAGCTTGTTGCGAGGCGACGGTTGCAGGATGCGGTTCAGGCGCGAGATCGCGAAGCTCTCCGTGTGGCCCTGGAGGGGGCAGAGAGAGCAGGCCTCGCAGCAGAGGATCCGCAAAGCATGCAAGCAGCAAGGGCGGTCTTGGAAGAAGTTGAGCGCCTGGAGATGGCATCCCAGAGACTTCGTGCTGCTTGCGCATCACGCGATGCAGAGGCACTGAGAACAGCAATAGAGGAAGCGCGAGCTGCACGAGTGCGGGCACAGGACATTGCAGATGCCGAAGCGCTGTTGCGCCGCATGGACGAGGAGGAAAATGCGCGGCGCCTCTTGACGGAAGCAGTGAAGTCCCGGAAGATCGAGGAGCTCCAGAGTGCTTTGAGTGCAGGGGAGCGTGCAGGACTGAAAGTGGAGCTGGAGGATGCCCGAAGGGTTTTAAAAGAGGAGGAGCGCATGGCGGCGGCCCGGCGGGCTTTGCAGAAGGCCTTGGTGACCCGAAACACAGACGCTCTCCAGCAGGCCCTCCAAGAAGGTGAAGCGGCAGGCCTTGGAGCCAAGGAGCTCCAAGCAGCGCGCGCTGCACTGGCCCAGGAAGATGCCAAGTCCAAAGCACGTGCCCGGCTGCAGCTTGCCATGAAGGCCAAGGATTTGGGGCAGCTGCGAGGCGCCATAGCTGCAGCAGAACGGAGTGGGTTGAGCGCAGAAGAGATGCGCCCGGCCAAAGATATGCTGCGGGAGCTGGAGAGCAAGGCAGCGCAGTGCTCCGAAGGTGTGTTCATCTATGTTCACGGTTCACCTTGCTTGGAACTAACGCGTCTAACAAGTGTTAAGCACAACTACTTGTTCTGTTCAGGAGGCAGCTATCAAGAAGCTTCGCGAAGCAGTTGCATCTCGCAATGTGCCAGCGCTGAGGACAACACATGTCTGCTGTGTACATGCAAAGCGCAGTTAGGGACCGCCCCATGCGACTCAAACCCCCTCCGCCCGGTTGCACTCGTGATTCAGAACGATGTCACCTTCAGGGTTTGTCACACAGTTTGTCCTTCTTGGGCCTTCTTAGCGCTGATTTGCTGATGTGTTTGAGATAGAACACGTGTGCGGAAGCTTGGAAGCTCCTAGAAGCTCGCCCTGAGCCGTAAACCCGATTTCCCGGCATCGAAAGTTGTGTTGCAGGTTGGCAGTGAGGGAGCGCCGGCGACTGTAAATCTTTCATGCCCTAAACGACATCCTAAAGAAGACAAGAGGCTTCTTGCGCGGAAGTAATGGTAGGTTTCCACCGGCCTTCATCGTGGCCCAGCAGTGCACATGACCTCCAAAGTCAATGTGAATGAAAGGGGTCGGGAGACTCCAACTGCCAGGTTTCTGGTTGGGATTGCGGGCCTTCGGCACGTGCATCATGCTTCACGATGCCTCATTTCTGGCTGTGTGCCTGGCAAAAAAGCACTGTCGCCATGCCACCACTGGCAGGCTTATGCCTACCATGTCGTCCAGCGCATATTGGAACGGATAGACTCAGATACACGAAGGACGTACCTCATTGTGACAAATGCCAACATGACCGGCAAGGTGTTCCGTCAAATGCTCCAATGTGAGCACTGAATGCAGCGCCTCTTGCAATTGAGCTGCAGCTGTAATTCGGTTAGAAAATCAGAAGTCAAGACATCAATTTCTGTCAACGTACTTCCGCGAGCTATTTCCGTGAGATGCCTTAGCAGCCTTAGCATGAATGGATGGATGGATAGCGACCTGGTGTGGCAGCCACCTTATTCAGCCCAGCCGCCAACATCATCGCGGTTCTAGTTGGAGTTGAGGCAGATGAAGGTATCCAGCAAGGCTGTTCAAACACACCCGACCCACGAGGCCCCCTCTCGGCAAAAATTGTCATCTGCTCAAGAGCAGACAATCATGAGTCCTCGCGGACCTACTCTGACCTGCAGTTTGGGATGCGAATGGAACATAGGAAAGGGAGAGTGAAACAACTTGAAGAAGCAGGTGCAAATCATCACGGCTTCTTCCCGAGCAAATCGCAGACTCCACAAACTCTGTGGGGTCTGTCGGAGAACCGTGGGCAGTCCGCACAGGAGCGATTTTCATATCAGCTCGGATGTGCGCCAAAGTGCGAGTATCGTAGATGTTACTGGACGAATCCAGAACCGCATGGAGCCAGAACGGCTGCCTGCAAGAAGATTGAATGGTGCCCAGTTACCCAGTGTCAGTGTGTGTGTGTGTGTGGGTGGGTGGGTGGTCGCCTTGGTGAAAAGACATTTCTTCTTCAGCAAGTTGAACATTGACAGAGTTCCTGTTCAGCGAAAGTTGCGATTGGATTGATTGCGTTTTGCGTTCTTGGCAACCGGCTTTTGCAATATGATTTGCGAGGTTGCACTGGGCTGTGCCTAACTAGCACAGGGCATTACTGAGATGCCGCCGAGAATCCATCATGCTGCAGGACTGCCATAAACAAGGGTGAAGCCGTTGGGCTTAGTGCTGATGACTTGGAAGAAGCGCGCCGTGTTCTGGCAGAGGAGGAGGCGTCTTTTGCAGTAATTGCTTGCTCCCCCTGTCGGATGTTTTCCAAATCAGCATTTGTTGCAAGACAGAAAACAGAGTCATAATGGCAGCGGGCAAGTGCGCTGGCTGACAGATGTTACCGATGGGATGTGCTGATGTGCAGGCGAAGCAGAGTGCCAGGAAGGCATTGCTGGATGCTGAAGCTGGTGACAGCGTGCCGCATCTGCAGGCTGGGGCTCTATAGTGACTTAGTGAAAAAATGTATCCGCAAATGACCCCATTGCACGCAGGTAGTCGGCCAGGTCCGCCTAACAAGTGATGCGAACATCGCAGAATATATTTGGACATCGCAAAAAAGTTGAGAAGTCTCTAACAGCAACATCGCCTCAAGATGAGCCCTCGCCCGAGTGCACTTTGGCATTTTCAGGGTCTCAGGAGGACAACACAAAAAATGAGGGTCGGACATGCACCCGCACATTCGATCCTCCGTGCTTGGGAGGCTGCGCTGGATACGGGTCGCGCGGCCGGCCTGCGGCCGGATGAGCTGGCACCTGGCATTCGAAGACTGGAGGAGCTTCAGCGGCGGGAGGAGGCCCGACAAGCTTTAGAAGAAGCTATGAGGCCAGAGGGGGCACGAAATGCAATGCTTTTGCCATTTTGAACAAAAACAGCTGCTATGTTTTTTGGGTACTTCTACAAACGGTCGTCATTATTGTTGCTAGTGCTGCCAGTACTACTGCTGCTGCTGCTGCTGCTGCAGCTACAGCGACTGCTGCTGCTACTTCTACTAGGAGTAGTAGGAGTAGTAGTCGTCGTTGTAGTAGTCGTCGTCGTAGTAGGAGTAGTAGTAGTAGTAGTAGTCGTCGTCGTCGTCGTCGTCGTCGTCGTCGTCGTCGTAGTGGTCGTAGTAGTCGTCGTCGTCGTCGTCGTCGTCGTAGTAGTAGTAGTAGTAGTAGTAGTAGTAGTAGTAGTAGTAGTAGTAGTAGTAGTAGTAGTAGTAGTAGTAGTAGTAGTAGTAGTAGTAGTAGGTAGTCAGCAGTCGGCAGTTAGTAGTTGTTAGTTGGTAGTTGTTAGTTAGCAGTTGGTGGTTTGTTAGTTGGTAGATAGTAGTTAGTAGTTCGCGGTTATCGGTTGTTCGTAGTTAGTAGGTAGCAGTTAGTAGATAGTAGTTGGTAGTTACTAGTTAGTACTTAGTAGTTACGACGGCGACGGCGGCGGCGCCGGCGACGACGACGACCACCACGACGACCACCACGACGACCACGACGACCACGGCGGCGGCGACCGCGACCGCTACCACTACCACTACCACTAGCACTACCACTACCACCAACCTGCCTGCCCACCCATCGGTGCTGGCACCGCAGCACCCCAGGCAAGGAACACCCGACGAGCTGCGAGAAGCCCTGAAGCATGCTGAAGCTGCTGGGGTAAGTGCTTTGCTGCTCGATGATGCACGCGAGCTGCTGCGCCGGCGTGAGCAGCAGCAGAAGGCAGCGGACGGCCTGCGCAGTGCGACGGCTCAAGGCCTGGCAGAGTGCCCAATAAGTTTCTCGCGAAACAGAACTAGCTCACTCAGCCCCACTGTGATGTCTGCTCAGCCTGCTCAGCCGAGGCGACATGGCCGAGTTGCGGGCTGCCATACGCCAAGCGCAGGCAGCCGGCCTCCCTGCAGACAGCATGGCAGATGCCATGGAGAAGTTGGCCGGACTGGAGGAGGCTGAGGCAAAGAAGCAGCAAGAAGAAGCAGAAAGACAGCGAGAGTTGGAAAGATTGGCGATGCTAGAGCAGGCAAGGCGGGAGCATGCTTTGCAAATGTTGGCAGAGGCCAGCAAGTCCCGTGATGTCGCCAGCTTGCGAGCAGCCATTGACGCTGCGAATAAGGCAGGCTTGGAGGGTTCAGAGCTGGACGAGGCATCACGGATCCTCGCAGAAGAAGAGGCCAAGGTCACAGCGAGAAGCTTGCTGGCAGCCGCTGTGGCTTCCGGTGACGTCGAGCGTTTGCGCCAGGCTCTGCAACGAGGTGGCCAAGCGGGCTTGGATGATGCCGAGATGGAGGTTGCTCGGCACGCTCTTGCACAGGCCGAGGCTCGGGCAGAAGCTCGACAGAAGCTCCGCCAATCCTTGGACGCCTTTGACTCCTCAGACCATGGAGACGATGGCAATTCTGCCGATTCTGCCAAGAATTTGGAGGTCTTGAAGGCTGCATTGGAGGGCGCGGAGGCTGCCGGCCTAGGCGATGGAAACGAGGCCGACGCCACTCTGCTAGCAGCCGCACGCAGGAGAGCTGCTGAGGAGGCTGCAAGGCTTCGGCTGCAGGCAGCGATTTCAGCTGAGGACCCCAAAGAGCTGAGCCAAGCCGTGGACTTTGCAAACAGGTCAGGCTTTACAGGCCAGGCCCTGGAAGATGCCCGAAACCTTTTGCAAGTCCTTGAGGCGAGGAAGGCCGCGAAAGAAGCTGCGAAGCAGGAGCTGAAAGATGCCTGCCGCTCTGAGGACATGGACCGCCTGCGCGCTGCCTTGGATTCGGCAGAGGCCTTGGAAATCAGCGAGGAAGACAAGCAGGAAGCTTTAGAAAAGCTGCGTGAAGTAGAGCGGCGGGCCACTGCAAGTCGTCGCCTGAAGGATGCTCGGGAATCCGGTGCGGTGCAAGCACTCCGGGCTGCTCTGGAGGAGGGGGCGGAAGCTGGGCTCCCAGCCCAAGAGCTCGATGCTGGAAGGGCTGCTCTGGCCCAAAGTGAGGAGCGAGCATTGCTCATGCGGACACTGCAGCAGGCCTCCGGGCAGCCCTCTGGACATCCTACCGGCACCTCCGAACCCATCTCGCCGCAGGCCACACAGGCAACACAGGCTGTGGCTGAAGCTCCTGGTTCGGAAGCGAACGCAGCAAAGCCAAGTGTGGATTCACAGCACTCACAAACCTCACAGAACTCACAGAACTCACAGAACTCACGAACAGCTGAATCTGGTTTGGGCACGGGCGATGCCCGGGACTTGGGCTTGTCATTGAGCCCCTCATAGTGGCATGAGTCTGACCCGTGAGATTTCGTATTCTTGTGTCGGGACATGCTGAGGTCAGACGGTGCACTCCAACCTCCCAGACTCGCCTGTTCGAGAAAGCAGAATACATGTTCAAGAAGACAGCTCTGAACGATTTGAGTGACGAGGAACTTGTCAAGACTCTCCGCCAGCGGTTGCGAAAGCTCTGCGTCTCCCCTGCCGAAGCACTGTGGCTGCTGTTGCATGCGGTTTTAGAACTTGATATTTTTGTCACGTTCACGGGAAGCACGGGATCCGTTTATGCTTCAGGGACACTTCCTGTCAAAGAATGTTGGCGATTTGTACGGTAAATGTTGAACTTGCAGCAGCCCACCAAACTGTACCCAAGGCACTGGCGGAGTGCATGCAGGTGCCTGCGGTTGCAAATGCTGGATGCGACGGAGGCTCCGTGCCACTTGTGGATGCAGACGTCGTGGGAGCTTTTGCTGGGCAATTGCAGCTTACAATCGACCAGCCAAGAACCATAAAGTTTCTGTCGGGACTTGACGGAGGCCAGGGCACGGTCTCTGTTGGCGATTTTCTTGCTGCCCTTCAGGGCAGCCAAAGCCTGGCCCGAAAGGATGCAAGCCCTGGCGACACCATAGCAATGCCCATAGCTGGCAGTGCTGGCAGTGCTGGCAGTGCTGGCAGTGGGGCATTGAGTGAAGCTCATGCAGTTGCAGCTGCCCGAGAGGAAAGAAAGCGGGAGTTGATGCAGCAATCAAAGCCCAAAGAGCTCTTCAGCTTTGAGTTGTTCGATGTTTTGTTTCCGTGCTTCGAGCGTGTGCTTGCCATTTTGCTTTCGTTGAAAGGTGAGCACTATAGTCATAGCGGCAAGTCCGCGTTTTGGTTTTGAATCTCGAATCGGAGTTAAACAATTAAATGAACAGCGCCTGAGGCACTTGCGCCAGCTGGTGCTTCAGCAGAGGGTGAGTCAGCTGAGCCGGAAAGAAGCTCAGCTGGTCACAAACCTCAGGGAGGCATTGTTTGAGCGGCGATCAAACATGCAGAAGATGTTCAAGAGCATCGACCTTAACGATGATGGGATTGTGACCTTGGAAGAATTCCTTCATGCTTTGGAGGGAGCTGGGGTTGCTGTCGGGCATGAGATCGATCGTGCCCGTGCGCAAGTGACGGAGGAGGAAGCCGCACGAATGCTGGCTTACTTCGATCGCAGCAGCACAGGCTTTCTTCACTACAACGAGTTCATGCGGCTTTTACAGGGGACAATCGACTTGGCTCCAGAGGCGCCCATGGATCCAGAACTTGCACGACGGATTCCCGACATCGGCGAATATGGAGGCCGATTTGTCGATCGATTTGCCAACCTTGGACACATGGCGCGACATGTCAACGCATGTCGCCACACGTCGCTTGGCGCTTCCTTGTAGATGAAGCCAAGGTCAAGCGGGCAGGCAGGCGGTGGACTTGAGTGGTACTGGCTTGATTCGAGCCGTGCTGCACTTAGAATCCAGACGAGTTTCATGAGTCAAGCAGCATCGAAGACGCAGCATTGTATAGCCAAATGAGAACTGGTTGATCAGGCTGCCGGCTTGCGTGGCGTCAGGTCCCCTGACGAGCATACCGTGCAGCCGGCTGCCCAGCACGCTTTGTCTATTTCATTGCCACGGTTTGATGACGTGCTGCAAGGACCACTTTCGCAAAGTGGGACGTAAACAGAGAAGCTTGGCTGAAGATCAATCAATGGGGCAGGTCCGGGTAGGTGTTAGACAAGGGTGCGGGCAGCATGCGGCGGAATGGTGGAGGGCTGCACTTGGAGAACCTCGAGTCGATATTGAGACTTCGACTATAGTTTATCGAGGAAGGCCATGGTGCGCCGTCAGGAAGTTTGAGTGGAATGCGCACTGGGCAGGCGCGACAATACGCGACATGGTGCGACGACTGTGTTTTGACTATGCTTGACTACAATACAGATTCGCAGCACGACTCGAAACCAACGTGAAATTGTTTTCACAGACTACAACAAGGGGACCATGATTTAGAGGCCATCTAATGTTGACCTAGTAATAATAAACCCCCCCCCTCCCCCCCCCTTCAATCAAACCCCCCCAAATAGAGTGTGAGGCCCCTTTGAATAAGGATTCCTTTCCTTAGAGAGAATTAGAGAGGATCATAGAGAATCACTCAGGATTCCTTTCCTTAGAGAGAATTAGAGAGGATTAGAGAGAATCAGAGAGGATCAGAAAGGAAAACGGACCCCCCCAAAAAAAAACAAGCCCCGACTGGCGTACTTTATTTCCAGGGCTTTATTATTGCGGCCGGGACACCTGGCGTACTTTAATGTTAGGGGCTTTAGTAATACTAGGTTAACATTAGAGGGCAATTCAGGAAGGGGCGGGCAGTGGCCGGGAAGTCCAAGGATGGCAAGATTTCCGAGCGAGAGCTGCTTTCTGTTCTTCGCAGCTCGTCAGCTGTCACATTGCAAACCCTTGTCTGCATATTGAGCTCAGTTGCGGTCTGCTTTGTTTGCTCTGCCGGGTAATCCAAGGCAAGGTCGATCCCAAAATTCGAGACAAGGCAGAGTCCACCCATGTCCACCACCCCCAATCCTTCCAGGCCTTCCTTTTTCCTTCCCCCCCTTTTGTTGCAGATTTGCAGGATGTGCGAATGCTTTTCGAGAAGGCCGACTGCAATGGCGATGGCTGGATTGCCCCTTGGCTGCAGAACAAGAGCCGAATCGGAAGTCATGCTTCTCATGCCTCACAATGATGGTTTATGATGCCTCGACTGCACCATGTCATCGTTCTCACGATCTTCTGGGAGTCCTGAGGATTACCAAGAATTTGTGGCCTGGCTCTTTCAGTAGGCTCTCTGCCATTCGCTGCGAATCGCGGCGGAACGCCAGGCAGTCGTAGAATGGAAGGCGCTGCAGACTGGGGTCGATGGTGCATTGTTGCATGCAACCCGTCATACGGTTAGGCGACCTGGCAGGCATCTGCCAGGCTCTGGCCAAAAGCCAAAAAATGCCAAAGGCAGATTCATGTGCACGCCCCACCTGAGATAGCAGAGACGAGCTGTTGGATGCAGACCTTATTCAGCGACAATTTGGGCGTTTGTTCTCAGCTTGCTGCTACCGACCGGATGTTGATCCAAGCCCGAGCACCCACAAGAAGACTCCAAAGTGCGGGGGAAGTCAAGGTTTGACCCAAAGCCGTCTCAACCTGCTTAGCAGGTAGTTCTTTTTGCACGAGCCCTTGCCAAGCGGTTCCGCAAGCTCTGCGAAGCGGAGCACGAAGCAGAGCTGAGCAGGCTCCTGGGGCAGTTAGTGGTCTGACCGAAGCTTGTCAGAACCTTGCACGCGTTTTCCCACAAACTCGAAAAATGATGAGAAAGCGGCAAAGTGCTTCTCCACATGGCCTGCTCTGGGCTGCTCTTAGAGTCTTTCCTTGGTGTGTGATGTGGGAGAGGCTCGTAATTGCTTAAGCTCAAGAAAGCACAGATCACAGACTTGGAGAGAGCCAAGTGGAATCCACACAGAGATGTTAGTCCAAGTAATTATGCAATTGCCGAAGCGCATCTTCAGGCGACTTGAGCCCAGAAGTGCTTTGCACATCTGCGTGCTCGCAATTCCAGCCATGGAGTCCGAGGAAAGACACAGAACCCAGCAAACACAGCAGCCAGTCCGCAGCTCGACTTTGTTCGGCACCATCGGCAACTGACTCAGCAGCTCATGGGCAGGTACGTGTGCTTGAGCTATTTGCTGGTATCGGTGGCATGCGCCTCGCCCTATCGTGACCCTGGAAGCAGCCCTTAACAGCCTTAGGCCCTGAGCACTTGAAGCTGCCAGCCATGTGCAAATTGCTGTGTGGAGAGTGAGCAACAAGTTGCCGTGCATCTGTCCTACACGGTTCATGATTTGCCAGCTGTTAGTGGCTCCGCTCCGAAAGCCGCGCTGCAAGTGTGAGACTGGAAGCCATGCCTGTGGGTGGTTACTCTCTTGCGGAATCCCCGAACAAGGGAGCTTCTGGACTGATCCTTTTGTGGTTGTTGCATTAGGTCACCAGGCACACGTACACATGATCCGACTTGACGATCGTATTTCCATGAGTCTTGCGTTGTGCTGAATTCTTGTTCAGGCTGTGACGGGTGGCAGCACCATGTTTCCATCCCGTGGTCTCGCACATGCGGGCATGCAGCAGATGAGCCCCCGTTTCCCAGGCAAAGGACCAAGCGGCCCAAGCGGCCCAAGTCCAAGCATCAACACCCATGGACAGTTTGAAGATGTCGAGCAGCGCTTCAAGTGCTGGGTGGGCGGATCAGAAGCGGGCAAAGTGCAGCTTTGGAAAGCTTGGGATGCGATTGACTACAACGGAAACAACATTGTAAGCTTGGCCGAGATTGACCGCTGGGTTGTGGACACTTACCCCCAGCTCAACAACAAACCGGCGCCCAGAGTGTGAAAATTAGCCAAATATTCGGAGGTCACTGTCAAACCGGCTACTTGTGCGTGCCGGTACGGCGTGTGCCCTGAGTTTGCTCTGCACATCTGTGTGCTGCGCCATCCCAGGCGTTGATGCGTGCCTACAAAGCCTGCGACCTTAATCAGGCGCCTACAGACAAAAGTTTGTGAAAAAGGTTTGCTGCCCCCTCCCCTTCCCATTTTCGGAGTTGTGGAAGCAGGATAGCTACGTCAACAAGCGTGAGTTCGCGGTCCTGCTGAGGTCGCTGTGTTCAAGCTTACTGATGTTAAGCGCCGACGAATTGGAAAGGAACTTTTGTTGAGGAAAGTGGATGCAATGGCTCTCTCTCCATGTGTCTCCATGGTAGGGACTTGATCTACTTCAACAAGGTCTTCAGTGCGTGGCCCTCAGCCTACTCCCGACAAGTTTGAGAGCCTTCGCAACTTTTGTCTGAAGGTTTTCGAGGGAATTGATGCAGACCGGGATCGGCGGCTTACCTTTGCTGAATTCCGGAGCGGTCTGTCTCTTCTTGGCATGAGTTCTGCTCAGCGCTGAGAAAGTTCAGTAATTGGTTCCACAGTCATCACCTTCTTCGCGATTGAGGGTCCCATGCCGAGGTCGTGAACCCAAAGTCGCTCTTCGACAGCCTTGACAGGCCAGGACGACTTTAGACTTGGATGCCGGTGCAAAACAGAAATCATGCTCAAGAACCAAGTCTTTCCGTCTTGCGACTTCAGGGGAGCCTTTCTGAACCCGCTTCAGCCTTGATGTTGATGTTGGGGTTGGGGTTCAGTGTCCGATCTGAAGCGGGCCAGGCCAGAGTTTGTATGGTTGGGTTGAATCGCAGAAAGAGCTGTGCACGATGACGCACATGTCGAAGCCAGCGACTAAACTTTAAAGTCATGGTTCCTACAATGTATATACGCGTCGGGAGTGGCAGGCAGGCGAGGAACCGTCGATGTGCAGGTATCAGTAGCATTCGTTGAGGCTTTTCAAGGCGCACTACCACAGAGTGGGTGGGCGGACTGTGCATGTTGTCAGTCCGCGCTCGCCGCATTTCTGCCAGGAATCGCTGCGGTCTTATTCTTTTCGACGAGTTCTGCCGATGGGTGGCCTCTGTCACAGCCTTGAAGTTCGCTGTTCACCGTTGTTTACCGGGATGCTGCATACACAGCAATGCGCCCACAGCATTGCCAAGACGCGGCAAGGTGCAGTGCCCTGTGGATTCCTCGGTCTATACGGCCCCTGCTCCGTCCATGCATTCTCCGTCAGCCAAGCATCACTCGAAGGCCTGGGTCAAACACTTTGTTCAGGAGACGACATGCCCCATGTCTCAGGCTGCTGTGCAACACCACAGCCACTCAGCCAAGACGCAGATTGTGAAGCCCTGCCGCACTTGGGAAACATGCCCGTGACCCGTGAGTCCCGTGAGACGGTGCACCATGTCACCTTTTGATGGTGCACCATTCCCTTTCTGATGTGGTGTGCGGGCAGTGCGGGGCCACTGGGGCTTGGAAGATCTTGGAAGCCAGCTGGAAGCATATGGAAGCTGAAAGGAATCAGTTCGAAGTGGCGGAGAGAAAGCTTCACGGCATGTTGAAGGTGTCTTGGATGAATCCCATTCTCGGCGTCGTCTCGTGCTTCCATCGAAGCGGCCGTTCAATGAGAAAGACATGCGATTCTGAGGACAAGCGGCAGCTCCACCAGCTTTGGCGCAAGATGGCTGCGAGGATGCAACTATCGGATCGTCGTTTGACTGTACGCAAAGCCGATCCCAGATGATCCAAGGACTACAACGGAAATGGCCTTGTCAGCCTCGCAGAGATGGATGGGTGCGTAACGGACACACGACGCCAATTCTTGTCACTGGCGTGTGTGTGTGTGTGTGTGTGTGTGTGTGTGTGTGTGTGTGTGTGTGTGTGTGTGTGTGTGTGTGTGTGTGTGTGTGTGTGTGTGTGTGTGTGATGTGCTGCAGCGTGACTTGAAGCTAGCTAGGTGTACTGTGGTATCTGGACGCAGATATCACATCCCTCCCATCTGTTCTAGATGCCAAGCCCCCCCCGCCCCCCCCGGCACATATTTTTGCGGCGGCTAAAGTTGTTAAAGCGACCCCAATACGAGAATCCTGAAAAAAGTTCCATCTTCTTGTTTTGTCACAGTCAACCTGCCGAACCTGCCGGATATTGGATGGCAAAGCTGCTAGCAAGATCTACGACCACTTATCAGACTACCAAAGTTGGAACGGGCGAATCAGTTGAATCAGTCCTGATGCTTGCTGATGTGAGGATTGCTTTCCGGAGGCAAACAACAAGCCAGCCTTGATGTCCCTGGGATGCATTGAGGTATTGTTGCTTCTCTTGGCAAGTCTCTTACCGCGCCTGTAGTTTTCCAAGAAGTGCCAACTAGTATTTCTTATGGGTTAGCTTTTTGGAAAACCTCTATACTTGCTCTTCGTCATTTGGAAATCCCTTAAGCTTTTCAGACTTTCAGGGAAAGAGCTACAATGAGGCTATGTCGGCTATGTATGTCCGACTGCTGCAAGTGAACCGCTCAGGGTGCCAACTCCTGCCTCTGAGGGCGACCTTCAGTTTGTACTCGATGTATGGTTTCTGAAGAAACTATTATGCAAATTTGAAGACCTCCGTGTACTTTAGAGTCTGCTAGGGAGACATCCAGAGGAAGGGAGGAAGGTAGGGACCGAAGGAGAAGGAAGTGGGCTTCTATGAGATGCATGGGAAGGAGATCTCTTAAGTCCAGGGGACCTGTTTACCTCTGCAAATTAGAGGAATCAAGGATTTCCAGTCGAAGTATAGAGGGGAGAGAGGTTCTAACAAGGGATCTTCACAGCATGCAGCGTATCGCTGCACGTGGCACGTGTGCTGTGTTGCCATCTTTCTCAGGCGAGCATACAAGGCAACAGTGCGTAATCCCGATGGCTATGTGCACAAGAGCCTCGTGCATTCTCGTGCATGTGCAGACAAGCGAAGACAAGCAAGGTTTGCGGATGTATGCGGCATGGAGAGAGCCACGCATGTCTTGGCTGCCATGCATATGGATGATATGGACATGTCGTCGCTTCAAGGACCGAGTTCAGAGCCCTTCTCCGGAACATGCCCCGTGGCCGGATCATGCATATTCTTGAAGACCCAAGCACCGTTCATCCGCGAAAGCCAGTCGGTTCATGGAAGCTTAGCGTCCTCATGCTTTTGCTATGTTTCGTTCTTTGAGTCCAGAAAAACATGGGTCTCTGCATATCCTTGCGTCGGAGATATAAACATCTCATGAATGGCACGGTTATTGGGGCTCCATGGCCAGCACGATTTGAGTTTTTTTCGATGACCATCAGTCGCACAACAGGAGGGTTCGGTCGAGGAGGGGTAAACAGCCGTTCTCTTGATCGGAGCAAGTACGCCGATCCAGGTTTTATTTCAACAAGCTCTACTCTTTGTACGAGCGACTTGGCCCGCACTCCATGGGTCCAATCTCACCCTATCAGCTGTTACCTGCGACATTCTTTGACACTTGCGGAGCTGCAAGGGTCGTGGATGTCGATGATGACCGACGAATGGCCACTCGCCTTCCCAGCCATGATCAAGCCACCGGGGAATCAACTTAGCAAGCCGCAGCCAACATCTGTCTGGCTCCAGGACTTGAACGAGTTCCGCGGAGGTTGTTCGGTTCTTGGCCTCAAGCTCACGCCGGCGGAAGCCTTTGATGAGCCTCTCGGCCTGGAAAAGAAGCAGCTGAGATCATGGTGAGCGTCAGAGTCAAACTGGGGGAACAGATGTAAGTGATGTAAGCCTATGTAAGCCCTGCAAGGTTCAATTTCATGGCGCCCGGGCAGCGCTTCTTGAGGGCGGAGGGTCCCTCTTCACGCGCGCCATGGTCGATTTGTGTCATCAGTATCAATATCGCCCACTCTGAGGATGAGAATGGCGGCGGCAAGGTGCTCTTTGACGAGTTTTGCAAGTGGGCGGCCTCGAAGAAGCTGTAGCTCGGACTCCAGTAGCAAGTGGCTGTACTGTTCTGTTGCAAATCTGCAACCGGCCGGCGACGTGCGCTGTGATTGCTACTCCGGCTTCACTCGCTGCAAGAATCCTGCACACTGAATACTCCGCTGGCAGCCAAAACTTGCTTGGCACTGGAGAAGGAGGTGGGGAGGATAACTACCACTATCTACCAGGGCAAAGGATGCAATGACAGGATGAGGTCGTCGTGGGAATGCGCCCAACATTGAACCGTAGGCAAAGAGCCTCCCGCAAGCATTTGTTGGCGCCGGCTCGTTCTGCAAGCAAGACTTAAGTTCAAGACTCGCTTAAACTTAAGTTTGCTCATGCTTCCGAGTGATTCAGCTTGTTGTGTACAAATTCGTCAGCTGCAGGCCCATTGACTGATGACCTCTCATGTGACAGGGGCTTGAGCCAACACTGCCGTTGTTACCGAAGCTGTGCAGAAGGGAAGCCCGTTTCACAGTACTGGTTGGCAGTTGAACACCAGCTGCTTGCAATCATTCAGCCATCAAGGTCAATTCTTGGACCTTTGGCCTACCCTTGTCAGCTCTCGTTTGAACCCACTTGCTTCTCCGGAAGCCGGGTGACTTATAACTTGTTAGGGACTGCTGACTGAGCCAGAAAAACGCACGCGCATCAGATGAACGTGGTCACCCGACGCTGAAGGGAGTTCTTCTTGCTGAAGGGGAAGGGGTGAGTTGAGTCAGATCATGACAGTTTCGGTTGAAGTGGCTGAGCAGGACCTGTTCGAAGTTGTTGGAAGGTACGCTGGGCTCGCGGTGGAGTCTGTGGCAGTTGAGGTCAACCAGCAGGTGGATGTACAGAAAGAATTCTTTGTAGAGTTTTTTTTTGGATAGCTGAGGAGGCCTTGACTTGATTTGCTGGCGAAGCGCAGGCGCTTGCGGTTTATGGCCTCAACTTTGGCAGCGAGCCATGGTTGACACCCTTTTCGCCATGTTTTTGGCTGTGTGCAGCGTCAGGTCGAGACCATGTGGTCAACCGTGACATTTGCAGCACGATGCCCGGCGGAGATCTTCACATTGGCAGTACTTAATCCTGTGTCGCAGCACGCAGCACAAGGTCTCACACCCAGGTGGCAACTCAGCTGAAGTTGGTATTTGTTTTGCCGTGTTAAGGCGGGAACTGGAAAGCACCCACGGACTCAGGTTTGACCAGCAGCATTGTCGAATTTGGACGATGTCGCCGCCAAGATCTAAGCCAGTCAGAACTGCATGCCGAAGCCAGCACATTCTTAGAGAAATACTGCTCAGGCCGTGTCAGCCCTACACAAGGCCGTGTTGCCTGTGTTGTGAATGCGGTTCCTATGCGTTCCCGCGCAGGCAAGGCAAGGTTCGAGATGCAGAGGACTTGAGCAAGATGAGGCACACAGAGGCAGTGCAGCTTCTTGCGGTGACAGGACCCGCGCGCGAAGCCACTGTTGCATATCATCTCCGTGTTGCAAGAGGTGCCCAGGTGGCGATTGAAGCACGCAGTGTCAGTGTTTGTCTTTCCCTGTATTTGCAAGTGATTTAAAGCGGCATGAAGTGACTTAGCATACTGCTTAGTGACTTGGTCGTTGCTTTGTGGTGGTTCTCGTAGAGGTGACAGCACCACCGGAGGCCATCGTTCTGGAGCTGCTTGGCCCAAGACTTGTTGTGTTCCTGCTACATGGACGAGAGTGCGGATACTGGAGGAATGTTCGAAACTTCGAGCAGTCTGACTCCTACCTGTTGCTCTGTGAAGCCACAAGCCCAGATTTTAAGAAACATGTGCAATGCCCAGCGGCCCAGCGGTGGCCCTTCTGTGCCTTAGGCTCTCCGTGCTCGAGGGTTCGAATGGCGGAGTTTTCTTCTCAGCCGGCGGCCATGGTACCAGTGCATGTGCAGATGCAACTGCGCAACTGACTGAGTAATGCAACAAGCTAGACTCAGACATGAACAGGGGTACCTGCTGGAGGCCCGCAGCAATTCGGATTCCCCAACGCGCGCCTGCGGTTCTATATGGTTTGGCGCCTCAGTCAGTGCATTCAATTCGAGTTGTGTAAGGTGGCATCAGGTGACATAGTTGCAGTTGCATCCAAATCCTTTAGATGTGCACAAGTAAGTCGTTGCTTCCTAATTAAGTCTACCCAATCTTTTGTCACCTGGTGCCTGGGCCAGACTTGTTGGCACGGGCAATGCACAATGTGTGCTTCTCAAAGCAGATGCCAAGCAACGAAGCAGTGGCAAAGCAGCCCAGCTGATGGCTTTTGCCTGTTTTTTCCCGAAAGCATCGCGAAGGGTTCTTCCGTGCGGAGCCCCCTGACACAACAACATAGACTGAAGTGCATAGAGTGAAGTGCATAGAGTGAAGTGCATAGAGTGAAGTGCATAGAGTGAAGTGCATGGAGTGAAGTGCACAGAGTGAAGCGCATAGAGTGAAGTGCATAGAGTGAAGTGCATAGAGTGAAGTGCATAGAGTGAAGTGCATAGAGTGAAGTGCATAGAGTGAAGTGCATAGAGTGAAGTGCATAGAGTGAAGTGCATAGAGTGAAGTGCATAGAGTTAAGTGCATAGAGTGAAGTGCATAGAGTGAATTGCATAGAGTTTAGTATACAAGTGAATACAAACTGCAAGATTTACGTAGAATTTACTAGACCTTCGTACCCAGTCCTAGATTTCTAAATTAAAATTACTCTTTCTAAGGCGGCGGGCTGGGTTGACATCGCCAATCGGGATTGCAACCCTCTGCGGGTTTCGGCGTGGTCGCGGTGCTAAAACCGTCGTTTTTTTACGTTTCTTTGTGTCCGCGGACAACCCTCTGCGGGTTTCGGCGTGGTCGCGGCGCTAAAACCGTCGTTTTTTTACGTTTCTTTGTGTCCGCGGACAACCCTCTGCGGGTTTCGGCGTGGTCGCGGCGCTAAAACCGTCGTTTTTTTTGCGTCGTTTTTTTGCGTTTTTGTCGGTGCGCGGACAACCCTCTGCGGCTAATCGCCGGGTCGCGGTGCTAAAACCATCGTTTTTTTTTGCATTTTTTTCGTGCGCGCGTCAACCCTCTGCGGGTTTCCGCGTTGGCGCGGTGCCAAAACCATCGTGTTTTTGCGTTTGTTGACATACAAACGTAACCCCTCTGCGGGTGTCGGCGTTGGCGCGGTGCCAAAACCGTCGTGTTTTTGCGTTACCTGACATACAAACGTAACCCCTCTGCGGGTTTTCGCGTGGTCGCGGTGCCAAAACCGTCGTGTTTTTGCGTTTTTTGTTTTTCGACTCTTGTAGTACAGACGTATAGTACGCCGGGGACGCCCGGAGCTTCCGTGGCTGGAAAGTCGACTTTTGTAGTACAAACGTAGTACGCCGCGCACACGCGGAGCTTCCGTGGCTGGAAAGTCGACTTTTGTAGTACAGACGTATAGTACTGTACGCCGGGGACGCCCGGAGCTTCCGTGGCTGGAAAGTCGACTTTTTGTACTACTCACGTAGTACGCCGCGCACACGCAGAGCTTCCGTGGCTGGAAAGTCGACTTTTTGTAGTAAAGTACGCCGCGGACGCCCTGGGCGTCTGAAAACACCGCAAATAGCACGGTAACGGACATCTGGCCGCTTGAAAACACCGCAAATAGCATGGTAACGGACATCTGGCCGCTTGAAAACACCGCAAATAGCATGGTAACGGACATCTGGGCGCTTGAAAACACCGCAAATAGCATGGTAACGGACATCTGGGCGCATGCAAACACCGCAAATAGCATGGTAACGGACATCTGGGCGCTTGAAAACACTGCAAATAGCATGGTAACGGACATCTGGGCGCTTGAAAACACCGCAAATAGCATGGTAACGGACATCTGGCCGCTTGAAAACACCGCAAATAGCATGGTAACGGACATCTGGCCGCTTGAAAACACCGCAAATATAGCATGGTAACGGACATCTGGGCGCTTGAAAACACCGCAAATAGCATGGAAGCGACATTCCGGACATACTTGAAAACCTCGCAAATAGCATTCCCGCCGCGGACACCCGGAGCTTGCGTGTAGAAACCATCGCAAATAAACCATCGCAAATATCGCGGGACTCGAATTCCTCGAAGCCCTTGCAAATGTCGTGGGACTCGAATTCCTCGAAAACCTCGCAAATATCATGGGACTCGACTTCCGGGGCCTCGAAAACCTCGTAAATATCGTGGTTCCAAAACCATCGCAAATACCCTGGTCCCCGAATTCGCTGTTTCCAAAACCATCGCAAAAACCATGGTCCCCGAATTCGCTGGTTCCAAAAACCATCGCGAAAACCATGGTCCCCGAATTCGCTGGTTCCAAAAGCATCGCAAGTATACCATGGTCCCCGAATTCGCTGGTTCCAAAACCATCGCAAATCAGACAAGTGCAGTGTACAAGTGACTATGCAACCATGTAAGTGCATACATTTGTCCAAGTGCTTACACTTCGGCTGCAAAGAGTCAACTGCATGGAGTCAACGCACGGCAAATCGATGCTTTCGGGCCATCCCTCTTCTAGTTGCAAAGCAGTTCTGCTTGAGTGTTCCGCTGGACCGGTACAGGGTATGTAAGATGCGAGCTTGCGTGAAGCCAAGGTTGCCAAACGCAGGCAGGATTAGAATGGACAAGCAGAAGAATGCAGACGTGCGTGCGACAGGTAGAAGAGGTAGAGACGAGTGCCTCAAATGCTTGAAACGCAGTCTCCCCGGTTCGTCCCCATGGAGGCCTTTCCTGTTCCGACGCATTCCGAACATGGAGGCTGCTGCATCTACTGGTTCAGGCACGGTGCAGGTGAAAATAGGGAGTAGCTTTTTTAGGTTTGTCTTTGTTGAAGTAGTGTGCTCTGAGTGCCAGATGCCAGCACGGCACACTTGCTGGAAGTGCGTAGAGCTCAGGAGGTAGGCCGATCAAAAAAGTGGCAGAAGGGAAGGACAGCACACTGCGGCATTGTAAAGTGCAATGTGGCTGAGGCCGTGGAGGCACCTACCTTGCGTGGCGCCACGTGCGCTGGAACATGGTCAAAGCGTGCTTTGTGAAACCTTGCGTGACACATGCACTTCTTGTGGACAGCCTGCGCTAGCGAGTCGCGCTGTCGGGACTGAGTGTTGCTACGAATTGAAACCTGTATCTGATTTCATTGATGCGGATGATGCGGACTGGTTGGTACCGGAGGGAACGATGCAGAAAGAATCTGCCCGCTGCTTTGACGTGGTCTATCCAGATTGTCGCCATTCTTCTTGCTTCACAAAGGCGTATGGCAGATACGTGGATGGCACTGGAAGCGTCTTATCGGTTGCTCGCAAGCTTGCACAGTCAAGCGCGGCACCGTGTTCCTACACAATGCAAGAGTTTTTCGGCGTGCTGCGCTATTTTGCTCCAGCAGAAGTTGCACGACTCTTGGGCTTCAAGCTTGAAGTCAGTGCTGCATCATGCAGTCCAGCTTGTCTACCTCAATGCCAATCTCACTTAGCCAGTGATGAACATGTCAAGTCATGTCAGTGCTCTCGCTACCAGCTTCCCCTTGCAAAGCCTCGCGAGCTGTGGGGACTCTTAGGAAACTCTTTAAATCCACAGGTCGTGGCTTTGGTTTGCGAAGCGTGTGACCTAAGCGACCTCGTGCAGAGAGCAGAAGCGACTGCCAAAAAATCGACACCTGTGCGGATCGGCTTGCATACAGAGCTGCAGTAAGTTTGTTGCCATCATCCTGTTTGTCAAACATTTTCGCAGCTGCAGCCAGTTTCTGGCTGAATTACAAGTTGCATGCAGAGCCACTGACATGCTTTGTCCAACTCAGCCAATCTCAGACAGGGACGCTGAAGCTTTCAGATTTGCAAGCTGGAGTGCCATTCCACCTTGTTGTGCATGAGACACGATATGCCAGTGAATACTCGCTGCTCCTGGGAAACTGGAACAGAGGGTTACAAAAGCTCTTTCATGTGTGGTGGCCCACTTGGTATGAAACTGTGTGTTGTCCTAATTTCATGTTGGTCTCAGATGTTCCGCATGCGGTGGGCCATTCTTGCCATCTATATCAGCTCAGGCCTGGCATGAAAGGGAGTTGATCTGTGTGTCTTTGTGTCTGTGTGTTCTTCTGCTCGGAGGTTTGGTGGACTGCGTCGACAAAGCCAAATTCCGCACCTTTGAGTGTGGAACCCCAGCACGAAGGTGCCAACTCCCAACTGTAACCAGAGCGTTGCAAGGCAAGGATCCTTCGGGCGGCGCTATCGGAAGTACATCAACAAAGCCTGGGCCCCTCGACCAGCCTTGGTGGGACCTGGTACTGGATGCCCTGCCAGGTGGAGAGCGACAAAGGCCGTGCTTCGTTCCCACGTGTCGTCAGACAAAGGCTGCTTTTCGAGTTTGGACAGGCTTGGTGGTTCACAAAGTTGATCCGTCCTCCATCACGTCCGACGGAAACAAAGTGCAGGCCACGTGCTATTGTAGACCATGTGGCTATGTATGAACCTTGCCATTGCTAGGCCAGCCTTCTCTTTGCCAACGACCCAAACGCGCGTGTCTCGGTTTCAACTCGGTCGAGTCGAGATGACCTTCTGTGCTTGTCCGGAGGTCAAGCCACTGCAATTAGAGCTGAGCTTCTTTCTAAGCGATGTGGATGGCAGCTGTGGCATCGTCCGAACCTTCATCACAGAGAAGGCGACACGGTCACAGCAGCATGTTCTCCAGTGCTGCCGAAGAAGCGAGAGGACCCGCTCCATCCACGATTCCGGCTGGCACCCGGCGCCTCTTGCCTCGGAAAGTAACATGCCATGAGGCTATGAGGAATCGAAAGCAGGGAGGACCCCTTAAAAAACTAAGCACATCTAAACGTCGGAGGGTGTACACGAGAAATGGGTTCCGGATGACTTCCCTGCTGCGCCATCAGACTTTGGTACCGTGGTGAGTGGTAAGTGGGGCCCTGATGAAAGAGATACAAGCTGAAGCGGGGAATGGCCAGATAGATCTTGGCGGCCACAGGCTTTGGAGAGAGTAAGGACCCACGAGGGCTCAGGAGCTAAGGCTTCAAGAGTCTTCAAGGTACCGTTGATACGGTACTGTAGTGCTGATTCCTGGCTACCTGACCGGCTTCGTTCAAGTGGAGTTTGGTTTCCGTAGAATGCGCTTCTTCCAACGGAAAGGTCCAAAGCCCCTTCCCGAAGACAGCTGGGCCCCTCCGAAATAGGACAGTGGATCTCGACGGCCCCTCTCCGCCCGCCTGCATCCACTTCCGACGAAGTGCCCTGAGAGAAACAATCGAGGATGTCGTTCGAAAGGAAGAGGACTTGCTGAAGGACAAGGCTGCAGTTTCATGACCTTCGCTGGCACTGTGGCACAGCACATGGACTTCTGCTGTTTGCAAGGTCTCGCTGACCGAAGGTACCGGGGTCACCGAGATTGCCAGCTCACAAAGTGCTGCGTGCAAGGCTGCAGGGACAGTCATCTGACCCAGCATCACAGCACTGCCTCCACATGTTCCATTCCAGCCCGTCCTTGGGCAGGTGAAATTGCAGCACTCCCCTTTCCAGCTTGAGTTTCTTGCGCACGGTCAAGTCCGCTCCCAAGGTAATCCAGCTAAGCACTAGACTCGCTGGACTCCCTTCCTTCTAGATCTTTCTAGTGTCGAGATCAGCTTTGCCGTTGAGAATCGAGGTCGTTCAGAAACTGAACTCTCGTCGCCTCTTGAATTTCGAAAGATACAGGCCCAAAGATGGGTGCTGCTGGCATGGTTGAGCGGTAAGCTCCCGTCTTTCTGAATGTGTTTTGAGCGCATCTGGGCCGCATGGGCCTTCCACCAAATGTGAAGCTCTTCAGGCAGGCCCATGCTGGACTCGTGGATGCAACGGACGTTGATGCAAACAACTTGTTCGAGGCTTTCGTGCTATTGAACTCGATTTGGCCTTATTGCGAACAAGTACGTGTGGCGTTTGTCGAGGAAAGCTTTGGCGGCCATACCGACAGCAAGCCTCGGGGACCAGCTGCCGTGGGCGTCGATGTGGCTTTTGAGGCAAGGGCGGCAAGGGCTCTTGGCTTGGCAACGCCATGGCCTTGGTCCCGCATCCCCCCTCCAGCATGTTGCCAAGACGGAGCAAGACCATTCGAAGGAACATCGTGATGCATGAATTTCACTATGAAATTGGGAGCTTTGTTCGCAGAATTAGCTAATTTCATGCCTTCACTTCTTTATTACTTCTATGCTGCACGAAAAGACTTATTGAGCGGCATGAATAATGATATAGCTTAATGGGCAAAATATAAGTCTCTTTACGTGCCCCCTTAAAACCCCGCTTCGTTCACTTGTTCGTCAGTTGAATTCGTGCACTCATCTTCTTCGCTTACAATTCATCTGATTGGTTGCGTGCTCTCGTACACTCATTCAAATACTGCCCTCTGGCCTCATTTCTCCTCAATAACCTTCACGAGTTTGCATGGCGTCCGAGGGGTTTTGATTAGGGTTCGGTTCACTTTCTAGGCTAGGGTTTTGTTGACAAGGTCCTGATGGTTGTGATCCCTTGCATCGTCTATGCAGTTCTCATTAGAACTTGACACAGGCTGCTGTCGACATTTTTGGGCTTGCTGAACATGCAGTGGGTACCCTCCGGCACGTTTAATTAGAGCAAGACAAGCGACGTTTCAAATTCAATGATTTCAATATTCAGTTCTTTGAAGTGTGCGAGTGTCGAGTGTCTTTTGAAGGCCTGGGCCTGGGCGAGAATCACTTGCAAGAGCCGTGCCCTCAAGACCATCGAACAACTGGGCAGCACCAATAGATTCAACAGATTGAGCATGGCCACCCGCTCAGGCCATACAGGTTCTTCAACTTAGATGTGTTTGAGTACGTCCAGCACTTTGCATTTATGCGCCTCTGTGGGTTTTCCGCCCGAGAAGCATGGGACCTGGCAAAGGCGCTGGATGTCCCGATGGCCCTGTATGGTGCTGCCGCTGCCTGAGCGAGAGAGCATAGGCTTGCACACAATCAATTTCTAGGCCCCGTAGTGGTTAGGCAGTCTCGGCGTTAGTAGCATGTAAATTTTTGGCTGGGAAATGGGTCCCCAAATCTTTGGCCACTTCCCAGTTTTGGTGAGGCCAAAATGTTCCCAAGTTCCCATCAAGTTGCCCGCTCAGATTCCACTTGTGACGGCAATTCATCACACGAAGCTTTGGCCTCAGCTGCGCTGCCGTCTGCGTAGGTTACGAGTAGCTGACCTGCAGTGCAAAGTGCAAAGTGCAGACTAGGGTGCAGCGCACGTCCCAGCAGCCTCAGCTCAAGCAGGTGTGATACCTGAGTCAATGACACATCGCTTGCTGTGCCTCCGGAGGTGCACCCTAGCCACGCCTGCTAAATCCTGCTAATGGGTGCAGATGGACGCGCAGCTATCGCAGCTGCTCTGCGGGTGCTGCCGCAGCAGGTTTCATTCCGCCTTGCGCGGCTCACCCCCGCAAGATGCCTTTCTTCTTGATGAGAACGCGAATGATGGGAAAGATAGGAAAGATGAGAGAGATGACGAGAAGGTTCCCAATGAGAACGGTGAGTTCGATCCTTGGCCAGCAGAAGCTGCGACTGCTGTAAATGGTAAGGCTGGTGTGGCTGGTCAGGCGGTTGCTGCAGGGGATGAGATGCCGAATCCGGATACGGTGCCAGCTCCAATCTTCACTGATGGTCCCCCGCACGATTTTCAACTTGTCTCAGTCTATGTCCCGACCACCTGTGACTCTTGCAATCACTTGCTGCTTGGGCTTTGGAACCAAGGGTACCGTTGCCAGAGTGAGGACTGCGGGCAGGTCGTGTGCCACGAATGCGTTGAGTCAGTGCCGCTGGGTTGCCCGTTCATCCGCGAAGACTCGGAAAGCTGACAAGCTTCCTGGAGAAAAATCCCAGTGCAGAACTTGTAGAGCCCCAAACCAACCCTCCAAACCCTCCCGCAGACCTTAAAAACCGAAGCCCTGAGCTCAACGCTTTGCCGCTTGGCCCCCGCCTCTACTTTCTGGGCCCCCCTCACCCGAAACGGCTTCATCCTGCAGAGGCATGTTGAGGCAAAAGGGCGGCTTGTAGGGGTTTGAGATATCAGCTCTGCAGTGCCAGCCCCAGGGTGGCATAAAACTTAATTTTTCAAGTTCGCTTGACTTGTCCCCTCTCTAAGTCTCTTGCGTGATCTTGCGTGTAATGACGGGTCCATTCTAAGCGCCAGCAAGCACAGGCCTGGAGAGGCCGTCGCTTCCGGCTTCTTTTTCCCGAATCCGCTCAGAGCTCAGCAAGAATTTGTGTGTTGCGTCTTGTGGCATGTGCGAAAGAGTTGGGCACTGAGGTCAGAGGGCTTTGTCAATGTCGAGACGGCGAAAGGAGCGGTTTCTTCCACCCATCTAACGACCCAGCATGCGCTTGAGCTTCTGGCAACAGATATCCTGTGTTGTTGTAGTCAGAGAAGGAGAGAGGCAGAGATCTCCAGATCTCCTCCAAGATGTCTGTTCTACGAAATCAGATGAGTGGGTGGGGGGTGTTCCCAGGTACTCGTAGGTACTGTATCCTTTCTTCCGTGAGTGCCGGAAACTTGGCACATGCACCCGGGTATTCGGGACCCTTTTTTGAGATGTTCCAAGCTTCAGTTTTCGCCCGAATATTGGCCTTGTCAATTACCAGTATGTTAACTCCAGGCCATGACTGTACCGTCCTGTGTGAGGTCATCCTGGGCCTGGGTTTCATGTTCAGGCACAGTTTTTTCAGGGATGCACGTGGGTTCAGCGCCTCAGGAAGGAATCTCGGGCGCGCCCATAATCAAGTGATACTAAGAGCTCGCAGCAAGATCACTGGACTGTTGTGGTACCGTTACGGAAAGCACCCATCTTTTTGGAGCAGTTATGTTTTCTTTCCGAGCATAACAGAAGTTCCACCCATGCAGAGATTCAGCCCGAACCAGGGGGGAAAGTAAGGACGGAACCGTTACAAAAAGCTCGTGACTCGCAGGGTCGGAATGCGGGGTGGCCCCCCACGCCCCAACGAATGAAAGAAAAGAAATGCCCAGCACTTTCGAGAAAGCTACCTGCCGGGAAACCTGTACGCTGGAAAAGTGTCACAAGCCGACCTCGTTCTCGGGCTCCTCAAGCCCTGCAGAAGAAGAAATGCCCAGCAGAAGAAAATGAAGAAAAAAAGAGTGACGACTAGCAACACCTTTCTGGGGGATGTAATGCTGGAAGGAAGAAGAGAGAGTGACGGAGGAAGGAGCCAACAACGCCCGCACAACCTACAATAGACAAAGCTTTCGCATGCCTTTTCCAGGATCGCCGCAAACTGAGACATGGTGGCTCTTCGAGTCGGGTGTGATGGACATGCCCATGACCTAATTCATCGTCTCACTTCAGTCACTTCAGTCGCTTCAGCAGTGCTACATTGCAGTCTTGGCCTGCCCAGGTTTTTCCTGGCAGGTCCTAGTCCCCAAGAAGTGCTGCAGAGGCATTTGGGATTGGGTTGCAGTGTTGCGTGCTTGCCAACTGTGTTGCGCACATGCAGGTATCACACCCTCACAGGGTTGGCAGCTCATCTGTGCGACGAGTTTTGACAATGTGCAAGAGTGTGATGTTGCAAAGGTTCCCTCGCATGCCTCCAATTTCAACCCTTGGCAAGCACCAGCCGGGACCAGCTCGTGAGTCTTTGAAGCTCATGGCGTTTTGCTTCTGTGGTAGCGCTGAGATCTCGCTGGAACTATGTTGATGTTGAAGATTCGATCGGAGTCAACAGGACATTCGTTTCATGTATTTTCATGTATTTTCATGTATTGTACCTCTCAAGTCGAGTCGCAGATGTGCGTAGGAAGTTCGACCAGCACGATATTCCTTATGACGTTCTCTGGCTCGATATTGAACATACAGACAGCCGCTCGGATGCAGTTTATCTGTACCGGTAGCAGTCAGGAGCGTCCCAGTTTGCATGTGTGCGTGTGTTGTCTCGGTCCAGAGCAGACTTGTCCCGCTACAAGCCAAGGCAAGAAGTACTTCACCTGGCACCCATCACACTTTGCGCAGCCGGACAAGCTTCTGACAGCCCTGGAGGCCTTGGTCAAGTGAATGCCAAGTGTGTATCCCGCATGGCTAGCCACGGCAGGCATCCAAGAGAAAGCTGGTAACAATCATCGACCCGCACATCAAGAAAGACAACGGGCACATGACCCTGCTTGACCTGGAAGATACAGACACGGCACATAAGTGCACATACATAGGGCTCAATCGCTTCAAGCCTGTAAGTGAACGGGCTGTGCTAGGTATGACGTCTACAACAAGATGAAGGCCTGCCACCTCGTAGTAATGAACTGGAAACCCTGGTCTATCTGCGTTGTCTCACTGCCCCTGAAAGAACCACGATCTCTTCACCAAGACGAAAGACAAGCAGCTCTACGATGGCACGCTAGACCTGGCGGTTTGTTTACTGCTTCTGTCGTTGTGTGCCTTGCCGTGGTTGCAGGCTGGTGTTGGCCAGGAAGTTCTTCGTACCCTGACTTCTGCAATCCAGAGGCAGGCTACATACAAGGCGGAATCCCGCAAAGATCTGCTGTGCCTTCACTTCAGACGCGTCAACTCTGGACAACGTTCTTCAAGATGGATTACTACCCTCACAACAGGCGTGGGGCTCACAGGAATTCCCCTTTCGCAAATGTGTAGCTTCGCAAAGGCCTGACCTGTACACATGGAATGACATGAATGAGTCACCGGCTTATTGACGACAACGGTCGCAACTCAATGCGTTTTGACACGATTAACCTACATCGAAGGCCGAGTGTGTTCAATGGGCCAGAGGTGACCATGCCATCGCCCCGGCATGACTTGTGGGATGTGAACGGGTTGAACAAGTGCCCCTCATGCTAGTCCACTGGCCAGGCCGCGTGACAACTTGCATAAGTGCAGCGAGAAGCAGTATGAGGCCAGCGCTGTGGTGGCAACTGTCCATGCCGGGCTGTAAGAGTGTTAGGTAGGGGAGAGGCAGCCAACCTTCAGCCAGCCCCTTGCAAAAGCCGGCCCTGGGCAGCACCGAAGGTCGAACACCGCGATGTCCACAATGTGCCGATCTGAGTCCAGTAGATTTTTGTAAGCACCTGCCCTGGAGCCTGCGCCGCCCTCAATAGTAGGAGTCGACTGAGTAAGTAAACTAAGTAAACGATGGGAGCACTGGGCCAGATTGTGCCACCAAGGCTTTACAACTAACACGCTCAGCTTCTGAGCTTGATATGTTGCCTCCCGTGCGCAATTGATACACTCCTGATACAAGTCCATCTCCCATCCGTGCGGTGCAGCTGTCTAGGTTCTGCCCGGAGGGTTTGGATGGATTTTGACATGCTTGGTCGTTGTTTAAGCGGATGCTCAGCTGGTTGCGCGGATTGTTGCATACTGCTTCTGACCCGATGCACAGATTTAGGGGTCGATCTCCGAAATAGATGTTTGTTTGAGGAAGAAGCCTCGCAAAATTTGATGCTTCGTCCTGAACACCCTTGAACACCTTGTCGAAGAGCACTGAGTGGCCAAGGTCTACGGTTTCTACCATCACATGGCCGGCTCCTTGGATATTCATTTTGCCGCTTCTGAGACTGCTCTCGGTTTGAAGGCGACTGTTGAAGGGCAGCTGGCACGTGCACCTAATGTGGCCATCTCGGATGCAGCAGCACAGCAAGGTGACAAAGCGGAGCTTCAGATCATTTCATGCATAGCTTCTCTTGACTAAGATCCGGCCTTTTGTGCTGACGCGCTCCTTCTTCGCGGGATCTCACAAGCATGGTGCCATATGGACCGGCGACAACATGGCTAAGTCTATGCCTCAAAAACATATGGTTTGCACGTACTACTCTGCTTAGCGTGCACCAAAATCTGGTCCAGCTTGTGGCTGCCCAAGCGCATTCATTCAAGAGAGAGGGACAGAGACCGCAAGCTGTGGCACTACCTTCATGGCCAAGGTGGGATCATCTGGCCATCTCTGTGCCGATGCTCGTGTGCGCGGCTTTGGTGCCGATTGCTTGCCGAGCTGGGCAAACTCTGGCCCTTCCTTCGGAGAGGTCTCTTTGCCTTTGTGGAGCTTCCTTTGTCGGAGCTGACGTGCCCGGCTTCTTCTTCGTTGGGGCCTCAGAGCGGAGCCTTCGGATCCACTCTTGCAGAGCTCAGAGATTGGAGGATCCAGAACCCCAGCTTTTCCAGAGGCAGGGACCGGTAGTGCTCAAGGTGAGCACGGAGTTGCACCAAAGAGACTTGCCGGGTGTGGAAGGTGGCACCAGCTCGGGATCTGGTATCCCTTCTACCGGGGGCATGCGCACCTTGAGCACGGAGCCGAGCGCAGCAACTGCGAAACAGTTGAGGGTGGGCCAAAATCAAACACAGAGACAGGCCCTTCGAAAGAAACAAATGACCTGTGCATGTAGGAAGGAAGAAAGTCCTTCTAGTGACACGCCGACCGGGAACAGGTTGAATAGCACCCTGAAAGCGCTGACCCGTGTAACCGGGTACACGACTCAATGGAGTACACGACTGCGCGGCCCGGATCCCTCACTCCCACGGGAAGAAGGAGAAGAAGAACAAGAAAAAGAAGAAGAAAAAGAAGAAGAAGAAGAAGAAAGCGAGTGAGAGGGAGTAAAATCACCCCCCCCCCCCCGCCGCAGCTGCCGCCCCCCCCCCCGCTCCCTCACCCCCCCACCCCACCCCGGCAAGCTTGGTTCAACAACCTTACTTAGGCAGCAAGCAAGAGGAAACCCATCGAAATAGTATGAGGAAACGAGAAATAAGAGGAAGCAGAGAGCAAGTCAATGCAAGTCACAGAGGCCAAGATATCCAAGATTCGGAGCTAAGGACGAAGCGGCGGGAGCCGTGGATGCTCGGTAAAGAAATCACAGACAACATGCGCGAACAGGCTTGGCGGCAAGCTATGTGATGCTGTGCTGTGTGTCAGTGAGTGACGGTTAGCGTGCTCTTTATCTGTCAAGAAGAAGCCTGCTCATTCGCAGGTCACCGTTCGATATCAGATGCTGCCGACATGGTGACTGGGCAGCAGCTTATGACAGTCGAAAACACCATGGAGCACTGCGGCGGAAGGTACACACTTTTCGCTCAATGGGCATTGTCGGGCCAACCGATCCTTCGGCCACTTTGGTATCAGGACGCGACTGTGAGCGCCAGCGCAAAGTATTTCTTGCATCAATGCCGAATCAACGCTCAATGAGGATGCTGCAGATGCGGAGGCCAATTTCACGCGAAGGGTGTAGCTGCGCGTCTTGTATTGCTGAGCATCGAGGCCTTCCGCCACCAGAACACACACTTCCTGCTTGGAGCTTGATTCGGCTTGATAAGCCTGTGCTTGCAGCATTGCAGCACTGCGACGAACCAATTTGTGTTCTTCACTGATGAAGGCTGGGGAGTGACGTGCTCGTGCGGGCAGTGACGAAACCCGGTGAGGACATACTGAATGTGTACTTGCTGCGGCCTTGAATTGTGTAGGTTTGCTTGCAGCTTGCCTGCAGCTTGCCTGCAGCTTCTGCGCTTTCGGAATTTGCTGTCGGCAAGGCCATCCGGAAGCTGGTTTGATTTCTGGAATCTGGAGGTGGTCCTGTTGGACTTGGTGTGCTTCGTGGCTAGAATCTGACGCTGACACTACTGACATGTAGGCGACTCCTCTTCCTGGGGGCCAGTCGCACCGAGTCAAGGCTTTTAACGCAGCGGTAAAGCTTTCGAATTGCACAAGGACCTTGTATGCATCTGTATGCAGGCTGACCCTTCGCATGCCGGAGCCTGAAAGGGTGGAAAGGGTGCGTAAACAAGCAGAACCTTGACTGGAGCCCCTGGAGTACCTTGAATCAGGTGCCTGTGTATGTTCGAACCGGCGCGATTCTCCCCAAGAAGATGAGGCAGCCGCTGTGCTCTTGACGGAGGGTTGCTGCCCGCTGCCTTCGTGAGGCGCCGTCGCAGTTCCTTGGCGATGGCTTCTGACCCGTAGCCCCAAGCTGCCGCGCCGCAGTGACCATTGTCACTTGACAGTCCCGAAGCGGAGGTACACCATTTATGTGTATGGAGAGCAGGCAGGAGGCGGGAACATCATGAATCATCACTCATGACGGTCTGCTTGGGACATGCTTTCCAGCCCGATGTTTGTTTTCTCATCTTTTCATGACATGTCAGCTCAGCCATCATCACCTCCAGTGACTGCCGTGAATGCCGATTCGAACACCCTAAAGTGGATCAAGCACCACAGAATGCGCTTTATGCACCAGCGCGCCGTTGCATCGCTGGGCTCACCTGACTTGCAGTTGAGGAGTCAGAAGGAGTCTAGGGCCTTGGAGATCACATTCCAGCTTCGTGCACTTAGCAGAATTAGCAGTCAACACAAAGCGTCGCTGCCTCGGTACAAGCCAACAGTGAACAATGGGTTTTGTGGGGGGGGGGGGGGGGCATGGAGAGGCAATGGGGTCACAGGAGTTTTGGGGGGGGGGGGGTGAGAGAAACCGACGGCGAGCACACCAGAAAAGAAATGAAAGAAGGCGAGCTGATGATGTTTGAATGTGCCTTAGTACGGGACGCATGAACTGTAGCCGCACCGTTAAGTCTAGTATACAACTCAGTTCAATATGGGCTAGGGTGTTCATGGAGGTTATATGCACTTGCGTTTACAAGAAAGAATCTCACACGCACACGCACACGCACATGCACACGCACACGCACGCATGAACACGCTCGGAACAACCGCCCTTCTCGGGCGTAAATTTGGCCTCGTGTGAGCCGATGCTCGCTTTGCACCTCTGCGGCACCCATTGGCGCCACATGCTTTCTTGGATGTCCCGAGCTGCTGCTGCCCTGCGGCGCAACAACATCCGTGACGTTCTTCTGTGGGTTTTTGCCGCCGCGGACGGCTCCGACCCCAGCTCGAGCCGGGCAGGTTTCTTCGAGACCCGGCCCGCTCACGTCCTTCTCTGTTCGTCCTCCCGCCTGTGCTTGTATGCCTAGCAGCCCCACCCACCCATGCACGCCCACCCTGGGTGTGGTGTGCATGTGTAAATGTAAATGTGTGTATGTGTCTGTGCCAATGCCATTGTTTACAATGTCAATATGCATGTTGTTACGCGCCCATGTCGTTTCGGTGCAATCGGAATCGTGAATCCGCTGGATGCGCAACCCAGTCCTCCGCCCTGCCCCGCCTCCGAAGAGCCCAGATGGGGAAGCCGCGGTTTATCCCGAACACGCCACGAGCATTCATTCATCGTCATGTGTCCTGCTCGTTGAATTCTGAATTCTTCGTTTGGGCAGGCCACGTGTACATCGATGATGGCCAAAGCCACGATTTCATGTCCGGAACTTGGGGGGGGGGCGAAGCCCTGTACTGTACTGTTGCATGTAGTGTAGGTAAATGATACACATACTGGGTAGCTTGGCGGCGGCCTTTGCAGCCTTCTCTGGCAGGCAAGGCCACTTTGTGTACGACAAGCTCAGCTTTGATGGCCAGGAACTGGTCTCAGAGCGCTTGGCTCAGCTGTTCCTGGAAGACCTTTGCTGCAGCTGAAGTGGGAGAACTCCCGCAGGCCAGCCCAGACGCTGCACGTGACCGGAGCGGCCAAAGGCGCAGCAGGCCGATTCCGGATACAGCAATCCTGGCTAAGTTCACGTGCGACAAAGATGGATGCACTAAGGCGCCTTCAAGCAGAGCACGGCAGTAGAACGGCTGGTCTTTGTGGGGTTTGGTGCCCAGCATAGCCGCACAGCCCAGCCATAGCTCGACACTTGCCACCTCAGATTTTGCCCTAGGCTGCCCTCGAGTCCCGTGAGCGCACACGTGGTGGGAAAGGCGGACACCTTTCAGGTTGGGACGATTTGTGCATCTCTGCGGCTGTGCTCCTATCTACTGCAGTGGACACCCGTCAGCACAGGTGACTTCCTCCCGTATGCAGAATGGAGCTTGGGTTCGCAGCACAGTTCTACACGTAACTAATCGCAGCTACAGCACCTCAATGGCTTGTGGGTACTTGGAGTGATGGCAAGCCATATCGTCTAGAGGTAGCGACCGTCAAGAAGCCGCTGTGCCAACTGGGAGCCCAATGGAGCGCAATGAGATTGACATACGTTGACCATACGCTTGTGCGACCTCGGTATTGAATGTGTGCAAGCGTGTGCAGGAAGTTGCGGCTTGCCTTCTAGCAGCTCTAGCAGCTTAGCAATTGGCCTGGACCTCGGTAGAATATCAAAGCGATCTCATGAGACGCCTGGCAGCTTCGTCCCCGCAACATTGCTCCAATGTAACAACGTGTGGATGAAGACCTGCACAGATGAGGATGCAGCAATCGCTGGTACTGGGGTTGAAGGTGTTTGAAGCCCTGCACCAACCAGCGTTTTTGACACGAAGCAGTTTCTACTGACAACATTGCAGATCCAGGTTCAATTCTACTTGTGTTGGATTTCCTTTTGCGTTGGCTACTGAGTATAGCTACAAGACAAACCACTTGCGGCGAGCCACTTGCGGCGTGTCAGGCGGATGGCCAATTCGTTGTTAATGAGCCGGCATGGTCTCTTAGTTTCCGATCCACCGGCGTCTCACGAGATCTCCAATTCTCGGCAGGCAGAAAGAGTGGGTTTTTGCATTCTTGGATCGCAAGCAATGACACCGCGAGTCATTCTTCTGTGTCTGCACTGCCATTGGACTTTTTTGCGAGCTTGCCAGAGACTAGAGGAGAGCACCCACCTGAATCTGCAGTTGAACATCCTCGGGCCTAGGGCAGTTTCGGTCCCTTGTCAGGCCGCTCGGCAAAAGCTTGGCTTGACATAGCTTCTGTATTGACCATGTGGATTGGAGCATGATGAGGTTTGGACATGACTCTATAGCTGTTATTATCGATGCACAGACAGGTGGAAACAAGCGAGCAGAGTGTGGAATTGTGATGTATGAAACAATATTGGGCTCGGACATGACAGCATTGAGGCCCTGTTTATGTCAACAGCGCCGCAATCCGGACCCAAATCTTATCATGCAGTTGATGATGTTTGGACTTGGTTCCTGCACACAAGGCACAATGCAGTTGCCGCCATGTGGCTATGGCTCACTCTGCTTGCGCCAGCGCTACTGGACGCGTCGAACGCTAACGAGCGCAACTTGTGGGCTGCTCTCAAGCACGTGACAGGACTGACGGACACCGAGTTGTCTCATTTTGCCGATGAGCTTCTCTCCTTGCACCCGCCATCGCAAAAAAGTCTTTGGCAGGCCAAGGTTCACTGCACTCTCGGGACTTGTGCCCCAGAAACAACGAGTCGTCTTATTGCTGCTTTGGGTGAAGGTGGGCTGCTGCCGTCCAGGACCTTCGAACTGTTCCCCGGCGATCCTCTCTATGAGTTCTGGAAGGAATCGGACAAGCAGGAATTTCACTCCTGGGTCGATGGGGAAGCTTCAGAGGAAGAGACGATTGACTCCTTGATACCTGAAGGCCAACCCTTGGCATCTGGCCGAATTCAAGCAGCTGACTTTACGTGGAAGGCGAAGAAGTTGGTCTCAAAACTCCTTGGTCCGGCGAAAGCCACCTTCGGCGCCTTAGGCCGGTGTTTGGAATGGGACACGCCCTTTTACACCATCAAAGCCTTTGGGCCACTTTGTTTTCGACACGATGTGCTTCAGTATGCCGATCCTCGTATCGGTCGCCCGGAGAAGATGCAGACCTACCTCAAGGGCACAAGGTGTGTTTGCAGCATGTCGCGCAGTCGCGCAGTCGCACATCTCTGCGCATGAACGCACCTTTCACTTTCACACACTTCACTCATGCACCGGGTACGGGCACAGTTCTGCACACTTTTGCAAGTGCCAGGAAGATGAGCAAAGCTGTCAGTCAATCTAAGCACCATGGTTCTTCAGTCGTGGTTTCGCGAGGGTCATGGCGCTGGACGTGCTGCACCCGCCATCCTGGATGCCAACTGACTATGGCCTTGCAGCACGCTCAGCTCCTTCAAGAACCGCCTTCTGACATGCCTCTAAGTGTGTCTCTATGTCAAAAGGTATCAAAAACAAGCGCCGAACCGGTCTCGAGAGATTCACAGCTTTTGGACCGAAGTTCGGGTTGCTGCTCCCAGGGTTGTTCGGCTCAGAATTCTCCGTCCTGCATCAAGCCATCTCAAATCCTGTCGCCATTCCCGAAGACTTCACGTACTGTAAACGCTAGTGGCAGCCGTCAAGCCCCACTGGCAGCCACGCGAATATCCCAGCATAGATGCAGGATGATGCAGGAACATGTCAACTGAGGTTGTGTGCTTCTTTGTCCTGGAGCATGTCCCGGATGCTCGTTGTTGCAACGCTCAACCGTTGGGAGGGATGATATAAGCTAATGTCGTCGTTAGCGTGACTGCATGTGCAGAATCGGTCAAGCTTGGCGCGGCAGGGGCAACCTAAGGACCCTCACCAAGCTGCGCGCGGCATTGCACAGTTGCTAAGCCCAGGCTTGGAGCATTGGACGGTCAGAGAGCAGCGTGTTTGCCTAGACACACTGGGATGCTCGTAGCGTAGCCTTCAATGACACGAGTAATTAAATCTGTGTTTTGGCACACGCGATTAAACCAGGCTGTGGCGCTTCGACTTTTAGGGTTAAGGTTTTCGGGGCATCCTGATGCCATCCTGTCGAGAGCTGGTTTACAATGTTTTAAATGACGTGCAGTCTATGCAGTCTAGGATTGAGTTCAGCAGCCTTTCAGGTGGATTTCTCTTGCTGGGTGCTCCCTTTATCGATGGCACCGCTCCCAGCTCCGTTTTGCCACAAAACCAGTGCTGAGCTGCGCCGGTTCGAGGTGTGCATGGTTGCCCGGACGATTTTTTCCGCTATACGTCGGAAGCTTCCTATCACAAGAAGTGCGGCGAAGTTGAGAATCTTACGCAACAAAAGGCCCCACGGGCTGCGGAAGGTGGCAGAAGGAGCCAAGCTCGAGGCTCCGATTGAGCCTTTGTTTCAGAACATTCTTGTGCATCTTCCTTTGCCAGGTACTACATAATATTTTAAGGGGCTGCGCCCATGGGCGGGCAGCGCAGGCAGAAGCTCGAGGAGAGTTGTTCTGCAAACCGGAAAGGGGGTGGGCGCGCGAGGCGCCCCCGACCGGCGTGCGTCCTTCACGATGGGGTCAGCTGTAGGCTTTCATAGTCGGAACGCACGGGTTTGGCGACAGAGGGAAAGCTTATGCACGCGTGGGCCGCCGTGTCATCCAAGGCCGGAACCGCTGATGCATCCCGGACTGGGGCCGCTGATGCTCCTGATGCGCGCTGGGGCTCCGAGACTGAACCCGCTGGTGCTCAGGATGCGCTCCCTTTCGGGGATCCGGCTATCCTATTTCCATGGTTAATGGGGCGGGGGTGCTCATGGGCGGTGAGGGCAGCAGGCTTGGGCAGCATAGGTTTGATTTGAGATTCTCTGAGATCGGCGGGCATGCAGCCTCAAAACGCTTCATTTCAAGGTACAGCAGCAGGTTGGGAGCAGGCAGGGGAGTAGGGGTGGTGGGCGACCCTATAGACGAAGCACTAGGGAGAACGGAGAGAGCGGGGAGGGCGGGGACAGCGCCAGCAGCAGCACCACCACGCCACGACTACCTCACGATGCTGCCGAAGCTTTGTAGATAGTTTGTGACTCGATGATGACTTGTTAGTCGGCCGAGCCTGGATGCACCGTTAGCAGATGGATGCTGTGTTCTCTCTCGTCCCCTGTTTGGGGCCTTCGGCCTGGCACGTGCTCAGATGGTGAGATGATGGAAAAGCATGGTGATAATCAGCACCAGCCGTTCCGCCACCCTTGCACAGAGCGTCGTTGAAGAAGAGCTTCGGCTTTACTCTAACAAGCATTCTCACCCCTCTCAATTGTAAGTTGGGCTGGGGTGGCCTTGCAGGTGCTGCTGGAATTCTCTCCTGGAAAACCGGTCGCTGCTGCAGGGGAGACGAATCATGTCCACATGGTTCCCCATGATTGTTCCACATTGGCGCGTTCTGAGAGCTTATGCAGTGAGAGGACTTCATCGGTATGCGATCTTCTTACTGGCGCACGGAGGCAGGGTCGCAGGGCGTATAGGGGAGCTAGCGGCTGTAGATTGCATTGCGAGCTAGCGCGCTTGCTTTTCATTGCATGACTGTATGGCAGTTCTCCAGCGCAGTTGCTCTCTGGAAAGGATCTACTGCAGTTCTCAGACACACACCCAATGAACGTGCTTTGGTCTCAGCCAATACTTGTGCTGGAAGTGCTGAATGCAAGAGCGCCTAGAACTGCTTGTTGTATCGTTTGTTGGACCTGAAGGTTTCTCTTGGCAAGAAAGCCCATGTTGCCGCGTCAAAGGCTGGAGCAGCAGAAGCCCATTTTGTTTGCCGATCTTTCGGATGCCAGGCGAGCTTGGACGCAATGGACGCAACGCAATCACTCTGAGTGGGCGCAAGAGACAAAGCAGTGAGCACCAAAGTCAAAGACAGTTTCCGAAAAGTCTCTGAGGCATGTGGCATGGTAATGGTTTCATTTGCTTCAGCCCTCAGGCCTCCTAGCCTGATCCGCGGGACCATATATCAATGACGGCCGATGAATAACCCCGAAAGAGTTCGCACATCGACGGGGCCCGCACTTAGTGACTTACAGTAGTGATCAGGATTCAGCATTATTGGGCCCGCTTAATGTCAAGGTTTGCCGGCTTGAACAAGTCAAAATATCCGGACGAATCTTCTCCAGAGTCTGAGGTTTCTTTCTCATCAATCTTTAACTGCCTCAACCCCCCTGTCTCTCTAAGCCTTCGAGCCCTCTTTGTGCGCCCGGAAGCTTTTCTGGCTGCTGAGTTCCTTTACAATCAGGAGGGGGGAGGACCCACCAGCGTGACTTCGCCGTTGATTTGGCGCTTGAGCGCATGGCCATGCCATGTACTGGCAGCAAGTGGGGGTCGATCACAGATGCGCAACAACCTTATGCTCTCCTCTTTCGTCTTCCTTGATCTGTTATCATGTTGTAACTCCAAGCGTTTCTGGCTCAAGAAAACGCTGGCAAGCTGCGGCGTGCTTGGGGATGTAACCGCCTTCACTACACGTTCGACGATTCGACAGTCGCCATGAATGTGTCGCAGAACGAAGCCAGGCGCTCAGGGCAACATCTGAACGATGCGCGCAGCTTGGGATAAAACAAAAGTGTCGAGAGTCGGCGCAATCACCGTTGTGTCTTTTGTTTAGCTGTTCAGGATCCGGATTGGGAGATGATGGGCTTCTGTCCGCAGGGAAAGGCACGCAAGAGACTGAATGGATTAAAGGTTCGAAAGGGGAACTCACTATGCTGCTTAGGATCCTGGATTCGGAGAGTTCGAAGGGAAGGCCCTTCTGTTTGCGAGCATGTGACTAACGAAGCTTCGCCGATTTCTGCGTTCTTTGTTCTGCCCGTACAACTCTGAAAGGTTGGCAAGGTGCTGCCGAATGGCTGCGCGTTCATCGAATGTCAAGAGATCAAGGACCCAGCTATGTGCCACTTCAGTGACGTCTGTTGTGAAGGAAACCCTGGTCAGGTACAAAATGCATTAGCACCTGCATTTCAAACCCTAGTGTTCCCTTGTCTGCAGAAGTGGAACTAGCCGCAGAGCTGATGCACAGGATTTGTATGCTCAAGATGCGTATGTGCACAGTTCAGCCGGCGGCTTGTTCATGAATCGCTTGAGCAGCACAGCTCCTGAACATGGTTTCATGCAGTTTTTGTCTCGGTAGCCTTGCATAGAAACATATAGAAATGCAAGTTGCTCCTTCAGGTCATGCATCAGTGCAGCTTGCAGTTGGGCGATGAGTTAGGCGCTTGATATTGCACGGATGCTGCTGGCAGGAACCTTTTCCATGCGCCAACTTCATGAACCTATTCGACCTCTTCTTCCTTAGTTCTCCCGCCTTGATGGGTCCTGAGGATTTGCTTCAATGTCCATGTTAATACAACTGGACGGCCGCAGGCAGGACACTACAGTGAAGGGTGCACTTCACGACATAGAGACCAGGAGACCAGATCAGACCCTAGCTAGCAAGGCCAGACGTGTATGCAGACAACTTCGGGTCTTGAAGAGTCTTGTCGGATGTCAGGTGTCCGCTCCATGCTCTGTCCTTTGATCTGCTTTGGCTTTTGCAACCTTAGGTGTGAGATGAAGTGAGATGTTGTAAGACGCAACGTGCATGCCAGTAGCTGCCGAGGCTGGAAACGCAAGCGTGGCTGGAAAAGAGCATGGACGGAGATGCAGGTAGAGATAGCCAAAGGAGCATGCCTCTGCTAATTGAAATTCAGCTCCTGGCGCGAGGATGCCTCACCAGCAGCTCAAGGTTCCTGAGAAATGCAGAAGCCGTGTTTTTTTTTGTTTTCGTTTTTTTTTCGCGTGAGTGACAGGCAAGTTTGGAGGCAAAGGCGTTGCCAAAGGCAGCAACGGCTCTGGCCCTGGCCTCAGCTTGTGTTCAGCTTTGTATGTCTTCGTCAAATTGTATGCTGCTGTGCAATGCACCTGCACGTGTACAGGTGCCTGGCAACCAGTAGAGGCGGTTCCGAAGGTCCTTTTGCCACGTAATGCCGCTTTTTTTGTGTGACTTTTGCTGGCTGCTTCACATCGTCAGAACTGGAGACTGTTGAGACTGTCAGACATCTACGTCAGCCCTTTTTAGCAAAACGTTGCTTGAATCTGGGCTTTCCAACTTTCATCAATTTGGGGTGCTTGCTTCGATGCTCTTGCACGGTGTATTTGTGCGGAATGATCGCTGCTTCAAATCCAAGTAGTGTATGATACATGTGCAGCAGACACTTAGCGCTACAGACATATCAGCAAAGCGGGCACCCGTGCGCCATGCCTAATCCCATCCCCCTAATATTCAACGGGGCCCCCCCCCCCCCCCCCTTTAAAAACTCGAAAACTGTTTTTATAATTAGGGGGTATTTTTATCCTTAATTGCTTAACCCTAAGCCCTAATTACACCCTTAACCCTAGACCCTCAAGCCTAAACCCTCTGAGGGTTTTATTGGTGTTGAGGGGTTTCTTGGAGGCCTGAACCCCCCCCTAATTCGGAATAGGGTTTTAAAGGCGGGGTTGGTTTCGGCAGGATTTTCCGGAAAGTGTTTTTATTATTCGGGGTCCATGTAATAAAAGGGGGAAGGGATTACCCTTGGGCAGGACTCAGGCCAGGCAACATGGACACTAGCTGTCAAGCTGCCGGATTGACATCAATGGATTCACTCAGCAGTGAGGCCGAGATGCTTGATGATGAGCTCACTGCTCAAAGGGATGTGATTTTGACAGCCATTGGATTGAGCAGCACCCAGCTTTCAGACTGCGTGTCGGTTCTTTGGCGACTTCATGAGGCAGAGGTGGCAGGCCAGATAGACCCGAATGCAAGCTGCCTGCGGCCGCTGCGGAAGGTATTGTCCGTACATCTCCGAAAGACCTATGGACACCTTCCGCAGAAGAGTGCCATTGATGAGAATGAACGCAAGCGGGCAGAGAAAGACCGCAAGCGGGAGCGCCGACAGAGGCAGCTGGAGGCAGACAAGCGCTTCCAAGAGAATGCGCAGCTGCGTGCCTCGCGCTTGGCAAAGCTCCAAGCCCTGGAGGAGGAGAAGTTGGAAGGCTTTCCTTGCCATCAGCAGCTTCGAATTCCCGATGGCCCAGCTAGCTCGGATGCTGCAGACAGAACACCGAAGCTGGATGATGCAGAGCAGGCAGAGCAGGCAGAGCAGGCAGAGCAGGCGTACTGTCGGCAGCAATCTTGCTATATTTGCAAGGTGCGCTTCTCCGAGAGACACCATTTCTATTCGCATTTGTGCCCAGCCTGTGCTTCTTTTAACTTTGAGAAGCGATACCAAGCTCGCAATTTGTTCGGTCGCACTTGCTTGGTAACTGGGGCGCGAGTCAAGATAGGCTTCCAGGTCGCCACAAAGCTGCTACGTATGGGTGCCCGGGTGCTTGCCACCAGTCGTTTCCCACAGGACCCGATGTTTTGCACTCATCATTATTTTGGTTCTGTCCGTGGAAGGGTTCCTCGATCAAAACATCCCAAGGTGCCCAAAGACCCTAGGATGCTGCAGATTCGCGAGCTTCCAGCCACCGGTGATCAGGTGGTCCCCCACCTCTCCAAGCCCGCAGATAGGTAATTCTTGGGTTGTTTTTTGCACTTTCGTGCCGTGCGCATGCAGTGGTGTCGGAGGTTGCCTGGGGGAGTGGGGGAGTGGGGGAGTGGGGGAGTGGGGGAGTGGGGGAGTGGGGGAGTGGGAGGGAGGGAGTGGGGGGAGTGGGGGGAGTGGGGGAGTGGGGGAGTGGGGGGGAGTGGGGAGTGGGGGACTCCCTCGACGGGTTGATGCATGCATGCCGATCTTTGCACAAACAGTGAAGCATCAGGGTCAGTTGTGGGGGTCATCCGGGCTGGTGTTGTTGCTGCTGAATCTGTTTCTGCTTTTGCTTCGGTTTCTGCTGCCGCCGCTGCTGCCGCTGCCGCTGCTGCCGCCACTGCCGCCGCTGTGTCTGCTGCCCCCGCCGCCGCTGCCCCCCCCGCCGCTGCCCCCGCCGCCGCTCTGCTGCTGCTGCTTCTGCCGCCGCCGCTGCCGCCGCTGCCGCTGCCACTGCCGCACGTGCTGTCGAGGACGCGCGGAAGCGCTACATGGCGGAGCCTGATGCCGAGCAGTGGCTCGACCGATTGCAGATCATTGGAGCTGACTTCCGGTTTCTCGGTGGGGTTGAGGCGATGTGCGCAGCACTCCGAAGAAAGGAGGCTTTCCTAGACATCATTGTGAACAATGCCTGTCAGACAGTGCGCCGGCCTGCAGCATACTATGCCCATCTCCTGCAGGAGGAGTCACAGGCTTACCCATGTATTTCCACAGGGCCCCAGCTTCAGCTCGAGCCCCAGGATATCGACCAGGAACATGGAAGTAAATTGGACAACAGCGCAGCACTCTCGCAGCTTCTCGTTCTCGACGAGGACCGTCTTCAAGAGGAAGCCAGCGCCATGCCTTCTGGCGTGCGAGATGTGAATGGGCAACAACTGGATCTTCGAAGCACAAACAGCTGGTTGCTCAAGTTGGGTGAGGTTGAAACCCCTGAAGCCGTCGAAGTCTTTTGCATCAATGCCATGGCGCCCTTCATCATCAACAGCCGCTTGCGACCCTTGCTAGAAAGCTCACCGCACCCGGACAGATACATCATCAATGTGTCTGCCATGGAGGGCAAGTTTTACAGATATAAGCAACCGACCCATCCGCACACCAACATGGCCAAAGCGGCTCTCAACATGGCCTGGGGCTTAGAGAGAAGAGAGCACAGAGAGCACTTGAAGTTGTGATCCTGAACCTGATCCTCGTAGAAGGCACGGCTTGCCAAGACACATTAACTCCTCAAGAACAGGCAGTGGGCAGGTGGGATGTAGGGTGCACGGAAATTTTGTGCTGGTCGAGCAGAAGGCAGGGCGATGGAAACATACTGGTTTCAGGACCTCCATTCGCGAAGATGCTCCCAGCTCCAGCTTCAGTGGACCTCTGCACATACGCATCGCTCATGCCCACAGACACACTGCTGGTCGGTTTTCAAATTGGCCGCCCCTACCCTGCATACAATTGTTTGTCCTGTCCCTAGTCGCCCTAGTCCCCTGAAAGCCTTAAACTGAGCTGGAATCCGCGAAAACCTCCTGCCTACCAACGCAATCAGCGCCCCAACTTTTGTCGGTCTGCAGTGGTGGCAGTGAACAGGGTAAAGTGTGAGTGATCAGCGGGATCTCGGCATAATCACGGGCTGAAGGGCGACGCCGTACTTCGCTCTGGGCACTCTCCGCTTGTTTGTTGTACATGGCGCCGAGTTGGGGAAGAAGGAAAAAGCAAAAGAAAGCAAGAGAGAATTCGCAGTGACCAGTGTGGACTTTTGTGTTTCCTCGTTGGGGTTTGTCATGTCCTGTCTGGTTGGTTGTTGTGTTTCTCTCTCGGCACTGGCTTTTAAGGGTGGTCCTCATGTTTAAATATGTGAGACATACGTGAGACGAACGGTTGCCCCGATTTGTCTCTGCGGAGTTGCGTGTGAGAGTGGGCAGTGCGGGTGGCACAAAAAACTGAGCGGCTCTTTGCCCTTTAGGAAGCCCCAAACCAGACAACAGACAACGGTATCCTATCCTACTGGTAGTGGTTGTCGCGGCCTTGCTGAACAGCCTTACGGGAGCGTGGGCAATGCCGGTGGCACAAAACACCCTATGCCGACACCCTGACTTCGGGGGAAGCTTTAACCGCAAACAGCCAACACCCTGCGATGTGGACGTACAGTTCAGCCAGGCGGGCTTCTAGATTCTAGGGTCAGTCTGGGCAAACACACGCCGAAACCCCGTAGTGGCATCATGATGTGTCGTGCACTTTCGCGAAGGAGCCCAACTCCCCCCCCCCAGGCAAAGTACTGCAAGGTCCATCATCGTAGGCCCACGTTCCTGTACGTCCCAGCACATCCCGCCTCCGCATCGCCTTTGACTGCTCTTCGACAGCTCTTCCTACAAAATGGGCGTCAGCCCCTTCTTCGCAGCCTTGCTTGAAAGCAAATGAACGCATTAAAGCACAGTGCCAGCCTGTCCGCTATTTGGACTATACTTCTGCGAGTCCTACTGGGATGTTTCGGCAGAGGCTGCAGATCTACAAGCCCGAGGCCCTGGATCGCCTGACCGTGAACCGTGAGCCGACAAGTCCACCAAGTCCTCCCGATTGAGGGCATTCGCAACTTCTCAATATCAAAAAGAAACGACGAGAGCTTCGAAAGGGCTTCGAGAGCTGCTCCATGGCGGGTCGCCTTAACTCGCCACATGCTCCTTCCGCGGAGCCAACACACACTCGAAAGATGCCGCCAAAGTGCTCTTAGAGTCTTTTCAATCGCAAATTGCTCGTGGCTTGTGGGGGTTTGTGGGGAGGGTTGGATGGGTTTGTCTCGCCCATGCATATTCCATGTTGAACACTGTTTCCAGTTGACCAGTGGCAAACCGAGATGACCCGGACTAGTGCAGAAGACCTGGCCACCAACAGCGGCATCTTCATGAACAGCGTGGACACAGGGTGGATCAATGATGAGAACCCACTGCCCACGGCACAGCGAATTGCTGAGAACCATCAGTTCCAGACACCGATCGACGAAATCGATGCGGCAGCGCGGATTCTGGACCCCGTTCTGGTAGGTATGGACACTGTGGCATCAGGGTGCGGGGTGGCAGGCAGGCGGCCCAGAAAAGGTGGCGGAGTTGAAGAAGTTGGCTGCGGTCCTATGTGGGGCTGCTTTCTGAAGGACTACAAACTGACAGACCCGCACTTAAACGCATTCAATGCCAAGAGTTGAGAGAGTGTGGTGTGGAGAGTTTGACTGGCTGCGTGCTCTTGGTTCCACTGCCTTCTTGTGTCCGAGGAGTGGTGATGCAAGTGAGCGCACACGAAGCCCGTGAACAGCGGTACGACCGTGGCATTCTTTCACCTCAGAGCTTGAGACCGGCAAAAGCTTTCTACGCACAAGTCTACTGAAGCGGTTGCTTGCAGCATTCTGATCAAAATGTTGCGGAAGTTGCGGAGATTGCATTTAATTAGTGGAAGCTGCAGCATTGTGAACATGTTGCAGCAGGTCAGTCCTGTCCAAATCCCCTGGGGCAGCTCGCTGGATGCAGACTAGAATTTTTTCAGCTGCTGATTTTTCAGCTAATCGGCTGCGGTGCCAGAGTGGCGGTTGCTAAGGCTCTACAGCTGGACCTGGCAAAGGAAAGGGAGTTGGCGGCCTTCACCTGAGCCATGGGCCGCAGCGCAAGGCCCACGTACACCATTTGAGTTGCTGAGGCAACACCCCGGCCGAGAGCTACAGCAATGATGGTGACGGTACGACTTCAGCAACTTTGAGACTGCTCCGTTAGGTGATTTCCGTCTTGAAGCATGCAAAGGTGAATTTCTCATCGGGGCGATCAAGATCGCCGATCCTGCATCTGACCAAGAGATCCTTGCAGTAGCTTACTGCCCCTGTTTGTGGCGGTACATATACGAGGATTCAGGTTTGGAAAGTTAGAGAAAGTTACTGTAGAAGACGTGGTTAGTCTTAGGAATCTTCCTTGTCTACGCCAACTTGCGAAACAATGCTCTGCTCGGGAGTCACAAGCTGTACACGTGTGCCTTGCCATGAAGCCCAGGCCCGGGGCTTCAGCATGATCTCTTGCCCCGACTCTTGGTTGTTGCCTTGGGCTCCTGAGACCCATGCCGTGGGACGAAGTGTTGGACTGGCTGCGCTCTGCCAACCCTTACCACATGTTACCACTCCTTCCTCAAGGTTTCAAGCGGACATTTACATCCATCATTCAACTGCCAGTCCAGAGGCAGATGCAGCTCAATGATGCTCAAAGCTCTCTGGGTTCTCTTGATCTGGAAGTGCTGAAAGCCGAGACTGCATCAACCGACTGTCAGAACTTTGCTGTGGGGGATGTGGTTGCCTTCACCTTCCACATGAACGAAAAAGGACAACCCCGAGCAGCTGCCACAGCAGAGCCTAGCAGAGCCAATGTACGATTGCTCGTTACTCGCTTCTAGTCACGTTGCTTGAGGCCGATGTGGTTTTCCGGTTAGCGGGCCGGGAGCCAACAGTCAACATGCATCGGCCTGCCGTGATCATACGCCGATATCTGCCGAGTAGATGTAATCTGACCACCGGGCTCGTGTTCTGCCCTGTTCATCACAACCAGAGCCGTGCGAGCGGGACTGCTGCACTTCTTGTTGCCAGGCTTTACACCATCAGGGAAATCCCCCAGCTTTCCACCGAATCGGGGTGCAGGTCTTACTATGCTAGCTGCGGTTGCCTAGTCAGACCAGTGCATGCTGCCCCGCTCACACACTACCGAGCCCTTGCAAAGTGCGATTGCAAGTTTCAGACTCGCCCATATTTGCCATGCCCTTCCAAAGGTTCGGTGTCGAGAGTTCTGGGCACCGGCAGTGGCTTCGTTGATTGCTGGCAGCTGAGCCTTGCTTTCTTGTTTGGTCCGAAAGAAGTGCCACACAATGTCATGCCCAGGTCCTGAAGTCAGCAGCCTTTACGGTGCGAGCTGCAGCCGGGGGAAAAGAAGGGAGAAAGTAAGGCAGAACAATTTGAAAATAGTGCACAATCCTTGCGCGACTGAGGTAAAGATGCATCGGCCTGAGAGGAGCTGGCATGCTGGTTTGGATTTTGAAATACAAGAAGACGTAGAGAAGTGCTGCTTCCTGAGGTGTTTGTGCATGGCAGCGTGGTGGAGCAGTGCGGCCTCAGAACAGGGGACCCCCCCAAATCGATCCACGACCACTCAGCCGCTACTGCCTTTACTCCGAGCTCCGAAATGCCAAGCTCCATTGCAGGATGTGCTCGCCTTTGACGTTCATGTCAGCAAAGATGGCAACCCCCAGGCTAGCCGAACTCTGCCAAGCTCGCAAGTCACTACTGAGCTTGAGCTTCGGAAGATTCCATTTACCCTTCAAGGCCTTCGAACTTCAAAAAAGCATGCTCCGTTAGTACGGATTTGTTAAATACCTCAGGTTTTTGCACATTCACGGGCGTCACATAACGGGTTGTGCGAAATGAGGTTGCGAGGAGCAAAACTGCTTGCATTTACAGTGTTTTCGGGTTGTGCAGGCGAAAAATGAGCGTTTTCAAAAAACGCTCAATTTTAGGATTTTTGGCATTGTAAGCGTTCTTGGAACATGTCGGGCGGGATGGTTGCTAATATGTATGTAGTAGTGTCTCATGTTATGACAGGGGAATAGTCTGGTATTAGTAATTACAGCATACTCTTACTATTATGCAGTGTATATATTTGGCACAAGCACAGAATTCTTTTCCGTCATACTTTCCGAAGAATCACCGCTTGAAGCGGCGAGAGTCAGGACTATCGCAGAATGAGATGGGCGACATTTCGGGGGATGTTAGGGCTGCACTGCTTTGGGATCTCAGGGCTGCACTGCTTTGGGACGTCGGGGCTCTTTGTGGGGACGGGGAGTTTGGAACCTCAATGGCTGCACGCAAGACAGTGGACGCAACACCCCCCCCCCCCCCCCACCCACCCCGAAACGCAGATGTACAATTCGTGCGTTTTTTTACCTGACGGTAATCCATGGGGAAGCAAAAGCATGGTGAGATGTACGGAAACATCCGGAACCACAAGCTGCCACAAGCTGCAATATGTGATGTCTCAGTACAAGCCAAGTCATAACACTTCCATGCCAGAAAACATCGGCAAAGCATCGATGCGAACGGTATCACAAATCCGAAACAAGAAGGGGACCATTCCAACGCATGTACTCACATGCAAGCCCACTGAAAGTGTAGAAAGCAAATTGACGACAAGCTCCAAAAAACACGCCGCACAATTCACATGTATGTTTCAAGCGCCAGAGCCTACAACAGCCACAGCAAGCAAATCAAGGCACTGCGGAACATTCCAACCAACCCAGCGTGATCTGTTGCGGTGCAGCACGCCGTGCCGCAAGGTGTCTGCGCCGTGCGGGGGGCCCAGAGATCATCTTCATTTGGCGTTGTTTGCCTTGGAGAGCAGTCGTCGAACATCTCGTTTGCAATCCGAGGTTGGGTCCAAGCCGGTCCTGGCTATCAGGACCTCTCATCCGCTGTATGTAGAGAGTGACACAGAGCCCGAGAGTCATTGAACGCAGAAGCGGAAAAAAACAACTGTTTTGGAGAGGGCCAGCCGCATTCAGCTCCAGCCTTGCAGCCTGCCAAGGGGTCAGAGCCTCTGGCACGTGCACACGTGCACACGTGCACACGTGCACCATGCCATCTTCGACCGAACAGAACCCAGCATGAGGTCCTGGACGGCCAAAGGTCCTCCAGTCGCAGTCGGTAAGGGCAAAGGTCCGTGGAGTGATGGAGTGATGTGGCTCAGAGAGCCTTTGGCTTGTTCACATGGCTTGCAGGTTTCGGGCCTCCGCCGTCCGGAACCGCCAAAGTGACAATGTCCAAGGGAGGAACAATGCCCGAGCCCAATTTCTGGATGCAACGCTGCGAGCGTTGAGGATGTATAAAAAAGGGAGCTTCGATGTTTCTTGCTGTGAGCAGCCGCTCCGGGCCAACAAGGCGTGTAGAGGGACCGACATCCGGCGCCTCCGCAGGCAGCGGTTCTCAATCTTTGTCCAAAGTCCCCAAATCTCACTTGAAAGTGTTCAAACTGTTCTGGGCAACTCCAAAGGTCCTCCCAGCCCCGGCTCATGGCAACCGAGCGGTTGCGACTCGGTTGCAGAACCCCTATCCGCACGTGCCATCACCGCTTGTAGACGTCGTTTCTGGCCAAGGCAAGGGCGGATTCAAGGGCAAGCCTGCAATGCTGCACCAGTTCAAAGGCAAGGGCAAGACGCCTCAAGCAGCTTGGCCGTGCCCTCGGCGCTGTGCAGATTTGAGCTTTCTAGTCCAAGTCCGAGGGGCCAGGATCTGAATGTCATCGTGTTGAAATGCGAGGACTGCGCAGCACGCTCTAGACCCTGCCGCTGGGCAGAGCCAAGGCAGCCGGTACCTCGGATCCCTCCATGCCCGCACTCGCTCAGTGGAACAAGCGAAACAACTGCACAACAGTCACTACAACTAGCATCCTCTCCGAGGGGATACATGGAGAATGAAGGCCTCCCTGAGTCATGTTGCCTCACGGGCGTGTAAGGCGTGTACGAGCACGCAGAAATTGCAGGCTGCTGCCAATCACATAGACACCCTCGACATAGACTGGATGCCGGATGCCCTGAGAACTCTGAGATATATTCTTCTCGATCAAAGTGATCAAAGGCGGACAGCGCTGCACATAAACTCAGGCCAGACGAATTCCAAGCAGGCCGAGTTTCCTTGATAGACCTGGAAAAATCGGTGGCGCGCTTGAGTCCATGCACTGGCCGTGCAGCCAAACCAGCGTGGGGTCGTTATTATGGGCCGAGGTCAGCCTGGTAAGATGTCCGACAGCAGGGTTTACGCGGGATGTGGCCTCCTCAGATTTTGAGACATCCTGGGATTGGGCAGTGCAGTGGCGCGTTGGCCGTTAGATTGAAAACACGGCAATTTCGCTTTACAATCCATGCTCCACCGCGGAGCGCCGGAGGTCTACGTCCATCAGTCGGTCGCAGACCCCAGCCGCTCCCCTAGCAGCATCTCAGACCAGGCAGTCTTGCCAAGACGAGCATCCTATCCAGTGTCTTCCATCTCCAAAAGTTAACATGGTGCAACTTGTCAAGATGAGCAGTCCATGCAGAGTCAGAGGTGCACTGGCCCTCAATGACGTGGTCTGCTTCAAGGTTCACATGAACAGCAAGGGTCTGTGCGGAGCCAAGATGTGGTGGAGTAGACGCAGCGGCCAGCTGGGTGTTGCTTGGTGGTGCAGGCCTCAGGCATCAGCCCCCTTCTGGAAGCGAGTCGGTATGAGCCTCATATGAAACTGTCAGCGCTGCCAAACCAGAACAAGAGTGTGCACAGAAGCAAATGATGCCCGCATCGAGGCATTGAGAGCAGTGAAAGCTTTGCTCGCTTCGGTGAGTTCCAGGGCTTGGTAGTGAGGCGCGAGCCTTGGCGAGGCAGCACAGCACAGTCCTCACTTCAACACAAGTTCTCATCAGGTCCGACAATGGGCCGATCACGGTCGACTGCGCCGATGTGACCCAACTTCACGGTCGCGATGCAGTGATGCAAGAGGAAGAAAAGAAATGCCTTAACCCTCTTGCAGTGTTTGTCTCGGTCTACGTGTTCTGATTAAAGGACTCTGCCGACCTCTGCCAGCTGGTCGAGGGAAATTTAATATGCTTCGATGTGCTGGCACCTTAGCCTGACTGCGATCTGCTTTGATACCCAGCAGTGCACTCGCAGCCAAGAGCAGAAGTGGGCGAACAAAACGCGCAAAACGCACAAAACGCACACTTGGGGCAACGACCAGGTCAGTGAACCAAGGTGGCGACCCCGAGGCCGCGTGTGAGTGGATGATCGCGGATGCTGATTCACAAGCTGATGCAACTTCAAACCGAACCGGTTTTCTGGGGCGGGTTGCCGCCTCGTTGTTTGCTCAGGTCATCCCACCTTGTTGGATTTGCTGTTCGTCGGAGAAGTGGGCAGCATCCTTCAGAGACACAGACACAGCTTCATTCACTCCAGAGAGAGCAGAGTCTCATGCTGAGTTTACATTGTGAGACACTCTGATGAAGGTCAGAGACCTTGTTGGCAAAGGTGAGGAGGTGGAGCCCTTTCATACACAACTGGGACCTTTTCAGCAAGAATGTACCCGCAATCATTTCAAAGTATTGCTCTTCTCCAGGGCTTGGGCGGCTTGGCACCGGCGGCAGAGCTCTCAAGGTTTTCAGCAGCATCTCATGGCAGTCATGGTCATGGAATCGAGAGGGTGTGCTGGGTCTTGCCACGATTTGCCACGTTCTTGTAGTTTGACATTTCTTCATGGAGAGTCAGCCATTGGGCCATTGGGCACAGAGAATCCGACTTGTTTTCCCGATTGCTGGCGCTAGAAAAGATTGCCAACAAGATGTTCGGATTCATCTTGCAGCCTGGCCGCAGTAGTCGCAGTTGTATGACGGACAGACAAATGGAGACATAGCTTTGTGGGATAGCTGTTGTTATCCGTTGTTAGCCGTTGTTAGCCCCTGACAAGGTCGCCCATCGAATTCCTTCTCATGGCAGCCTACGCGCCGCTCCTCAGCCTCAGGGCGCTGGAGTCGAAGACGCTCAACGACGACACGAACCTGCTGGCTTTCTGGATGGTGTCTCTCGAATGCAGAATTTCAGGCGAGGATGTGCAATAGGCCACAGTCTTCTGGGGGCAGTGCTAACTAGCTGAAAAACTGCTAGTTTTTTTGTTGGAAAATGGCGTCTCTGAGGATGGCGGTTCTCTCTGCCGTGGAAAGCATCACTTGGGGTGCCGTTTGGATCCTTCCCTTCTACACGGAGCTACGTTTTGGGCTTGTCGTTCAGAGCTGAGTCCAGGGCATCTTGAAGATACTAGCCTGAGAGTTGGTACTCATACTCAACAGCTCGAGGTGTACATGCTGTTCTTTCAGGGTGGCAAGAAGGCCAGATCTTCAACCCTCACTCGAATGCCCATAGCACGCACCTGCCTCTGCAACACGAGGTGTATACCATCGCCATTGATCCCATGTACCAACAGGCCACCCGGCACAGTGAACGGACTGATGGAAACTGTTGGGGTCTGGACTAGGCGAAGAAGAAGCTCCCAGCTGAGCTCCTCCAAGAGCTTGACGAGGCATTGAGCGATTTGCATTGCAATTTGCGATTTGCCTTGCGCAGGATTTGCCAAAAAATTGGCCTTGTTGAAGGTACTAGCGTCGGTGCGCGTCGTAGCAGTTTGCTTTCATCCTATACGGTAGAGCACCAAGGAGAGTTTTTAGCCCAGGGGCCCAGGAGTGCTTTGCAGGAGAGACGGGGACAGCATTGCAAGAGCTTTGGACAGAATCTCTTTTCGGGCTCCTTCTTTGATCCTCCTGCCAATTTTCTGGACAGGATCCCAAAAAGTTCCTGCTCTCCATGGGCCAGACAGGCGACTCTTGCAGGGTCCTGGTGCTATGCCAAAGCCTTTGCTTCGTGTGCACGTACGTGTGCTGCAGGCAAGGAAATGATCATGCAGCTGGTGGAGAAGGCCAAGGCGAAGAGTGCCGAAGCTTCGGCACCTGCCAAAGAGAAGAAGAAGGCCGCGAAGGCCCGCCAGCTTGACGCACAGCGGACATGCTTTACACGGAGTATTGGCTGAGCTTAGAAATCTGGGATAGCAATGCAGCACAACGTGTCGGCATATGTTGCTCTTACTTGAGAAATGCCCATCCAGGCCAAGTGAGATGCCGGAGAAGTCATAGAGAAACTGAAGAACGATGACATCATCTTTTGGGGCTCCTCCGGGCCCCCAGCTTTGAGCTGCTTCGAGCATGACTAGGCCTAGGCCAACACGGCAAAGCTGGAGTTGTTCGCACGCTCTGGGCATCTTCCTTCACAGTATTTCGTAGCCCACAATCTGCAAATTTCTTGCATGCAACTGCCTTTCTTAGCCTCGCCGCACTGGATCCGTGCCCTTCATTGCGTGCGGCAGTACTTCTGCGCTGACTTTGACAGTGTTACAGAGCAGGCCAGCATAGTGACTATAGACTATAGGCATTATATAGTTTGGACAGAACCAACGCCGGCGGCACCTGCACTTATGCAGAAGATGCCCGTGTGCGTTTTGCAGACCAGCTGAGGAGAAAGAAGCAGCGACTTGAAGTTGTTTCTGAAGCTTCACAAGTCACACACGTAACACTTCGCATCACTTCCCTTAAAGTTTGCTTCACAGGTCTTGTTTGTCGGTTCGAGGTCTCTCCGACCTGACTGCTCGCCTGCGCCTGCGCTTCTCTGAGAGCGCAAGACAAGAAAGCAGCACATCTGTATATCATATCATATCATATCATATTTTTTTGCCACCCACACACACAATGCATCCACGGTTCAGGAAGCTGACCGGGCATTAACTGCCCGGGCTTCTTACCCAAACCCCTCAGCTCAAGTGTCTGAGATATCTCAGGTCTTAGGATATAGTCCAAGGGCATCCTCAGAGCCAGGACCCAACGAAAAAAAGGACCTTGCAGGCCTCACGTGCATGGACAGGGAAGGGGGGTTTTTCAGAGTCTCGAGCACTCATTGGTCACTCCTTTGGCTCGTAGCAGAGGACGGGAGACCAGTAGAGCTGCCCAGAGCATAGATGGAGGCCGGCGTCCAAAGCCGCGGGATGTTGCAGAAGTGTGAAGAGTACACTGTACTCTTTCCAATAATCTCAACATGCAAACAGTAAATGCAAAAGGGGTTTCCCCCGGCATATTCTCCACCACGGCTTCGGGCAGGTTGGTGAGTTGCGATGCGTCGCTCTGGCTCCAGCCAAATTGAGCACACCTAATGGACTAGGAAGGCTTGGAAAAGCCTTGAAGCTGGAGACTCAAAGTCCCACCCGCCGACCCTAAGCCTCAAAGACTCTTTCAGAGTGATCCTGGTTTTTGGCAGTCGACAAATGCAACGCAAGAGAATGAGACTGAAGTCACTTATAGTTAAAAAATGCGAGTTCGCTGTGCCTGTAAGATGATCGCAAGAATCGCTAGAGTCACTAGACGACAGCAACATTTGTCACAAAAGAACCAAAGAGTGCGTGAGCATACGTTGGTTTTAATGCGAAAGGCAGTAAGTTCAGCATTCTCTGGATGTGCTCAGGTGAGTTGTTGTCCGTGCAAGATTGAAGTGATTGAGTCATCTGCACCAGGAGATGATGTGCCCGATGTGTCTTGCCCTGAGTATTCTGGGTGCACGATGCAAAGGGCACAGGGGGCACCTGCATAGCATGCGTAGCATTAGGGCCCGTGAGAGTCAATGGCTGACATCATGCGCTGGGCACGCCTGCAGCATTTCGGCTGCAAACCTTCTGCATTTTTTGCAGGTCTCAGACAAGCAATACTAAACAAATTGCAGGAGAGCAATCAGATCCTACCGCAAACTTTCCAAGAAGCACCGTCAAGCATAGTCCTCAAGCATGTACTGACAGTGCGTTCATGGCTTCCCATTGTGAGCCATGCATATCGAGATCCCGGCTGTCGGTTCCAGATTCTCAAGAGAGGCACGGAACGCCGTCACATATTATCCCGCTATGAGCTTGCCGGTGTGGACTCGAGCATGGTAAAGGGAAGGGTTCTCTGGAGGCTTCGCCTGCGCTGAGTGGGCGCAGCGAAGCTCGATCTCACTTGAGTTCGGCGGTGGAGGCTTGCCATCTCTTATCACAAACAAAGCATACCAAGCTAACTGTGCGCCAATGGGTGCGTGAAGGTGCTTCTCGATGCCGTCGGGCATGACAGTAATGATGGTGACAGATCAGGACGATCACTTGAGCCATGCGAAATCATGCGATCGCATTCGCATGTCAGCCGTCAGCCTTGGACCTCTCAGTGACTTCAGTGTCCCCGGCAGGCACAGTGGGACTGTTGAATGGTGAGCCGAGTGCCCGAACGCCAGGGCCCAAGAGCAATGCCTCAACAACAGTTCAATGACTAATATTAGTATGAATATGAATCAATACGAGTCGTATTGAATTAATTTCGGTTTTGGGTGTGACTCAGTGTTTGAATGGTCTGTGTGGCTTGGCCATGGCATGGGGTCGGAAAGACCATGCCAGCAACCGAAAATTCTTCCCAAATATCCCAATGTTGCATGATGTGGCATGGAATGTTCAGCCAAAGAAGCATCACGGCATATGATGGCTGTAGGCATTCGGGTTCGGGTAAGTTACGGTGCTCACCTTCCATCTGAGGTCTCGCTCTCGTTTTCGGGACGTGTTGGGCATCGGCGTCGCCCCTTGGACAAAGTCGCACATGGAATGTAGCGACGGGTCTCGGCCCGGCAATGCGACACTCAAGCCTGCAGTGCTCACTGCCAGCACAGCTCACGGCCATCATGGCTCACTGCCAGCAAGTCCAGGATCGGTGCTTTTTGTTGTGTACGCCAAGAGGGCTTAGGATTCCGTTTCCAGGCCCCTCACATCACAAATGGGTTGCGAGAGGAACAGACATAGCAAGTGAACGAGGAGGAGCAACGTGCGACGTCTTGCGGACTCGATTTCCCGTGAAGGGTTGAGGCTGATGGAAGGTGTGCGTGCTTTCGCGTCCTTTCAGCACTTCCTGAAAACTCTGAAAAGTTTGCTCCTCGTTTGGGCTTTGCCTCGGAGATCTGTCGGGAAAGGGGTGATTGTGTCTACATGTAGGCCCTAGCTGTTACGAGTGGGCTGCCTCCTGCTCATAACCTGCAGATGCCTCCACAGTGGCCCTGGACCACACACATCTTGGTCACAGGACAGCGTGTCATCGTGGCTCGTAGTCCAAGCTGCACAGGTTTCAAAGTTGGGGTTCGACAGCCTCACTTTGCGTTACGGATGTACAAGCTCTTCTCAGTATCTCAGGTTCTGATAGCTTTCTTCGTGGGCGTGCGGCTCTCACTGCGTGGGCTTGGTTTTCATGTTGATGTCTTGATGCATTGATGCTTAGTGGGTTTAGTGATGCTGTCACAGGTGTACTTCCTATTCTGGATGCGCAGAGTTCTTGTGCCTGCCCCGGGGAGGCTGCTGCTCGATAATGCCGCAGCCGCGATCCTACATAATGGCTCAGGTGCCGCTGACCTTCGCCCTTTTCCTGGCTTTCCTTTGTGAGCCTCTTCTAGCATTCATGGTCACCGCCCCAAGGCCAGACAAGTGTGCACCCGTCATATCCCGTCATTGCATTCTCTCGCTGTCTCTCGTTGTCGGGCAGATTTGGGCAGATCTGTGCAGGTCTGCTGCCAGAAGGCTGCAGCGGTGTAAGCAAGGTCGCTCCAGGGACAGGCCACATGGACTCGAATCATTTAGCCGCCCCGTGCCGACTGCAAGATTCAGGAAGCCTCACGATCACAAGGGAGTCCCGGTCGGTCGGGCGGAGGACTCCTTCAGAGTGGCACATCGCCTGCCTGCACACGACATACACGCCAGATGTGAGGAAGATGCAACATCTTCTGATCTTGATAGCATAGGAAGCGCCAGACACACAGCTGAATGTCCCTAGTTGACATCAGCAACATAGACTTTCATGGCCTCCTTGCTTTGGCTTCTGAGGCCGCGAGCATAACCGTCAGTGACTGTGATGGCCAAGCGGCCAAGACGTGCTGTGCCCTGCCTGAAAGCCTGGAGAAACTGCGCATTCAACAGGTTCACCCATCATCTTCCATAAGTTTCCGAACTGACACCAATCGGTTCTGCCAAGGTGCTTCGTGCGGAAAGTGGTTGCAGCAGCTGCTCATTTGCAGAGCTGAGTTCTGCAGCGTGGAGTCACATGGCCAGAAATGGCCTGAACGCCTGAGGATTTGGAGTATTTTCGCGGTCTTGATCCTGGTGGTGACGCTTTTGGTGACACACTCAGCCGACGGTGACTGATGGGAGAAGCAGAAAGCGAGCATCTGGTGATTGTCAGACTGTGACGTTCTTGATCTTTTATGGGGTTGTTGGGGCCCAAGCTTGTCGTTTCACAGCTCTTCTGCCTTTGGATTGTTACTTCCGCTGTGAGGGCTGTGCGCAGTACTGTTTAGAGTTTACAGGTCAGAGTTTTTGCCGATTTCGACTGGAGCTAGCCCCCCAGTGCGACTCGCGTTCCAGACTTAGCTTTGAGAAACAGAGACATTGATCGCCTCGAACTGTATAAGGTCAGTTCTCAGACTCTGCGAAGATGCATGACATCCAGTCGCTGCCTTATAGAGTGTGTTTTTTGATGTTCAAGTTTAGCCGGAAATCCTGCTAAAGCAGCCTCTCATATTTCCATGCGACGCCTTTCTCTTGTGGAATTTAAGGTTTCTTCTAGAAAAAGCAGGCATTGTGGTGGCCTTATGTGATTGCATCACCATTGAATCATCATCACTGTTGGGACACTGTTGCAAGGACTCTCAGATGTCTTGAGAATGATCTGCCTCTGCTTGCTATGGGCAACCAAGAAAACAGAGGTTGACGGCAAAATGAACGTGAACTTTCAGAAGGTGGCAGCTGAGTTTAAAAGCCCCTTTGGCATTTGTAAACTGCGTTGGGTGACTCGTACGTAACTTTGTCGTTTCTTGCCTTAGAGAAGTGCGTTGGAATTCGAGGTTATCTCCTAGATACGGCCTCAACATTCTTTCACTTCGTTGAAGGCTGGCTGAAATCGTTTACAGGATCACGTGAGCAGCAAGTTGGTGTTGAATGCGTTCTGCGAGGATTCATGCTCTGTGTCTTGATGTTCATCTTCTGCCTGATTGGCATGCTCCCTGAAATCAACTCCGGGAGCTGCTTGCCCACAATTAGGTCACCAGAATACGTCGAAGACGTTGAGCGCGCGCAGATGCGCAGATTGAAGATGTGGATCGAAGCTTTCACTCATGACATGCCAAGGACGTCCATCTCCAGTTAAGGATCTGGTCCTGCTCTGAGTTTTCCAGGAATCTGCCGCAACTTCACATGTTACAAAAAGCTGAAGACTGGGCCACTTGGCACGCAGCTCCATCTGGATATAAGCGTGAGAACCTGGAGATGTCACCCGCCCCTGATCCCAGTGTCTGTAAGGCGTCTGTTGAACCAGCACATACCTAGAGAGACTTTGCGCCGCACATACCGACAGAGACTTTTGCAAATGGCAAGCTGAATGCTTGCTCCTCCCAGTAAGGTGCAGATTTTGTTCACATGTGTGGGTACGGTGCGCATCAGATGCAAACCGGTTGCAAAATTCGACATGGAGCTCTTGTGGTGGAAATACAGGAGGGCCCAGGAAGGCCAGGTGGGCAACTCTGTCTGCAGGCTGGGCTGGGCGGCATTACGCCTCCCATTGGAAAACATTATTTGGACAGTACTCCGCTGCAGCTGCACCGACTCTGAGGTGCAGAGGTACTTGATGGTCAAGTGCGTGTCCAGCCTTGTCATCGCGGCAGCTCGGCCACACTAGGCACGCAAATGCATGCAAGCTATTGCAAGCTGCAGAGCGCGACGTGCTTGGACAGCACTTTCCTCAGGTGCTGGTCATGTTTGCACTGTGGGCAATGAAGGTGCCTCTTCTCGTCGTCGGGCGCTTACGAAGCTTACAGCACTCGCAGGCGTTGATGTGGTGCTTGACGCTGTAAATGCAGGGCGAACGTGCTTGCCAGTCTGCAGGTTTGGGGCCTTGTCACCTTCGTCACGAACTTCATTCCGAACCTAGGCAAGGTGCGATGCGATGCGTGGAGCAGATGCCACTTGATTTTGATTGAAGCACCACCTTCATCACCTCGCTTCAATAGCACAGGTGCACTAATTGCAATTCTGGCGCCGATTCCATTTGTTTGGCTCAAGCCCGACGGCACGCAACTTGCTTGCAGACAAGAAGTAGGCCAGGAGGTGCATGGAAGGGCCATGCTTTTTTTCCTCCTGGGAGCTTAGTTTCAGGCTGCTGGACACATTCGTCGTCATCCTCGTTCAGTTCTTGGCCTCCAGCTTGGGAACAAGTCCGCATTTGATTCGCGATTCGGAAGCAGCTTGCACCAACAGTTCTAGGTGCACAATATCGCCGGCAATATCATAGAGCCACACATCATGTCACAGGGTCATGGCCACAGTCGTGACCGCAGTTGTGACCGCAGACTGCTCGGGCTAGCTGCTAGCTTGCGGAACACAATCTACAATGACGTCATGCCATTGAAGCCATCAGGTTTGGAGCTTCACCCCTTGACGATTGTGGTGGCCCTCATGCCGAAGTCTTAGCTCAGCGACTGGAGTGAGGCTTGTATGGCTTGTACCTCAATGCATGTCGAACGTTGTCTTAGGTTTTGGAGCAGCATCTGGGGAATCGCAGGCCTGCTTTCCTGGAGCCGTCGGGAGGTAGGCTGGACATGATTTCTGACCTTGCGAAGGAGCTGTGCTCTCCGTTCCGATTAGTTGTGTGCTTCGCCTGTGGCTCGGGGAACTGGAAGATCATCGAGCAAAGCGATTGTACAGCCTCCTGTCCGGCAAGAAGGTATTGCCAACTGGATGCATGGACGACCCGAACACCTACAGTAATTACTATCATTATGCGGTGCAATGATGCCGCTGCAATGAATCCGCATCAGCTGTGCTTTCGTGTCCCTGGTTGCCTGGTTCGCCAGACCTGACGCAAATTAAGGATTGTTTGATGATCCACTGGGGTGAGCGCATGAGAGAGTCTCGGGCAACTCTTGGTGAATTGGCTCAGCCACGGCCGACTTGTCTTGGCCAATTTGGTTACGGATTCACTGATGGCGGTCCATGTACAGCTGCTGTTTTCTGTTGAAAATGGCTTCAGCGAGAAGCTTTCCTACGCTGAGTAGGCTCTGCATGAGTACTTCGGGGTAGACAGCTCGAAGAAAGACGTGACATTTCCCGATTTGCCGAACCAGTTGTTGAATGCAAAGGCTCTAACCAAAGAGTTGGAGCCGCTTGTCAGCAGAACCACAGATGAAAACCATGAACCCGCGACTCTGCTTCAACGAAAAGCTCGCTGAAGCTCCTCCTTGACCATGTTCATTGACTGCTATTTGGAAAGTGCATGCTGGTATGCATGCATAATGGGAGCTAGGTTATTGTTGGCAAATTGTTGGGGTATTTGTGCTTTTCGGGCGTCCTGTAAAGCGATTTTGCTGTAGCAGGCATGCGTTTGTTTTCGGAGGGTTTGGGGGTGGGGGGCTCGGCCCCCCCCCCCCCAATTGGCAAACGCAATGATCACAATGCTCGCATGATGTAACGGATTCAATATGTTTTGAAGCACCCTCCCCCCACCCCAAATCCAAACAGAATTCGCGCATGATGGGACAAGCGGGGGGTTTTGTGGGGGGACGCAGAACCCCCCCCCCCCCTCCCATCCCATTTGCAAACACAATGCGATGGGTTTGGACAGGAGACATCTGTTTGAAGCAAGCTTGCGCGGCTTAAATGGGCAGGGGGGCTTGGGGGGAGGCACCGACCGACCGAGTTACTGACTGGGGTCAATTAATCAAACAAAGAAACCACTCAAAAATGCAAGCAGGACCCACCCAACAGGCGCACATACCAAGTGCAGGCCGTCAGTCGGTGTGAGTCCTGCAGTGTCAGATGCCTCAGGTGCTGACGGAGGCTTGTATGCTCTGAAGCTGCAGGCAAAAGCCAGGGAGCAGTCATTCAATGTCATTCATCTCCTTGATTTCATTAAACCTGTACAGGAGCCGCTGCCTTTTGGCTTGATGCGTGCCCTGTGCCTCGGCAACGAATGGTGCAGTTTCATAAGCCTCCGCACACTGGTCAGATCAGGCTTTACCGCACTTTTGTGGAGCTTGCTGCGGGTACACTCCAGGCCCTGCCTTTCTCCTACAGCATGTCACTATCATTTACTATCATGGTGGACTGTCCTGTTGCTGCCAAAGTGGCAAAATGGCGACCTGCGAAAGGCCCGGCCATTGGAAGGAGGGAGCGACTGTCCACTGGCACTCCCGAGAGAAGCTGCACCAAGCTGGCGATTAGAGTGTAAAGTCAGGAAGTGTGAAGTGAGAGTGTAAAGAGGGCCGACAGGATGAATAGTTGCTAATGCAGTTGCACAGCAGACTTTGGAGCCAAGGTGCTGGCATTGCTTGAGCGCGCCAAAATCTTAGACTCTGTGAATCTTCGCGACCGGCCCGAAGTTGTCGTCAACAGAGATCAACTCAGTTCAACACCTTGTTTAGGCGTTGACCTTTCGCGATCTTCAGGGGTCAGCAGCTTCAAGGTTCTCAGGGCTCGACAAGGATTTCCCGTTCCCTATGTGTGATGAAACCGAGCAGTTGTGCAAGTTTGCGGTTGCTCAGCCATTCTCGCTCCCTACAAGATTGTTCGCTCCCGTTCAGAGTTGCAAAACGGGCCAGCACCCCTATGTCTCCTGATTCTACACTTCCATTTGGAGGCTTCCCTCCTTCAAACTTCGGCTGTGGCACATGAGTTTTGCCATACCCACTCATCCAATTCTTTTTTGCAGACGTTCTCCACAAGCCGACGCAGGCCATGGCGGCTTCTCTGGAACCCAAAACTGGTCTCACTGACTCGAGATACAAACGGATGCAGAGGTGACACTCCACTCATACCCCCTCCCCCCTCCCCCCTCCCCCCTCCCCCCTCCCCTCCCCCCCCCCCCTCCCCCCTCGCCCCCTCCCCCCTCCCCCTCCCCCCTCCCCCCTCCCCCCCCCCCCCCTCCCCCCCCGCCCCCCTCCCCCTCCCCCCTCCCCCCTCCCCCCTCCCCCCTCCCCCTCCCCCCTCCCCCCTCCCCCCCTCCCCCCCCCTCTTCCGCACTATTTTGCAATAGAATTACAGTACGCGTTCTCACTTCGTTCGTGCATTAATACAATTATAAGGACAAGGGACGCATGAATTGTATTACAAATGCACGCACGATGTGAATGAACGCAGCGGTTACAATAAGCTTGGAAACAGATGAACGGAGTGAATCCCAAGCCTTATTGTACGGGCTAGTTCATGAACACAGTGAGCACGCGTACACCATAAGACCCCTGTTTCTAGACCACTTAGTATTGAATCTGTGAACTAGAGATGGAGACCGCCCCAGAAGCCCCCTTAAATGCTGTATCCTGTGGTCGATCTAGGATAGCATGCGTCTTTTGGTCCGTTCACCCATTAAAATATTAAATTACAAGGGCGAAAAGACCCGCGTGAATTTAATTATTTTAATGCGTTCTCTCTTCCCCTTTCATCTCCTTCTTTTCACGCGCCATTCTAATATTATTCATGCGTACGCTTCACTCCTTATAATAATATTAATGGCGTGTGAACGAAGGTTGATAGAAAGGGAGAGAACGTACCAAAAACCCCAACATCCGGGCGGTCATATGGTTCACTTGTTCTTGATTCAGCGGTCAGTCAACACGGGCGTATATTGTAATGCAAAGGTAAGAAACGCACGCTTTGCATTAAAATATACTAGCCCGTACGAAAACCCCAATTAAAATCATGCGTCACGCACTCGTTTCACTCCCTTGTTTCCTTATATTTTAATAGGAGTTCTCGTTTACACGGTTAATCCACAGTCTCATGATAAGGGCTGTAGTTCGTGCACTCGTTCTCTCATTTCGTGCACGCATTATAATATTATTCACGCGTTCTCTGCGTTCACTTGTCATGCGTGCGTTTACTGCCTCATTCATAGTGCCCCTTTAATAGTATTATTTTAATGCAAACTTGTGCGCGATTACAATAATAATATTAAATTAGGGGCACGAATGAACGCAGTAAAACCACCATTGACAAGTTACCGCATTAAAGGACTCATTAAAAGCCCCTACAATTATAATACTACGGGCCAGTTCACTTATAAAGAATGCATGAAGTGAACGTAAGGCCCGTATTATTATATTGGGGCTTATAATGTACGTCCTTTATGCCCCTATAATTCTATTAAAAGGGCACATAATACGTTAATATGCTTATTGCCCCTTTAATAGACTTATAGGACGTCCTAAGAACCCAGTAAAAGCACCATTCACCTCTTTAAACCTGTTGACAGATCGCACCCTGAGAATGAACCGCAGTGTAACCCCCTGTGCTGGACCAAAAGACCCTGTCATTCACCCTTTGCCTCGTGACCACATAGTATTATTAAGGAGTCTCATGGCGGTTCCAGCCCAGTTAAACCACAGAACTAACCGGATAATACTACGAAGTGAACTATATTCACACGGCTTTATAATGAAAGGAACGAAGTGAAGTGAAGCATGAAAGCCGCTGTGAAGATAGGAACGAAGTAAGAACAAGAGAGCACTAATAATAGAGTTACAAGTGAACGAAGTTATGAGTGAGCGCGTGAACTATATTATTATGCGAACGAAACAACCTTTTGGACGTATTATTGACCACACGCACCAATCATTACCTTCATGAATAGGTCCTTTAATGTAATATTCCCCGGGCACATAATAAAATACTAAATAAGCCCGGGATACGAACTAAATGAATAATAGAGTTACCGCCTGGGCTGGACGTACCAAAAGTCCTATTATTATAAGTGCACGGGCGTTCTATTTACTAGCCCGTCCATCACCAGTAAACATTAGAATTATAGTATTATAAGGGGGCAATATTAATAGTACTTTGTGGCCCCCTTATAAACCCCTTAATAACCGGGCGTATAAAGAGAGAGAAATAGACGCCCTAACATTCATTTCGTTCTCCTTTCACGCTCATAATATTAACTTCGTGCGTCATTCACATCTTCACTCCTTACAAGATTAATATTAGTATTACGTGAAGAGAACTAGAGAACGAAATACAATATTAATATCTTCACGGGGTAATAATAGTATAATATGAAGAGAACCCCGTGATGATAGCAAAAAGTACTTTGTGGTGAACCTAACATCCGGGCGGTCACTAACTCCTTTCGCTTCGTCATGCATTGCGCACACTTACCCCCTCCCCTCCCCCCTCCCCCCTCCCCCCTCCCCCCTCCCCCCTCCCCCCTCCCCCTCCCCCCCTCCCCCCCTCCCCCCTCCCCCCTCCCCCCTCCCCCCTCCCCCCTCCCCCTCCCCCCTCCCCCCCTCCCCCCCTCCCCCCTCCCCCCCCCCTCCCCCCTCCCCCCTCCCCCCCCCCCCCCTCCCCCCTCCCCCCCTCCCCTCCCCTCCCCCCTTCCCCCTCCCCTCCCCCCTCCCCCCTCCCCCCTCTTGGGCTAGCTGCATAGGGCCCCAACCCCTCTGCTACAAGCAGCCCAATCCAAGCTATTCATTCTTAATAATTAGCTATTTCTTCGCAAAGGCCAGCATGTTTGTGCCAACATGCAATGCCTGAACTAACACAATTGCAACGCGGCCGGGATGGGGATTGCAATGGGCGCTCCCGCCCCTCGCTTCCCACTCTGCCACATGATACGAAGGCCAAGTCATGTGGCGGGAGCTGGGCTGTCCGTCCCCCTTCGTCGCTACAAATTAAAAAGGCTCATCCAGCCAAAGCCAAGCCATTGTTCGAAAGGTCCAGCGCGATGGCATGCAATGCCTGTACTAACACGGTAGCAACTGAAGATGAGCACCACGACGCGTTGGAATGGTAAAGGCTTTGGCGCGCCGCCTCAGCCGCTGGGCCGGCCCAGCGCGGGGTGTAGCGTGCGCATCGCAGACGAAGGACAGCGAAACTAACGTGTCGCTTGGTGCCAGGGCTTCAGGAGGTTTAAAGTTTAGGGTGGTCCCCAAAGAGGTCTTGGGCTAACATAAGAGGCAGGACATCTGGGCATGAAGTATTGTAGACTTGATCCCGGCTCACAACTTTACAGAAGAGGCGAGAGTACGATTAACGTGCATCTCGCTGTCAAAAGCTTCAGGGTGCTCTGAGAACGGTCTTGGCTGAGCTGCCTTGATGACACCTCAACATGCGTCGTGGAGCACCCGAGATTTTTATGTTAATTCTAATTAAATTATGCAAACATTATGAGGTAGCTCCGCCGATTCTTCCTCATCGGGACGGCGCCTGCCGCAAGTGTGGGTTGACTCGCCGGTTGAGAGGGGCGGGGGGGGGGGGGGGGGGGGGAGGGTCTCAATTCAGCATCCGACCAGGCGGCATCCGACCAAGTGCAACAATTGCCCGTGTGTGGCTCAGTCTTGCCAACTGCAAAGGATTTCGACAGGATGCGCCCACAGATCATGGTGGACAAGCTAGGAAGCCGATGGTGGGAAGTGCGTGCACAACTGTCACTTCGCAAAGGCGAACATGCCTGGACCACAGAGTTTACATTTACATACTTTAGGCCAAAGATGTGTAACTATGATGTGTGTTCGCCAAGGTTACCTGGCTTGAGTTGTCCAAAGAGCTTGACGATGTCATTTCCAGGTAGAAATGGTGGGCCATGCATCAAGCAGAAATCTGCTGCGCTGCGCAAATGACAGCAAATGAACTGCTTTCTTGGAGTTTAAAAGGCAGCTGCAAGAACATGTGTGAGCATGCCTTCTCGGGAGTCATGGCCTCGGGATTCGACCGGAGTGCCTGCTTGTGCCTAGCCTGGTGGCATGGCATGCGTACATTGAACAATGTCAATATATGTTGTGAGCGTCGCACATCTTTAAGCTGCTTTTCGAATAGAGCTCCGTGTGCATTTTGTCCTGTATATATCCTTCTTCGATCAGCATGGACCTGCCGGACTTGTACTTGGACTCGCCATCGCAGAGTGCCACGGCGTGGCGAGCGAGCTGGAAGCCAGCTTCGTCGGATCTGCCTTCACCAAGTTGCTCAAGTCCCTCTCCTTCAAGGATACGAAGTCACCGTTCGGGGTCGGCTCTTTGGCAGAGTCTTCGAATCAGCCTCATGGGATCGGTGCAGCCGGTGCCGCAGTACCTGGAAAGAGCACACCATGACGGAATCTACAGCACCGATGGCACGGAAATCCCTGAAGTCTTAGACGTTTTGGACACTGGACCCTCCGGACCTGGTAGTGATCCAACAAGTCGATGCTCAAGCCCCATAAGCCCCGATGCCTTGCAGCGGCGAGCGAAAGGAATGAAAGGACTTCGACTCGGCAGCACATTGGAGACTCGGGCTCAGAGGGAAGATTTTCTTTGCCAACAACTTGATGATGCATCAGATGAGATTGACCGACTTAGCATGGAGCGGGATGATGCAGTCAAGAAACTGCACGACCTTGCAAAACTGCTCAGGGATCACGAATTGTCGCAAGAGGAAACCCGAAGGGAGTATGTGTCAGTTGCATGCCAGCAGTCCGATGATGGGAGCAATTCTGACGACAATGCGGCGCAGACACCGCATGTGAAAAGAGCAGCATCATGTCCCCTGAATTGGTCTCCGAGTCCTGAGCAAGAGACGACTCCAGCGGACAGCTCGATTTTTGCGGAGCGGCGCCAGTGGCACGAAGAGCTTCTGGAGCTGGAAAGCTTCCAAGAGAGGCTAAAACAAGCAGCGACACAGGCCAAGGATGAGGCCCACACTGCCTGGACTGAGTCGCAGTCAGCTATGGAACGTCAGAAGCCGAGAGAGCCAAGCATGTCGTGAGCTGTGCATGTCTAAGGCGCTTAAGCATAGCAAGCGTTGTAGAGTGTCTCAGGGGTTAATGTGCAAGAAGTCCAAATGGATCTTTGGCGAGACGAGGTGGCCCAGGCAGGACAGCGTGAGCACATCCTGGTAGCATTGCACACTGTGTGCTATGTATCTATAGTCTTTAGATGTCAGTATGCTGATGTTTGCTGCACCCTGGCATCGCATGTTCAACTGCCTTTAGGGCGCCTGAGGCGCCCTGCACGGAGCAATCCCAATTCAAAGTCGTTTCTTATAAATTGCATGTCACAATTTCTCTCACGCAGGCGCGAGAGATGCAAAGCGAAGAAGCCGTGATGCGACACAGAAATTTCATTCTGTGCAGCATCTTCCTCAGAACTTCTTTGGGTAAGTTAAATACCGTATTCAGAACACCCTTTCAGATCACAAACTAAGTATGCTCAGTGACACCCTGTGACACTCATCTGCTCATTGACACTTCGCGAGGTGCGCAGCAAGACAGGCTTAGGCCTGGAATCAGAAGCGCCTTTTGCTGTTTCGTCAAGCAAGGGATGAAAAGTACGGTTGGGTAAGGCATGGTAAGCTGCATGGGCAATTGTGGCACAGGCAGAATGTGCTTACAACCGTCGCGCTGAAAGCGTCCCTGCTTCTCATTGGATGCTTCACAACTTGGCGACAAGAAGTGCTTCTTGTCCGATGAGCTAAGCCAGCTAAGCCTTTCGACCTCAGTCTGAATATTGCTACCAGCGTAACCAGTTTCGAGAGCGGTCAAGGTACAAGTCACGGAATTGATTGACAGCAAGGGCTGAGAATTTGGGATCTGCAGAGTCTACATCATCAAGCAAAAGAAGCATTGGACAGTCAGACCACAAGCCACTTTTTCTAGAGAAGAGTTCTTGAACATCCTGCAAGCTTTTGGGTTCTTTGGCTCTTCGAATCTGATACCTGCTGTAAGGGTCTGCATGCATCCAGGTTTTGTGGGCTTGCGGGTGTACCCACCAGCTTTGGAAAACATTGAGTCTGCGTCAGACAACCATTCAAGCAGCAGAGCCGCCGAAGCTACTACTCGTACATCTTCTTGATTCTGTGAGGATTCAGGGCACCTTTTTGAGCACTCCCTCTGGCCCTCTAGTCATCTCTAGTCCAAAACAGGATCTTTTTTGCTGACCTGTGCTTGCTGTAAGTTGGACCTGATTGCAGCAACTCCCACTGTCGTTCATGAAAAAAATCGTTCCGATCTAGATTGCTACGTATTTGACCGGTGTCGACCGGGCTTGTGTGCGTGTGTGTGTGAACCTTTCGCTCCCAGAATTTCTGCAACCGCTGATGAACCTCACGTGTTACCAAGCAGAGGGGGCACGGGCCTTGTCATGGTACCGTACCTGTTCCAGCGAAGCTACCCGATACCCATCACAAACCGATCATCTCCGTGCACGTGCTGTCGGAGTCAATCACATTTGCTCATGCTGCCTTCCCCGCAACCTTTGACTGGGTGTGTGTGTGTGTGTGTGTGTAACGATATGTGCGGCTTATTTGTTTTGCTTTGCGTCTGTGTCTGCGTGTTGTTTGAATTTGAGGCACGAGCATGCCACGGAACGAACGGTGGCAGAAAAGACCGAGCTTTCCAATGCTGAGCTTGCTGCTGCTACTGCACCCTGCCAGCATGCCATACAGGTGTGTTAGGATTCTAGAAGCCTGCAAAAACAATGTTTCCGGCTGGAAAAAGAAGGCTGCAAGCACGACAAGTTCAGCGAGGGCAAGTGCGACTTTGCTGAGCATGAAGATGCAGGAGATGCGAGACACTATGTTAACTGTTTGCTGCCTGTCCGCTTGGCACACCTACGTGTTCCTTGGCACGGTTATGCAATATCTTCCAATTCAGTCATGCTGCGCTTCATGCACTCAACTTCGAGTGGTGCTAGGCTGAGAACTGAACGCGCCACTCCACCGGAGAGGATGCCCCTAATTGACATGCATTTGCAATGAACGCAGGGTTACCACCTCCACAATTTTGCCATGGTGTGAACGTTGTGTATGTGTGTCTCTCGGTATAGTGTTTGCGATCACCAGGAAGCTGCATGGTTCTGCGTCTTTGGCATCGAACATGCCCAAGGCACTTCTGCAATGCACATGATCGAGACCTTGAGAAGGTGTTTCTGCGCGCACCGCAAAGAAATAGTGAGAGGAACAGAGAGAGAGAGAGAGAAGACACACGAATGCACGCACCCATGCGTGCCTGCGCGTGCATGATGCGCTCCCTTGCGCACACCCAGGCGCTAGCGCACGCGCCAGTGCCTGCGCTCACGTCCACACGCGCACGCGAGACCGCTGCAGCTTTAGGTTCGGCAGAGGACCGAAGAGCAGATTAGAGTTGGAGGAGGTAGCCCGAGCCGCGCAGCTCGAGGGATGCCAAAAGGGCAAGGATGGTGAACAAGAATGGCGACTGGCACCACCAGTGTCCCACCAGCAATTCCACCAAGACTGGGAGGTTTGCAGGCGCCTTTTGCGAGACCAAAGCAGTTCTAAAGAGTTTTTGGGTCTGCAGTGTGTGTTCTGCCTTCCAAGCGTCTTCGATGAGTATCGATAAGTCTTCTCAGGACCACGACACGTTTCTCGGAACAGCTGGTGGACTTGCAGTTCTGGTAAGTGTGGTGCTAGCTTGTCGGTCGTTCAGCAGAATTCATAGCAACCGGATTTTGAAGCTGGCGCTTCTTTTGTTCATGTTGGGCGCAACAGTGCTTTCGGGTTGTAGGTATCCCAGAACGGTGAGTGTGCCTCAGCCGTCCAAGGTTTGCGGTGCCTTGGGCACGAGTGTCTAAAGGCTGGGAGCCTCGGCCCAGCACTCCTAGCAAGCAGCTTGCCAGTCTTCCCGCGGATGTTAGCCCAGATGATGAGGCCAGCTGCTTGTCCGAAGTATCATTCCTTCTTGAGTGTGCGTTTGTATGAGGCACGGGGCTTTCCGAATGCTTGGGCACAGAAGACCATGCTTTGGTATCTTGAGCGGCTTCTGACTGATGTAAGGATGGGCGTCTCGAATGGCAAGTCCAGCGGCGCAGTTGCGGAGCTTTCTGGCGGCCGCGCATCAGGGAGGATGCCAAGCGGACGGCATCAGCGAGAGCCAGCTGTACGGAAGCCCCTCTCTCACGACCATGCGACAGGGCATCACCCCAGCCGCACAGCTGCGCAAGTTCACACCCGGAAGCTTACACGTGGAGCCAAAACCACGAGATCATTTCGGTGGCGGCGAGCCTGATCCGTTGGCGGTGCAAGAGGACACGTGCCAAACCGATGGGTCGCTTTTGGCACACCTGGAGCCGGAGCTGCAAGGCGCTGTCAGCGGCCATGGGAGCCCCAAGTCCGCCGGCTTCGCTGATGTTCTGGACTGGGAGCAAGGCAAGAAGCCTGGTGGCCTTGGCTGTTTACCACAAGATGTCAGCTTAGACGACGGGGCCAGCTGCTTGCCTTGAATTCTGTATCCTGCGCATGGCCATTGCAGAAGTTCGGAGGGAATCTTTACAAGGCCTTGTCAAAAGGGGGCTGTATGGCGCTATTATTTTGATGTTTTGGAAGCCAGCAATGCCATGTTGAATGCAAATTAGACGAGAGTAACTAGCTGCTGTGCCGGCTACATTGTAAGCGCTCGCTGGTGTTCACGCCAGAAGGGCCCTGACACAGCCTTTGTCTACGAAGCTGTGTGTCAGTGCATCACAGGGACTCAGAGCGACGGCAAGCGCTCAGATATGGGGCAGGATACGTGCTCCGCCAGATGCTCAGATCTGCTCCACCAGAAGCCACGCTTGATCGGTTAATCTCAGTTTAAAACAGGTGCTTCGCTTCTTCACTTAGCGAAAGATCAAACAACGACGGTCCGCCCGCGGCCATGTTGTAGGTCATGGACACGCCCCGTCAGTGCAGTTGTGAAGAGTTCCTGCAGAACGTGGGTGAATGGTGACCCAAGAGGTCCACTGAGCATGCTGATATGGAGCCTGATCGACCCCGGGTACTTGCTGCAATATGTTTGCAAGATACCGGATAAGATGGAATTGAGAGACTGCGTAAGTTGACATCGCGCGCTGGTGTACCCGGTCGTTTCTCCAAGTGCGTTCAGCTTGGACACCAAGAGCCATCAATTTACGACATGCAGGGGACCTGAAATCAGGAGACAGGACCGGGCCGTAGTTCCATCCCATGTTGACGCACGACGATGGGCCGGGGCCCAACCCACAGGCCGACTTCACGAAAGTTTGTAACATTAGTATACATATATGTAGGTACGTATGTATGTATATACATATATGACTTCAGACATGTGACATGTCTCAATCAAAAGTGCTGGCTGATCAGCAGCCTCGATAATCCAGTGCCTTGTAAACAATTCAAACGGATCTCTCGTTGTTGTATTCGTTGGTTGGCTGGGGTATTTCCTCGTGCTGCCGGGATCGGCAGCAGGGGTAACTCTCAATTTCGAGGGGGTTGTGTGATTCGCCTTTCTTGATGGAAGGTGTCGTTTTGTGAGTTAGTTTTTGGTCTTCCTTGCTGCTGTCTTGTCAGTCCGGAGTTTTGTGCATGTGTTTTTGACGTAGATGAGCGGCGCACATGTCGTAAGTAACAGTTACGGAGGCCTCTAAACGTCCATATGCTGCGCAATGCTACATGAGCATCAAAGACAAGTGTCGACGAGGGAATTCAGTAGTTTCCGAATGCGTGGGCAGAACCGAGTCTCCAGACTGTGCTTTGGTATCTTGGGCGGCTTCTGACTGATGTAAGGATGGGCGTCTCGAATGGCAAGTCCAGCGGCGCAGTTGCGGAGCTTTCTGGCGGCCGCGCATCAGGGAGGATGCCAAGCGGACGGCATCAGCGAGAGCCAGCTGTACGGAAGCCCCTCTCTCACGACCATGCGACAGGGCATCACCCCAGCCGCACAGCTGCGCAAGTTCACACCCGGAAGCTTACACGTGGAGCCAAAACCACGAGATCATTTCGGTGGCGGCGAGCCTGATCCGTTGGCGGTGCAAGAGGACACGTGCCAAACCGATGGGTCGCTTTTGGCACACCTGGAGCCGGAGCTGCAAGGCGCTGTCAGCGGCCATGGGAGCCCCAAGTCCGCCGGCTTCGCTGCATCTGAGGCACCTCCCGCTGTGCACATTCGAGAAATACGCTCATGCCTGGCAGTACGGCAGCAGCGTAGAGCCGAGCTCGAGTCTCGTGTGGCTGAGTTCGTTCAATCTGAAGACTTGCTGGGGAGCATCATGAAGAACGAGAAGTCAGAGAGACAACTGGAGCAACACTTGGCTGATGTGGCCAAACGAGGCGGAGTTGAATGTTCACCAAAGCATAAACCTAAGAGGCCTTACATGTTGTCTGTGGCCTTGAACAGCATGCCTGTGGAAGACAACGGGCTAAAGAACGTGGACCAAGCCTGGCCCTTGCCTGGCCAGTGCGAGTGACCACATGCGACCGCTCAGTGACAGCGCAGTGACAGCTCACAATGCTTACCGCTTCGCTTCATGCGTTTCACTTCACGTTTATATTGTTTTGTGAAGCAAAACATGTCAACCATGATTTAGATGAATCCCGCCTGCAGCCAAATTGTACAGCTACAGGGTTACATGGGTGCCCAGGTCGCCAGAGGAAACGCGGGGACAGGGACGGGAAGGGTTACCGCCGGCTTCCTCATGCCTAGCAGAAGCGTGTGCCTTTAACGTCCGAATTCATCGTTGCCAGGCATTGCCTGATCTCGTGCTCCAAACTCGCCTTCTCAACACGAGTCTAGCCGAGCTGCGATCCGCACGAGATTCCGCACGCAGAAGTTGGGCACTCTCCTTACGACTGCAACCTGCAGCAAGAATCCAATGTGTAAACGCGGGGTTGCTTTATTTGTGACAGCATGCACTTCGCAACTCAGGCAAGGATCTCTTTAGAAGGCTGCATTTGATGCAGTTTGCATCACGGGTGGCTGAGCTTCTGCAATGCATGCGGTAGCAGATTCATCGCTGCGCTATGTTCAGTTCTGTTTCAGGTGAGTCTTCTCCAGCCTTGTAAGATCATCCGGAATGCAGGAAGTAAGGCACATCCTTGAGACGTTCTGATTGCATCTCTTTGCTCTTTGCGCCCTTTTTTGTTTCCGCGCGCGTCGTTCCAGGCCTAGACTTCGCAATCCGGCCCGGCGAGATCTCTACTCTCCACAGCAAAGTTGTAGAACATGCGCAGAAGATGCAAATCTGGGATTCCGGCGCCTCGAAGGAGCTGAATTTCAGCAGGCGAAGCTTCGGCGAGCCAGCTCCATGCGGGAGTCCTCCAACTTGAAGGCCTCAGGAAGGCGAGGAGCCCTTTAAAACTTTTTCGATCATCTGAAGCACGTTCCTTCAGCCATCGCCAGCAGGCGTTGCGCGGCAAGCGCTAAGCCGCTTCTTCGGAGATGTCAGCCAAGAGTCAGGTGACGCACGATCATGCTGTTTGCTACTGTTAGAATCTGAGTGGTAGCAACGGCTTGGAGAGTGTCCGCAGCGTTGCAACGTGCGTGCCGAGCTGGTAGCAAAGACAAGGCACCTGCGCCAAGCAGCAGTAAACTCAACAAGCACTACCGCAACAAGTCAAGGAGCATCACGTGAACCAAGAGCCGAACACCAGGACCTTGCTGTTTCTGCTTGAAGATCCCGTGCCAGTCAGACTTCAAACGCCCAATCACTCAGTACCAACATGTGGAGATTTGAAAACCCGACCAGCTTTGGCAAACTCGTGCCTCCTGAATGCGCAGCATCCTGACGCTGCAGCTCCTGATGCAGGCGAACATTCTCTCGGTCGAAGCCGCCGAGTGTGTTCCTGAGGGTCAGGACCAGGTTCTCCGAACCCTTGGGGCCTGGAAACGTCGTACCCCTCACGACGAAACGCAATGCAAGAATCACAGTCCGAAGAGGACATTCGAGAAACTTGGCTTCACCCAGACTGAGCAGAGTCGGTACAAGTGACAGTTAGAAGCGACAAACTGCATGGATTCCTAAGTTTGGCAAGGCCTTCGCAACGCGGACGGCAGAGATGCTCCCTCGGCTCTAGGTCTCGGTGCGTTTCTCCTGTGGCAAGACTGCCACAGCTGCAACGCCTTTGCACGTGCAGAATGCTTAATGGCTTAATGAAGCTTAGCAATGTTGCATCACGGCTTCAGTGCTGCACCTAGCGTTCGTATGCGTTCGTCGCAGCAAGTTGCAGTCTCACACTGGCGCGACGGCTCTAACATGGGACCCTGACATCCAGATTGTTTCATGAGATATCTGAAAGAGACCGCGGAGATCAAAGCTGTGATGCTGTGTTCTTTGCACTTGCCAACCTCAGGCTGCTCGTCCTTAAAGGCACACTTCGAGAATCGTGGGGGATACTGCAGATGCAGCTACACTCCGGGAATGACTTGACCAGGTGTCGTGCGGATCGTGTCGGGGAAGTGTTCGGACAGTGATGCAGCACGATATGCTGTGGCTGCATGTCGGTGTGATATTGGTGATGTGGCTTGGACGAGCTGATCGCTCGCAGCCTTCCACTGGCTCTGAACGTATTGGGTGACGGAAGGGCAAGACGAAAAGGACGAATCAAGGCATTCACAGGCTGGCCGCGCCTTCTGGTAGCATGAACTTCCAGGCATTGCATGTTGCGGCACTGCTGCCCCTCTGCAAGGCTGCAAGGCTGTATGGAGATCCAGTTTAAGAGACCATTGCTTGAGGCCTGGCAATTCTGCAACATATCCGGCGAGATCTGATGTGATCATGGGGTAGTTTCGTGCCATGTTGGCAGGAGCAGAACTGTGAACGCAAGGCAAGTTGGCTTGCCGGCGTAACTTGGCTTTCCCGGCTCAATTTGGGTCATCTTGGCTCATGCTGAATCTGTCAGCCTCCATGGCAGGCCAGATCCTGTGCTGACTTTCCTTGTGCCGCTGCCCAGTTGTGGGAGCGCATGTCATTGTAGTGACGAACCTGCTTCGCGACCAAAGCTTTGTCACGTGCTTGTTTGCTTTCGTGGCTCACAGAAGACGCGCCATCTTACTTAGCCATGCTCTGCCTGTGGGGAAAGCAGTAGGTGATTCGCATGTGGCGTGCAACCAACATCACGACAGAGATGTGTGTATGGGATGTGAACATCTGCTAGCTGCTATAGAGTTGCGTGTTGCAGAATGCATGGGCCATTCGACGCCTTGCGCGATGTCTTGGCGCGCTTTGACCCGAAGAAGTCCAACCTGATCCCCACGAGTCACTTGAGGAATGTGCTTACCAAGATCTTGCCGGACCTGGAGTCGGTCCGGCCCTGGCATGGTTTTTGTTCTTCGCGGAAATCCGTTTGGCTTTTGTTTGTGGGTTTGGTTTGCTCGCTGGCGTGTACTCAGTGTACTCTTTTCCAGGACTGGGAAGTGCTCCTGCAGGAATTCGCCGTTGGCACCTTCACAGACTACCAGGCTCGAAGACATGAGAAATCGCCCTTGAAATTCAATTTGAGCTGTCTGCAACGTATTTGTTCACTTCAAACCCCGAATGGACACAAAAGTCGCAAAAAGGTCACAGAACGAGGTGGGCGTAGATTTCGCCATGCACATGTAAAGAGGGGAAGGCTACAACTGATTTAAACTGCCGGCTCCAGCTTGGCGCAGGGCCGAGCGCACGTAGCAGGAGATTATGATTATTTATTTAGATGCGCCCATGGGCGGGCAGCGCAGGCAGAAGCTCCGGGAGAGTTGTTCTTACAGGCTGCTGCCGATGCCGCAGCAAACCGGGCAGGGGGGGGGGGGGGGGGGGGCGCGCGCGCTCAGCTGTAGGCTTTCACAGTCTGACGGGTTTGGCACCGGGGTCATGTCAAAGCCATGACCTTTCAACCCTATATAGACCCTGAGCTTAAAGACCTCAAAACCCGAATGCCTCAAAAACCCCAAGCCGCAACCTTAAAAATGCTAAAAAGGCTTGAAACCTGCCATGTCATCCAAGGCTGGAGCCGCTGATGCTGATGATGCACGCCCGGGGTCCCGCGCTGGGACTGCTGATGTGATGCGCGCTTGGGGGTCCCGGACTGAACCCGCTGATGCTCGTGATGAGCTCCCTTTGGGCGCTGCCCCGATTTAAAGGCTGGCGCCAGTGTCGGGCGGTGGCACAAGGAAAGCAAAAGGGGCTGGAGTGGGGGGGAGGGGGTGGGAGCGTGGAGATGACGGCGGAGAGGGTGGCGGGGCATGAAGGCACAGGCGGTGTGGGAATAGCATGGAGATGAGGCTGGGGGTGGTGGAATGCAGAAGGGGGGGCGGGGGGCGGGGGGGCTAGAGCCCCCTCCTAGTGCCGACCGGAGGGGTGGGGGATTATGTCCGCCCACAGCCACTGTCCACTGAACAACCAAAGCGATAGACAGGACGGCAATGCTCCAAGAGGCAGACGTGGTATACTCACTATGTATTGTGGGGACGTTTATGGAGAAGACTCAGCACTTATTGGCCCATGTCCCAAAGAGCCCAAGGGGCACAAACCTTTAGAGTGAATATGATTGGTCTTGGTAATCAGCTGCAGCTTAAACTACTAGCTTAAACTCTCGGGATGTGCCTGTCGCTAAGTGCCGTATGAACTTACGAGGCCTTCCTGGCATCTTTGCAGTCTGCGGTGCCGGGAGACCCCGGAGAAAGCGAAGTTCTCCGTTCCGAGCTGAAGGTTGGAGAGACCTCATCTCGGGCCTTTTGTGTGTCCCCAATAAGTCACAGTCACCCACCTCATATGTCACCATAACTCACCTCTTTGGCAGGAGACCCGAGGGCAGTTGGAGGCACATTGTCTGTTCGGTCGGAAGGTTAGCATTGCGTTAGGGCAGTCTCAGAGGCCCTTCAGAGAGTCCTGCAACGGCACCCCTTGGAGTTCACTGCAGCGGCCTCGGCCAGAGTGGATATGATACTCGCGTTATTCACTTCTTCCAACGAAGTAGACACAATGACTGCACGTTCGGGCCCTGCCGCGCGCAAGCTTTGCAGAATCGTTGTGCAGATCGAGGTGGGGCAGTACAACATCTTGGCTGGATACATGGGCAGCAACACGGAGCCCTGGTTCCTCTACGGGGTGGACATTGACGAGGCTGCCCGCTTTCACCGTCGGTCATGGATCATGTTCGCCTGTGGGGCCGGTTTCTTTCCCGAGCGGCTGGCACCATTATATTGTTGAGCTTCTCATCTAGACGATGCAGAGCACCTTTCAACGAATCAGCGAACGTTGTTCTGCGTTCTGGTACCATGTAGACAAGGACCCTCCAGCAAAAAGCCATCAGTGTCCCGAGAAGCCTTGTGGAACAAAGTGTGGAGATGTTGTTTTGCTAAGAATCTGTGCATAGCGGCATAGCTGCGCAAGAAGTCACGTTTGCAGTAGCGAGGTGAGAGGCTTGAAGACGCTCTTAAGACTCTTAAGCCTTAAGCATTGAGCTTGCAGCCTCTTCGGCCGTCGGGTAGGGCTGAGAGTGCGAATCTGCAGCAATCGTCGCTAAAGGGAGCAGCGTTTCTCGGACGCCAGTCCATGCCAAGTCAAGCCCAACGCCGCCCAACGCGATCTTTGGCAGCGCGTGTTTGATTAGTTTGATTGCTTGCTCTGCTTTGAGGACAGAAGGCGGGAGATCTTCAGGCCAGGCGGCAGAAGCACACAAGTTCTTTCTTTGGTTCTGTGGTGACCCCAAGGCTGCATGGCGAGCGCCATGCCGATGGAAGACCTGCCAACCCAGGCCGGTTCCACCATTTTCCACTATTGATAGGGACTGACTCGCTACTCTCTCTCTCTCGCTCTGTCCCCTGTTCGGTTCTCTCACGTTCTCTCCTTGGTGGGATGTTAAAAAGCAAAAAGGACGGAGTCCATCGGAATCACACAGAATCCCTTTGTCCGCAACCCAAGGCTGGCCCAACTACGTCAGGCCCCGCGTGAGCCTACTAAGAATTTTGCCGGTGACCTCACCCTCCGAATGTCCTCGGGCCTTGTTGCACTACGATGTGGAGCTTCGCTCGCCAGGGGCGTGCTGTCCGCGGAGGAGATCGCAGCCGTGGAGGCGGTGCATGAACGATGCTTTGCATGGGAGGCGGGCCCGAGCACAGGAAAGGCACGGACAGCTTGTGGACACAAAAAGCACGAAAGACCGGGTGTCTGTTCCGTTTTCTCTTTTCGCCTTTCGCAACTGCCTAATGAATGAATTTCTTTGGAGGTGCGCAAGGACCGGCTTCTGGAGCAGATTCGAGCCGGGGACTGGGACGGTTCTTCTTCTTTTCAAACATATGTATATAAGGCCATGACGCAGTGCAGGTTCTTTTCTTCCCAAAAGACAAAGGTTTTGTTGTCGGATGTTGTCGAAACCTGGTGCGTGCTACTACAAAATACATAGATGCAACGCTCCGATTTCTGGCTGCATAGTTCTACAAATCTGCCCTTTGAAGCATCCTTTCTCAACATTCCTCAACGTTTCTCATGTGAGATGCACAAGAGCCTCTAACAAGGGATTCTGTATGAGCAAAGGTTTGAGAGCACTGGAAGATATGTCGTAGCTGTTGAGGCCATGGACTGCGACGTGCTGAGTCTGGTGGAGTGTGACCACTACAATGACCACTTCCGGCCAGCGCTGGCAGCTATGGGCTACGACTCCACGTGGCCCAGCGCATCACAGAACACATTTGCCCTACTCATGCTCGTGTCATCATTCTCACCATTGTCATCTCAGTCTCTCCCTTTCTCAGCTTCTCAGGTGGCGCAAACGGCCACGGCCGTCGAGCCTGGGGCCTCAGCCTTTAACACGAGTTAAAGCCGAACATAGCCGAACATAGCCGAACTACTACTGGTATGTGTTGAAGAGAGGTGACGATGGCTGCTGTGTGGCGTGGCGACGGCCCGGGCCCAGAAATACATCGTGCCAAGCTCCATACAGATACGGCTGCACCAGCGCCTGACCTGGCCTAAAGGGCCTATACAACACTCCGAATCACTCGAATCACGTCCTTTCCCACAGCTCTCGTGCCACTTCTGCCCAAGGTCCCTGCGAGGAGCCCGGCAGTTTGTTGATCAGAACATTGCAGAACACTGTGCTCATCTTTCAGCGCTGAGAGAGGGCAGTTTCTGACGCGGACAGTTGACGCACATCGGTAAGTTGGGCTATCGCACGCGAAGGGCAGAACTGGGCAGAAGTGATTGAAGTGAACAGAGCGCGCGGGAACTACTTCGAGCTACGTTTGTGAATGTATCATTTTGTAAGATTATACAGTGAGGTTCGAGCTCGTCAAGGAGACATCGGTGGAGTTTGTCGACAAACTTTGCCCAGTACGGCAAAAGCTGGTCAAGGACCGAATCGCTGCGGCTCGGTCTTGAGAGAATAACTCTATAACTGTGAGATTTCGTGAAGCAGCGCGGCTGAGTGGCCAACAGAGCCTGCGATGTCTCGCGTTTCAGAGGTCGTGGCACTGCTGGAGACCAAGCTGACAAAGCAAAAGATCTGCTTGGTCTCGACGCACCTGCAACGAAATCCAGAGGACCCAACTCAGGCCCAGTGGGATCTGCACGAGTTTGCAATACGTGCAGCAACTAAGTCCGTAAGTTTTACAATTTACCAGTGCTTTCACATGCAGTTCAGTGATCTGCAGTGGAGGACATGCTGCGAGCCCGGCAGGTTGGCCAGGCCACCAGCAGTTGCTACCCCTGGAAGTAGACGGTGAGTCAACATCAACGCACCGCTCTTGCAGTTTGAAAGAGGTTCTCCGTGCCCTGGCGGACTTTGTGAACTCCTTCCCGGCCTCCTCCGGTGCAACAATGGGAAGAGGGAATTTCGGGTGGAGGGAAAATCAGAGAGGCAGAAAGCCGCGCGCAGACATCTCCGTGTGAACCGATATTTTTTCGATATGTGGATCAAGGTCGGAAATGTGTAAGTCATGGGAAAGCTCACAGGGGCATCCATGTGCTCCTGTCTTTTCAGTGCTTCTGAGTAGTTGCTGCTTCTGTCAAGCAGTTGCTTCTATCAGAGCTGAATCTGGGTCGAATCCTAAAATTGCAATCGTACAATCCTTGTGCAAGCGCACACCCTGCTACAAGCTAAATTGCCCCCTCCCTCCCCTCCTACCCTCATGCCAAGTGTGCACCATCCCACCCTTGTAGGCCTGCTTATCTCATGCCTTTTCCCGTTTTGGGTAGCACCTCCCATCTTCTTTGAGAACCTCGACCTCGATTGGGTACTTCTTGCAGACAGCAGCGAGGAATCCGTATGTTGCAAGCTTGCTGCAACTCCTGTTGCGCACGTCATGATATGAACCAATGACGATACACACACACATATAATATATATATATATATATATATAGAAACATATATGTGAGAAATGTATATAAAGATGTATCAACATTATTACGCCAAGCATATCAACCAAACACAGCTCAAGGACCAAACGTTCAACATGTACCTAATTTTAACGCTAATCGACCCGCCTCGGCCTGGCCCAGCGCAGCGCCCGGCGCATATTCGCGGCATCCGCATAGGCGTCCAGGGCAGTGCACGTAGCTTGGTTCGGGCTCGGCGAGCATGGGGCGGCTGCGCTTCCACGGGCGCTCCGTCACTTGGCAGTAGGGGGGGAGGGGGTAGGGGGGGGGGGGGAAAGGGGTCCCAAAAAATTGGCTTTGGGTGTGGGGGGTGGATTTGGAGAGGGGTGCCTGTTCTCACAACCTATACACCTTCGGCCCGAGGGGCCTCGGCGGATGTTTCACAGTGATCGTCAACGGGCTGGGTGGTTTTGTTGAGAACTCACCCGTGGCCCGCTCCGTCTACAAGACAAGCCAATTGGTGGGGGCGGAAGCCGAGAGGCGGCGTGCCGTGAAATCACTGATGAGCGCCGGCCACTGCCAACCGCAAAGCGACTTAATCCCTCGCGCATCCATGTATCCCAAGCTTAGGGCGGCAGTCGCGATCCCTGCGCGTGATCTATAGGGAGCAGGATGTGCAACGTCCCTGCACCTCATTCCAAGTCACAAACTGCGGAGCTGTGGAGCTTGGGGAAGTTTGGGAGGCAATGGAAAGCCCTTTGAGAAACTGAGAAGCTTTAAGCATCTCAGAAGCTTCATTGGGCTTGTGTTCCCGGGTTGTCACTGTTGTTGGGTTCGTGGCGGGCTCTTGTCGGGTTGTCGTTGTAGGCAACGTGTCGATACTCGTACGCGAAGAAACCAAGTCCAATGGAGTCCATGTGTCACAAAGTGTCACAAGTCTTGCATCAAACACGGTGTCAAGCAACAATTGCAGCTGCTTCACTAACATGTCTGTAGGTATCTCGGGTGCGAGATTTCTGAGGCTTATGGTTGCATTCAGGTCTCAGGTGATCAATGAGGCAGTACAGCTTCAAGCGGGGCTCTGGAATCATGAGGTGATGGCAAATTGTCGCCTCAGTGACTGAAATCTGAATCGGACGTGTCCTGGTCAAGCATCGGGCAGGTGCAGGTCGCGATCCTCGTTGCTGTCGCCGCTGTTGGTTCCTGAACTCAAGTCTTCCCCTTTCGCAAGGGATGACAAGCAAGCCTCTGGGCACCTGTTTTGTGGTTTCGTTCTGCCCTCAGAAGTACAGGAGCACACACCATTTGGTGACAGCTACTAAATTAACTACTGCAGTGGTCCGTAAGCGTCCGGACCGATCCTCGTCACTGTCCTCGCTGTGGGATCACCCATGCGTCGTTACATCGCAAATATTTTTGTTGCCCGCCGACGCCGCGACGCTGGAACGTGGAACCGTGGCCGAGCATGAGGCTGAGGCTGTGGTGCCACGGGCTGAAGAACCCGCTAATTTCTTAATTGCGGATTCGGCTCGCGGCTCCCAACAGATGTTTGTCACGTAGATTGTACGGTTTTGATATTGAAGGAAAGCCATGTGATTGGTGTCAAGCCTTGTTCCTTGTCAATGCTGTTCGCCCATGTTCGCCCTCCATGTCACCTCTTGCAAGACTTCTTGTGCCGAAAGGTGCTCGAGAGGCTCCCGTGGTCCTCACAGGGGACCTGAACTGCACGTCCTTCGGCCGGCTCCGCGGCATCGCGAACACCATCTCACTGCTCAACCAGGAGGTGCAGACGCAGCCGTCGCAGCATACCCGTCAAGACTCCTGCTCCTGCTCCTGCTGAAGCATGCTGAACATGACTGTCTGCACAGAATTTTCCGAGGTGCAGCTGCACCCCTTCACCTTTGATTGCGCGGATGCACCTACGGGTGCCACGCGCTCGGGGCAGCGCATGCGATGCTCATGCGAGTACATGCGAATTTTTCCTACACAGATCCAGCTTCCCTTTCCCAAGGTTACCAGCGTCACGATGGCCAGGTGCGCCTTGAGGCCCTCGGATGTACACAGCCTGACCTGATTGCCAGGTGCATGCGGATCGACGCAATCCTCTACCAATCTCAAAGGCTGGAGTTGGTTGATGTGCAGGACTGGGTCTTGCTTCTCGCGAGTCTTCCGGTCACAGCAACGGGCTCGAAACGTACTTATAGAGTATCTTAACGCTTAATCAATTGGCTCTCTGCACCGTCTGATGTCACACAGGAGATTCCAGATGTCTCGCCAGAACAGCCGATCCCTAATGCTTCGGACTCAGCTGGTTAGAGCGAAAGATGACGGGGGTGTTTTTTTTTTGTGGCCCTGTGAAGGATGAGCAGCCGTCCGACCACGCCACACTCCTAGCAAGTGGCCAAAACAAGATATATGCAAGGTGCGGATCAAGCTGAGGTGCCGATAGTCGCTCAGTTCCGTTGCAGGTGCGTGCCTCAAAACGCCATGTTACACGAACCTGGACTTGCAACCTGCATATATCGTTCCCGAGGTCACGGCTGCACACCATGAAGCAATTGGCCAGGGAGTGGTTCCTCTCCCTAGCAGGCACAGAAGACGGTCAATTGCGTTGCAATACATGTCATGTCCCGAAAGTCCCGAAAGTTTTTCGTGGAATAAGGCAAGGAGGCGCAGGTGCCCCTGAATCAACGACAGCTGGAGCTCCCCGGCTCGACGATGGCATTCAATATGGTGCCTCCAATTTGCATCGGGAGCTTGGCCGCGATTGTGGAGCCCAGGAACGCTTTCAAGCTCTACGACTATGATGGCACAGGGACTGTGTCCTACAGCAACATGCGGAAGGTCGCCTCCTGAGGATAAGCCTCTAAATTTCCCGAAATCTCGGACATCCTCATGCCATGAATCCTAGCCCGCCTGCAGCACGCAAACTTTCATTTCCCTTGAACACCTTGTGACTACAATATCCGTACAATTTTAAAATGTTTTTGTGTGGCAGAGCTCTTGTAGCGACGAGGTTCTCACACAGCTTTTCGGCCTTTTGCCCGATGCATCGGAGAAGGCATTCTCATTAAAGCCTCGTACTCGTAGGAAGAGCTGCACCGCAACAAGAAGCGTTGTTTGTATATTCTGTGCGCAGGCACTGGAACGTATCCCAAATGAGCTGACGTACGCGGACTTTGTGGCAGCCTACCTGGATGCCGTGAAGGCACCGAGACACGGAACTGAGAGTGGGTGCTTCACAAACCCGAACCAGGTTCACCAAATGAAAAGCTGCAAAAAACAAAACTCGCTTCAAGAGCTCGACTCGATTCAGAGTTTGCGACGCAGGAAGCTGGGCTGCCAGGCCAGACGGGTGTAGTGAGGGTGTAGTGTCAAGACTTGGACGGCTTGGCTTCTTGCATTTCCGTTGCAGGGAGAGGCTTGCGACCCTTTGCGAGGACTTGAGGACCTGCGCGAGGCCTTCCAGCTCTTCGACCGTGACCAAAGCGGCGCCATCGACCAGCAGGAGCCTGTTCAGAAATGCAGTTTCTATTTGTTGAATGTTCTTGAATTGGTTCCTCTAGCCCCTGTGGGGGGGGGCTGGGAAGGCTTGGGATCCCCAAGCCCGCAAGCTCACATCGACGCCGTTGGGCCATGTGAGAAAAGACAACTCGGCTGATCGCAAAGAGGCCACCTAGGAGTCGGGGCCGAGGCCCCTCCCAGGCAGAACTTAATCGTCGCCACGAATCTTCTTTGAGAGGTTTTTCGAGGGTTTGGCCTGGCAACTCAACATCGCGTCGGATCATGGGGGAGGCGAGAATCATGTCACATGGTTTTCCTCCTAACTATGGTGTGTGCACTGGCCATAAAGCACCACAGACCTATTGATTGTTCTCAGGATGGTGTTAAAAACATAACGGCAATGCGCACTGCAAGTTCAAGTATCGAAGAACGGGGCAAAGCGGGGCCATGCCGAGCCATGCAGCCAAGAGGGAATGGAGGGAGCAGCAAAGCCAAGCGCAAGCTGGCAGTGCGGCACAATGCATACTGGACAAAACTGGCACTGCACATGCTGCGCCTTTGCAGGAGCTTTTGACAGCTTTTGAGCAGTGCGCCCCAGCAACTGCATGCGACCCAGATATATGCCGAGTTCCCTGCTCTCCCCTGGCAGTCTCATATCTCTGCCACTGAGGTCCCCACAGACAAGCTGATAGATCTCTTCAAAGCAATTGATGCTAACGGTGACCAGACCATCGATCTGGAGGAGACCCATGCCGCGGTTTCAAGTTCGCTGCAAGCTGCCTCTTGATGAATGTGGCGGCATGTGCCAGCACCAGCACGCCGATGCTTCGCCGCTTGAACAAGGGGTGCATCGTGTTCTTCCTTCGGGCCATTTCGACCTCAGGTTCCCACATGTTCCAACGTCCAAGCAAAAATGCAGACAAAGCAACACAAAATCAACACAAATATCAGTTGCGCCGCTGGAGAGATGAAAAGATGCTGCAGCGGCAACAACTCGAGGGATGAAGTGGCCCATCGGTTTGCCGTGTTCGCAGGAGATGCTCCACTTTCTGGCAAAGACCTGGGCTGACTCCTTCCGCCAGCGACCAAGAATCTGGAGACCCAAAGGAGGATGTGAGTGCTAATCAGGCTTCTGCCTTTATTTCGCTCCCTTGCTTCCTTCCCCCAGTCTCATTCTCTATATCGCGTGCTCGCGAGTACGAAACGCCGTCAGCGATATGAGGCTTGGCCAAATGAGGCTTCGACAGTGACCTGCATAGCACAAGTTTAGCACGAAAACCCGTTTTCCTTGCGTCCTTTTCAAAAAAGGGCTTTTCCGGTGCGAAGATTCAGGCACTTTCATCGACCCTGAAAGGGTTGTGCCGAGTGCCGACCGCGCTCAGAGCTGATGCAAACAAAAGCAACGAGTGACAGACACCGTCGAAAGCTTGTAACCCAACGGTTGTGTGTGTTTCGCCACCTTGGCAGGTCATGTTCTCACTTGCTGGACTGGCCTGGGCACAGGAGCCTGCCTCCCTGACGCTTCTCTGTCAATTTGTTTAGAATCACTCGCAGGACTCACGGGAAGGCCTTCCAGAGGCCGAGGCGCGTGGGCATCGCGATGGGTCAGCAAGCGTCCTGTGCGTACGCTGACAGTTCAAAAGACTTTAGTCACTTTGAGTGTCTTTGCCACACGTTGATCTGTCAAATGAGCGTTTTTGTTTTGGTTTGTTTTTGCCAAATAGGGTCCAACGGTCCGACCAACCGTATGCAGCAGCCACAGAAGAGCAGCAAACCAACAATGTTGCCGCAAAGCTTTTCCGGAAGCTCTTTCGACATCTCATGGAGAATTTTCTGGTGGCAGCGGTAAGGTTCATTCAAGGTTGTTGCTGCTTCCGAGCATTCTGAAGCCTTAATTCGTCTGAAGTCTTGAGTGTGTCAGATATTTGACAGGTGTCTCCCAGTGTGCTCCCCTTGCGACCGCAGCGGGCCCAGCAGTTGCAACGCACAGCACAGGGATACCAGCGGATACCAGGTAATACCAGCACAAGCCTCCGGCAGAGTATGAACTCCCTTCAATTTGCGCCACGGGAAGTAAGTGCAGCGTGATCTTCGTATGCTCTCAGCATACAATTCATGATGCACGATAGCATAACAGCATAGCATCTCACCAAGTTGACCTACCTCGTGGGTCGAGGAAGAAGACACGGAGAGCGCCGACCCATAAACCACGTAGAGAAGGGAGGCTTGGGTTTAGGGGGGGTCAGAAGGTTGTTCGTCGGAAGTCGCAGGGGCTTCTTCAGGAGGGGAAGGGGGATCCCGGAAGGCCCAAGGGGGTCGCGGATGTTTTCACGTCATTTTCACGTTTGACAGCACTGTGGGAGCGGTTTCTCCTGATCAAGCGGGGGAAGGAAAGCAGGTGTGCTTCTTCTAGACGCCTTTCGGCCGAGGCAAGGAGGAGCACATAAGGCAAGGATTTCGCACAAGTCCCGCCGTTAACACAAACTTCGTTGTTCAGTCGTCAAGCCGAGCAACCACACAACCACTGACGCATTCCTTAGAATCCTTGGAGAAGCAACATGGCTTGCTTGCTTCTTGTCATGTCTTCTCCCGTCGAAGCTGGGTTTCAGCAAAGGCCCATTCTTCGGCTGGTGTCTGCTGTCGCACTGCTGGCAGTGGCGGGGCGACCCCAACTTGAACAGACTAACAGCTCTGCCTAAGAGTTCTGCCCAAGGGGCCCCCCAATAAAACGCCATCCCCTTGCCTCTTGAATGTCCGAATGCTGCCTGCAACACTCTGGTTTCTACAGTTCGGAAGTTGCATACCCGTGAAGTGCATATACGTCGCGCTCTTTGTTGATGCAAAACAGCCAAGACAGACATGCTACTGTCCAGGGTTTGTTGCGACGGCTGGTCTTTCCACAAGTTCATAGTACAGTGTGAGAGTAGGCAATCTAAAGAATTAAGGGGCGCATCGTTGCAGAGCTCGCGGTGGCCAGGCTGGAGAAGTCATCCTGGGTTCGTTGCTGCAGCGGGAATTGCGCCTGCGGACCAAGGCGCGGGGAACTGGATGAGTTGGACCATATTGGAGCCAGTCTTCTCAGATTCCACACAATGTTCCACCCAGGCAGTCGCCCTGTCAAGAGTTACGTTCCGGATAGCCGGGTGCAACGCCTCTTCCCCAGAGATGCCGAGAGCACGCGCAATCAAAGCGCGGCACCATGCTGTTAGGTTCAACCCTTCTGGGGGCGGCACGGTGCTGAGTGGCATGCTGGCTGGCGTATTCCTTGTGCCAAGTCTTGCGCGGGCATAAGTTCTCCAGGTTTGCTCTGCGGAGCTGCTGGGTGAACTTGTCAGAGATCGAATTGGATCCTTTCTTTGTCAGCCCGCGCTTTTGTGGTGGGAACCCCCAAGGGCCAAAAGCGTGTGGAAGCCAGGTCCAGACGCTGGTGGGCCGAGCCATTGTCTTGGGATCGCATGCGCTCAAACTCATGATCTCACATTGGTTAAGTTTTGCTCAAGTACCTCAAGCTGTGTCCAGCACTAGGGTTCTGTCACAGGTCTCGTGGTGGAGCTACCTTTCCTCCCTGGGACGGCACCTAAAAGTGCTTGACCTGAGGTACGACGCGCAACTTGAGAACGACGAAAGCGGGTAAGCAAAATAAAGGAAGAACTGAAACTGACGGAATGCTGGGTGCAGGCTTGTGGGCGCACACCTTTGCGTGGAGGCCTGTTGCCGTCTGCAATCTTCAACATGACGCAACATGATGCAGCACTACGACTGCAATGCATGGGGAAGTTTGCTGCAGTGTTCGGTGGAAAATGCTGATGGCATATGGCATTCGGAAATCCCTCTCTGTCACCTAAATATGTGCGTTGCATTGCGTTGCGAAATTCACTTTGCCAGGGCGACGCCGGAGATGCGCTGGTGCGGTACTGAACACGAGCCCGGAGACTCCTAGTGTATGTTTGTGATCGTCTTTATAACGTCTTCTTCGTGTTGTCCGTGACTCCAGCAGCCAGCATTCCCATCCATCATGAATTGCCATCCCCCGCCATGAAAGTTCCGCGGGGCCTCGGGAACGAGTCTCGATAAACTTCTCTGCAACCAAGCAGTACGTAATTAATAATGCCAACATCACATGTGGCGCACCTTCCACTAATTAACTAACTAACTAACCAACTAGCTAACTAACTAGCAAATTAACGATATTTCACCAACTGACTAACTAACTACCTGGCTAACTAACCGTTTTTAACCAACCAGCTAACTAACTAACTCACTGAGGAAGTAACTAACTAACGAACTAACTAACTAACTAACTGAGTGACTAACTAGCACACACACACACACACACACACACACACACACACACGCACGCACGCACGCACACACCCACCCACCCACCCACCCACCCACCCACGCACGCACGCACGCACGCACGCACGCACGCACACTGACGCTGTGAGATTGAGCCCGTTTGCTTCTCATTCTCAGCGGTTCACGCCGTGTGGCTGCCAGGCCACCGCCGTCACACCCCTGCTCGAGGCGCTGCAGGTGCCGAAGAATGCCGAAGAGATTAACTACTTAAGAGATCATGAAGAAAGAGGGAGAAGGAGAAGGGGGGGCCAAGTCTTCACAGTTAGCTTTTTCACAGTGCACCTAAACCTTCTTCAGACCCACGACCTGAGACGTTTGATTCCGTTTGATGGGCCCCGCTCTGAAGGTTCAGGAGCTCCACATCGCAGATTTGACAGTCTTCGAGTCGAACCGAAGCTTCAAAGGGTCGAGAGATCCGACAGAGTGCAAGGCAAGGGTGCACGGCAAAGGGATGCAAAGGGTTGAAGGATTCTTGTGAATCTTGTGCTCGCCCAAGGCAGACAGACGAGTTCTACGAAACCTGCGCCTCAAGGCCAGGCTGAGTCGGTACACCCATGTACACCCATTGAAGCCACTGCGACACACATTGGCAAACAAAAAGCAGACAAGAGGAGCGAGCCGTGGAACGCACGGGAAACAACGGCTGCTTTCCGGGCTTTGTTTCCTGTTTTCAGGTTGCGACGCTCTCAGCTGACCTGAGCCAGGCTGTGGGCAAAAGGTGAAGGGGACAAGGCTTGCCGCGTCAAAAGTCTGAGCGTCCAACGGTCCAGCTGAGATCCCTTCCAAACTTGCACATGTGAGTGGTACATATTATACAAACGGTATTGACCGAGTCCCTACGTAACTCTAGGGCAGTTGTTGAGGCACGTGTTTCAATCGGCAGCGGCTGTCGATTGACAGCAATGGACAGCACTGAACTGAAGGAACCAGCACTATAGATACGTAGTACCAATGCAGTCAGTGGGCAGGAGGGTGACAGTCCGGTGGGGTGGGGTAGGGTGGGGTGTGGTACCAGCACGGGCTCATCAAGTTAATCCGGTGCTTCCATTGTTAAGCAGCCGTGAGACTGCAGGGGTGTTGTTTCGCGCGCGCGCGCGTGCGCGGGTCTCTGTCTCTCTGTCTCTCTGTCTCTCTGTCTCTCTGTCTCTCTGTCTCTCTGTCTCTCTGTCTCTCTGTCTCTCTGTCTCTCTGTCTCTCTGTCTCTCTGTCTCTCTCTCTGTCCTCTCTGTCTCTCTGTCTCTGTGTCTCTGTGTCTCTCTGTCTCTGTGTCTCTGTGTCTCTGTGTCTCTCTGTCTCTGTGTCTCTGTGTCTCTGTGTCTCTGTGTTTCTCTGTCTCTCTGTCTCTCTGTCTCTCTGTCTCTCTGTCTCTCTGTCTCTCTGTCTCTGTGTCTCTGTGTCTCTGTGTCTCTGTGTCTCTGTGTCTCTTTCTCTCTGTGTCTCTGTGTCTCTGTGTCTCTGTGTCTCTCTGTGTCTGTGTCTGTCTGTGTGTGTGTGTGTGTGTGTGTGTGTGTGTGTCTCTGTGTCTCTTTGTCTCTGTGTCTCTGTGTCTGTGTCTGTGTGTCTGTGTGTCTGTGTGTCTGTCTGTGTGTGTGTGTGTGTGTGTGTGTGTGTGTGTCTGTGGCTTAGGGCTTCTTGCGCCGACGATTGCACGCGTTGGAGAAGTTGCTCAAGACACTTCCATATTTTTTCAGGGATTACAGGGGATGTGTCGATACCTAGTAGCTGCAGAGCACCGCCACGGGTTCATTCAATGAACTGGGTACTGGCATCAAGTCAGCATCGATTGCAGCATACAGAAGGTTCACATCCAGCTTGCCATGCCCGCCATGCCGAAAGCAGGCGAGGATTCTGATGAATCCGAGACGTCATGGCGATCTGAGGATCGTGCTGTGGATCGGGACCAGGATCCGTGGAGCAATGGGCAAGACCCCTGGTCGCGATCTTTGCCGCAAGTTCCCACACCGCCAAATCGGGTCCAGACACGGGACACGCACACAGAGAGCGAAGCCACCGGGAGGCCATATGCGCCGCATGCTGCACAAGAGGACCCCTGGGCGGACGGTAACGACCCCTGGTCACAGTCCATGCCACGGCAGGCAGTCGGCATCCCAAGTGGTAAAGGCCAAGCCCCCATACATGTCTCTCAATCAGCGAACGAACCCAAAGGCTTCGCCAAGGGCTTTTCCAAAGGGCCTGGGAAGGGAGTTCCGGGAGTTCCGGGAGTTCCGGGAGTTCCGGGAGTTCCGGAGCCAGTTCCGGAGCCACCACCGAGAGGCCCCGAGCCCTTCAAGGGTAGCAGCAAAGGCTTTGAGACTGCGAAGCCCAAACCTCGCCCGCCCCCAGTGCCTGACGATGACTCACCCAGAACGCCGGCCACCAAAGCTTCGAGCTATGGCAGCTATGGCAGCTATGGCTCGAGCTATGGCAAGGGCACTGGCAAAGCGGGCTTTCAGAACGGCACCTCGCAGCCTGCGCAGCCGTCGCAGCCTTCGCAGCCTGCTGGCCATGATGCTGACAGTGACAGGGCGCTTAGCAGCGCACGTGTTCTTCAGAAAGCTTTTATGTTTTACTTGGTACTCAGGGGCTTCGGGTCTTATGAGGTTAAGGTATGTAACAGGTTATAAAAGGTCCTTTATGGCAGGGCAAGGTTAGGCAGAGACAACTGTCAGCCTCTACGCCTCACTGTCCCTCGGGGTTCCAAACCCGAACCAGTGCCGGAGGCAACCAAAAGAAACCACGAAAAACAATTAACACTCTTTCGACTCTTTCTGCATTGCCGCAAGAACCACGAAGGCGAGCGAAAGCGAATGTGGTTCACGAAGGGGAACCAGTATCCGTCCCCCCTGGCTATGGAGGTGCCTTGGGCCTTCGGCAACTCCAGTATCTCACACGAACCCTACTAAGCCCTACTAGGATGGATCGGAAGCAGATGATTTAGCCTGCGCTTGGGGAGCTTCTTCCGACTGAGGGACGAAGGCTTCCAACATGAACAGCCTCAACACCCATTGCACCCCTCCAAATCCCCAACACATCTAGTCAAGACCCATCAAGACATGAATGAGGCCCCCAAAGTCACCCGAAGCCAAGGTGATACAGACGCAAGAGATCGAAGGAGAGCAGTTTCTGGACCGGCCTCTAGGCGAGCCTCTTTTGCCACTGGGACCCTTCTTTCATCTTCTTTTTGGGACTATGTAGTGGGATGTTTGAATGAGTTGACGGATAAGGGGATTCACGAGGATCCGTTAGCTCGAATCCAAAGCTTGGGTCGCAGGAAGTTTCAAAGCTGGTTTGTTTTGCTGGGCGTGTGCTGCTAGAATTCTTTCTCGTGCGTATCGCCCTCAAAGTGAAGAGTCTTGGAGTCTTCCTCCGTTGTTGAACGCTTGCGTGGACATGCCGCACCGATGCCGGAGGAAGAAGACGGAAGAAACAGATTGCTGGTTTCATAAATTTCATACCGACTAGATTGGATAACCGGATCGATTTCATTCAGCTTCCCGCTGCATCCCGGCTACTGGGTGGGAGAGTCGACGTCATTTACTCTGTGTGAGCTGCGCTCATATGAACCCCCAAGGCTGATCAACGTCAAGAATGAACTAGCCCTCGTTCGGCCGCATCACCCCGAGCTGAACCCAGGGCCACTTGGCATCAGTTCGCAGAATCGTAAAAGGTCCTTGAATACATATAGCATTGAAGTTATACGATCGGTGTATGGACCCGGGGGCAAAAAGGCTCAGGCATCATTGGTGTGACCTTCGCTCAGGAGGTTAATTTCAGGGAGCGCCCAGTGCCCATCAGGGCCCCACACTGCAGAACGATCCAGCCCACGACCCTCCCAGAACAGAAGACCGCTGCAGTGGCCCTAGACGTAATCCGTCGTGCAGTGGCCGTATATCGCGTGGCTTACTTGACCATCTATCTTGGGCATAAGCGGCCATTATGAACTTTTTCCAGGGTCTGCGTCTGCATCCTAAAGTTATTTGAAGGGGCTGCGCCCATGGGCGGGCAGCGCACGCAGAAGCCCGGGGCGAGCAGTTTCTAAGCATGTTGAGGCCCCTAAACTCCCTTAAAATCTCTAAGCGTTAAGTTTCTAAGCATTTTCAGGCCCCTAACTCCCTTCAAATCTCTAAGCGTTTGAGGCTCCGAGACTCCCTTAACGTTTCTAAGCACTTTATAAGGCCCCTAAACTCCCTTTTTCCTAGCCCCGGGCTTAGACACGTCGCTTATGCCCGCCCTTTGGGGGGCATCATGCTCCTGATACCCCCCGCGGTCCCGCCCCGGGAGCCGCTGATGCTCCTGATGCGCGCCTGGGGGTCCCGGGCTGGACCCGCTGATGCTCATGATGCGCGCCCTCTGGGGCCTCCGTGGCGACGCAAAAAACCACGAAAAAAAAAACCGTTCACCGGCGGCACGCGGGGGTCGGCGGCACTGGCGTCCGGCCTAATTCTGCTTCGCAGAAGGCCAGAGGCCAGCAAGGCTATCCCCGGGACGACCCGGGCTAAAAGGTCCGCATTTGCTCGGTCCTTTGGGGACCTCGCGCTGCCCGATTTAATGGCTACCGCCAGTGCCGCCGACCCCCTCCAAGGGGGGCCAAGGCACTGTGGGCTCCGGCCGCGGATTATGTATATATATATATATATATATAGTCTTTCGCGTGGACAAGACCATGGTGGACAAATGGCCGCGGACTCAGTGGGATACCAACTCCATGTGCGACTATCATCAGCGGCAGTGCGTGCGCCGCATGTAGGGGGGTTGGGGGTGGGGGTGGAGCCATGACGCCAGGAGCAAGGGGCCCATGACAAGCACGGGCGGGGAGCGGGTGCGTGGGTGGTGGGGGTAAGGGCGGAGGGGAGCCGTGGGGCCAGAACCCATGGGTCCATGAGGGGCATGGGCGGCGGGGCGGAGTGCGTGAGGGGTGTGAGGGGTAAGGGGTAGGGAGCTGGGTCCATGAGGGGTAGGTCAAGGGGATGGAGAGTGGGAGCATGGGCCAGAGGAGAGTGGGCGGAGCTGGAAGGGCGGAGGGCGGAGCGGGCGGAGGGCCCGGGCATGCACTGGGGCCCTTTAAAGTCAGCTGAAAAGCCGCGGAGCCATGGGTTCAGTGGGGGGTGGGGGTAGGGGTTGGAAGTGTGGGTGGCAGGATGCGTACGGTATGGGGGTGGGGGTTGGGGGTTGGGGTGGAGCAGGGGCCATATTAGGACCAGCGTTGGCAGCCATGCAGGTCGAGGGATGAAGAATGTGACCAACACCAATGGGGCCAGGAGCCATGGGTCCAGTGGGGGGGCGGGGTGCGTGGGTGGTGGGAGTGGGGGTTGGAAGTGTGGAAAGGGTGGGGTGTTGGGGGTGGGGGTTGGGGGTGGGGGTGGAGCCATGACGCCAGGAGCAAGGGGCCCATGACAAGCACGGGCGGGGAGCGGGTGCGTGGGTGGTGGGGGTAAGGGCAGAGGGGAGCCGTGGGGCCAGAACCCAAGGGTCCATGAGGGGCATGGGTGGCGGGGCAGGGTGCGTGAGGGGTGTGAGGGGTAAGGGGTAGGGAGCTGGGTCCATGAGTGGGAGCATGGGCCAGAGGAGAGTGGGCGGAGCTGGAAGGGCGGAGGGCGGAGCGGGCGGAGGGCCCGGGCATGCACTGGGGCCCTTTAAAGTCAGCTGAGAAGCCACACCCATGGGCCGTGGACCAGGAGCCAATGGGGCCAGGAGCCATGGGTTCAGTGGGGGGCGGGCCCATGACAAGCACAGGCGGCGGGGCAGGGTGCGCGCGGGGTGGGGTGGGGGTTGCGGGTGGGGGTGGAGCATGGCGGGGTGCGTGGGGGGCTTGGGCAAGGGGAATGTATGCGGAGCGGGAAGGGCGGATGGGCGGGGAGCGGGTGCGTGGGTGGTGGGGGTAGGGGCGGAGGGGAGCCATGGGCCCAGGAGCCACACGGGTCCATGAGGGGCATGGGTGGCGGGGCAGGGTGCGTGAGGGGTAAGGGGTAGGGAGCTGGGTCCATGAGGGGTAGGTCAAGGGGATGGAGAGTGGGAGCATGGGCCAAAGGAGAGTGAGTGGGCGGAGCTGGAAGGGTGGAGGGCGGAGCGGGCGGAGCGGGCGGAGGGCCCGGGCATGCACTGGGGCCTTTGAAGTCAGCTGAGAAGCCACATCCATGGGCCGTGGACCATGAGCCATGGGGAGCCATGGGGCCAGGAGCCATGGGTCCATGAGGGGCATGGGTGTGTGAGGGGTAAGGGGATGAGGGGTAGGTCAAGGGGATGGAGAGTGGGAGCATGGGCCAGAGGGGAGTAGGCGGAGCTGGAAGGGCGGAGGGCGGAGCGAGCGGAGCGGGCGGAGCGGGCGGAGGGCCCGGGCATGCACTGGGCAGCTGAGAAGCCACATCCATGGGAGCAAGGGGCCCATGACAAGCACGGGCGGCGGGGCAGGGTGCGTGCGGGGTGGGGGTGGGGGTTGCGGGTGGGGGTGGAGCAGCTCAAGGGATGAAGAATAGGACCAGGAGCCATGGGTCCATGAAAAGCATGGCGGGATGCGCGGGGGGCTTGGGCAAGGGGAATGTATGTGGAGCGGGAAGGGCGGATGGGCGGGGAGCGGGTGCGTGGGTGGTGGGGGTAAGGGCGGAGGGGAGCCGTGGGGCCAGAACCCATGGGTCCATGAGGGGCATGGGCGGCTGGGCAGGGTGCGTGAGGGGTGTGAGGGGTAAGGGGTAGGGAGCTGGGTCCATGAGGGGTAGGTCAAGGGGATGGAGAGTGGGAGCATGGGCCAGAGGAGAGGGGGCGGAGCTGGAAGGGCGGAGGGCGGAGCGGGCGGAGGGCCCGGGCATGCACTGGGGCCCTTTAAAGTCAGCTGAAAAGCCACGGGCCAGGAGCCATGGGTTCAGTGGGGGGCGGGGTGCGTGGGGGGTGGGGGTAGGGGTTGGAAGTGTGGGTGGGTGGGGGTGGGGGTTGGGGGTTGGGGGTGGCAGGATGCGTACGGTATGGGGGTGGGGGTTGGGGGTTGGGGTGGAGCAGGGGCCATAAAAGGACCAGCGTTGGCAGCCATGCAGGTCGAGGGATGAAGAATGTGACCAACACCAATGGGGCCAGGAGCCATGGGTCCAGTGGGGGGGCGGGGTGCGTGGGTGGTGGGAGTGGGGGTTGGAAGTGTGGAAAGGGTGGGGTGTTGGGGGTGGGGGTTGGGGGTGGGGGTGGAGCCAGGACGCCAGGAGCAAGGGGCCCATGACAAGCACGGGCGGGGAGCGGGTGCGTGGGTGGTGGGGGTAAGGGCGGAGGGGAGCCGTGGGGCCAGAACCCATGGGTCCATGAGGGGCATGGGCGGCGGGGCAGGGTGCGTGAGGGGTGTGAGGGGCCCTTTAAAGTCAGCTGAAAAGCCACGGGCCAGGAGCCATGGGTTCAGTGGGGGGCGGGGTGCGTGGGGGGTGGGGGTAGGGGTTGGAAGTGTGGGTGGGTGGGGGTGGGGGGTGGGGGTTGGGGGTGGCAGGATGCGTACGGTATGGGGGTGGGGGTTGGGGGTTGGGGTGGAGCAGGGGCCATAATAGGACCAGCGTTGGCAGCCATGCAGGTCGAGGGATGAAGAATGTGACCAACACCAATGGCCAGGAGCCATGGGTCCAGTGAGGGGGCGGGGTGCGTGGGTGGTGGGAGTGGGGGTTGGAAGTGTGGAAAGGGTGGGGTGTTGGGGGTGGGGGTTGGGGGTGGGGGTGGAGCCATGACGCCAGGAGCAAGGGGCCCATGTCAAGCACGGGCGGCGGGGCAGGGTGCGTGCGGGGTGGGGGTGGGGTTGCGGGTGGGGGTGGAGCAGCTCAAGGGATGAAGAATAGGACCAGGAGCCGTGGGTCCATGAAAAGCATGGCGGGGTGCGTGGGGGGCTTGGGCAAGGGGAATGTATGCGGAGCGGGAAGGGCGGATGGGCGGGGAGCGGGTGCGTGGGTGGTGGGGGTAAGGGCGGAGGGGAGCCGTGGGGCCAGAACCCATGGGTCCATGAGGGGCATGGGCGGCGGGGCAGGGTGCGTGAGGGGTGTGAAAGGGTAAAAGGGGTAGGGAGCTGGGTGGGGTGCGTGGGGGTGGGGGTAGGGGTTTGAAGTGTGGGTGGGGGGGGTCTAGGTAGGGTTGGTGGGTTTGGGTGGATGGCAGGATGCTTACGTATGGGGGTGGGGGTTTGGGGGTTGGGTTGGAGCGGGGCCATAAAGGACCAGCGTTTGGCAGCCAAACAAATGGGGCCAGAGCCATGGGTCCAGTGGGGGGGCGGGGTGCGTGGGTGGTGGGAGTGGGGGTTGGAAGTGTGGAAAGGGTGGTGGGGGTTGGGGGTGGGGGTGGAGCCACGACGCCAGGAGCA